TTAGATTAGAAACATGGATGCTCTACGACAATGGAATGGTTCATTATTGCAAATACAAATCAAATGTCGCAACGAAATGTTTAACACGGAAGAACGTCACTGTTTTCTCATAAAACTACAATCCTTATTACCATTGGAACCAGAGGTTAGTTCAACATAACAAAACACGATAAATAGTCAACTATTCGGGTGGCGAGACTACAAACAATATATCTTGGAAGAGCTTGTTATTGTAAACCAATAAAGTTAATTGAGGTGACGTCAACCACACACCACACGTCACCAAATTTCCATCAATTTCAGTAACGATAATCAAAGAAGCTCATTCGTAGCTTTGAGAAAAATAATATCATTTTGAGAGTTTACAACCCAGAGCAGAATAGTCTTTTATTCTGCATTCCTGCATTTTTAACAGGAAGTACCATCACCAAACACCGGTCCTTTACTCCCGAAGACTACTATACAAATTTCAATGACAGAAACAGGCAGGGAAAGTGTGAAAAAAGATCAAAATCAGATGGTAATAGGCCAGACTTTAGCACAGGGATAGTCGCCCTGGTGGCGTAACTAAAAACAATATACCAAGTTCTCCCGATATAACGATACTCCCGGGTTCAAACCATTTACATTATTTTCAACTTATATGACACAATTAATGACTTAAATTTACCACATCAGTTTTCTACTCATGATCACATTCTCAACAACACTAGCACTTTGCACTGTCTTCATTACAACAATCCTAATCTTTTGCTTTTCCTTGAGGCGATTTATGTACGTTTCAAAAAGCCTCAGCTGAACTCTGGTCTGTGAAGGCTTCTAAAGAACTTGTATTTTTTTCCTAATTTCTTTGATGTAATTGTAATTAGTAACACCTTCTAAAGAAAATATTTTTTTCTAATCCCTGGTCTAATTGTAAATAGTAGCACCTTCTAACCTTTTTTTCTTTCGAATGCTTACGTTTATTCCTTTGTAGCTAAAAACAATATAAGATCACGCTTGCTTGTAAATAAACACCTAGTTTGATAATATAGAGTGGAAATATTCCTTTACATCTTGCCTTTTTCAGTTATAACTCGTAGCCAGTCGGCAACTGTAAACACAATACATTTTTATAGAAATTACATAGCGGGAGTATAACTTGCTGGCTAGCTAAGCTATTGAGCACAACTTCACTGTGGTTGACCGGGTTCTCTTTAAGTTACCTTTAATGTGTGGTCATTTTATATTTTGCCATCTTCGTGATGTATTTGGTAGTGGGATTGATTTCTTAAAAACATTTCTTAGACAACATCAACAACCTCGAACAACAACGTCGACACAGACCCCGTCCAGATGACCACATCACCAACATCAAGTAGCAACCACACACTTCAACCCCACGAAGAACGTGAAGGAGGCTCATCTCAGGCAATTGTTATAGCAGTTTCTGTATCAATCGCAACCATTGTCCTTGTGTTCGTCTTGTTCTATTTTGTGTGGTACCAAAAACATATAAGGTATTAAACTGCTTCTTATGATTCTACTTTTCAAAGGATTATTTTACCTTTATAAACAGCAAAATAAACGAGTTATTGAATACAAGGATACACACGTATATTGCAGCCACTGCACATTGCAAATCCAAAGCGAGAAAGTCAGTTCAATTGCATTCAGGCTTCTTTGAGATCAATTACTGATGAATTATGCAAACTCTAGATGTTTACTGACATCCAAGATGACCAGTTTTTCCAATAGAACCTGAACATCATACTTGACTTCTGAATAGTTTGTCATTAGTCAACAACTAGTTGAAATAACCAATCTTTTGCAAATTGCAACCTATACTACATATTGCAATTTGCATTTACGTTAAAATTGGAATTTATAAGTACGAAAGTTTGGGTTTAATAATCGACCAACACATATCTTGGAAGAGTAACACTGACAAAATTTGCAAAAAAGTAGCAGCCAGTATTTCTGCCCTTAGAAAATTAAAGCAATACACAGACAAAAACTTATCTATATATATAATGCCCTGGTGCATCCCTACTTCACATATTGCTGTGAAGTTTAGGGTGTATTGGGTGAATCTCGATCCTAAAGACTACAAAAGCTTCAAAATAGAGCTGCAAAACCTATTCTAAACCTTGGCAATAATGTCGATCATTGTAACGCATTACAAGAATTGAAGTGGGAACCTCTTGAAATACTTGGGAAAAAAGCTAAAGCAAAGCTGATGTATAAATTATTAAAAAATGCAGGACCAAATTCACTTACTAGATTGTTTATCGATAGAAAAGACATCAGTGATTACAATCTACGCAATATTACAAGTTCTTGATGTCCTATGCCTAGTTTCCAACCATCTTCTGTTCAATTCATTCCATTCATTCCATTCCATTTATTCATTCTCATTAATTCATTTATTCAATCCTTCTCCACTCCTTTTCTTTTCCTCCTTTCCACTCCTCCTCCATTCACTCCCTCACTCACTCCTCCACTCACACACTCACTCACACACTCCCTCCCACACTCACTCCACCTCACTCACTCACTCACTCACTCCTCACTCACTCACTCCTCACTCCACTCACTCACTCACTCACTCACTCACTCACTCCTCCTCACTCACTCACTCACTCACTCACTCACTCACTCACTCATTCATTCATTTATACTACAGATGTACTACGAGATGCACTATTACGATAAGATTAGTTTTTCTTAGTAAAAAAGTACAGTAAATACATAAATTAGGACTCTTGAAATGTTTCTGATACAATATAATAGGATAAAAACTTATTATGTTTCCGTCAACAAAATTTATCTTTTATATTCTTTTAACAGTTCGAAAACTGAACGTGAAGTGCTTGACTCCCATGGTAAGTATATTCACTGAAAATGAAAGATCAATGATCAAAATGACATCCCACAAACGAATGGAAAAATCGTCATTCTGATGATCGCTACACAGAAGAATAGTATGATTTGCCACAGCAAACGTGTTTCTTTGTTTTCACTCTAGAATTAGCAAACCAACGAGCTGGAAACTGAACCAACCGGAGTGGAAGGGAATGTTTTATGACCTTGGGTGAAGAAGAGACGTATACGTATGCCAATGATGAAGAAGAAAACAAAACACAAAGTCGTGCGTGTGAGCAACCTGCTGGTGATTCTAATAACAAACACAACATGAAAACAACAAAATTCGAAAGGCCACCAACACATCAAACAGCAAATAAAGACAACTATACCCCATTGATGAAAAACCGTACGAGCAGAGACTCGAACAGTCATTATTACCAGCACTTGCAAAAAGAATCAATCCAAATCAATGGTAATAATTCCATGCTCTCTTTATCTCATGGCAATGAACAACCAAACCAAAGTGTTGAACCGGAGTGTATTAGTGATTACGTTATCCCAAATGATGCAGGACCACCCACACATCAAACAGCAAATAAAGACAACTATACCCCATTAATAAAAAACCGTACGAGCAGAGACTCGAACAGTCATTATTACCAGCGCTTGCAAAAAGAATCAATCCAAATCAATGGTAATAATTCCATGCTCTCTTTATCTCATGGCAATGAACAACCAAACCAAAGTGTTGAACCGGAGTGTATCAGTGATTACGTTATCCCAAATGATGCAGGGACAAGCGTTTATAGCAAAAAGCAAATAAAACCAGAAAATAGAACCTCGTATACTGGCGAATATGCTATCCCAAATGACATTGAACACACGAGAATTGCTCGCAAAAACAATACCAATAACACAGTTACAAAGGTCGCAAATTCTAACGATGAAGACCCATTTCAATTTGTTGAATCCAATGTCCACGGATATGAACCGTTGATGAAAAATCGCAGGAGTAGTGACCACCACTACCAACACTTGCAATAGAATGGCAAAGAACGAACATACTGTGGAATTTGTTGTGAATATAAAACAAGTAATTTCCAACGTTGGGAGACCATTGCAAGAAATAACTTTTCAAGTTAACGAAGTTCCTTTTTAACGCAGTGAAGCGACCTACATAAGCTACGACATTCTACGACATTCAAACAGTAATTCTACTTATAAATTGAGCATATTGTACGAATTAATGCAATAGCATTTTCTTTGAGACAATTCCACTTTTGCCCTCCTGTTGACACAATTGAAGACCCCCAATGAATCAGACATTTTCAACGGCTGTCACAGGAAATTTGCTCCTCCCCTAAATTTCCCGGGAAATTTGGTCCCACGGAGCACTTTTTCTAGGAAATTTGGCCTCCTTGTCAGAAATAAATTTCTACGAGTTTATAAGCATGATTTTTTGTTTACTTGAATGTTTTATAAAACCGAATGCGTTTTAGAAATGTGCGAGTATTGATTTGTTTAAAATCACTAACTTGGCTTAAGCGCAAAAATAAGAACTGCCATTTCTGGGTTGTACTCCAATGAAGTGAAATTTGCTTTTATTTTTTTATTGACTTAAAGAAGTATTTAAATGCTTGTAAGCAATTTGATATATCTATTAGCTCATTTTACGCACGGTGGAACTTAACAAATGTTAATTGCAAAATTTGTCCTTGTATGTGAACTTATTTGGCTGCCATGTTTCCTCATTTGACGTCATGTAAGTAGTACGTAAGTCGCGCCTCGCTAAGCTAATGCAGTAATTTCTAACAGACAAACCAGCATTTTCATGGCTACGAAATCGATCGAAATGCCAATTTCAATTCTTTTTTTCATAAAAATGATTTTAAAGAGCATGTACTTTTTAAGACACCATTAATACAGAGTGCAAAAATTTCACTGTATTAGTATTTAAAGAACAGCATGTTTATCAGGAATGAACAAAGACACAGGAAGTTAACAAATATACAAACATGAGACGATGTTTACAACAACCAAATAATTACTAATGCAAATAGCGTGACTCGTGCCAATTCATGCAACGTACCTAAATTGCAAAACGCAAAGAAGAAACGGTTACTTAAACAAGGAACCGCAACACAACAGGACCATTGGAAACAGAAAACTCAAATGGATTTTAAATTTAGTGTGTGGAGGATGCTTTTAATTTTCACCATATGTTATTCCAAATGCACCAATGGTAGCAAACTGAGAATATACCGTCATGAACGAGATATATTTACCAACTTAGATTATTCAAGTTCACAAACTGAAAGAAATTATAGTTATGATTGTATGAAGTACAATGCCAAGTGTTATAACGTTACTGGGTGTCGGTATTGTGAATGTAAAGATGGAACGAATACTTTTATTATCGATAACAATGACAAGAATCGCAGAGGAAGTTGCATCAAGGATGAAGAATTGCATCTGGAAGGAGGTAAGATCTAACAATTAAGTAAATAACCACAAATATATCTTTAAAAGTATCACATCCAGGGAATTGCGAGATAAATTGTGTATTGACAAGGTTTATGATCGTTTCGATGTAAAATAAAAAATAAATTATAGTATCTCAATGGTAATTTAGGAGAACCATTAAAACCGTTCAACTGCATGCTTTTAAATTTCCGAAGAATTAAAGCTTACAAGTCGAATTGCTTTCAAATTATTTTGACGATAACACTACCAAAAATGAGATGCAGTAATTTTTGTCTAGAGCTACTTCGAAAATTCTTTCCGAACTGACCCAAAGGGAAAAGTGTTTCCTTAACAATAAAAATCACATTGTGAATAAACCGTTTTTATAAATCTCTTTCTTGACTTCACGATAAAAATAATATTCTCTTTAAATCGTAAAGTTTTTCTTTCTCTACACTGGCAACTATCCACGGAACATTCTCCACGTGCGACTATGCACGCTAAATAACATGAACTTGACGTAGCTTTAAAATCAACTGGCGGAAAAGATGTCAAACATATCCCTCAATTTCCTGTTGTTGTCGTTTTTACAGACTCCGACGATGATGCATTCAATCTTGAAAATACGGTGACGAAGAAGTGTTTGAAACAATCTGACGTGTTCGTGTATAGTACGTCTTGTGGTGATTCATTGGATCAGAAATGGATACGTGTCAACACAGTCAATAAACAACTGATGAATGTGAAATCACTTCGTTGTATCACATTGGGAGGAAAAGATGCACCAGTAACAATGCAACCATGTCAAAAATCAAAATCGGATTTTCAAAAACTAGCGTGCCACCAAAGAAACAAGAAAGCAAGATTTTTTGGACGTTTTTTACTTCGTTTCTAGCAGAATATCAGGCTGGAGTAGGCGTTTCGGGGTACAATCGCGGTCAGTTTTGGAAAGCACATCAAAATGACAGTAAAGTGAACGTTTGCAAGTTAACAGATTACAAAGGTTAGAGAACAAGACTTGTGAAAAACGCCGCTTAATTTCACCAATCTTATTGTTATTGACAATACTATAACTTTAACTAGAAATTATAAAATCCTATAAGAGAAAGGTCGCAACGCCTTTCTAAAAATCCTTAACTTCACGCAATTCTAATTAATTCGCAAAAAAACTAAATGTCCACCAGATTGTTTTAAGCTCAATGCATTCATCTTCGACAGGCTACTATCGTTTCTCTGATGGCAATTTCGTGAAATTTTTGAAATTCAACCAAAGCGCAAACGTGGAAAAATTTCATATTTCTGCACCGATCTACGACGAAAATGACAATTGTAAAGTGGGAAAAAAATTCGTGTTTACAAAAGACGGCAAGGAAACGTACCAAGAGGATTCAAAAAATCTTTTTACAATGGACAATGTTGACAAGATTACCAAAGAAATCGAGGTAAAAACGACATGAAAAAGACACCTGGTGTCACAAAACATAAAAAACACCGTTCAATAACAACATTTGTTATTTAGATCAAAAACATGGACGCTCTACGACGATGGAATGGTATGTTATTGAGAATTGATATAACATGCGGGAAGTCGTACAGCATGAAAGAAACTCACTGTATTCTGCTAAAACTGCAATCTTTATTGGCATTAGGGCATGAGGTAAGTTTTTTAACGTAGCATGGGTAGCACAACCTAAATCATCTTGCATCACAATAGGTAGTAAAGAAGACAACGGACAACACGCAATTCTTGTACTATACGTCACCAAATTTCGTAAATTTTAACGACATTTAAAAGAGAACATTTGTGGGTCCAGGATAAGCTAATGCTAATCATTATAAAGGACTATTAGCACAGCAAAATGGTTTTTGCTTAAGAAATAAAAGATGTTTGCTGTGTTTGCACGGGCTCATGTAAAACGAGGAGACCTTTGGGAGAAATCGAGAGCTGATCAGTACAAGGCCGAGAGCGAAGGTCGAGGGTTAGGCTCTAAAATGTATTCATGATCGATTTGCAAATTCTCTTTGACTGATTAATTGCTTTGATTGATTTGATTGGTTGAGCTCAGATGTGCTTTACGCAGGCAAATGCAAACACAGCTCTAGACCAATCACTGCACGCGTTCTATTGTTTTTATTTTATAACAATACATAGTGTATACTATACCATTACAGAAAAATTCATCAACGAGCACTAGTCCACTAACCAGAAAAGGTGTGAAAGGTACGGCAAAATCCGAAGATACCACGTCAGTCTTTATCGGAGGGATAGTCCTACCAGTGGTAGTGATGATTTTGAAATAAGGACGGAGTGCTACTTTAAATTTGTGTCTATGAATTTAAGCATGTCAAATCTTGAATTTACACGATGATATGTTACTCAAAGAATTTTTTGTATAATTCTTAAAATATCAAAGGATTTAGTAAAGCATGAATCCAGGGATGTGTGAAACTATCGAAGCGAGGCACAGAAAATTGGTGACAAGCTCACATCCAGGTAAAATGGTTACCCACTTCACCTCGCGATATTGAAGACGCTTTTCTTAATATTGAAGTACATTGAAAAGATCTCGATTGATTAAGAATTTATGTGTAATTGACTGCAAGAAGAAAGCTCAGAAATTATATTAAACCTGTTTTCAGTAACGGCAAGTGTTTGGTTTGAATGCGTCACACCGCGGCCAAGACTAATGGGTTGAAGAAGGGAAGTACACATGTAACGGTGATGTTACTAATATTACATTTTACACTGGTTCAAGTATTTCATATCATAGGAATGGAGTCAATGTGAATTGATAACAAAGGATCATTTCATCCCACTATATGAAAGACAGAGATGAAGTTTCTATAAACTTAAGCTAACTACTTTAAAGTCTCATTTTAACAAAAGGTATTGTTAATAAAATGATAAATAAATCTATATTGACACACCCGCACTCTTCGACGGCTCTTACTAAACATTGAAAAAAGCTTTAATGAACTATAAAGAAACATAAACAATCCCTCTGATATTATGTTAGGAAGGACAGTCAAACAATTTAAGGCCCGTTTCAAATGTCGCATTTTAAATGCGCCGAATGCATTAAAGAAAAAAGAAAATGAGATAAAATTCCTCATTATCTTTTGTTTTAAATGCATTCGGCTCATGTAAAATGCAACATTTGAAACAGACCTAAAATGGTTTCGTCACGTGCATTGGGCTGTAACTTTCTTAGATTGACTGACACAAACACAATCAGAAACAAACACCAAAGTGTTCACCAAAGTCTAAAAGAATACAATAAAAGATCTACACAAGTACCTGACCTGAAGCTTAAAAATGGAAAATGACGCTCGTCCGGAAAACTAAACTTTCAGTGAACTAAGAACTTTGTTCCTGTTATCTGAAGCAATAAAAAACGTAAGAAAGGTTTTTTATATGTTCGGGGAAGTAAACGCATGCTTGAAAATCAAGGAGAATAACGGAGGTCTAGTAAATATTCAACCAGACAGAGAAAGAAAAGATTTATAAATCTAGCAGTCAGAGGTAAGTTTCGTAAATGTCTAGGCGACAGAGGAAGATTTCGTAAATGTTTCAATTTATGCAGTAACTCGAATGGCTATAACATATCCCTCTGACGCCTCAATGACGGCTTCAATCTGTGTCAATATGTTTTACATAATGAAAGAGAAAGACCATAGTGTGTTTAGTGAGAAATTTATAGACACTGGAGACTTTCATTTTCGCAATGTCACAGTTGCTTCAAACATTCCAAAAACAATCTTTGATAAACGTTAAGAACATCATGTATAACAAAGGATTTAAAAACAATTAAATAATTGCCAATGCATATAGCGTGCACGATTATGTAAATGTATACATTCTACGCAATATAATGACTATTTACATGTAGGACACGTAGGTTGAGAGAGTCAAAGAATAAAGTTACTTGCCAGATTGAGCGAGGAACCAAACCTCCGCCATCCATCTTCCGAAGTAAAAGATTGTCTCCTGAAAATACGACCATAGATGGGGAGGATTAAAGCACAAATGGATTTTGAATTTAGCGTGTGGATGGTTGTAACTTTTACTATATGCCTTTCCAAATACGGAAATGGCAACGAACTGAGAATATTTCGTCGTGAACGAGATATATTTACCAACATATACTATTCAAGCTCACAAACTGAAAGAAATCATAGTCATGACTGTATGAAGTACAACGCTGAATGTCATTTCATCACTAAGTGTCGCTTTTGTGAATGTAAAGAGGGAACGAATACTTTTATTATGGATAATAATGACAAGAATAACAGAGGAAGTTGTATCAAAGATGAAGAAGTAAATCTAGAATCAGGTAAGATCTTATAGCGTTTTGTAATGAAAGTCCACAATCAACAAATATACATTGAAATCGAAGCGGCATTGATTACCGTCGACCATCACATCACAGGATTTAGGTCGCTTCCACCTAGATATGATAGGGTGTAGTGACGTACATAACGTCGTACAACATTTTCTCCAGAATAATGTCTGACATCAAAGGAATTATCCCACCCTAGTTTTACTGAAACGCATAATTTGACCTGTTAACAACGTAAAACTACTTAAATTTCGAGTACATTATCCGTCTCATAATAAAATAACTGTGCCTCAGCATCTGGTACCTAGTTTAGCTAACATATAAAAAAGCCTTTAAAATAAATAAATTGTACAAAATAGATACTCATTAATTGTGTAAATATAACTTCTTCGCTAGTGAATAAAATACTCACAAAAACGTAATAGCTTTCTAGTACATTGACCAACGCTCGGAGCTCATACTCATTTATAAAGAATGAACAATTAGTGTTCATTGCTATTGTGGAAACCATTCATTTTTGATCGCTATACAGACTGGAGAAATTTCAATACTTGGAACGGTGGAAGACCATTAAAACTATGCTATTGCTTTTGGGTTTAATCCAAATATATTCAAGAATGAGCTTATGTGAATTTCATTTTGACGTTCCGAGCTTTCAAGAGTTCAATCCTGAACAGTAGCTACTAAAAAATGTGCGAATGCATTTGACATTTTTAATAGTTTTAAGACTACTTATGTACTTTCATAAGGGTAAATTGTAATAACTACATTACTTTTTACTCAGGATAATTTAAGAGTAAATATATGTAACATTAGCCATGCAACATAAGCCTTTGGCGTTTGGTATATTGAAAAATCATTCCCCATGTTTTCACTTTAAACCACTTCTATTCCATTCATTTTCGTTCAGTTCCGTTCCATTCCATTCGTTTCCATTCCATTCTATTTTATACTCGCATAAAATAACTAAATACATTATCAAGATCGCGATACAATTATTACCATAAATTAGTTTAGCTGATGGTAAAAATATATCAGGTTCATATTGCTATATTTTTTGTAGACTCAGACAATGATGAATTTACTCTAGAAAATACTGTGACAAACAAATGTTTAAAACAAGTTGAGAATTCTGTGTGGGGTACGACGTGTGGAAATTCATTGGATCAAAAGTGGATACGTCTCAAGACAAATAATGAACAGCTCATGAATCTAAAATCACTTCTTTGCATAAGTAGATACAGCGGTGTAGTTGAAATGAGTCAATGTCGATATTTTAACCTGAGATCGCAAAAACTGGAGTGCACGTACCAAACAGATTTAGGAGCTACTTTCACTACGACATTTTTTGCAACTTTCGCTGACTATCTAGAACAAACTACGAACGGAAGAGGAATCTTTCGGTCATATACCGGTCAATATTGGAAAACACACCAAAATAAAACTGAAGTCAATGTTTGCGAGAGAAAAACAGAATACAAAGGTGAGAATACAATGTTGTGGAAACATTCATGCAGTCCAGTTTCCGCCAATATTTTTGAGAAGAATGCAATTTTAACCATAGATGTTAAAGCCCTACGCAATACGTTGCAATGTCTGAGCATCCACGCAAAAGCAACGCTTACTTCATTTAAAAGTACAAGTCCACCAATCTATTTCATGCTTAATTTACTCATTTACTACAGGTTGCTATCGCTTTTCTGATGGGAATTTCATGAAATATTTGAAATTTAACAACAATAGCCGGAATGTGGAAAAATTCTCTGTTTCTGCGCCAATCTACAGAGAAAATGACAATTGCATTGTGGAAGAAGCTTTCAAGTATACGAAAGATGGCAATGAATCATACGAAGATGGTTCAAAAAATCTTTTTAAATTGTCCAGCACTGGCGAGTCTACCAAAGAAATCGAGGTAAAAACATCATACGAAACGACCCAATCAAGTTATATATAGTAGCAAAGACGCAAAAAACATCGTTTATTCCACATCAATAAGTTTTGTGATCTTCCCATATAGCAGCATTTTATAAACAAGGCACTCGTTTCGCAAATTCCTGCACACTTTTCCGGAAAAAACTTGGCCATTACTTAACCAAAACTTAACCACACCGACTATTTATGATAAACTGTACAGAACAGGGTACCCTACCATTGAAAAGATGACAACCGTTGAAAAGAGTGGAAAATTAGGAAAACAAAGATCAAATCATACACAAACAACATTTGTTATTTAGATTAGAAACATGGATGCTCTACGACAATGGAATGGTTCATTATTGCAAATACAAATCAAATGCCGCAACGAATTGTTTAACATAGAAGAACGTCACTGTTTTCTCATAAAACTACAATCTTTATTACCATTGGAGCCAGAGGTTAGTTCAACACAACAAAAGAGGATGAACAGTCTACTATTCGGGTGGCGTAACTATAAACAATATACCTAGTTCTTGCATATTAATAAAATTAAATGAACAAACGTCAACCTAACCCCACACGTCAACAAAATTCCATAAATTTCAGTAACGATAATCAAAGTACCTAAATCGTAACTTTAAGAAAAACAAAATCATTTTGAGAGTTTAGAATCTACAGCAGAATAGTCTTTACCCATATATACTGTACTACCATTATAGGAAACACCACCACCAAGTATAAGTCCCTCAACTTCAATGACAGCGACAGGCAGGAAAGGTGTTAGAGAAACATCAAAATCAGATGATTATACCCCAGTTATTATCGCTGGGATAGCTGTCCTGGTAGTACTGGTAATTTCGGTCATCGTGGTAATCTTTTGTCTTTATAGAAGGCGGAGGAAAAGGTAAAAATAAGAACAAACACGCAACAAGAAACGCAAGCATGTATAGATGCCATAAAGATCTTATTACATAAAGTAACACTGACCCTAAAACCATGCAAAATTGCAAACAATTGCTTTGAATATGAGAGCCATCTGTGATAGACATTTGCCACCATATTTAAAATCCTCATAATTTTAATTCTTTTAGAGCACAAAGTACATCAAACAGATTAGGTAAGATGAAACTATAATGAAACATAAAAAATTGTCATGTTAGTATATTATGACTCAAACTTGTTTTGCACGCTAAAATTAGAGATGGGAGTCGTCAATTTTTCAAAAGCAATTTACGAAGAGCCAGATAGAAACTACGCAACGGTAAATGAAGTATCACGTAATCAAACAGGACAAGCTGCTAACACTTACAGTTATGCAGATTGTGGAGGAATCTCCAATTCAGTCCCTGACGAGCAGCAACATACCTACGAGCAACTTGCCGTTAACAATGAAAACACATACGCAAATTGTGATGGTACATCAGCAAGTAAAAACAGTGAGTCACCATATATGATGACTCCAAGTGCTCCACCATATGAAGAAGTTTGGAGCTCATCAGACAATAATCCGCACGAAATCACTAAAAATACTGAAACTTTCGCATCCTATGCACACGAAGGACCTCGACAACCAGAGTCTAAACCCGGGCCGGTATACGAAGTATTGACAAATGATTCTTCAAGCAATGTTTCATATGAAGCGCCAAGCACAGTTTATGATGAAGTACTCCAGACGAAAAATGCGCCAAAATACGAAGTTTTAGAGAGTCCACCGTCCACAAATGACATCCCTGAAGCACACGGTGCCGCTGTTAACGAAGCAACCGCATACGAAGTTTTGGAGAGTGAATCGTCAAGTAATAATCACTATGAAATGCCTGCTACAACAATTATAGAAGCGAACAGATCAGTGACAGAAAACGCACCAGGAATTCATTAATACAAAGACAAAATCAATGTAAATTTTACAAACGTCGACAACAGGCCCAAAGACATGAGATGACTAAAAATCTTAAATAAAGGACGACATGAAACGAGTGCAGCTATCGATACCCTATGAGCGTAAAACATGTTCATGATATGAAATGAACAAACTCGTTATAAATGACAAACATTTTTATGTGTCGCTACAAAACGTTATTAAATTTAAAAGAAAACTGAGGCCAAGGGCTAGACAAGGCAATATTCATTCTGTGTTTGTCACCCAACGTGTGTGGTTGTCACCCACATAAAACACAAATTCTTATTTAACTAGCTCAATATTATATAAAAAAATTCATTCAATTACGTTTCATGAATTGTACCATGCTTCTATCGAAGAAAAAGATAATTGTTTTGCAGTAATAATCTTAAATAATAGGACAAATGTTTGAGTGAATAAAATTATGGTAATACTTTTGTGTCAATGCCCTTGGATTGGAAAGTAAACACTGTAAAGAGTGAGATGCGTTAAGTGTAAAAAAGCAGATAGTCAACTCATCTTGCAGTTGGAGGAATTTTTTCTGTTTCTGTTTCTTTTGACATGGTACAAGAAACCCTCAAAAAAGGTACAAAAAATGCAGGGATGCCGGTAGATTAATAGTAATTTTTCGAAAGATACAATGGACAGTCAAAAATAGTCCTTCAACAGATAGCCCGACACACTAGAACCCAGTCCTTGACTTTTTGAGGAAGTTCTTTTTAAATGCATGACAAGTATTATCATAACTAATGTTAGGTTTGTTTTATATGTGTATTTGTAGATTAGGATTCTTATTTTAATAGAAACTATTTCAGCTGCAGTAGGTGTTCAGCTTCTACTGCATGTGTTCAATACAGTTTTAACAAAGAGAAAGTAAACTACTTGTAATGAATGTTATGTTTTACCAACATCTCGTGCTATGAAGAGTTAACCCAACCAAACTTTGACATTTTAGTGCAATTTCACAAAAAGGATTTCGCCTGTAGGCGATATTGTAAAATGTTTCTCAAATTGAAGTAGATGAAAACGAACTGATAAGCCCTGATATTGGGCAAAACACTCTGTCATCATCTTATGAATGGGAATTAATCTCAGTTATTACAATTTTATAAACGAAAACAATTTTATAATTCCCTGCATATGATACCATGTTTGGTGTCCTCAATGACGTCATATTTGACGCCACATATGACGTCGTATGTGACGTCATATGTGTTTTTTTTGACGAACGTACGAAAAATCCTAGATCCGCCCCTGTTAATTCAACGACTATGAGTCATAAGCACTCAAATAAATCATACGTCTTCGTCCTTTTTTTATAATACCCAGGATATACGCCTTGACAACACTAAACATATAAAATTACCACAAATGATACCATTATTAACAAAAAAACCGTTACTACAAAGACAATCACCAGCATAAACTGGGACTTAAAAAACATATTTTGATTTCGTTAAAAATATTCTGACTATTCAAAATCAGAATAACACCCAACACTAGAATTTCGAAGAAACGACTCCAAATCCAAAAATAACTACAAGCTCTTGATACCCAAAGTTGAAGATCTTGCAAAATCATTAACGCAATTCAAATTGAAACCAATTAGAAACTAAGATGTCAAAAAACACTACACTTCCAAACATGGCTGCAGACGTTATGTTATGCCAGACCCTCACTACATCCACAACAATGCAACAGATATTGACCTCGCAATAACTCATTTCCGTCGGTTATCGAGTGTTTAAGTGAAGACAGTCTGCTATAACTTTTGAACTTATCAATGTCTAGTAGTAAATGTACAAAAACTCGCCGTTGGCAATCATTTGAAAACGTTATTCAATACAAACTGTTTATGAAAAATTCACTCACAGTTTTGACTTACATTCCCATCACGTTTTATCTTCACTGACCGGAAGTAGGCGCAAGCCGCAATATTATTCATTCCAATATAATTTGAAACAACGGGCCACGTAATGAGCATGGAGCACGCACAAATTTTTAAAATCTTCCAAAAGGCCTTACTTGGCTTCTCCCAGCACGTTTCATTTCTAATGACCGGAAAGACGGTAACTAATGTTAATAAATGCACGTGGGAAAATATTCGTTCCAATATATTATAAAAATATATATTATACAACAATTGTTACTGTTATGCTATGCAATTGAAACTAGTTTGAACTTCATTCACTGTTTCAGTAAACTGTCACAAAACCCATCGAAGGCTGTACACAGACAGCCAAAAGCTCGTTTAATAAAAATTATTAAAGCATTGACCGTTTGACCGCATTATGTCTAATTCTGATAACGAACCACGCATTTTTTTTTCCAGTTTTCGTTGGCACTTGATGTAATATAATTGTTTTTACTGCCATCACATGCATTGTGATGCTGATGGGACAATTGATGTAAATTTCACACGAAGTATTTGCTGCGTTGCAAAAGATGAAAACAATTAATCGCCAGCAGACACGACTTTATGAATAATTAAATTTAGGTTCTTCTGTCCTATAGTTCGTGAGCGGATCATGCATATTTTTTAGCACGCCTACACGAGTACGTACAGATTCTCGCTAAAGTTCATAACATATAACCACTGCTTAAATACCATTAGTCTTGCCTTTAAAGCTTGAAGATTGGAAGATTTGAAGTACATTGTACTCTTTGCCTTATAACAACCGATACGAAAGACTGATGGTCAGTCTAACATGCAGTCAACAAGTGTCAACGCCAAACTTTTAATATGGTGTTGTGTTGGTAATGAGACATACTTTTAATATGGTGTTGTGTTGGTAATGAGACATACTTTCGAGGGAATACAATAAGCAAACAGACATTTCACAAGTATAAACGGTTATTTGCCTGATTGAACGAGGAATCGTACCACATTCATCAATTTGTCAAAAGAAAAGTTACGATCAGTGAAAGCACAAATGGATATTAAATTTAGAGTGTGGATGGTTTTAATTTTCACGATATGTTATTCTAAATGCGCAAATGGCAACAAACTGAGAATATACCGTCATGAACGAGATATATTTACCAACTTAGATTATTCAAGTTCACAATCTGAAAGAGATCATAGTCATGACTGTATGAAGTACAACGCTAAATGTCATTTCATCACTAAGTGTCGTTATTGTGAATGTAAAGATGGAACGAATACTTTTATCATTGATAACAATGACAAGAATCGCAGAGGAAGTTGTATCAAGGATGAAGAATTAAATCTAGAAGGAGGTAAGATCTAACAACTAGATGAGCAACGAAACGGTTTATAATTTCTAATTAGAAGCAAGTTTAAAAAACATTTGAGAAAAACTATGAACAACAACCCGATAGTAAACGTTACTTCAAACTATCTTATATAGGTGATTACTCGAGACACACACAACGCAAATTCACACAAATCATTAAACGCTACTGCAATAACATTGAGGTTAAAGTTATTTTTAATCCTTTCAAGATAAAATTTTTATTCTCATATAAAGACCGCTTCTCGAACTTTCGAAATCTATGGTAATTTATCAATTTTCATGTGCGGGGTGTAATTCCCGCTATATTGGTGAAACCTCTCGCCAATTATCTACCAGGATAAAGGAACACACTCACACAGACAAAAACTCCACCATCTACAAACGTCTTCATGCCTCTCTTTCATGTAAAAACAAATTTCCGCTTTCCTGTTTTGAAATCATCCACACAGACCAATCAAATTTTTCTCTCAAAATCAAGGAAGCTCTCCCATTAATAAAACTAATCCTGATTTAAATGTCCACCATTACAACATTAATTACTTTATAATATTTCTTTCTGTTATACGTTTTCAATAAATAAATTTATATATTTTTTATTGAAATATTTTGATATTTTTTTACTAAATCATAATCCTATTCATTGTGAATAATTTATTCATATGTTAGCTTCTTATATAATGTATCATATTACTTAAACTATTATGCACTGAAGATGGCATTCTGATAATGTCGAAACATGTTTGCGCTCAAAAAAATCGACGTTTTTCTCAAATGTTTTTCAAAAGGTTTTTTATTGGTTGGAAGTAAAATGAAGTACAAGGTGTGTATGCTAAGTATAGCTATTTATCCATGAATGACCAATAGCTAAACGGCTTATAACACAGTCATAATTTCAAAACGAACCAGTGGAGCCAGTCTTTTCCCATGAAATAACAATTTTTTAAAATATGGTCTACCATGAAATGTCAACTTTCAAACGCCGTCTCTATAATCTAATTTTTGTTGCTATATTTTTTTGTAGACTCAGACAATGATGAATTTACTCTAGAAAATACCGTGACAAACAAATGTTTAAAACAAGTTGGGAATTCTGTGTGGGGTACGACATGTGGAAATTCATTGGATCAAAAGTGGATACGTCTCAAGACATATAATGAACAGCTCATGAATCTAAAATCACTTCTTTGCATAAGAGCTAGATACAGCGGTGTAGTTGAAATGAGTCAATGTCTATATTTTGTCCTAAGATCGCAAAAACTGGAGTGCACGTACCAAACACATATAGGAGCTACTTTCACTACGACATTTTTTACAATTTTTGAAACTTCCACTGACTACCTAGAACAAACTACGAACAGAAGAGGAATTTTTCGGTCATATACCGGTCAATATTGGAAAACGCACCAAAATAAGACTGAAGTCAATGTTTGCGAGAAAATAACAGAATACAAAGGTGAGAATACAATGTTGTGAAAACATTCATGCAGTCTAGTTTCCGCCAATATTTTCGAGAAGAATGCAATTTTAACCATAGATGCTAAAGTCCTACGTAATAGGTTGCAATGTCTGAGCATCCACGCAAAAACAACGCTTACTTCATTTAAAAGTACAAGTCCACCAATCTATGTCATGCTTAATTTACTCATTCACTACAGGTTGCTATCGCCTTTCTGATGGAAATTTCATGAAATATTTGAAATTTAACAACAATAGCTGGAATGTGGAAAAATTCTCTGTTTCTGCGCCAATCTATAGAGAAAATAACAATTGCATTGTGGAAGAAAATTTCGAGTATACAAAAGATGGCAATGAATCATACGAAGATGGTTCAAAAAATCTTTTTAAATTGTCCAGCACTGGCGAGTCTACCAAAGAAATCGAGGTAAAATACATCATTCAAAACGATACAATCGGGTTGGATAGTAGCACAAGTCGCTAACAACATTGTTCATTCCACAATAATAAGTTTCGTGGCCTTCCCATATAACAAAATATTATATACAAGGCACTCCATAAATGTTTGCTTCGTAAATTTCTGCATGCTTTTACGGAAAAAAACTAGGTCAATACTTAACCAAAACTTAACCACATCGACCATTTATGATAAACTGTATAGGACAGAGTAACCTACTTTCCTACCATTGAAAAAATGACTACCGTTGAAAATAGTGCAACATTAGAAAAACAAAGGTCAAATCATACACAAACAACATTTGTTATTCAGATTAGAAACATGGATGCTCTACGACAATGGAATGGTTCATTATTGCAAATACAAATCAAATGCCGCAGCGGACGGTCAAACACAGAAGAACGTCACTGTTTTCTCATAAAACTACAATCTTTATTACCATTGGAACCAGAGGTTAGTTCAACACAACACAACAGGATGAACAGTCTACTATTCGGGTGGCGAGACTACAAACAATATATCTTGCAAGAACTTGTTTTTGTAAACCAATAAAGTTAATTGAGGTGACGTCAACCACACACCACACGTCACCAAATTTCCATCCATTTCAGTAACGATAATCAAAGAAGCTCATTCGTAGCTTTAAGAAAAACTATATCATTTTGAGAGTTTACAACCCAGGGCAGAATAGTCTTTTATACTGCATCCCTGCATTTTTCACAGGAAATACCATCATCAAAATCAGATGGTAATACGCCAGTCTTTATCACAGGAATAGTCACCCTGGTTGTAGTTGCAGTCATTGTGCTAAGCATTTTCCTTTATAAAAAGCGGAGGAAAAGGTAAAAGAGAAAAGAAACATGCAACAAGCTATGCATGCTTCAATTTTGACCTGCTTAATATTTGTAATTGACAGATAATAATCCACAGCTTGAATTGCAAGCATTACTTCATGTAGGTGCAACGTAGATGTCATAACATACAGTAACACGGACCCACGATAATATTAATTGCAAATGTGTACTTTAAATACAGAAACCATCCTTCATGAATATTGTAACCATATTAAGAATCCTCATAATTTATTCCATTTAGATCACAAAGTACATCAAATAGACCAGGTAAGATGAAAACATAATGAAACATTAAAAATTGTCATAAAAGTATACTATTACTCCAACTTGTCTTGTTCGCTTAGAATTAGAGTTGGAAGTCGTAAATCTTGCAGAAGCAATTTACGAAGAGCCACACAGGATATACGCAACGGTATATGAAGTATCAGGTAAACAAACAGGAGAAGCCGCTGACACCTACAGTTATACAGATTGTAGAAGCATCTCCAATAGAAGAACAGAAGTGCAAGGGTCTCGTGGTGAGTGCATCCACCAACAAATGAAATACATTCGGTTTTTCTGAAGATATTAACACAGTTGTGTAACTGGTAAGAAAACCGTTTCTTCATTTTCCCTCTTTAGAATCAACACACCATCAAAGTAGAAACCTACCGGATAACGCACAGGAAGTGGAAACTGACTCAACAACACAAGTGAAAGGCAATGTTTTCATGACGTTGACATCTTTGAGCCTAGAAGAGCCGTATATTTATGCCAATGATGTTTCTGACGTCAACACACAGAGTCGTACTAATGAGCAACCAGCTGGTGATTCTGATGACAAACATAAAGTAAAAACAACAAAGCTCCGAAGGCCTTCTACAAATCAAGAAGCGAATGAAGACAACTATGCCTCATTGACAAAAAAAAGCAGAGACTCAAGCGTTTCTGGCAATACGAAACCGGAATTGCTTGATACAACATCGTATACTGATGAATATGCCATCCCAAATGACGTTGACCATAAGACAGTGGCTAACAGTACTTATATGAATACGAAAGCGAATTCCAGCAGTGAAGTTTCATCCCAACTTGTTGAAGTCGATGTAGAGGGATATGCCCAATTGATGAAAAACCGTAAAAGCAGGGACTCAAACTGTCATTATTACCAGCAGTTGCAAAAAACATCGATGCAAGTCGAAGGCAATACTTCCGAGGTCCCTTTATTTCATGGAAATGAGCAAATAAAGCTAATTGGGCAACCAGAGTGTGTTAGTGATTACGTTATTCCAAATGATGCTGGGGCAAGCATGAATAGCAACCAGCAACTGGAAGTTGCAACATCGTATACTGGTGAATATGTTGTCCCAAATGATGTAAAATAAAAAACAATGGCTCTCAGCAAATACATTGATATGACAAAAAGTGGAAATAGTGCGAATTTCAGTGATGAACAGATCCATCTCAAATGAAGACGATGTTCAGGAAGATGTCCATTGATGAGAAACTATAAAAGAACTCAAACCATCATTACCAAAACAAACAATACTGATGAGCATATACTGTTCGTACACTGGTGAGCATGTCAACATGAATGACAATGGGTACATAACAATGGCTGTGATTATCGAATGAATGGAACGATCTTAGTTTTAGTTAAAAATGCAAATAGCGAATATTGGTAACTGCAAAGATCACTGGCGATCACTGAGATTACTTCTGTAGTTCATTCAAGCAGCATTACCAAACAGCATTAAGATTGCTGCTTGGTAATGCTGCTAAAACGAATACAGTCAACAAAGTACAGAGCAGAGATACAGGGAACCCTGTAAAGTACAAAAAATGCAGGGATGTCTGTGGATCATTAGTAATCCTCTAACAATTACAATGGACAGTCAAAAACCTTACCCACCCAAAATAGCCCTTCAAAAGATATAACCACCTACACACTATCTCCCAGCCCTTGACTTTATGATGAGATTCTTTTAAATGCACGAGAATATATCATAATTTTAGATTTGTTTTATATGTGTATTCGTAGTTCAAGATTCTCTGTTCAATGGAAATCACTTTTTCTATAATATGTATTGTATGACTTGGAATAAAAAGCTTTCCAGCAATTCTAATAATTTTCCAGTTTGAAGTTAGCTTTTTGTATTTTGCACTGAAGAGATTTTAATGCAGGATTGGAAACTAACTACACACAAAAACCCACAGCAAAGTTTACTAAATAATTCAATGTTCATTTCGTCACGTTCTACATGTTTCTACAAAAAAACTTTCAATAAAACGGACCACCTAAGACAAGCTGTCCAGGTTGCAAATGGGTCTTCTAACATTCGAACTGAAGAATACTAGAGCGCAATCATAAATGAACAAAATTTCTTGTCTGGATTATAACGTGGATGATCTACGACAATGGAATGGTTCGATATTGCAAATTTATATCAAATGTAGGAAAAACAAAAAAAAACAAAAAAAACAACAACAAAAGAACGTCACGACATTCTTATATAACTGCAATCTTTGTCACCATTGGACACATAGGTAAGATTTAGAAAATAAAAAAAAAGAATAAAACGCACTTAACACAACACATCAGCACCAGCAAAGATTGTATCAAAATTGCTCAGGAAAGATAGTATCAAATAAGCATAGTCGTAACCTTAGAAGAAACATAATAATCATTTTCGAAGTTTTTCGCTACAGCTGAATATTTTTACCAGTACGTACACTGTACTACCATTACAAGAGATACCAACACCAACCAGTATTTTCATTATCACCGGGATAGTCACCGTGGTAGTACTTGTAGTCATCGCGTGGAGCCTTATCGTACATAGAAGGCGAATGAAGAGGTAAAAATAACAAGCACTTGCCACAAGCAACATAGGTTTGATAATCCTCGCGATTGACGAATAACCAAATCCTGAGCAATAAGCGTTACTCTACGTAGACGCTATGTAAATGTAATAACATACAGTAACACTGATACAACAACAATGCAAAATTATACACGCTTACTGTGATTATATATCTATGACGTTTTCGCAAGGGCTCCCACTGCATGTTGAATAAACAAACAAGAAACTGATGTGACATATATGTTGAATGTTTTAAAGTGAATAGTTTTAAAACACAGAAGTATCGTGACATGTTTGTAAATGTAGATGGTCCAGATTGGTGGACTCCTGACAAGGAATGTTGGGGTTAAAGTTGGTGTTGACTGACATTTCGAAAACCTTAGCAGTAGTTACTTTCTGGGTCAAGTGAGGTAGGAACAAACGTCGTACTATTGTCTCGTTTATCCTAGTCTATACAAGCTCTACTGTTACTTTGGTTGATTTTTATTTGTATTCAGCCAAGCGAGACATAGCTATTTTAAGTGAGCATCTCAAAAACATTTATTAATTTTATGATCTGATTAACTTATTAGATAAACTTTATGACTAACTTTGTGAAAATCTATTTTTTGGTCTAATTTAGGAATGACTAATGTCATTTAAAATACAATGTAAAAATATATCCCCAATTTGCAGTGCAAACGAAAACGACGCAAGACTAAGCTATTTTTAAAAAAGCTTTGTTCTTGGTACCAACTCAATGCTTGTTACCTGTAGTCATGGCAAAAATATACTGATCATGTTGATTTATTCATTATAAAATTGTTTTCACACAAAGATGTTCGCGGAAGTAAACGGCACGCTTTAATTGATGCATATTGGAGTTTTAATGTCTAGGAGACTGAGGTATAATTAGCAAATGTTTCAATGCCATATAGCTATAATAAAAGTTGTTCGACAGAAAAAAACAGTAAAGCATAGTATCATTGAGACAAGTAAACTTATGACTTCAGATGGAATTCATAATCAGTTTCAAGTTGAGCAAAACACGTTCAACACAATTGCAGAGGCTTTCTTTCTTATTGTATTTTATTCAGCTATATAGGCTCCGGGATGTTTCTTAACAAAAAAAGTGATCGGTAAGGTCAAGCCAAGATTTTTCACTGCCATAAATGAAACCCCGTGAACAATGAAATGATCTGGAGGGAAAATCGGCAATTTTAGCATGACTGATCGGCATCATCAGGGAAAACTCAAAGAGATGATAAGTCGTTTCCAACATTCAGGTAGCTCGGTAAAATTCTTCGTGACGCTTACCGAAGTAACATGTTTATGATAGTATATTTAATACAAATCCTGCGATTAAATTTCTTTTGTGAATCTGAGTAAATATATATATATATACAAAGTGTATTACAATGCGCTCTTAATTCTCAACTATATACATCCATCACCCCAGTTTAAGAAATACAACATCACTAGTAAATCTTAAAGTGCTACTGAAGTGAAATTTTCATATTTCGTTTTTCGATACAAACGTTTTCTCTGTATTTTACTGATCATTTTGAGCTATCGCCCACTGAATTTAGTCGATGGGAACGCTTCGAACTTTGCGTTCAAACATGGCATATTTGCTTGTTTTGATGCGAATTTGACTTTGAGTGCGTGACGTCATTTAAAGGACGGAAGTTCAATTTTAAAGCTCTCAGTATATAAAAATTATATACGAACAAGCATATTTCCAACTGGAATTTTACATATTTTATAACTTCTCTTCGCAAAAATTGCGTATATTTAGTGACAAATGAGCAACACGCATAGGTAAGCAACATTTACAATCGATTAGAGTTTTATAAACTTCTTGAATTAACTTATATTTCTCAATAAACTGGGTGCCGCATCCTTGACGAAGTCTGCGGTTTTAACACACACGCAATGTTATCAGAAACTAACTGTAACGCGCTTATTTCCAATCATCCAATATATACTACTTTTATAAACTTCCGGATTAGACAACGCACATAATATAAGGAGAATAATTTTTTATTAAGTTAGTCAAACGTAACGATACATCGCAAGTTAAAATATGGCGAGTAGGCAAAATTCGTCGAGGAGGACAATATTGTGTTGCTGGTTGGCCCAACGGAAAAAGTTGTACAAACAGTCAACACACAGAGGGTGTCTCAGTACATCGTTTCCCCATGAATGACAAGGAGAGGCTGAGTAAATGGACACAATTTGTTAGGAAGATTTGTTAGGAAGATTTGTTAGGAAGATTTGTTAGATTCGAAGGTTTTCATTCAACATTAAATGGTTGGCATCCAAAGATGACCCACTTTTCTTGGCTTGGTACATATTGCAGGTAACTTGTAATCACTGCTCTCTATCTGCCAAGGCTTTTTTACTTGTTCCTAGTCAAGAAAAAAAATTACATAGTAAATGGTTTGTTCTGTTTAGGCACGTACTGGCAGTACTTCATTTCAATGAAAACCTTCACAGACAGCCAAAAACAAAAATGGAACACCATATTATTCTGTGACATACCCAAAATTTAAATCAGGGGATGAAGTAGTAAGAACTGTTTCTTCAGCACCATCATATTGTAAGTTTAGCATGTATGCATTGGTACTCTTGACTTACACATCTAACCACTTGTCATTTTTCCAGACTATGTTAATGAAATCAAAAATGTCATGGTTCTTAGTTGTGAGGAATCCACGGACAACATATTTAAGAAGTATAAGGAAAAAGTCCCAGAAGCCTTAAACAAAATGTTCTTGGATCGAATTTCCAAAACTGAGGCAATCCAACGGCATTTGGATAGGAAACAACTATCTTCAACACCATTGTTTCCCACATGTAAGTTGTTCATGCTACCATGTATAATAGGTATGGCCAGTGCATTCTAAAAGTAAACACATTAAATTGTTATTTATATATCAACAGCAAGATGTACTGCAAGCAAAAGGTTTAGACAAAGAAAAACAAGCTGCTTCAACAGGTCCTTCAGATCCAAAAAAAACGCGCTTATGCAAAAATTGTGGACAGCCAATGAAAGGACATCCAAAAAGTCATTGTCCACAAGAATTACTTGACAAATATTCTTAGCAGGCCAACTTTAAAGTTAGTTATAAAATAATATACTATGCTACAAAAAATGTTTTTTACTTCTATCAGTTTCTTTCCTGTGCTGACTTGTAGCCAGCATGTTCTTGGCCTAGGGGATTTCGTAATGGAAATCGTTTTCGGATGTCTGTGTAGATACATGCAGGTAATGGTCTAGAATTTTCCCAACCAAGGCATCCACATAGCCATCGAATGACCCAATGGTATGCAACTGCTCTCAAGTATCTATGAGAAATTCAAAATAGTAATTTCTATTTGATTATTTATTTTGACTTCACACAACAAAATTGTGAAGCATCACAGCACAATAATGAACCACATAAAGGTAAAAAGTAGAGATACATGGCAAGATATTAATCACTCGTTACAAAACAAAATTAGAAATCAAAAATGTACTAACTCATTTTCATGTATTCTACGACGCTTGTATGACCTTCCATCTTGGTCTCTTAGAAGTGAGCCAACATTCTTCAAGACTGTAGCATGTGTCATAATCGTGTACTCCTCGTGAAGAGTAACACAGCTAATTTTTTCAATGCTACCATCGAATACCAGTTTATGTAAAGTAGGCCCAACCTCTTGACAACAACGGTATTCAATAGCATCTGTCAGCAGTTGAGTACGACACAAGCTACATGCACACCTATAAAAAAGTGGTTTGTTATCATATTTATGCACCACGACATAAGGACAAAATAACATGTTTAATTCATGGTTTAATTTCTTCTAGAGTTCTAATAACATTTATCAACTTACCACTTATCTAACTGAACGGTTCCTTCGAACCTCGCTTCCAATGTTCGAGGTTCTAAGCCGTCTGCGTCTTCTTCGACCGACACAAAATTCTCTCCGACTGCGTTCGCAAGAGGTTCATTTTCGTAAGGATTTACAACTGAATTAGCCACAATTGTATCCTCATCGCCGGAATTCGAAAGTAAATTTTCATTTGCCTTATCTGAGTTTTCAGTATCCGAACTGCGTTCGCTTTCACTGCTTGAAGAACTCATATTTTATTGTGTATATGTGTTAAAAATCTAACAAAATACTAGTAAATCAATGCTCATACTTCGACTTCCGTCCTTTTAATTACGTCACATCCGTATAATATTTCAGTAGTAAAAATTCGCACGCGTAACCCAACTTTGAGCAAAAATTTATTGATGATCCCGTGCTTCAATATGCATAAAAATTATACCAAAGTGACCAGGAAAGATAGAACTATTTGATTATAGAAAAAAATCGATACCCAAAATTTCACTTCAGTAGCACTTTAAGTACTGTAGACGACCATTTATCATATGAAATCAACGCCTCCACAGTGCTTGAAAGCTAAAAGCTTTGTCACTTTGTCATTATAAATTTTACACAAAGAAAGAGAAAAAATCATTAACAACGGATTCAAAAATCACTAACGCATTTTTTACAGGTAAATAAATCAGTGCTAAATGTTAGGTTTTGTGATGTAGCCATGTACCTTCTTTAGTATAATTTGACTTACACCAACAAATGTTACAGATAACTATACGATCACATTTAATGTTCAACGTCTTCTATTTTACAATGATTTAACTACTTCTATTTATACAAAATTTACGTAAGATTATTTTGGGTTCTGCTAGCAAATATGGTCTATTGACGTCAACGGAAAACTACTAGGAAACTATAAAAAATATTGTCTTGATAACATTATAAGTATCTCTTAACATTAGTCATCTAATTACTTACACTTGAATTAATGATTTATTAATTACGGAAAGAATATGAGAGCATATCTTAACACCCCCACTTGCTCTTATGTTCTGAGTATAAAATATTTGCATTCCTAAACTGATACTTACCTTTGGCCTTACTTATGCCCACTTTAGAATTTCTACCGTACGTTTCCTAATATTGTCTGCCTAAATTTTTCCAATTTGTTTTTGCTTGTTGGTTTTGTAAAAATATCTGCTACGTTGTCTTCACTTGGTACATATTTTAAGCTAACTCTTCCTTGCTGAATTTCTGATCTGATAAAGTGGTATCTAATGTCGATATGTTTTGATCTTTGATGATGAACTGGGTTTTTAGCTAGATTCATTGCTCCTTGATTATCTATTAAAAGAAAAGACTTACCTTCCATTATACTTACCTTCATATCTAAACAAAGTTGCATTAAAAACTTCGCTTCTGGAATTGCATTTGCTAGGGCAATATATTCTGCTTCACACGTTGATAGTGCTACAGTTGGTTGTTTTCGACTCTTCCATGATATGAGAGGACCTTTTTGTGAAAGCTGAAAATTGTAACCTGTAATACTTCGTCTATCTGGGGTGTTAAATTACATGTGAGAGGAGTAGGAAATTTAGATGACGGAATTAAGTGAGAATGGCGGTATATTAAAGAAGGTAAAGGGGGATTGAGTTGCCTTGGGTGTTAAGAGAGGGTTTAAGTTTGGATATAAGAAGGCTTTCATGAATCATAAGGTCATATTTGTCGGAGGAGGAAGAGAGAATTGAGAAATCATTAAAATCGGCAGGGTGAGATGTATTTCTTATATGAGAAAGAACTGCAGATGGTGGTGGACATAAGACTTCGTCTATCTTTTATAGACGCTCCCCAATCTGAGTCACAGAAACCTGTAAGTTTAAGTTGTGAATCTGATTTTTGAAAGACTAATCCTACCTCTTGTGTCCCTTTTAAATATCTTAAAACATGTTTGGCAATGGATAAAATCTGCTTGTGTGGGTTCAGACATTTTCTGAGATAGTTTAGTAACAATATAACATAAATCTGGTCTGGTTCCAGTCATCACATATATTAAGCTTCCTACAATTGCTCTATACAATTTTGGATTTGATAGTACCGGTGATTCTTCGTTCATTACTTTTTCAATTCCTAAAACACAGGGTGTCGGTTTTGGTTTGCAATCGGAAATTTTAAATTTTGAAAGAACTTTCTGAATATACCGTGTTTGATTCATCTTATAACAATTTTCACTTCTTTCGAATTTTGTTCCTAAGAACCATTTTAATTCCCCTAGATCTTTCATTTTGAATCGATTGCTCAAAGAATCTTTTATACTGTTTAAAGAATGAATGTCGCTTGCAGCTACAATGATGTCATCCACCCAAATTATGACAAAACACATTTTTCACTATCAATGCTACGAACATATAAACATGGATCCGCAAGTGATTGAATAAAATTTTCTTTTACTAAAAATTCATGCAACAAATTGTTCCAATTCCTGCCGCTTTGCTTAAGACCGTAAAGTGATTTCTTCAATTTACAAACTAATTTTTCACCGTTTTCACCTGACTTTTCATAGCCTTCTGGTTGATCAATGAAAATTTCACAATCAATAGGTGCGTTCAAATAAGCGGTTTTGACATCCATTTGGTGAATGATCATGTCTTTGTTTACAGTGCGTTGTAGTAATGTGCGAATTGAACTCATGCGTGCTGTGGGTGCAAATGTTTCTTGATAATCAATTTCCTGCACTTGAGAATAACCTTTGGCTACAAATCTGGCTTTATACGTTTCCGCCTCATTTTCATCTGTCTTAATTGTGTAAACCCATTTCGCCCCCACTATTTGTCTATCGTTTGGTTTTGGTACAAGCTCATATGTATCAATATCTACTAGGGCTTTCATTTCAATATTCATGGCCTCTTGCCATTTGTCTGCATCATGTGCTTCAACAGCCTGTTTGTATGTTAATGGCATGTCCTCAACCCTATAACAATAGTCTACTGTAAGACTTAAACTGTCTTTTGTTTGGTTTTGTCCAAAATAACTTGGTTTGCTCCGTTCTCGTGTGGGATATCTAACTAGTTGTTCTTGTTCATGCTGTCCTTGTGCGTGTGTGTCACTACTTAACTCAGGATTGTTTGTTTTTGAAATATCTTTTTGTTCTTTTAAATTGTTTGGCTTTTCTTCTGTTTCATTCATGCTATCTGCGTTTTGTATTCTATCTGAAATCATATCGTCGATATCATTTATATCTTCTGCCTGAAATTTATCATGAAATTTGACACATCGTGCTTTCTCTACTTTATTTGATTCTGAATAATAAATCAAATATGCCGGACTTTCTTTGTCATAACCAACAAAGATTCCTTTTCGACCGCGATTGTCTAACTTTTTGGCATTTTGTACATATGCATAACAAGTGGATCCAAATACATGCATGTTGCTTAAGTTTGGTTTCTTACCAACCAAAGCCTCGAAAGGTGTTTTTCCTAAACGTGAGTTGAAACACCTGTTTCGAATGTAGACTGAAGTCATCACAGCATAGGTCCACAAATATTTGGGTAGCTTTGCCTCTAATAAGAGACATCTTGCCCAGGGCGTAACTGTTGGGGTGTAGGGGTGTGACACCCCAATTGCTGAAAACAGTGTTTTTGCAGGGCATATTGCCGTCAAGTGGCAGGGCAGTGTTCAGGAAGTAGAAAAATTGACATACCATTGAAAACAACTAATTGATTACTACGTGAAAATAATTCGATCATGGGATAAGATGAGAAGCGTGGGTAAAGATAAAAAAGGAAAGATGCAACAGCATTTCTCTTCCGAATCCCACAAAATTGCTCTGAGTGATTTGGCACACTTTGCATGCAATATGAAAAATGTCGATGTAATGTTGGAAAAGAAGTTAAGAGAAGTAAGAATACAAAAGGAAGAAAACAATTTGCGAAACCAAGAAGCCATAAAGATCCTTTTAGACATCGCAAGAACATTGGCACGACAACAGCTAGCTTTCAGAGGGCATAATGAAAAGCACGAGGGAAACTTTATCCAAATAACAAATCTTGTTGCTTGGCATAACCCTGGACTTCAGTCATGGCTCTCAGACAAGAGCATGAAACCTTATTCAGTAAAATACCTATCACCTATTTCACAAAATGAGTTTATTAGCCTTTTGACTGAAGATGTAAGGAATCGCATCGTATAAGATATCGTTTCATCTGAAATATACTCAGTCATGGCCGACACGTCTCCTGACACTTCAAATGCGGTCCGCCTCGTAGTGGCAGTGCGCTACGTTGACGAAAACAACGTGCCCAACGAGAGAATACTGGAGATGAAAGAAACAAGGAATAAAACAGGTGAAGGCCAAGCAAAAGAGATTCTTGATTCCCTTAAATCACGATTACCTATTTGTCACAATGGGTTAGTGTATCAGTCTTACGACTACACAGCTTCAATGTCTGGGACTTTTAATGGAGTTCAACAACATTTGCAGGAAATTGTTGGACGCAACATTCCATACATCCCATGTCAAGGCCATAGGTATGTGTCAAATTCACAGCATTAAACATTGCCGTATAAATTACTTAGGCATTAACTATATCTTTTTAAATGTTTTTAAGACTAGTCTCTGCGTTGAATAATTTTTCAATTATATGTTTTTAGATCAAACACTTTCAATGAGCATTGCTCAAAGGCCTCTACATTTGTTGAGATGTATAGCTTGCTCGAAGAGCTGTATGTTCTTTTCAGCAGAAGTTGTAAACGAGATTCTATGTTGCAAGAACATATGGAAAAAATTGAAAATGCTCTTAAGTTGCGCAATCTCTCAAAGACGAGATGGGTGTATAGAAGTGAATCAATTGAAGCGGTATGGAGATCTTTTGAAGCCATACGAAATGCCTTAGCGGAAATAGCAAAAATTGACAACAACTCATTAACCAGAACCAAAGCAACCTCGCTCTGTAAGAAAATGGTCAAATTTGAGTTTGTTTTTGCAGTTATGTTTATGAGGTTTATCATGAGAAAGACCAAGATCCTGACAGTACAGATGCAGAAGCCAGAGCTCAATATCCTTGATGGTCTTCAACTGATTGATGAAACTGTTAGATCACTGGAAAGAATAAGGCACAATGAATCGGAATTGAATGACCAAATAGATGCGAGTGTTGAGTTTGCAAAGACTCTAGGCTCTAATCCCGAGGAAGAGTTTGCTAGAAAGAGTAATAAAAGATCAAGTAGACGTTTGGATGACAACCCTGAGACTTTGGCAATTATGTCACTAAAAACTAACTATCGAAAATGCATGATTGGGGTCCTCGATTCCCTCATCAGAGAATATAGAGATAACATAAAAAGTTGTTTGCAAAAAATAAACCCTTAGCTGTTATCCTTCAGCCTCGACTGACTAGACCAAATTTTGAACAAGTTGAAAAGGTCACCGAACTTTTTCCTCCATCAATTAGCGTAGATTCTATGTCACTATATGCAGAACTTGAGATTTTTATTAACTTTGTAAATGAGACAGAGAAAGAATGTAAGACAGTCCACGACGCCGGAAACACTGCTTTCAAAAATAAAGAAATTTTCCCAAACGTTTATAAATGTTACAAAATTCTGTTTACTGCTCCAGTAAGTGTGGCTGATATTGAAAGATCATTCAGCAAAATGAAAATTGTCAAGAACTATTTGCGCTCAACAATGAAAGGTGAAAGGATGGAAGAACTCATTGTCCTCTTAAGCGAGAAGGATTTAACAGATACAATTCATCTGGATGTAGTACTAAAATCTTGGGCAGCCAGAAAAAACCGTAAACTCAGATTAAAATTCAAGTAAAAAGCAACATCTCAAGACTACGTTGAGATGATTCTCACTAAGACTCTTGATATGAGAACAAATATACATTGTTTTACTGTTATGTCCGAAACGGTTTAGGTTTATATTTCAAAACAGTTTTGTAATAATGTATGTGTTAGAAACCTAGTCTTCAATAATGTTTACTAATAAACAACGTATGCAATAATAGAAATGATTATAATTTGCTAGCCATAATGATTTAAGGGGTTTTTGTGGGCAACGCCCTTTTGCAGGGCAAATTTTCTCCACACCCCATTACTTCAAGTCTAGTTACGCCCTGGCTAGCAAATATGGTCTATTGACGTCAACGGAAAACTACTAGGAAACTATAAAAAATATTGTCTTGATAACATTATAAGTATCTCTTAACATTAGTCATCTAATTACTTACACTTGAATTAATGATTTATTAATTACGGAAAGAATATGAGAGCATATCTTAACACTAAAGACTTCCATTTCTGTGTTGTTGTCTTTACTTCAAGAATATTTAAAAAACACACAGACACATGTTAACCTATAGAGAATAAATACTTAAGAACTTTTAAAAGAAGACGTTTACAACAATCAAATGATTACCATTGCAAATAGCGTAAACAATCATGCAAATTTCAATACATACTGCGCATGTTTTGATTCCCATTGCAAATAGCGTAAACAATCATGCAAATTTCAATACATATTGCGCATGTATTGTACTGCGCATGTATTGTACTGCGCATGTATTAATGTTTTACCATAGGACAAACCTGTGAAAGACATTAAGAATAAAAGGCTGTTTATCTCATTGAACGAAGAACCATCCAAACAACTTCCGCCGAAAATCAAAGCTATGTAGCCTCCACGTACAAACAATCACTGAAGGCACAAACGCGTAGATGGATTTCAAATACAGCGCGTGGATGGTTTTAACTCTCACAATATCTTTTTCCAAAAGCGGAAATGGCAACAAACTGAGAATATTTCGTCATGAACGAGATATATTTACCAACTTGAATTATTCAAGTTCACAGCCTGATAGGAATTATAATACCATCTGTATGAAGTACAACGCCGAATGCCATTTCATCACTAAGTGTCGTCATTGTGTGTGTAAAGAAGGAATGAGCACTTTCGTCATTAATGGCAATGGTGAGAATAACAAAGGAAGTTGTATTAAAGACGAAGAATTGAATCTAGAATCAGGTAACATATTAACGTCGTAGTAGTCACAATGAGCAACCAACAAATATATATTAAAAACTAAAGCCGCACTGATTGCCGCAGATCATCCTTTATTGGCGCATTACATCATAAAAATGAGTCAGTTGTACCATCGGTTCTACCGGATTTATAATCAGGATTTATGATTGACTCAAAGTTCTACAAGTCTAGAGCAGAAAAATAAGGCCTAGTTCAAACGTCGAACTTTACATGAACCGAAAGCATTAAAGATAAAAGAAAATGAGAAGAACTTCCTCATTATCTTTTGTTTTAAATGCGTTTGGCTCATGCCAAGTTCGAAGTTTGAACTAGGCCTGAATTTAGCAATCCTGCATACCACCTCTGCAGAACCACAGTATAGAAACAAACAGTAGTCGCTCTCCACTGTGAAACTTGGTGCTGTATATTTAATTAGATTACTGGCTGTGGCTAGCCACCTTAGCGTATCTATTGGTCAAAAAAGCAATTGACTGGCTGCCACTATGATAATCACATGCGTAATAAGATATGCGTGGCACAAAAAAATTCAATTGGTGCGTTGCAACGATCCCCCTGGGAGTAAGAGAACAATGAAATGCTCGCCGTGTTGGATGAAATTTGCATTGTAAATAAAGAAAATCCTTTGTTAAAATCATCCAACATGGCGACTTTGACGTAGCTTGCAACCCAAGAATAGAGTGGAACTACAGTTTATTTTTATACTGTGGCAGAACTAAAAAATTCCATTTTACGATCTCATACGTAACTGAACAAGAATTTAGTCAAACAGTAAAATCGTGCTTAATCTTTTGGTCAAAAGGCCCCGTAATTGTTTTGACTTTTCTTTGTTGTTCGTACATTCTCATCTTATTTGCATTCTATGGTCTTGTGCTTTTTCCGTTTCTCCTCAATCAATAAGTTTAGTAAGTAGCTCAATTTTAAATACAAAATATCGTCAATAGAATGCTACTGCTTTTGAATTTGTGAATCATACAAATGGCGTTGCTTTCCATTTATTTTACAAGGTAACAAGAATATATCTAAGAATGAGCTTCATTAATTTTTATTTTTAGGACTTGAGTTTTTTCGGGAATCCAATCTGAACATGAAGCAACGAAATATTCTGTAATATGTATGAATTGCTTCTTCAGCAGCGAAAAATCAATTTTGCATTAATCATTTTGATAAATTTCCCTTATTTATTTCACAATCGAATAAAGTTGAGTAGTTAACCTTACATTTTCGAGTTTTGTCTTATATCTAATCCCCAATACAGCGTCCACGAGATAATACGCACGCGAAATAACATAAACTGGATCATGCAACCGCGTTACTTTTAATCGACTGGCGATATCTTAAACCTCCTGTTGTTGTCTTTATATATAGAGTCAAACATCGATGCATTTACTCTTGAAAATAGTGAAGACGAGGATGCTTGAAACAAGCTGGAAGACGTGTGATTGTTACGACTTGTGGAAATTCATTGGATAAGAAATGGATACTTCTCAACAATAAGCAACTCATGAATGTGAAATCACTTCGTTGTATTACAAGAAGTAACAGGAAAGATAGACAAGTAATAATGACGCAATGTGTTAAAGACAGAGGTCGGCAAAAACTGATGTGCGAGTCCCACCCACGACACAACGAAACAGATTCCCCCGTGATACTTTATTTTAAATTAAGTTTTAAGCGAGAAGAATTGTACCTAGAACAAGATGACAACGAAAGAGGCATTTTCACGTCCAATTCAAGTCAGCACTGGACAGCGCATCAAAATGGGGACCAAGTTGATGTTTGCAGTAAAGTCACAGAGTACAAAGGTGGGAATAGAATATTGTATAAAATTCAGCTCAATTTCAAAAATATTTTGAAAAGAATACAATTTTAATGATAATGCTAAAATCCTCAGAGAAACTGCACAATAATGTCTTTGTGACGTCCTTCACTTCGCGCAATTCAACTTCATTTTGCCCTTTATAACAAACGTCGAATTTCACGCTTACTTCATTAGAGCCTGTTCCATGCTAAATTTATCATTTTCTCCAGGTTGTTATCGCCTTTCTGATGGCAATTTCTGGAAATATTTGAATTTTAGCAATAATTCAAGTATGGAAAAATTCTCTATTTTTGCACCTATCAACAGAGAAAATAAAAATTGCGATGTGGAACAAAACTTCAAATATACCAGAGACAGCAATAAAATATATAAGGGTTCAAATAATCTTTTCACATTGAACAGCACTGGCCAGACTACCAAAGAAATCAAGGTAAAAACGTTATACAAAACGACACAATCAAGGTGTATAGATCAAGTTATCCAGCATGATAATACGTAAAAAGACATCGTACATTACAAAAGGTCAAAATTAATAAGTTTTTATGGACCCAGCCGCTGCTGGACAGTCCTTTGTTCTTCTATAGCAACATTTCGTAAACAAATCAAGACTTAAAAAGTAACAGAAACATTCATAAATATTCTACGAAAAAAAAGCTCAAAAAAATCTTGTTCAAAAAAATGTAATCCAACAATCGAATAGATTACAAGAGTACGAAAAAAGGGAAAGAACAAACCAACAATTAAAAAACAAAATTTTTTGTTAAGATTAACGACATGAACGCTCTACGACGATGGAATGGTTCACTATTGCAAATAACGATCAAATGTATGGGAGACCGCAAACGCCAAACACAAGAGAGTCACTGCATTCTCATAAAACTGCAATCATTATTGCCATTAGAGCAGGAGGTAAGTTCAATGACACAGCAAAACAGGATATGCACTCAAACATTTGGTTAGCACATGTTGCATAGAATAAAATGAACAATAGTTACTTAACACCACAAACCACTAAAGTTCCAGAAAGTTCACTGAAGATAGCTAATCAAAGGAGCTAACTCGTAGCTTTTGGAGAAATATTATGATATTTCACAGTCCACAACCGCAGCAGAATAGTCTACCAATGTACATTGGATACAAAAAAACTGGACGGTTAGGAAAACGTCGCTCAATATTTATTAGCGTGCAAGATTTAAAAAATCTTTTAAAGAAATAAATAATTGAACTTCTAATGATTCATCTCATGTTAAAATTGACACAAATAATATCATTTATTTATTTATTCATTATATTAGGTTTGTGCGGTAAAGAATGGAATAAAATGAACAATTATCAACACTATAGCTACTACACGTCACCAAAGTTCTATAAATTTCAGAAACAATATTTAAACAAGAATTCGCAGCTTTTAAGAGAAACACCGCTATCATTTTGAGCGACTTTCTCTAACGCAGAATAGTCATTTAGAAAAACGTATTTAATATCTTTACAGGAAACGCCATCGCCAAGCGCCAATCCCACAATACCAACCTCAGTGACAAAAGTCAGCCATTCGTCAACGTTGGACACTATTTACAAATCATCTAGTCCTCCACCAAATATGCCTGGTAAATTTACAACTCCTCAATTAACAGGCAACGAAGGTGTGAAAAAATCGAAAGCAGATGATAATACGCCAGCCATTGTCGCAGGGATAGTCGTCCTTGTAGTAGTTGCGATCATTGTGTTAAGCATTTTCCTTTATAAAAGCGGAGGAAAAGGTAAAGAGAAAGAAACATGCAACAAGCTATGCATGCTTCAATTTTGACCTGCTTAATATTTGTAATTGACAGATAATAATCCACAGCCTGAATTGCAAGCATTACTTCATGTAGGTGCAACGTAGATGTCATAACATACAGTAACACGGACCCACGATAATATTAATTGCAAATGTGTACTTTAAATACAGAAACCATCCTTCATGAATATTGTAACCATATTAAGAATCCTCATAATTTTATTCCATTTAGATCACAAAGTAGATCAAATAGACCAGGTAAGATGAAAATATAATGAAACATAAAAAATTGTCATAAAAGTATACGATTACTCCAACTTGTTTTGTTCGCTTAGAATTAGAGTTGGAAGTCGTAAATCTTGCAGAAGCAATTTACGAAGAGCCACACGGGATACACGCAACGGTATATGAAGTATCAGGTAAACAAGCAGGAGAAGCCGCAGACACCTACAGTTATACAGATTGTAGAAGCATCTCCAATAGAAGAACAGAAGTGCAAGGGTCTCATGGTGAGTGCATCCACCAACAAATGAAATACATTCGGTTTTTCTGAAGATATTAACACAGTTGTGTAACTGGTAAGAAAACCGTTTCTTCATTTTCCCTCTTTAGAATTAACACACCATCAAAGTAGAAACCTACCGGATAACGCACAGGAAGTGGAAACTGACTCAACAACACAAGTGAAAGGCAATGTTTTTATGACGTTGACATCTTTGAGCCTAGAAGAGCCGTATATTTATCCCAATGATGTTTCTGACGTCAACACACAGAGTCGTACTAATGAGCAACCAGCTGGTGATTCTGATGACAAACATAAAGTAAAAACAACAAAGCTCCGAAGGCCTTCTACAAATCAAGAAGCGAATGAAGACAACGATGCCTCATTGACAAAAAAAAGCAAAGACTCAAGCGTTTCTGGCAATACGAAACCGGAATTGCTGGATGCAACATCGTATGCTGATGAATATGTCATCCCAAATGACGTTGACCATAAGACAGTGGCTAACAGTACTTATATGAATACGAAAACGAATTCCAGCAGTGAAGTTTCATCCCAACTTGTTGAAGTCAATGTAGAGGGATATGCCCAATTGATGAAAAATCGTAAAAACATGGACTCAAACTGTCATTATTACCAGCAGTTGCAAAAAACATCGATGCAAGTCGAAGGCAATACTTCCGAGGTCGTTTTATCTCATGGAAATGAGCAAATAAAGGTAATTGGGCAACCAGAGTATGTTAGTGATTACGTTATTCCAAATGATGCTGGGGCAAGCATGAATAGCAACCAGCAACTGGAAGTTGCAACATCGTATACTGGTGAATATGTTGTCCCAAATGATGTGAAATAAAAAACAATGGCTTTCAGCAAATACATTGATATGACAAAAAGTGGAAATAGTGCGAATTTCAGTGATGAACAGATCCATCTCAAATGAAGACGATGTTCAGGAAGATGTCCATTGATGAGAAACTATAAAAGAACTCAAACCATCATTACCAAAACAAACAATACTGATGTTCGTACACTGGTGAGCATGTCGACATGAATGACAATGGGTACATAACAATGGCTGTGATTATCGAATGAATGGAACGATCTTAGTTTTTAGTTAAAAATGCAAATAGCGAATATTGGTAACTGCAAAGATCACTGGCGATCACTGAGATTACTTCAGTAGTTCATTCAAGCAGCATTACCAAACAGCATTAAGATTGCTGCTTGGTAATGCTGCTAATCGAATACAGTCAACAAAGTACAGAGCAGAGATACAGGGAGCCCTGTAAAGTACAAAAAATGCAGGGATGTCTGTGGATCATTAGTAATCCTCCAACAATTACAATGGACAATCAAAAACCTTATCCACCCAAAATAGCCCTTCAAAAGATATAACCACCTACACACTATCTCCCAGCCCTTGACTTTATGATGAGATTCTTTTAAATGCACGAGAATATATCATAAGTAATTTTAGGTTTGTTTTATATGTGTATTCGTAGTTCAAGATTCTCTGTTCAATGGAAATCACTTTATATAATATGTATTGTATGACTTGGAATAAAAAGCTTTCCAGCAATTCTAATAATTTTCCAGTTTGAAGTTAGCTTTTTGTGTTTTGCACTGAAGAGATTTTAATGCAGGATTGGAAACTAACTACACACAAAAACCCACAGCAAAGTTTACTAAATAATTCGATGTTCATTTCGTCACGTTCTACATGTTTCTACAAAAAAACTTTCAATAAAACGGACCACCTAAGACAAGCTGTACAGGTCGCAAATGGGTCTTCCAACATTAGAACTGAAGAATACTAGAGCGCAATCATAAATGAACAAAATTTGTTGTCTGGATTATAATGTGGATGATCTACGACAATGCAGCGCAAACGATAACGACGCAAGACGAAGTTATATTTAAAAAAGCTTTGTTCTTGGTACCAACTGCTTGTTAACATGCTTGTTACCTCTAGTCATGGCAAAAATATACTGACCATCTTGATTTATGCATTATAAAATTGTTTTCACACAAAGATGTTCGCGGAAGTAAACGGCACGCTTTAATTGATGCATATTGGAGTTTAAATGTCTAGGAGACTGAGGTATAATTAAAAAATATTTCAATGCCATATAGCTATAATAAAAGTTGTTCGACAAAAAAAAAACACCAGTAAAGCATAGTATCATTGAGACAAGTAAACTTATGACTTCAGGTGAAATTCATAATCAGTTTCAAGTTGAGCAAAACACGTTTAACACAATTGCAGAGGCTTTCTTTCTTATGGTATTTTATTCAGCTATATAGGCTCCGGATTGTTTCTTAACAAAAAAAAGGGATCGGTAAGGTCAAGCCAAGAATTTTCACTGCCATAAATGAAACCCCGTGAACAATGAAATGATCTGGAGGGAAAATCGGCAATTTCAGCATGACTGATCGGCATCATCAGGGAAAACTCAAAGAGATGATAAGTCGTTTCCAACATTCAGGTAGCTCGGTAAAATTCTTCGTGACGCTTACCGAAGTAACATGTTTATGATAGTATATTTACAACAAATCCTGCGATTAAATTTCTTTTGTGAATCTGAGTAAATATATATATATATATACAAAGTGTATTACAATGCGCTCTTCCGGCTATCACCATACTAAAATGGTGACGAATTCTCAACTATATACATCCATCACCCCAGTTGAAGAAATACAAGATCACTAGTAAATCTTAAGTACTGTAGACGACCATTTATCATATGAAATCAACTCCTCCACAGTGCTTGAAGCTAAAAGCTTTGTCACTTTGTCATATAATTTTACACAAAGAAAGAGAAAAAATCATTAACAACGGATTCAAAAATCACTTACGCATTTTTTACAGGTAAATAAATCAGTGCTAAATGTTAGGTTTTGTGATGTAGCCATGTACCTTCTTTAGTATAATTTGACTTACACCAACAAATGTTACAGATAACTATACGATCACATTTAATGTTCAACGTCTTCTATTTTACAATGATTTAACTACTTCTATTTATACAAAATTTACGTAAGATTATTTTGGGTTCTGCTAGCAAATATGGTCTATTGACGTCAACGGAAAACTACGAGGAAACTATAAAGAATATTGTCTTGATAACATTATAAGTATCTCTTAACATTAGTCATCTAATTACTTACACTTGAATTAATGATTTATTAATTACGGAAAGAATATGAGAGCATATCTTAACATCCCCACTTGCTCTTATGTTCTGAGTATAAAATATTTGCATTCCTAAACTGATACTTACCTTTGGCCTTACTTATGCGCACTTTAGAATTTCTACCGTACGTTTCCTAATATTGTCTGCCTAAATTTTTCCAATTTGTTTTTGCTTGTTGGTTTTGTAAAAATATCTGCTACGTTGTCTTCACTTGGTACATATTTTAAGCTAACTCTTCCTTGTTGAATTTCTGATCTGATAAAGTGGTATCTAATGTCGATATGTTTTGATCTTTGATGATGAACTGGGTTTTTAGCTAGATTCATTGCTCCTTGATTATCTATTAAAAGAAAAGACTTACATTCCATTATACTTACCTTCATATCTAAACAAAGTTGCATTAAAAACTTCGCTTCTTGAATTGCATTTGCTAGGGCAATATATTCTGCTTCACACGTTGATAGTGCTACAGTTGGTTGTTTTCGACTCTTCCATGATATGAGAGGACCTTTTTGTGAAAGCTGAAAATTGTAACCTGTAATACTTCGTCTATCTTTTATAGACGCTCCCTAATCTGAGTCACAGAAACCTGTAAGTTTAAGTTGTGAATCTGATTTTTGAAAGACTAATCCTACCTCTTGTGTCCCTTTTAAATATCTTAAAACATGTTTGGCAATGGATAAATCCGCTTGTGTGGGTTCAGACATTTTCTGAGATAGTTTAGTAACAATATAACATAAATCTGGTCTGGTTCCAGTCATCACATATATTAAGCTTCCTACAATTGCTCTATACAATTTTGGATTTGATAGTACCGGCGATTCTTCGTTCATTACTTTTTCAATTCCTAAAACACAGGGTGTCGGTTTTGGTTTGCAATCGGAAATTTTAAATTTTGAAAGAACTTTCTGAATATACCGTGTTTGATTCATCTTATAACAATTTTCACTTCTTTCGAATTTTGTTCCTAAGAACCATTTTAATTCGCCTAGATCTTTCATTTTGAATCGATTGCTCAAAGAATCTTTTATACTGTTTAAAGATTGAATGTCGCTTGCAGCTACAATGATGTCATCCACCCAAATTATGACAATAACACATTTTTCACTATCAATGGTACGAACATATAAACATGGATCCGCAAGTGATTGAATAAAATTTTCTTTTACTAAAAATTCATGCAACAAATTGTTCCAATTCCTGCCGCTTTGCTTAAGACCGTAAAGTGATTTCTTCAATTTACAAACTAATTTTTCACCATTTTCACCTAACTTTTCATAGCCTTCTGGTTGATCAATGAAAATTTCACAATCAATAGGTGCGTTCAAATAAGCGGTTTTGACGTCCATTTGGTGAATGATCATGTCTTTGTTCACAGTGCGTTGTAGTAGTGTGCGAATTGAACTCATGCGTGCTGTGGGTGCAAATGTTTCTTGATAATCAATTTCCTGCACTTGAGAATAACCTTTGGCTACAAATCTGGCTTTATACGTTTCCGCCTCATTTTCATCTGTCTTAATTGTGTAAACCCATTTCGCCCCACTATTTGTCTATCGTTTGGTTTTGGTACAAGCTCATATGTATCATTTTCTACTAGGGCTTTCATTTCAATATTCATGGCCTCTTGCCATTTGTCTGCATCATGTGCTTCAACAGCCTGTTTGTATGTTAATGGCATGTCCTCAACCCTATAACAATAGTCTACTGTAAGACTTAAACTGTCTTTTGTTTGGTTTTGTCCAAAATAACTTGGTTTGCTCCGTTCTCGTGTGGGATATCTAACTAGTTGTTCTTGTTCATGCTGTCCTTGTGCGTGTGTCACTACTTAACTCAGGATTGTTTGTTTTGAAATATCTTTTGTTCTTTTAAATTGTTTGGCTTTTCTTCTGTTTCATTCATGCTATCTGCGTTTTGTATTCTATCTGAAATCATATCGTCGATATCATTTATATCTTCTGCCTGAAATTTATCATGAAATTTGACACATCGTGCTTTCTCTACTTTATTTGATTCTGAATAATAAATCAAATATGCCGGACTTTCTTTGTCATAACCAACAAAGATTCCTTTTCGACCGCGATTGCCTAACTTTTTGGCATTTTGTACATATGCATAACAAGTGGATCCAAATACATGCATGTTGCTTAAGTTTGGTTTCTTACCAACCAAAGCCTCGAAAGGTGTTTTTCCTAAACGTGAGTTGAAACACCTGTTTCGAATGTAGACTGAAGTCATCACAGCATAGGTCCACAAATATTTGGGTAGCTTTGCCTCTAATAAGAGACATCTTGCCCAGGGGCGTAACTGTTGGGGGTGTAGGGGGGTGTGACACCCCCCAATTGCTGAAAACAGTGTTTTTGCAGGGCATATTGCCGTCAAGTGGCAGGGCAGTGTTCAGGAAGTAGAAAAATTGACATACCATTGAAAACAACTAATTGATTACTACGTGGAAATAATTCGATCATGGGATAAGATGAGAAGCGTGGGTAAAGATAAAAAAGGAAAGATGCAACAGCATTTCTCTTCCGAATCCCACAAAATTGCTTTGAGTGATTTGGCACACTTCGCATGCAATATGAAAAACGTCGATGTAATGTTGGAAAAGAAGTTAAGAGAAGTAAGAATACAAGAGGAAGAAAACAATTTGCGAAACCAAGAAGCCATAAAGATCCTTTTAGACATCGCAAGAACATTGGCACGACAACAGCTAGCTTTCAGAGGGCATAATGAAAAGCACGAGGGAAACTTTATCCAAATATCAAATCTTGTTGCCAGGCATAACCCAGACTTCAGTCATGGCTGTCAGACAAGAACATGAAACCTTATTCAGTAAAATACCTATCACCTATTTCACAAAATGAGTTTATTAGCCTTTTGACTGAAGACGTAAGGAATCGCATCGTAAAAGATATCGTTTCATCTGAAATATACTCAGTCATGGCCGACACGTCTCCTGACACTTCAAATGCGGTCCGCCTCGTAGTGGCAGTGCGCTACGTTGACGAAAACAACGTGCCCAACGAGAGAATACTGGAGATGAAAGAAACAAGGAATAAAACAGGTGAAGGCCAAGCAAAAGAGATTCTTGATTCCCTTAAATCACGATTACCTATTTGTCACAATGGGTTAGTGTATCAGTCTTACGACTACACAGCTTCAATGTCTGGGACTTTTAATGGAGTTCAACAACATTTGCAGGAAATGGTTGGACGCAACATTCCATACATCCCATGTCAAGGCCATAGGTATGTGTCAAATGCACAGCATTAAACATTGCCGTATAAATTACTTAGGCATTAACTATATCTTTTTAAATATTTTTAAGACTAGTCTCTGCGTTGAATAATTTTTCAATTATATGTTTTTAGATCAAACACTTTCAATGAGCATTGCTCAAAGGCCTCTACATTTGTTGAGATGTATAGCTTGCTCGAAGAGCTGTATGTTTTTTTCAGCAGAAGTTGTAAACGAGATTCTATGTTGCAAGAACATATGGAAAAAATTGAAAATGCTCTTAAATTGCGCAATCTCTCAAAGACGAGATGGGTGTATAGAAGTGAATCAATTGAAGCGGTATGGAGATCTTTTGAAGCCATACGAAATGCCTTAGCGGAAATAGCAAAAATTGACAACAACTCATTAACCAGAACCAAAGCAACCTCGCTCTGTAAGAAAATGGTCAAATTTGAGTTTGTTTTTGCAGTTATGTTTATGAGGTTTATCATGAGAAAGACCAAGATCCTGACAGTACAGATGCAGAAGCCAGAGCTCAATATCCTTGATGGTCTTCAACTGATTGATGAAACTGTTAGATCACTGGAAAGAATAAGGCACAATGAATCGGAATTGAATGACCAAATAGATGCGAGTGTTGAGTTTGCGAAGACTCTAGGCTCTAATCCCGAGGAAGAGTTTGCTAGAAAGAGTAATAAAAGATCAAGTAGACGTTTGGATGACAACCCTGAGACTTTGGCAATTATGTCACTAAAAACTAACTATCGAAAATGCATGATTGGGGTCCTCGATTCCCTCATCAGAGAATATAGAGATAACATAAAAAGTTGTTTGCAAAAAATAAACCCTTAGCTGTTATCCTTCAGCCTCGACTGACTAAACCAAATTTTGAACAAGTTGAAAAGGTCACCGAACTTTTTCCTCCATCAATTAGCGTAGATTCTATGTCACTATATGCAGAACTTGAGATTTTTATTAACTTTGTAAATGAGACAGAGAAAGAATGTAAGACAGTCCACGACGCCGGAAACACTGCTTTCAAAAATAAAGAAATTTTCCCAAACGTTTATAAATGTTACAAAATTCTGTTTACTGCTCCAGTAAGTGTGGCTGATATTGAAAGATCATTCAGCAAAATGAAAATTGTCAAGAACTATTTGCGCTCAACAATGAAAGGTGAAAGGATGGAAGAACTCATTGTCCTCTTAAGCGAGAAGGATTTAACAGATACAATTCATCTGGATGTAGTACTAAAATCTTGGGCAGCCAGAAAAAACCGTAAACTCAGATTAAAATTCAAGTAAAAAGCAACATCTCAAGACTACGTTGAGATGATTCTCACTTAAGACTCTTGATATGAGAACAAATATACATTGTTTTACTGTTATGTCCGAAACGGTTAAGGTTTATATTTCAAAAACAGTTTTTGTAATAATGTATGTGTTAGAAACCTAATCTTCGATAATGTTTACTAATAAACAACGTATGCAATAATAGAAATGATTATAATTTGCTAGCCATAATGATTTAAGGGGTTTTTGTGGGCAACGCCCTTTTGCAGGGCAAATTTTCTCCACACCCCCCATTACTTCAAGTCTAGTTACGCCCCTGGCTAGCAAATATGGTCTATTGACGTCAACGGAAAACTACTAGGAAACTATAAAAAATATTGTCTTGATAACATTATAAGTATCTCTTAACATTAGTCATCTAATTACTTACACTTGAATTAATGATTTATTAATTACGGAAAGAATATGAGAGCATATCTTAGCACTAAAGACTTCCATTTCTGTGTTGTTGTCTTTACTTCAAGAATATTTAAAAAACACACAGACACATGTTAACCTATAGAGAATAAATACTTAAGAACTTTTAAAAGAAGACGTTTACAACAATCAAATGATTACCATTGCAAATAGCGTAAACAATCATGCAAATTTCAATACATATTGCGCATGTATTGTACTGCGCATGTATTGTACTGCGCATGTATTGTACTGCGCATGTATTAATGTTTCACCATAGGACAAACCTGTGAAAGACATTAAGAATAAAAGGCTGTTTATCTCATTGAACGAAGAACCATCCAAACAACTTCCGCCGAAAATCAAAGCTATGTAGCCTCCACGTACAAACAATCACTGAAGGCACAAACGCGTAGATGGATTTCAAATACAGCGCGTGGATGGTTTTAACTCTCACAATATCTTTTTCCAAAAGCGGAAATGGCAACAAACTGAGAATATTTCGTCATGAACGAGATATATTTACCAACTTGAATTATTCAAGTTCACAGCCTGATAGGAATTATAATACCATCTGTATGAAGTACAACGCCGAATGCCATTTCATCACTAAGTGTCGTCATTGTGTGTGTAAAGAAGGAATGAGCACTTTCGTCATTAATGGCAATGGTGAGAATAACAAAGGAAGTTGTATTAAAGACGAAGAATTGAATCTAGAATCAGGTAACATATTAACGTCGTAGTAGTCACAATGAGCAACCAACAAATATATATTAAAACTAAAGCCGCACTGATTGCCGCAGATCATCCTTTATTGGCGCATTACATCATAAAATGAGTCAGTTGTACCATCGGTTCTACCGGATTTATAATCAGGATTTATGATTGACTCAAAGTTCTACAAGTCTAGAGCAGAAAATAAGACCTAGTTCAAACGTCGAACTTTACATGAACCGAAAGCATTAAAGATAAAAGAAAATGAGAAGAACTTCCTCATTATCTTTTGTTTTAAATGCGTTTGGCTCATGCCAAGTTCGAAGTTTGAACTAGGCCTGAATTTAGCAATCCTGCATACCACCTCTGCAGAACCACAGTATAGAAACAAACAGTAGTCGCTCTCCACTGTGAAACTTGGTGCTGTATATTTAATTAGATTACTGGCTGTGGCTAGCCACCTTAGCGTATCTATTGGTCAAAAAAGCAATTGACTGGCTGCCACTATGATAATCACATGCGTAATAAGATATGCGTGGCACAAAAAAATTCAATTGGTGCGTTGCAACGATCCCCCTGGGAGTAAGAGAACAATGAAATGCTCGCCGTGTTGGATGAAATTTGCATTGTAAATAAAGAAAATCCTTTGTTAAAATCATCCAACATGGCGACTTTGACGTAGCTTGCAACCCAAGAATAGAGTGGAACTACAGTTTATTTTTATACTGTGGCAGAACTAAAAAATTCCATTTTACGATCTCATACGTAACTGAACAAGAATTTAGTCAAACAGTAAAATCGTGCTTAATCTTTTGGTCAAAAGGCCCCGTAATTGTTTTGACTTTTCTTTGTTGTTCGTACATTCTCATCTTATTTGCATTCTATGGTCTTGTGCTTTTTCCGTTTCTCCTCAATCAATAAGTTTAGTAAGTAGCTCAATTTTAAATACAAAATATCGTCAATAGAATGCTACTGCTTTTGAATTTGTGAATCATACAAATGGCGTTGCTTTCCATTTATTTTACAAGGTAACAAGAATATATCTAAGAATGAGCTTCATTAATTTTTATTTTTAGGACTTGAGTTTTTTCGGGAATCCAATCTGAACATGAAGCAACGAAATATTCTGTAATATGTATGAATTGCTTCTTCAGCAGCGAAAAATCAATTTTGCATTAATCATTTTGATAAATTTCCCCTTATTTATTTCACAATCGAATAAAGTTGAGTAGTTAACCTTACATTTTCGAGTTTTGTCTTATATCTAATCCCCAATACAGCGTCCACGAGATAATACGCACGCGAAATAACATAAACTGGATCATGCAACCGCGTTACTTTTAATCGACTGGCGATATCTTAAACCTCCTGTTGTTGTCTTTATATATAGAGTCAAACATCGATGCATTTACTCTTGAAAATAGTGAAGACGAGGATTGCTTGAAACAAGCTGGAAGACGTGTGATTGTTACGACTTGTGGAAATTCATTGGATAAGAAATGGATACTTCTCAACAATAAGCAACTCATGAATGTGAAATCACTTCGTTGTATTACAAGAAGTAACAGGAAAGATAGACAAGTAATAATGACGCAATGTGTTAAAGACAGAGGTCGGCAAAAACTGATGTGCGAGTCCCACCCACGACACAACGAAACAGATTCCCCCGTGATACTTTATTTTAAATTAAGTTTTAAGCGAGAAGAATTGTACCTAGAACAAGATGACAACGAAAGAGGCATTTTCACGTCCAATTCAAGTCAGCACTGGACAGCGCATCAAAATGGGGACCAAGTTGATGTTTGCAGTAAAGTCACAGAGTACAAAGGTGGGAATAGAATATTGTATAAAATTCAGCTCAATTTCAAAAAATATTTTTGAAAAGAATACAATTTTAATGATAATGCTAAAATCCTCAGAGAAACTGCACAATAATGTCTTTGTGACGTCCTTCACTTCGCGCAATTCAACTTCATTTTGCCCTTTATAACAAACGTCGAATTTCACGCTTACTTCATTAGAGCCTGTTACATGCTAAATTTATCATTTTCTCCAGGTTGTTATCGCCTTTTTGATGGCAATTTCTGGAAATATTTGAATTTTAGCAATAATTCAAGTATGGAAAAATTCTTTATTTTTGCACCTATCAACAGAGAAAATAAAAATTGCGATGTGGAACAAAACTTCAAATATACCAGAGACAGCAATAAAATATATAAGGGTTCAAATAATCTTTTCACATTGAACAGCACTGGCCAGACTACCAAAGAAATCAAGGTAAAAACGTTATACAAAACGACACAATCAAGTTAAATAGATCAAGTTATCCAGCATGATAATACGCAAAAAGACATCATACATTACAAAAGGTCAAAATTAATAAGTTTTTATGGACCCAGCCGCTGCTGGACAGTCCTTTGTTCTTCTATAGCAACATTTCGTAAACAAATCAAGACTTAAAAAGTAACAGAAACATTCATAAATATTCTACGAAAAAAAAGCTCAAAAAAATCTTGTTCAAAAAAATGTAATCCAACAATCGAATAGATTACAAGAGTACGAAAAAAGGGAAAGAACAAACCAACAATTAAAAAACAAAATTTTTTGTTAAGATTAACGACATGAACGCTCTACGACGATGGAATGGTTCACTATTGCAAATAACGATCAAATGTATGGGAGACCGCAAACGCCAAACACAAGAGAGTCACTGCATTCTCATAAAACTGCAATCATTATTGCCATTAGAGCAGGAGGTAAGTTCAATGACACAGCAAAACAGGATATGCACTCAAACATTTGGTTAGCACATGTTGCATAGAATAAAATGAACAATAGTTACTTAACACCACAAACCACTAAAGTTCCAGAAAGTTCACTGAAGATAGCTAATCAAAGGAGCTAACTCGTAGCTTTTGGAGAAATATTATGATATTTCACAGTCCACAACCGCAGCAGAATAGTCTACCAATGTACATTGGGTACAAAAAAACTGGACGGTTAAGAAAACGTCGCTCAATATTTATTAGCGCGCAAGATTTGCAAAAACTTTTAAAGAAATAAGTAGTTGAACTTCTAATGATTAGGTTTGTGCGGTAAAGAATGGAATAAAACGAACAATTATCAACACTATAGCTACTACACGTCACCAAAGTTCTATAAATTTCAGAAACAATATTTAAACAAGAATTCGCAGCTTTTAAGAGAAACATCGCTATCATTTTGAGCGACTTTGTCTAACGCAGAATAGTCATTTAGAAAAACGCATTTAATATCTTTACAGGAAACGCCATCGCCAAGCGCCAATCCCACAATACCATTGGACTCGGAAGTAAGTTGTACGAAACAACAAAACATGATAAACAGGAACCCATTAGGGTAGCGCATTCGGTCAAACAAATAATGTTACGCGTAAAGAAATAAATAAAATGAACAATCATCAACATTATAGCTAGCTACTACACGTCACCAATGTTCCCAAATTTCAGAAACACCATTCAAAGGACCATTCGCAGAGAAAAACATCGCTTTTATTTTTAAAGACTTTGTCTAAAGCAGAATAGTCACTTACAAACTCTATTTACTATCATTCCAGGAAACGCCGTCACCCAGCACCAGTCCCACAATTTCACCAGCATCAGTGAAAAAAGTTAGCCATTCGTCAACGTTGGACACTATTTACAAATCATCTAGTCCTCCACCAAATATGTCTGGTAAATTTACAACTCCTCAATTAACAGGCAACGAAGGTGTGAAAAAAAAATCGAAAGCAGATGATAATACGCCAGCCATAGTCGCAGGGATAGTCGTCCTTGTAGTAGTTGCGATCATTGTGTTAAGCATTTTCCTTTATAAAAAGCGGAGGAAAAGGTAAACGAGAAAGAAACATGCAACAAGCTATGCATGCTTCAATTTTGACCTGCTTAATATTTGTAATTGACAGATAATAATCCACAGCCTGAATTGCAAGCATTACTTCATGTAGGTGCAACGTAGATGTCATAACATACAGTAACACGGGACCCACGATAATATTAATTGCAAATGTGTACTTTAAATACAGAAACCATCCTTCATGAATATTGTAACCATATTAAGAATCCTCATAATTTTATTCCATTTAGATCACAAAGTAGATCAAATAGACCAGGTAAGCTGAAAATATAATGAAACATAAAAAATTGTCATAAAAGTATACGATTACTCCAACTTGTTTTGTTCGCTTAGAATTAGAGTTGGAAGTCGTAAATCTTGCCGAAGCAATTTACGAAGAGCCACATAGGATATACGCAACGGTATATGAAGTATCAGGTAATCAAGCAGGAGAAGCCGCAGACACCTACAGTTATACAGATTGTAGAAGCATCTCCAATAGAAGAACAGAAGTGCAAGGGTCTCATGGTGAGTGCATCCACCAACAAATGAAATATATTCGGTTTTTCTGAAAATATTAACACAGTTGTGTAACTGGTAAGAAAACCGTTTCTTCCTTTTCACTCTTTAGAATTAACACACCATCAAAGTAGAAACCTACCGGATAACGCACAGGAAGTGGAAACTGACTCAACACAAGTGAAAGGCAATGTTTTCATGACGTTGACATCTTTGAGCCTAGAAGAGCCGTATATTTATGCCAATGATGTTTCTGACCTCGACACACAGTGTCGTACTAATGAGCAACCAGCTGGTGATTCTGATGACAAACATAAAGTAAAAACAACAATGCTCCGAAGGCCTTCTACAAATCAAGAAGCGAATGAAGACAACTATGCCTCATTGACAAAAAAAAGCAGAGACTCAAGCGTTTCTGGCAATACGAAACCGGAATTGCTGGATGCAACATCGTATACTGATGAATATGTCATCCCAAATGACGTTGACCATAAGACAGTGGCTAACAGTACTTATATGAATACGAAAGTGAATTCCAGCAGTGAAGTTTCATCCCAACTTTTTGAAGTCGATGTAGAGGAATATGCCCAATTGATGAAAAACCGTAAAAGCAGGGACTCAAACTGTCATTATTACCAGCAGTTGCAAAAAACATCGATGCAAGTCGAAGGCAATACTTCCGAGGTCCCTTTATCTCATGGAAATGAACAAATAAAGCTAATTGGGCAACCAGAGTGTGTTAGTGATTACGTTATTCCAAATGATGCTGGAGCAAGCATGAATAGCAACCAGCAACTGGAAGTTGCAACATCGTATACTGGTGAATATGTTGATATGACAAAAAGTGGAAATAGTGCGATTTTCAGTGATGAACAGATCCATCTCAAATGAAGACGATGTTCAGGAAGATGTCCATTGATGAGAAACTATAAAAGAACTCAAACCATAATTACCAAAACAAACAATACTGATGAGCATATACTGTTCGTACACTGGTGAGCATGTCAACATGAATGACAATGGGTACATAACAATGGCTGTGATTATCGAATGAATGGAACGATCTCAGTTTTTAGTTAAAAATGCAAATAGCGAATATTGGTAACTGCAAAGATCACTGGCGATCACTGAGATTACTTCAGTAGTTCATTCAAGCAGCATTACCAAACAGCATTAAGATTGCTGCTTGGTAATGCTGCTAATCGAATACAGTCAACAAAGTACAGAGCAGAGATACAGGGAACCCTGTAAAGTACAAAAAATGCAGGGATGTCTGTGGATCATTAGCAATCCTCTAACAATTACAATGGCCAATCAAAAACCTTATCCACCCAAAATAGTCCTTCAAAAGATATAACCACCTACACACTATCTCCCAGCCCTTGACTTTACTATGAGATTCTTTTAAATGCACGAGAATATATCATAAGTAATTTTAGGTTTGTTTTATATGTGTATTCGTAGTTCAAGATTCTCTGTTCAATGGAAATCACTTTATATAATATGTATTGTATGACTTGGAATAAAAAGCTTTCCAGCAATTCTAATAATTTGCCAGTTTGAAGTTAGCTTTTTGTGTTTTGCACTGAAGAGATTTTAATGCAGGATTGGAAACTAACTACACACAAAAACCCACAGCAAAGTTTACTACATAATTCAATGTTCATTTCGTCACGTTCTACATGTTTCTACAAAAAAACTTTCAATAAAACCGACCACCTAAGACAAGCTGTACAGGTCGCAAATGGGTCTTCCAACATTAGAACTGAAGAATACTAGAGCGCAATCATAAATGAACAAAATTTGTTGTCTGGATTATAATGTGGATGATCTGCGACAATGGATTGGTTCGATATTGCAAATTTCTATCAAATGTAGGAGAAACATAAAAAACAAAAAAACAACAACAAAAGAACGTCACGACATTCTTATATAACTGCAATCTTTTTCACCATTGGACACAGAGGTAAGATTTAGAAAATAAAAAAAAGAATAATACGCACTTAACACAACACATCAGCATCAGCAAAGATTGTATCAAAATTGCTCAGCAAAGATAGTATCAAAAGAGCATAGTCGTAACCTTAGAAGAAACATAATAATCATTTTCGAAGTTTTTCGCTACAGCTGAATATTTTTACCAGTACGTACACTGTACTACCATTACAAGAGATACCAACACCAACCAGTATTTTCATTATCACGGGGATAGTCACCGTGGTAGTACTTGTAGTCATCGCGTGGAGCCTTATCGTACATAGAAGGCGAATGAAGAGGTAAAAATAACAAGCACTTGCCACAAGCAACATAGGCTTGATAATCCTCGCGATTGACGAATAACCAAATCCTGAGCAATAAGCGTTACTCTACGTAGACGCCAAGTAAATGTAATAACATACAGTAACACTGATACAACAACAATGCAAAATTATACACGCTTACTGTGATTATATATCTATGACGTTTTCGCAAGGGCTCCCACTGCATGTTGAATAAACAAACAAGAAACTGATGTGACATATATGTTGAATGTTTTAAAGTGAATAGTTTTAAAACACAGAAGTATCGTGACATGTTTGTAAATGTAGATGGTTCAGATTGGTGGACTCCTGACAAGGAATGTTGGGGTTAAAAATGGTGTTGGTGTCGACTGACGTTTCGAAAACCTTAGCAGTAGTTACTTTCAGAGTCAAGTGAGGTAGGAGTAAACGCGAGGTTCGTCGTACTATTGTCTCGTTTATCCTAGTCTATACAAGTTCTACTGTTACTTTGGTTGATTTTTATTCGTATTCAGCCAAGCAAAACATAGCTATTTTAAGTGAGTATCTCAAAAACATTTATTAATTTTATGATCTGATTAACTTATTAGATAAGCTTTATCACTAACTTTGTGAAAATCTATTTTTTGGTCTAATTTAGGAATGACTAATGTCATTTAGAATACAATGTAAAAATATATCCCCAACTTGCAGCGCAAACGATAACGACGCAAAACGAAGTTATATTTAAAAAAGCTTTGTTCTTGGTACCAACTGCTTGTTAACATGCTTGTTACCTGTAGTCATGGCAAAAAAATACTGACCATGTTGATTTATTCATTATAAAATTGTTTTCACACAAAGATGTTCGCGGAAGTAAACGGCACGCTTTAATTGATGCATATTGGAGTTTAATGTCTAGGAGACTGAGGTATAATTAGCAAATGTTTCAATGCCATATAGCTATAATAAAAGTTGTTCGACAAAAAACACCAGTAAAGCATAGTATCATTGAGACAAGTAAACTTATGACTTCAGGTGAAATTCATAATCAGTTTCAAGTTGAGCAAAACACGTTTAACACAATTGCAGAGGCTTTCTTTCTTATTGTATTTTATTCAGCTATATAGGCTCCGGGATGTTTCTTAGCAAAAAAAGTGATTTGTAAGGTCAAGCCAAGATTTTTCACTGCCATAAATGAAACCCCGTGAACAATGAAATGATCTGGAGGGAAAATCGGCAATTTTAGCATGACTGATCGGCATCATCAGGAAAAACTCAAAGAGATGATAAGTCGTTTCCAACATTCAGGTAGCTCGGTAAAATTCTTCGTGACGCTTACCGAAGTAACATGTTTATGATAGTATATTTACAACAAATCCTGCGATTAAATTTCTTTTGTGAATCTGAGTAAATATATATATATATATATATACAAAGTGTATTACAATGCGCCCTTCCGGCTATCACCATAGTAAAATGGTGACGAATTCTCAACTATATACATCCATCACCCCAGTTGAAGAAATACAAGATCACTAGTAAATCTTAAGTACTGTAGACGACCATTTATCATATGAAATCAACTCCTCCACAGTGCTTGAAGCTAAAAGCTTTGTCACTTTGTCATTATATAATTTTACACAAAGAAAGAGAAAAAATCATTAACAACGGATTCAAAAATCACTTACGCATTTTTTACAAGTAAATAAATCAGTGCTGAAGACTTCCATTTCTGTGTTGTTGTCTTTACTTCAAGAATATTTAAAAAACACACAGACACATGTTAACCTATAGAGAATAAATTCTTAAGAACTTTTAAAAGAAGACGTTTACAACAATCAAATTATTACCATTGCAAATAGCGTAAACAATCATGCAAATTTCAATACACACTGCACGCAATGTTTTACCATAGGACAAACCTGTGAAAGACATTAAGAATAAAAGGCTGTTTATCTCATTGAACGAAGAACCATCCAAACAACTTTCGCCGAAAATCAAAGCTCCACGTACAAACAATCACTGAAGGCACAAACGCGTAGATGGATTTCAAATACAGCGCGTGGATGGTTTTAACTCTCACAATATCTTTTTCCAAAAGCGGAAATGGCAACAAACTGAGAATATTTCGTCATGAACGAGATATATTTACCAACTTGAATTATTCAAGTTCACAAACTGAAAGAGATCATAGTCATGACTGTATGAAGTACAACGCTGAATGCCATTTCATCACTAAGTGTCGTCATTGTGTGTGTAAAGAGGGAACGAGCACTTTCGTTATTTATGGCAATGGTGAGAATAACAAAGGAAGTTGTATTAAAGACGAGGAATTGAATCTAGAATCAGGTAACATATTAACGTCGTAGTTGTCACAATAAGCAACCAACAAATATATATTAAAAACTAAAGCCGCACTGATTGCCGCAGATCATCCTTTATTGGTGCATTACATCATAAAAATGAGTCAGTTGTACCATCGGTTCTACCGGATTTATGATCAGGATTTATGATTGACTCAAAGTTCTACAAGTCTAGAGCAGAACAATAAGGCCTAGTTCAAACGTCGAACTTAACATGAACCGACCGCATTAAAGATAAAAGAAAATGAGAGTAACTTCCTCATTATCTTTTGTTTTAAATGCGTTTGGCTCATGCCAAGTTCGAAGTTTGAACTAGGCCTGAATTTAGCAATCCTGCATACCACCTCAGCAGAACCACAGTATAGAAACAAACAGTAGTCTCTCTCCACTGTGAAACTTGGTGCTGTATATTTAATTAGATTACTGGCTGTGGCTAGCCACCTTAGCGTATCTATTGGTCAAAAAAGCAATCGACTGGCTGCCACTATGATAATCACATGCGTAATAAGATATGCGTGGCACAAAAAAATTCAATTGGAGCGTTGCAACGATCCCCCTGGGAGTAAGAGAACAATGAAATGCTCGCCGTGTTGGATGAAATTTGCATTGTAAAGAAAGAAAATCCTTTGTTAAAATCATCCAACATGGCGACTTTGACGTAGCTTGCAACCCAAGAATAGAGTGGAACTACTGTTTGTTTTTATACTGTGGCAGAACTAAAAAATTCCATTTTAAGATCTCATACGTAACTGAACAAGAATTTAGTTAAACAGTAAAATCGTGCTTAATCTTTTGGTCAAAAGGCCCAGTAATTGTTTTGACTTTTCTTTGTTGTTCGTACATTCTCATCTTATTTGCATTCTATGGTCTTGTGCTTTTTTCCGTTGTCTCCTCAATCAATACGTTTAGTAAGTAGCTCAATTTTAAATACAAAATATCGTCATGAGTATGCTACTGCTTTTGAATTTGTGAATCATACAAATGGCGTTGCTTTCCATTTATTTTACAAGGTAACAAGAATATATCCAAGAATGAGCTTCATTAATTTTTATTTTTAGAACTTGAGTTTTTTCGGGAATCCAATCTGAACATGAAGCAACAACATATTCTGTAATATGTATGAATTGTTCCTTCAACAGCGAAAAATCAATTTTGCATTAATCATTTTGATAAATTTCCCTTATTTATTTCACAATCGAATAAAGTTAACCCTACATTTTCGAGTTTTGTCTTCTATCTACTCCCCAATACAGCGTCCACGAGATAATACGCACGCGAAATAACATAAACTGGATCATGCAACCGCGTTACTTTTAATGGACTGGCGATATCTTAAACCTCCTGTTGTTGTCTTTATATATAGAGTCAATTATCGAGGCATTTACTCTTGAAAATAGTGAAGAGAATGTTTGAAACAAGCTGGAAGACTTGTGATTGTTACGACTTGTGGAAATTCATTGGATGAGAAATGGATACGTCTCAAAAATAAACAACTCATGAATGTGAAATCACTTCGTTGTATTACAAGAAGTAAAAAAGATGGTGGACAATTAACGATGAGCCAGTGTAGAAAAAACTTAAATCGGCAAAAACTAAGGTGCGCAAACGACCCGCCATACTCAATTTTCTTTCGGAAAAACGGCAAGTTTCTTTGGCAAAGATGGTACATAGGACAAAATGAAAACAGACAAGGCATTTCCACGTCACAACCCAGACAGTACTGGAAAGCACACAAAAATGATCAAGAGGTCGATGTTTGCGAGAAATCAACAGAACACAAAGGTGGGAAAAGAATCTTGTTAAAAATTCAGCCTAATGTAGAAAAATGTTACCAAATCCTAAATGATAGATCACAGTTTCACTTAAAGCAATTTTACATTAATTTTTAACAGTTTTAGCAGTCTTAGCTCAATTAAATTACACGCTTACTTCAAAAAACGTAATGTCTACCACCCTAAATTTACCATTCTTCTACAGGATGCTATCGTCTTTCTGATGGCAATTTCGCAAAGTATTTGAGTTTTAACAATAACGGAAATGTGGAAAAATTCAATATCTCTGCGCCGATCTACCAAGAAAATTATAATTGCATAGTGGAAGAAAATTTCGAATATACCAGAGATGGCAAGGAAACATACAAAGACTCAAAAAATCTTTTCACATTGAACAGCATCGGCAAGGCTACCAAAGAAATCAAGGTAAAATCCTCAAACAAAACGACATAATCAAATACAGACCACATTGTACAAAAAAAATAGAGTCCAACAGTCGAACAAACTACAGGAAAGACAACGAAAAAAGGGAAAAAGACAACCCAAAAATTAATACTGAAAATGCATTTGTTATTTAGATTAAGGACATGGATGCTCTACAAAAATGGAATGGTTCACTGCTGAAAATAAATATCACATGCCGGGAGAAGAAAAGCATCGAACATCATTGTATTTTTATAAAATTGCAATCTTTAATACCATTGGACTCGGAAGTAAGTTGTACGAAACAACAAAACATGATAAACAGGAACCCATTAGAGTAGCGCATTCGGTCAAACAAATAATGTTACGCGTAAAGAAATAAATAAAATGAACAATCATCAACATTATAGCTAGCTACTACACGTCACCAATGTTCCCAAATTTCAGAAACACCATTCAAAGGACCATTCGCAGAGAAAAACATCGCTTTTATTTTTAAAGATTTTGTCTAAAGCAGAATAGTCACTTACAAACTCTATTTACTATCATTCCAGGAAGCGCCGTCACCCAGCACCAGTCCCACAATTTCACCAGCGTCAGTGACAAAAGTTAGCCGGTTTTCAACATTGCACACTTTTTACATTTCATCCATTACTCCAACAAATATGCCTCTTAAATTTACCACTCCACAACTAACAGGCAACGAAGGTGTGAAAAAAAAATCGAAAGCAGATGATAATACGCCAGCCATTGTCGCAGGGATAGTCGTCCTTGTAGTAGTTGCGATCGTTGTGTTAAGCATTTTTGTTTATAGAAGGCGAAAGAAGAGGTATAAATTAAAACTAACATGCCACAAACATCACAAGCATCAAATGCTTAACTAGAAAGCATCCATAGACTGCATACTTTTGCTGTGTATTATGTAATATAAAGCAGGCATATATTAATTATGTACGACGTAAATTCGCATTATAATTTGGAAAAAGCAAAACAAAAATCGTGTTTCCAATTAACCGATAATCCTCCAAAGCCAGAGCTGCAAGCATTACTTGATGTAAATGCCACATACATGCATGTCATGAATGTCTGTAGAAGCTGACACTACAAGTACACCCAATTAAACACGTTTACTTTAGATACAGAAGCAATCCGCGATGGTTATTTGTAACTGCACTATGATTTATAACACTCACAATTTTACTTCTTCTAGATCCCAAAGTACACCAAGAAATTCAGGTATAAGTTGAAACTATCACCATATTATGAAAAAGTGATCGTGCATGTGTACAATTACTTCTTCTTCACTATACATGTAGATACGGGTGTCCTCCATTTTTCCAAAGCGATTTACGAAGAGCCAGATAGGAGTTACGCCACAATAAATGAAGCAGCGCTTAGTAAAACAGGAGAGACCGCTGACACCTACAGCTATCCAGATAGTGCAAGCATCTCCAATCCTGTACCCGACAAACAACATCATACCTACGAACGACTTGACGCCAACTTGGAATACACCTATGCAAAATGCGATGATTTACCAGCAAGTAAGAACAGTCCATCAACTAGCAGTCAGGCTCCAAGTGCTCCACCGTATGAAGAATTATGGAGATCATCAGATAATAATCTCCCCAAAATACCAAGAAATGTTGAAGATATCACATTCAATGAACACGAAGAATCTCAACAACCACAGTCTAAGCCAGTGTATGAAGTATTGACAAATGATTCTTCAAGCAATATACCTTATGAAACACCTGGCACTGTTGTTAATGCAGCATCGGCGACTAAAACTGGGCCAGTATACGAAGTTTTGGAGGATGGACCGTCGAGAAACAGTCACTATGAAATGCCTGGTGCAACAATTCAAGAAGAAAACAAGTCAATGGAAGAGAAGGCACCAGAAATAGAATAAATCATAAGTAATGTCAATTTTACAACAAACTAGTCCCAGTGATTTTAATGACCTTGTAATGAACTCAAAATATTGCTTTTCTGTCTATTGTCTTTTTACAAGTCGAGTTTTTAGTTAAGATAATGTTGCTGAGAGAATTTTTCTAAATTGTCACAAAATTGTTGTCTCTTAAATAATTACAGTAGCACTGTAGGAATAAAATAAAAACTATACTAACTAGTTGAATCATGGCAAAAAATTTTTGTCCGATACGCGAATCCTTTTTCTTCATTTAGAGATGAGCAATTGAACAATTTTCCCACACAAGCATGATTCACTTTTGTCAAGTTGAGTACTAAACAAGACTAGTTACCTTAAGTTGAAGTGTTAGTATTTTAAAGCAAATTGTTTTATTACGGTCGTTACAACGCTGATCAAAAGATTCAAAGTTGTTGCTGCAGATTTTGGCCTTGCATTCTCTCAAATCGAGAGCATTATCAAATTACACGATGATGTTCTTAACTGTCTCAGAAGCTCCGGGGAACTCTTCGGTGCATCTAAGCTATGATTTTGTATGATATATTGTGCGCTAACCGGAGAAAAGTATTACGAAAGAGAAGTCTAAGAAACTCGTCAATATCAGGTGGCTTTGATGTCTCGAGGTCACGTCACAGATATCGATGGAAGCACAAATCTTCTTTTCCTAATCTAACTTAAAATTATGCCTCGAGGTCACGTCACAGATATTGATGGAAGCACAAATCTTCTTTTCCTAATCTCACTCAAAATTATGTCTCGAGGTCACGTCAGAAATATCGATGGAGGCACAAATCTTCTTTTCCTTATCTCGCTTAAAAGAACATTCCAATAATATGACCTGAAATTTTTACTGCAGACGAAATCGATGGACGTAAATTACTTCTCGATGCTATTTCAATCAAGTTGCACGGCATCGTTTCACTGTAAGTTTGGCTGCTGTATCGAAGCCATTCTCAAGAAACCATCGATTTTTGTTGCTTAAGAGACAAGTCTACCCAGGGGCGGATCTAGGATTTTGGATACCATAGGCAAAACATTATGACGTCATTCAGTGCTAAACCTATGACGTCATACTTTGCAAAACATACTACACTATTTATGCTTTCGATAAATTGTTTAAATCAAACAGTCTAATCATTCAGCTATGCAGAATCTTGTAGATCTCAATCGTATAAATACATAAAAACATTGTATATTTATACTTACATATCACAAGGTCGTTGATTTTCACTATTCAGAATATTGAATGCACACAAGACTGTTTCGCCCCATATCAGGGCTCATCAGCATGCCTAGGAACACTTTAACGCAAAACAAAAAATCGTGATCCGGCATGGACAGCCCTGTGAGAGCCGAATTAAGCAGACTGGTTATGGCGCCAGAAGTTCGCCTACACACCTTTGAAAAGGAGTTTGGTTAGAAATGGGTGACTATATGGGATATTTCATGGATGTGATATTGCTCAATTTTTCACACCATCCCAGTCAATTCCAACCCTTTACCCCCCACCTAAAAATGAGCACTCTGGTTTTGAAGGCGCCAGAAACTCGCCTTTCACCTTTAGCAAATAGCAAAAGGAGTTTGGTTAGAAATGGGTGACTATGTGGGACATTTCATGGATGTAAGATTGCTCAGTTTCTTACACCATCCCAGTCAATTCCAACCCTTTACCCCCCACCTAAAATGTGCACTCTCATTTGCCAACAAATGAGCAGAATGTAATGTAATAGTCAAAATAGAGCTTTGTATAAAGAGTCTTTGTGAAGACTAAAATTTGGTGTAAGGAAAAATTATTCTATTTATGCTTAACAATTTTTGTGAAAGTAAATTTATGTCGACAACGGCCGAGTACCATACACGTACTCAGCAGTTTTAAGATTGGAATGTATATAGGGAAAAACCTTTATCGGGCGAGCTATTAGTTTGATGCAAATTCTATTGACGTTACTATTGTGTACAACGCACAATAAATGGTTAACATATGGACATTTCAACAAAATAAAAAACTAGGATATGAATAAATTCATGCAAATTTTAGCCTTGTATTTCCAACAGCAAAAGTATTAATAACCTCACCAATATCTGGTACAATTTCCTGATGAATTTGCATCAAGGCCAAACCATTTAAGCGTTCCCCAACCATGGTACTTCGCTGATAGTTTTAAGTGTCCTAAGGGAAGAAATAGATCGTTCACATTCACAAGAGGTAATGGGAGCGTTCCTAAAATACGTAGTAAAATTTTAATGTTTTCAAATCCGGCGAAATGAACAGATTTTAAAGTCTGGGCAATGTTATCAGGAAGGAGGCCGCAGTGGGTCTCCCAATAAGTGTACCACAACCTAAGTTCAGCATCTAAGGCCAAAGGATTTGGCAAATCATCATAATAAAAGTTAGCCACAGTTTTGAATGGCTCTTTCCAATCCACCCCATCTCTTGTCATGGACATCATTTTCGTCGGTACAATGCTAAGGCCTTTATAGACATTCACACTCTCAAGGTCGAATCGTGATTCTAAAGAAGATTGCAAATGATCTAGTAGAGGAAGAGTAATTGCACGTTTATAATACTCAGAAATGGTTGTGTGGGGAATATTTTCCCTGGTCGTTTGTTTGCGCACTGTTCTTGGTTTCCATTCTTCAATGCCAACTTTTGCTGCCAGTTCAAGCGCTTCGTCATACCAGGTGTCATGATAAAAATCAGAGGAATTCCTCATGTTCACCACCTCAGTTTTCAAAGTTGAAATTAAATGAATACCATCCATTATATCGATACTCTTACCCTGTAATAACTGTGTTACTGGAAGAGTTGAATCAAGAATATTTCTCGTGATAACTAAAGCAACGACGAAATCAAACCTGTCAATAAGTTGAAACAAAGATGAGGCATCAGACTGAAGCGACGGTTTGAACTCACCATCTAGATTTTCAGACATATCGTTAAGGGTGGTGTATACAGGTACAAAAGCTCTTGGAATGTATCTAAACCTTCGATACGTTCTACCCATCTAGTTTTGCAAACGTCTGTTAATCTAGTCTTTTCGAGTTTGTTTCTGAATTACGTATATGTTTTCAAAGGGAATATTGCGAGTTTGGGAAATTTTAATAAAATTAGTGGCATTGTTAACATGTTTCAACATATCATTGACAACACGTATACTCAAAGAATCGCAAATGGATAAGTTTAACCTATGACTATAGCAGTGTGTATAAAGAGCCTTTGGGTTAAGCTTTAAAATTTGAGCTGCTAGACCATTAGTGCAACCAGCAACTGAACCAGCCCCATCATAACCTTGCCCCCTACAATCATCTATTGATAAAGTCAGTTCCTTTAGAGCCTCTAAAAGTAGCTTGGCAAGTTGAGCACCACTTAGTCCCCACTTACAAAAAGAAATGAAATGAATTCTTCCCTGATATTCATATCGGTATCAACAAAGCGCAAAACAAGAGACATTTGTTCTTTATGTGAAGAATCAGATGCTTCATCAGCAATAACAGAAAAAACTTACTTTTTGATATCAGAAATAATCTGATTACTGATTACCTGGCCACAACATTTAATGATTTTATTTTGACTTGTTTTAGAAATATAACTTCTATTCTTACCACAATTCTTTAAATGATTTTCTAAAACTTTATCCCCTCTCCTAACTCCATAATTGAGTGTTTCAATGAAATTACCAACCCCTCCAGATGAATAACAACCAACAGTAGGGTGATACTTGGAATCATCACGATGCCCACGAAGAGGTAAACCTAGACGTCCACAAAAAATGACAGAATCAATAATTGGAGATAGTATTTCCCTATTCTGTTCTATTTCTTTCTTGATACCAGCATCCATGATCATCTCGATAGGCTGCAGAGTACCTGATATTTGGGAACGCAAAGCATCAAAAATTGGTGATGTGGATGCATGCAAACCGACTTCCCTCCCTTTACTTTTTCCAGCATGTTGAGTGAAAGAGCATTTAGCATTCTTCCAATCTTGAAGAGGTTCAGTAAACAACTTTTTTACTTTACTGGCCTTGCCTGGGAATCTATTGCCAAACAACACACACGATAGACAATACGCACCATTTTGTGAAGGTGAATAGCAAAGCCATTCATGCTGGTCTAGCCAATCATGCCTAAATGATCTGCCATTAGATTTAGGAAAATGATACTTTTTATCTGGTTTATATACATTTTTTATCAAATGACATATTTCAGAATTATCCATACCCTTAACTTTCTCCCTACAAGGAAACATCAAAATTATGGGTTAAAACAGCAGGTTGCATATCACCAGAAGTTGGAATACCAGGCAATAGTTCCTGGGATGATGTGTGAAGCAAAAGACTATTGGCTTTATTTAATGTCTGAGCAAGAGCTGCAGCAGAAGAAAAACTCTCATTGGGCATCCTTTTAAAAGTTGGTTGGGCAGCAGGCCTATTAGTTGAAGTAAAAATTTGAAATGTCAACTGTTTTGGTGCAATATTTGGAAAAATTTTGACAAATTTTCGTTTCTCTGTTGTTGAGCTGCTAGAATTAGACTGTGTACAGGAATTAGACAATTTTCGCTTCAACCTGTGGGCATGGAAAATGAGAGGCACAAAATGATTAGACTGAAAAGTCTCACCTGGTTGTACAGATCCTTCATGACAAAACAAAATATTAATAGCATCCAAACCTCTTTGGCTTAATAACCGGGCTGAACAATACGATTAAATAACAATTTATATCTACTTTCACCAGAATCAGGATAAAAAGTATGAATTTTTCTACCTAAAACAGAAGATAGGCCCAAAATACAAAGAAAAGATGACCATTTCTGGTCATTACAATTTAAAATAGCCTCCTGTTTTACCAGTTCATCTGTTGTATATCCAGTGTCTAAACATTCTTTAGACACTGACAAAGGCAAAAGATTGTTTAAGCTTTGGGCAAAGTAATCACTGTGCTCACTTATAACAGACAAAAAGCATGGGTGTTGAGCATAAAAAGCAGCATGAATAAATAGCTCAAGCGATGTTAAAATTCGCAAAGTAGGGACCAATGCATTGTTACCTACCAGAACTAGGGAAGCTGAACTGTAGAGGCAATTGCCAGAAGCTTCAGATCTTAAAAAATATTCAAGAAAAGAAATTAATATTTTGTTTGGTAGATTGATTGCATTGTATGAATGAATTGCTGACTGTAGACAAAGATATAGCCTAGCGAAATTGAGATTTAACCATTTTACACGTATATATAAATACTACAATACGATATATATAATTATAATATATTTACCTTATTGCAGTACAAGTCTTTCCGTCATGAGCGTGCTTTGGCACATATATTTCAGCTCCAAAATTTCGACACAGAGTATGGTCGGGGTCATAAATTCTATCTAACAGCTGCTCGTTAGTAAACATAGGTCGAACGTCGACCAATAAACGAGAATAAAGCTCATTAAGGCATTTTAAATCGTTTTTGGCCAACGCAGACTGAGCAGTCTCGTATAAATTACCACAACACAATGAAGACATTATAAAATATCACAAAACCGTAAACTGAGCACAGAGGCTGTTCAGAAACAATACGAGTGTATGTTAATTTTCAATTGCCTAATTTGCCTAGCTCAACTATGCTTATCAACAGCAATGATTGGTTGGAATTGCTCAAGTTAGGCAAAAAATTGACCAATGAAAGCATACGGTTGCAAAAATTGCCCAATCAGAATACCTATACACGATGTCAAGTTAGGCAAATTCATCTTGTTTAGGCAAATTGCTAACAACCAATCAAATGGCTAGATCGCCTTCTTGACTTAGGCAAAATGGCTGCTTTGCCTAACGACACGGAGCTTTATAGATAATCATACGCATCTGGACTACGATTCATATCAAAATTACGTCATTTAATTGCACAACATTTCTAAACAAAAGTCAGATGATTTGACTACGATAAAGTGCTATTCATAGTTTCATAATTCGATAAATTCGTATCGAATCTAAGTCGAAGTATATTTTGGTAATTTCACCATAGGCACTTGCCTATGGTGCCTACCCCTAGATCCGCCCCTGAGTCTACCTTCTTAACAATTACACAATGACAGTAAAGTTTTCCAAGTCTTTACGCTTAGATAATCAAAACTTGTTGTGAAGATAAAGTTTGACTAGCTTAATTTTCAGCTTTCTGTCAGCCTTCTGTTACAATAACAACAGTTTGTCCATTAAGCTGATTTTCTGCAAGTTGTTGCTCACTTTGCAGGTCATTCAATCCCTATTTGAATCTTCAGAATTTGCGCTATTTTTCTGCTCAGTACAGGCCAACGATGGTAGGGAGCCCTTAGCTCCCTTGTCATCCTCGTCAATCAAGGAAAACTTTCCAACTGATACATCTTCGCCCGCCGGTTCTCTCGCCAGTACATTCAGTTGCTTCTTTCTGCGTTAGTTGCACAAATTAATTTAGCTTCCCACTCTCTTCATTCTAGGTCTCCAAGGCTGCATCAAATTAATTGCCTGCTTCACAAAAGGTAATCGTTTTATTTAGTTGAGCAAAGATATTTCAACTATGTCAGATTCTTTTTCCTCGCCTTCCTCTTGCTTCGGTCATATTAACTGTGTTACGAATTTATTCAGATTAATTCTCGCTCTTGTTACTCTTCATTTGCCATATTTTTTAAGAATTTGTAAGGTATGCATTCATTTGCTTCCTCCCTTCTCGTTGTCGTGCAGAGTAACAATATTGCTATATTATGCCCAGCTCAGTCCCGCTCAACATTACTTTATGCCATATTTATGCAAACTAGGTGTTCATTACAAAATTCTCTATTGCAACGTTCTTTGGAACACAGATAGAGCTCGAAAGAATAATAAAGGCATATTGTCTATATTGCATTGTCCACTATTCTTAAAAATTATGGCAACATTGACAATACAAAAAACTACGCAAAGGGCTACTATAACTTTTTACAAAATTAATGTTCAACACATCGATCTGTACAGTTTGACCTATTAATAGGATGCCAATTATGTAGACCATTTTGCACCAAAATAATTTTGTAGAATTATCATCATACTTCAGCTTAAGATAAGTGTCATTTGTTTTTTAATTTAAATAGATATAATTGAAATAGACACTTATACCAAAGTATATCCAAGGTCACAAAAATGTTGCACCTGGCCTCACGAAGTATGACACACTGCTGAAATACCAAAATAGAAAGAAAGTAGCTGGTACTTACTGGCAGAAAGGGTAAGAAAAAAGAGAGCTAAGCATGGTCCAACACTATATAAACAACAACTTCTTAGGCCAATTCTGATATACCAACTTTATAGTAAAAACTATCGAAAATCAATAAAACTTGTTCGACCAAATAAATGAGAAGTGAGAATCCTCAACGTTCACACACTTTCTTTTCTCTGTTTCCATTATGGCTCAAATGAGAATGTGATGAGCTTTTGTCATTGATAAATTTAAATACGAGAATGATTATTGAGGCATCACCCACGTGCCAATGCTTTTGGAATGGACAGTAAAAACAGTAAAACTTAAAATTTGTCAAGTGTAAACAAAAGATGGATATGATTGGCAATGTATCGTAATGTGCTCCGCAATTGGACATATGAAGTGAATCGGAACTGGCTACCTTTGATGATCAGAGTACTGAACTGTAAAAAAGTCTCTATATTTTGAAAGAGTGTCAAAATTATGTCCACCTTTTAATTTACAGGCTCATAACTGCACAGATTGCCTGTGACTGGTCGAAATTACTTCGACAAATTTTATCAGCCTAGATGAGAGTCGGTACTCGCTGTCTGGAATAAAATAAAAACGCAGCAATATTTTTGTGGATGTAGATCATTCAGTTTAGTACAGTCCTGAGAAAGACTGTTGGTTATAGTATTGCTTATCACGAAGGTTAGCCGAAATAAGAGCACCACTTTGAACAATTGAAAAACAAATTCTTGCAACGTGTGATTTTATGCATGTGATGTATGTATGTTAATAAAAAGTATTGGGATACCTCTATGCTCAGTTGTTCATGGTAAACAAAGTGCATGAATCCCTTTATTGACCATGCTTGACAAGGAGCAGGGATCCCTGTATTTACCATGCGTAACCTCGCATAAGGTCCCTGAATTTAGCTACCATGTATAACCAAAAGCAGGGATGTCGGCCTCGGTACGTAGCTAACATGCTTAAATAAATACAGGGATCCCTGGATGTAGGTACAAGTGCAGGAATCCCTGGATGTAGGTACAAGTGCAGGAATCCCTGGATGTAGCTACAATCGCAGGGATCCCTGGATGTAGCTACAAGTGCATGAATCCTTGGATGTAGCTACAAGTGCAGGGATCCCTGGATGTAGCTACAAGTGCAGGAATCGCTAGATGTAGCTGCAAGTGCATAAATCCTTGGATGTAGCTACAAGTGCATGAATCCTTGGATGTGGCTACAAGTGCAGGGATCCCTGGATGTAGCTACAAGTGCATGAATCCTTTGATGTAGCTGCAAGTGCAGGGATCCCTGGATGTAGCTACAAGTGCAGGAATCGCTAGATGTAGCTGCAAGTGCATAAATCCTTGGATGTAGCTACAAGTGCATGAATCCTTGGATGTGGCTACAAGTGCAGGGATCCCTGGATGTAGCTACAAGTGCATGAATCCTTTGATGTAGCTACAAGTGCATGAACCCTTGGATGTAGCTACAAGTGCAGGGATCCCTGGATGTAGCTACAAGTGCATGAATCCTTGGATGTAGTTACAAGTGCAGGGATCCCTGGATGTAGATACAAGTGCGTGAATCCTTTGATGTAGCTACAAGTGCATGAACCCTTGGATGTAGCTACAAGTGCAGGGATCCCTGGATGTAGCTACAAGTGCATGAATCCTTGGATGTAGTTACAAGTGCAGGGATCCCTGGATGTAGCTACAAGCGCATGAATCCTTGGATGTAGCTACAAGTGCAGGGATCCCTGGATGTAGCTACAAGCGCATGAATCCTTGGATGTAGCTACAAGTGCATGAATCCTTGGATGTAGCTACAAGTGCATGAATCCTTGGATGTAGCTACAAGTGCAGGGATCCCTGGATGTAGCTACAAGTGCATGAATCTTTGGATGTAGCTACAAGTGCAGGGATCCCTGGATGTAGCTACAAGTGCGTGAATCCTTGGATGTAGCTACAAGTGCATGAATCATTGGATGTAGCTACAAGTGCATGAATCATTGGATGTAGCTACAAGTGCAGGGATCCCTGGATGTAGCTACGAGTGCATGAATCCTTGGATGTAGCTACAAGTGCATGAATCCTTGGATGTAGCTACAAGTGCATGAATCCTTGAATGTAGTTACAAGTGCAGGGATCCCTGGATGTAGCTACAAGTGCATGAATCCTTGGATGTAGCTACAAGTGCAGGGATCCCTGGATGTAGCTACAAGCGCATGAATCCTTGGATGTAGCTACAAGTGCAGGGATCCCTGGATGTAGCTATAAGTGCATGAATCCTTGGATATAGCTACAAGTGCATGAATCCTTGGATGTAGTTACAAGTGCAGGGATCCCTGGATGTAGCTACAAGTGCATGAATCCTTGGATGTAGCTACAAGTGCAGGGATCCCTGGATGTAGCTACAAGCGCATGAATCCTTGGATGTAGCTACAAGTGCAGGGATCCCTGGATGTAGCTATAAGTGCATGAATCCTTGGATGTAGCTACAAGTGCATGAATCCTTGGATGTAGCTACAAGTTCATGAATCCTTGGATGCAGCTACAAGTGCAGGAATCCCTGGATGTAGCTACAAGTGCATGAATCCTTGGATGTAAGTACAAGTGCAGGGATCCCTGGGTGTAGCTACAAGTGCAGGGATCCTTGCATGTTTATGGTTAACAAATTACAGAGATTTATGTATATACCATGCTTAACAAAGTACAGGATTCCTTTACGTACCACGCTTACCAAAGTACAGGAATACCTTCTATGTTTATGGTGAACAAAGCACGGTTATCAAGAAACGTAATTTCTAGCAGACGGATTCAGTAAACGGTTCATCATAAGCAATCCAAACTTTAAAATATGTACAAAATTTTTTTGCACAGATAACTGAAAACAAACACAAAAATTTTTCTTCCCTCTTACTGTAGTAACATTGTCATGCGTGGAATTGGACACTGCGAGAAGATTTGCTTAATACTGGCGAGTAGACATCACTATACATCAAAAACACGTTAAAAAAAAATTTGAAAACAATAATAACAATAACAAAAGCAAAATAGGGAATGGCAAACTAGCAATAGTAAAACTGGCAATGAAAGACATAAGATCGACAACGGATAACAATTTTCTGATATCGGAGATAGTCAAATAATAACAGAAAGAGCAGACATATTGACAGCGGTTCTATTAACCAAATATTGAAAGTCTACTCTTTCGCCACTGTGGGTCAACTACGTCATCAAAATACGTCATGACAGCTTTTTACAACAAGCATGGGCTGCAACACGGCTACGACAAAGTTGGCTGACAGAAGAACTCGGTCATCACAGATCCGCCTACATCCTCAGAATCGCAACGAACGCTGCGTTTAGAGATTACATTCATCATAGAAAAGGGACAATATTGTCTAACTGGCGTTATTTAAAGGTGAAAACATGTGAAAATAGATCTGTCATAGTAAAAGAAATATAATCTTGAATTGAATATATTTGAGTGGTTTGAACTTTTTTGCCAATGCGCGTAAAAGACGGAAAAAAATAATCGAAATCTCGAATAGAAATTTGCTACATCGTTGACATTTACCCCAAAGTGAAAGACTACTATTTAGGACTACGTCGGTAATTTCTTAGTCTAAATTAAGCTCCTAAAATGAAAATTTGCGTTTATAAGTCTGTAAATCAATGTACAATTAATCACACGTTTATAAACAAAACAATACTAACAATGACGTCACAATGAAGCAACACCTGCTCATGGTTATCTACAGTCGGTGGCCATTATAAACAGTGATTTCTCTACATAGAAAGCATCTCGTGAAGAGACTTTCAATTTCACGACGCTTGTCAAAAACGCACTTAATTTGACTTGCTTCGTTGGTCAAACAATAAATTTCGTGAAAGCTCAAAAATCCACCAAGCGAAAAACGAATACTTAGAAGTGTGACAATAGAAATCAACAGCAATTATTAGAAATGTGATTTCTAAGGAAACCTTAGAAATGTGACTCGTAGGGCAGCCATATAAAATGTAACTCCTAAAAGAACCTAAATAAAAATGAAACGTATAACCACGGCTGGCTGTAAATGATTCTCGCGAGCTTGCAATTACTTATTGATGCAAACCCTCACATCTTTGCTATAAATTGAGCATTTCCTTAAACACAACGGACAATTGCCAAATTCTGAGAATGGAGAAACTGGCCGACAAACGAACTACAATTGGATAAAAATCGAAAAATTCAATTTATGAATGTAGGGAAGAATGCAAATGGTACGCAGCAACACATCATTTACAACTTTTGACAAACATCTACACTGTTAAGGCTAATTTATACTTCGTGCGACAAGTGTCGCGCGCCATGTCGCATGAGGAATATGACGTCATATCACCAAAACGGAAGTAACATTTGACGTAATTTCACCGTATTGTCGCACACGTGCACCTCGCAAAAAGTTGTAACGTCGCAGACATTTTGTCGAATTGTCGCGCAAGATAATTGGCTATCTAATAACACGTGGTTAGTCATTTGTGTTTGTCTCAGCATATATTTATCACAAATATGAAAAAATATTAAATCATGGATGGATGCGAAGAAAGATTAGCGGAAGAAGTTAGGAAATACCCTCATATATATAAGACTCGTCTAGAAGAGATGATAAAGACCTACAAAAAACTACGAATTCATGGAAGGAAATCGCGAAAAGCTCGAAACAAACGATGCTGTTTGCAGACAAAAATGGAAGAAAATACGGGACCGATTTAGGAAAGCCAAAACGCGTTTAAGATCGAAGAGTGGCAATCCTGGCGGAAAAATTATACCTGCTATTGTCATTAGCGTGTCGTGGTTGTCTAGCATTTTAGCAGAAATGAATTCATTTGATTCACAAAGAATTTTAACAATGCTGCCAATGCACTACTTGATGTAAATGTCAACATAATTTTGAATTTGTATGCAGATTTTGCGCGGTTGTCGCGTTTACTATAAATGCTTTATTTGATTGTCGGATGGCGCGTGCCCATAGATTGCACAAGCCAGAGTGTCGCGCGACACATGTCGTAAGAAGTATAAATTGGCCTTTACACTGTTTGTTTACTTTGCACGCTAACTTGGCTTTTAATTCATGGCAACCGGACGCTTATACATATCGTATTACAAAAACAACATATAAAGATTCATCAAATATCAGATATGATGCGTTCGAGGTACTTGTTCGGATTCAACTTAGTACGTTTATGTTTGTGGTTGGGATTTCAAGTTCGCTTTTCCTCCGCTGGATTTGCTGACACACACAAAGATGATTTTAAGAAATGGATAGAAAAGTGTAAGTACACAATACGGTAAGATGCGTTGTGTTCTTATTTGTTTTGTCTATGCTTCGAACTATGTTGATGGATTGAACGCAACTGTGCGGACACGGTCCCAACGCTTCATTGTTCGTAGAAATATGAATCATGGTCAAGTTAAAATTAGTACTATGACTTCAGTGAAAAGAAATGCAAGCGTAAAATTGAAAATACTATAACTAATCTATGGCTCAAACTATAAGCGTTGTTTACAAAAGAAAAAACATTGGTCAAATTTCACGACGACGAGGTTCACTAAAATATTTTACTTGAATGTGTTGTAATAGTTAACAAATGCTATTTGAAATGCTAACTGCGAAATTCAGATAAAATGTGCCAAAACCAATTTCATCAGATTTATTGACATTTTTATGAGGACTTTATTGGCTATTTTCTGAGTATCCCAAAATCGTGATCCCGGAATTTATAAACATGCCAAACATGTTTTGCGAGAGAAAGAAAGGGGAAACTAATTTATAGATCAATTCAGGTTCTTCCCCCCCCCCAAAAAAAAAAGAATATAAAGACTCTCCTCGGTCTCAAACATGGGTATTTAGCAATTGTAACTTCACAAGTATGAACCCTGACTGGGGTATTGAGCTACCGTTACCACTTAAGTATAAATATTTGTAGTTTGTATTTCCAGAAATTGCAAGACTTTTAATAGAAATTTGAATATTAAGGTTGTGTGAAGAGAATGCAGTCATAATTAAAAAATAAAATTCACCACAAAACGTTTTGAACATCAGTTATTATTTAATCATGGTTATTGTTGTCATTTATTATTTATTGCAACAAGACGCAAGTTCTCTCATAATCAAAGTAATGGAAACTAATTTTTCAATCGTTTTCATACCTATTGCAATCACAAAACATAAAAAGTTATCTTATAAGCGATTGGTTGAGCACGAGGAATGACTTCATACAATAGAAATAACACAATCGTCGATTTTTGTAATTAAATTTTGGTATTTGGCCACATTATACTGTAGTATTTAGCCCATCGTTGGCGTTGTTACATTGAGATTATTATAAAAAGTAGAAGCAGAAAAGTGGTTTATTCACACGCGCACTTTTTGACAAACTAAAGGAGCATTATCGACGTTGCAGGCAATGATTTGCCTTGTTATAATACGTGCATGTATTACGAAGATTAAAGACAACACGATGCTTAAAACAGGAACCAATCACACGATGCCAGGATAATAAAGCTTGCCACAGGATAGCATGGCTTCAAAAATCTCTTGAAGACTATGATTTTCCAAATGCACAATTCCGAGCTAAGCTTCCTAGCTGACCTACTTCATGTTAAAATCACAGGAAATGAGTGAGCGAAATACAACACCCTCAGTGTATTGCTTGTTTGACGCTTGTTCTTTAAATAGTGAAACTACACACCCCACTTGTCTTAACATATACATGATTCATTCGCATATTAATCACGTGATCATTGCCCTCCGCTGACAGTGTTACACTGTTTATTAGATTATAATAATTCACAGTCGAGTATCATTTCCTAATGTATAATTAATCACGTAACTTCAGAAACAATGGCATTATCATAAAGGTATAGCTGAATTTAAAACTATAATTTATTTCGACGAACGTTCGATCAACAATTATTTTTCATCTTTCAGTATATCTACATCTGCAATATGATTTTCATCAACTAAACGACGCCGTAACAATAATTAATTTCATGATCACGTGCCCTTACCACCCGAATGTTTTGCCATCCAACTCCCATTTTAATCTTTTAACAGGTAATTGCTCGTGCTTAGTCACAGAGGAATCGGAAAAGAGTTATTTTCCTAATTGTACAATTAAAATAATTTACAACGAAGCAAATTTGTTTGAGCTACGCCATTTAGAAAATACTTCTGCGCTTTTCAACAAATATTCGACTAATTTGGCAAAGCAAAGAGGAAACTTTACGGTACGTAATGATCACCAGTTTCCTTATTAAAACTTCACCATAAGGAATTTACTGCTCAGTTTTATGAAATCATAACACAAAGTTTTTCACAAAGCATCGTGGGGGAAAACTTTCACTTTCCTTATCAAACTTCACAATACAGAGTTTATTGTTCAGATTAATAAGATTATCACAAAAACTTTTTCACAAAGCATCGTGGGGAAAAATGCAGTCTTCAAAGGCTTCACTTGCGTGAGTAAAGTTCGCTGTTGATAGAACATTTCGAATGAAATTTCTAATCACGCGATCGTTGCCAATAAGACTGGCCTGTATTCACATAGTCTGACCAAATAAACAATGCCGGCCGAACCCAAGAAACTATACGATTGGGAAATTTCCTATTTAACTATCGCTATTTATTGGCCCACTCAAATTCCAAATATATCCGACTATAAATTGCCAAGGAAGTACATGGCTTTGTCCCGAGAACTTCGCTTATAGGCGAAAATAGATGAAGGAAGGGTGGATTGCTCAAAGGTCAAGACACTTTCCAGAAAGCGATTATGATTCCACACAAAGCGCCCCATGATAATACAACAAAATCAAAATATTGCGAGACTATGCTGCATTGAGATGTTAGACTAGTTTGTACACAACTTCATTCGTCTCGACATCTCCTTTGCACATTTTCTCGCTCATTTAACCACAACCAAAGTGCCTTAGTCTTCAAAGAACTGTGTTTTTGTATTAAGTATTGCGCTGATCAAAATTCCTCGAAGTTTCGAAGTCGCGTGTTTCGAAACTTCGCGATGTTTTCCGTTGCATATTTTAGTGAGCTTGTTGAGATTGATCTCCTCATTTCCAAGTGCCTGCCCTTATATTACGTCAACAATGTGCCTCCATACACTTTCTTTTTATCAGTAGTTCGATGAAAAATTCTCACTATACTACATGCACTAAGTTTTTATGAGTTCAGTTGATTACTGTGAGCGGGGAGTCGTGTAAGGCAAGGTAACGGTTTCTTATGTTCATGAATTTCAGCAAAATCGAGTCTTACGCGGCGTGAGACATATCTACTCGTGCCAAATCAGGATGTTAGAATCTCTAGGTAACATTTACCTTTCAGAGTACATTATAAATCCGTGTGTGGTCTCCTTCTTTCATTTAGTGTATCATTGATCTGAGGAGGAGTGACACTTTCACCAAAGACGTTCTATTGAATATTCACTGCAAAGGAGACGAAATATACGAAATCATCAAAAGTAACCTGCTCAGTAAGTTAGCATTGTAGCATTCTATCAGATTTATATATTATATTTGACAACCAAGATAACATGAGTCCCTTTAAATATAGAGTAACGAAGTCAGCCGGTTTTTACTTCGACAATGCAAAGATTTTTGGGTTTATTCGCTGAAAAATTTGCAATTGTATAGGAGTAAAAGATTGCGCTGGCTTCACCACTCTAATATCTACACAAAGATGGAGTGGATATAGCAATACGATGGCTTTCTCACACTCGAAGTTTTAATAAAGAATATCGAATAATTGTCTGGCTTAACTCATGCGTATCTACGGCACAAGCTCTACTGTAACAAAATCCAGTTGAGTCGAGAACAACTACTGTGAACTACAACTGATCAGTATTTTTAATAATTTTACGCTAGTATTTACGGTTGCTTGAAGGAAATCTGCGCAATAAAGAGTATAAGTTATTAGACAGTATGAAACGTCATAACTGGCTGATGGACGTACATGATTAACATATAATTAATTTACCTACGCAATCAAACGTCATTCCAAAATGACTCAACTTCCTTTAAGCGACATAAAATACAAAACAATGCAAATTTTAGCAATTTTCCACGTTGTTGTCGGTCTTTAATCATGTATGAAAACTGACACGGTATTAAAATAAGATATAACATTAAAGAAGATTATACGCATCTCTTTCTTAAAAATTTCAGCAAGAGATATATCCAGAAGACGTGAATCCGAACTGACGACGACCACAGCTCCAGAAGGAACAAAAAAAGTAAGGTTCAAGTAAACGAAGAGCGAGTGTGTTAAATCGGGACATTAGCTACATTTCAACGAAGCTGATTTTCACAATGTGTTAAGTCACATAACAATGGGATAAGCCATCACTGATGTATTTTTTTTGTCACCATCTAACAAAATTATAGTAATGCTTTCGCGCATAGATTGTTCGTAACTTTATTACACTCTTTGTGTAGTTTCTATAAATGACGTCAAAATACGGAGTAAAGACTTTGATACCGCTTGTAGATAGAGATACTCAAGATAGAACACCTGCACGTAGCTACAGTACTGAAAACGTTTTTGTCGCATATCCGTAGAACAAGTGCTTTCGGTTTTCCGGGGGTTTTCGCAATCAAGTTAACAATTCAACTAATAATGAAGAATCGTGTCCCAGCTAAGCTTAAAGTTTATGTCTTTAAATGCTATTGACATGCATGATAGGAAAATTCGACTAGTTTGTTTACAGGAGCAACCACAGATGTTCAATTAAGACTAGCATAATTCATGTCTTGTAACACGAGGTTAATTTTGCACGTAGCTACAGTACTGAAAAAGATAGATAGCCTGCACGTAGCTAAAGTACTGAAAATGTTTTTGTCAAATATCCGTAGAATATGCCTCAGCGAAGTTCAAAGTTAATTTCTTTAAATGCTATTGACATGCATGATAGAAAAATTCGACTAGTTTGTTTACATGAGCAACCGCAGATGTCCAATTAAGACTAGCATAATTCATGTTTTGTAACACCAAGTTAATTTTGCACGTAGCTACAGTACTGAAAAAGATAGATAGCCTGCACGTAGCTACAATACTGAAGAAGTTTTTGTCAAATATACGAAGAACACGTACTTTCGATTTTTCGGGGTTTTTTCGCAACTAATAATGGAGAAAAGTGCCCTAGCTAATCTACAGGTCAAAGTCTTCAAATGTAATTCATAAGCATGATAGAAAAATTCGACTAATTTGTTTACAAAAGCAACCACAGATGTCCAATTAAGGCTAGCACAGTTCATGTCTTGTAACAACAAGTTCATTTACGTTCAGAACCTGCACGTAGCTGCAGTAATGAAAACGTTTTTTGTCAAATATCCGTTGAACAAGTGCTTTCGGTTTTTCGAGGTTTTTTGTGACTAATAATGAAGAATCGTGCCCCAGCTAAGCTCAAAGTTAATGTCTTTAAATGCAATTTACATTGCGTGTTAGAAAAGTTCGACTTATTTGTTTACAAGAGCAACCACAGATGTCCAATTAAGACTAGCATAATTCATGTCTTGTAACACGAGGTTAATTTTGCAGGTAGCTACAGTAGCTACTGAAAAAGATAGAGAACCTGCACGTAGCTACAGTAGCTACTGAAAAAGGTAGAGAGCCTGCACGTAGCAACACTGTACTGAAAAAGATAGAGAACCTGCACGTAGCTACACAGTACTGAAAAAGGTAGAGAGCCTGCATAGCTACAGTACTGAAAAGGTAGAGAACCTGCACGTAACAACAGTGCTGAAAAGAGAAACCTGCACATAGCTACAGAGTACTAAAAAAGGTAGAGAGCCTGCACGTAGCTACACAGTACTGAAAAAGGTAGAGAGCCTGCACGTAGCTACACAGTACTAAAAAAGGTAAAACCTGCAATACTACAGTACTAAAAAGGTAGAGGCCTGCACGTAGCTACATAGTACTGAAAAAGGTGAGAGCTATAATACTGAAAAGTTTTTGTCAAATATACAAAGAACAAATGCTTTCGATTTTCCGGGTTTTTTCCCAATCAAGTCAACAATTCAACCAATAATGAAGAATCGTGCCCCAGTGCTCAAAGATAATGTCTTTTAATGCAATTAACAAGCATGATAGAAAAATTCGACTAGTTAGTCAGGAATCGTGAGGAGCGGTCACCCAGTTCACATGAAGACCTGTTGAGCTTGAAAAATAATAACCAAGCACGTTGATCGATGATATGAAAATGTATATAAGATGGCAACAAACATTAACTAAGTTAGAAATATATCTTAATTAAGGTATGAATTGGGCAACGACAACTTCTTTACTGATGACAGCGTTTTGATATCAGATAGATAAGTTCAGAAACTATTTCTAATCCAAACTAACAAATCTCAATCTAATCTCAATTTTCAATTCGGTGTTTATTAACAACGTTTTACTATGACTTAAATATCTAAATTACTTCAAATGCTTTTTCCAATCAAAACCATTTGACAGCTCAAACAACTATCAAAACTGGTTGATTCTTATTTATAAACTTGATCGTCTGCACAATGGAAAACTCATTAGTTCACTTCAATCTACCATGTATTTTTGCAGGGTCAAGACAATAAATCCGACAACCCTAAATCCAGATTAGTGATTGGATTGAGTGTCGGATTGGGTGCGATGGTTGCAACTGTCACCACCTGTTGGACATGGGTTCGATGTCGAAGGAAAGAAAGAAGGTTTCCACCATAAATTAATTTTTAGCATTATTTATTAGCATTAATTAGCCTTTTTTAGCATTAATTATTTTTAAGTTTCATGGTAGTAACTCTCTACAGCCAGAGAATTTTTTCTCGATTCACTTTTATTTTGGCTTTTTGATTACGACACATTTATCAAACCGGGCATTCAAGGCTTATCTTTGATTGAAAAGAATCAAAAGGTCATAAAAATTGACAGCATTTTCATTAGATCATTCAAATACATTCAAAGATTTCGTGGACGCTAATAAGCCAAGAGATGACGCAGAAATCACTACAATACTTCACTCGGCCTCTTATCGTCTCTCTGTAATCTGAAAAATATTTTACCCGTGTATTATCCTTGACACCTGACTGAGTTTTCAATTCTATTTTCCCTCTCATCTATGAAAAAACTCATTGGAGTCTTCTCTATCATCTATCAAATTCTTCATTTGTGTCTTCCCTCGGTCATCTATCAAGAAACGTTTTTTTTTTCTTCTCTCCTTCCTCGAAACTCTACGTCTGCTGAAAAACGCTACTCGTGTCATCTTAAAAATATTACCTGTGTATGCTTTTGTGATCTGCCAAAATTTGACTTTCCTCTTTTCTTTTTTTCGTCTTAGAAACGCAGCTTTGCTAATGTATTCTTCTTTCTTATAGAAAAAACAATAATGATCAGGATGAGGAGTTCGGTTACATAGACGGTAAGTACATTAAAGAAGGTAAACCCCACGAAATACCAATATTCAATGTTATTCAGCACACATTGATACCAATTATCCATATAGACCATATATTATCCATATATTATCCATGTATAAACTATCAACACATTTACCTTCATCAACAAACTCTAAAGAATAACGATATCCATTTTTGTCACATATATCCATTTTTGTCACATTTATCCATTTTTGTCACATATATCCATTTTTGTCACCCACACACCACTTTTGTCACAGATATCCCTTTTTGTCACAGATGTCCCTTTTTGTCATCAATTTCTATTGCCACACTTTCTTTCTTTTCGATAAAAAGATGGCTGCATGCATTTATGTCGGTCTTTTTCATTAGTGATTTGGGCCTTATAACGGCAAAAGTATTCTTTAAGCGTAAATATGTTATCGCACTAAGAATGAGGTGGTATCCATTTTAATTTTCTCACGTGACATCAACAAGCGTGCCCCGAGCAATAACACTGATATCCTATCGTTCCTTGTTTTCCGTTCTATTTAAGTCTAAAAGCTTGTTCTTCTTTCATAGCGGAAGAAGACAGTGCTCCGTATCGCATAGTGGACCTTCAAACAAACATTTCCTCAGATGCGTCAGGATACACATTCCTGAAAGCGTCCGAACCCAATGAAGAAACACCTTACATGAAGTTGCTGCCAAAATCAGAGAGACTTCAAAACAAGGTAAGAAAAGTAAAGTTAGAATTAGACAAATGTTCGAACTGTATGTACATATTTTAAGTAGCCAGCCTTTGATTTATCTTACAGCCATTTGCAATTGACCGTACGGCGTGCATAAATTAAACGTTTGTTAAAGCTTCAAAACTTGACGTTACTAACGGCTAACTCATGGTTGCTAAGGCGTACACGCGTTAAGTTATGGAAGGTGGTTTTTTATTTAATAAACAACTGCGACTTGTTGAAATTTGGCAAGTATGGAAAGACGTTTGGAAACGTTAAACTCAATCGTTAGCTATATGACTTTAAATTGGTATTGGTTAGACACAGTGTGTCTTTGTCGTAGCCTTGGAGAGCGACACTTTGTTATTGACCCATGCTATCTCAGGGTTACGCCTTAGAAACAATCAGATAGCTGTATAGTAACGTCAAGTTAGCCGTTAGTAACGTCAAGTTTTGAAACTATAACAAAAGTTTAATTTATGCATGCCGCACGGTCAATTGCAAATGGCTGTAACGCTCTGTCCAAAATCTTTGTTTTCTACTGGTGGTTCCTTCCACCGAAAATACTTCAGTGTAAGTTAGATTATAGCAACGACTCAAAGTACTAAAACTGATGTGAGACTGTAAATAGGGTTGTTTCTAACAACAAACATCTACCACTTTTCAGGAAACTACAGGCAAATGTCCTCTATTGCAAGGTAATCGTGCTTCCATTTTCAAAGATGTAGCAGTAAAAAGTAAAACTGAATAAAACTACACAAAATTTTCTTGAGGTTTCCATAAGGTTTTATATTTTATTTAAAGGAGAGAAAAATTATAACCTGCTACCGACATCAAACCAGAAAATATTAAACAACAACAAAGATATTGCAGCTCAAAAGCATAAACATCAGCAGAATAAGTTTGATGAAGTCAAAGAAAATGATGACGATACACCATATGACACACTGTGGCCAACTACACAGGTATGATGTATAATTCTTAAGGGAAATGAAAGCTATTGATTTTTTCTCATTTGATATTTTTCTGCACGATTTAGAATTGTAAGAAGACAACAGACCTTCCGGGTGAGCATGAAATTTTGAAATGAGTATGCTAGAATTGTTATTTGAATCGACGTTGCTGCAACAAGATTTTCTGGGGTTTATAGGACTTCCTAAGTTTCAACACTTCTTTAGAGTTTTGAAAACACGTGACTCAAGTTCATAATGACACTAAAGGCCTAGTGAAATACATAAGGACCCCAGTTTCAGGAAGATATCATTCCTGTCTTAAGTTTGGATTTAACTTTCAACAACAGATCATTGCTGATATAAAAAACCTGATGCATGTAAGGACTCCACATAAGAAAACTCCATGAGAGCACAGCTCGCAAGGATGCACTTTCGAAACTCAATACATTTATAGCTGATGAGGGTATTACAAAAGAAACTATATCACTGAAGTAAATGATCTGTATAACAACAATGAGATCGTCAGCTCATTCATTAGGAAGGGAACTGAAATCGAGGAATAAGTTATGACTAAGAAACCAAATTGAAAGTCAAAAGCAGTGACTACCGTGAGCATTGGAAGTCGAAATTCGACATAAGATTAATCCAGGTGTTTTGTTCTTATATAGAAATCAAAGAGGAGCCCGTTTACTATGTCCTAGAGCAAACGTAACGACCGCCATAGCAATGAATCAAATCAAAGTCTATTGTAAAAGATAGTAGAAATCAGATAACAGAGTTGATGAACATATTCCTGTATGCGAGCTACTAAAATATATATTTATTATATAAAATGTAATATAATTCTAAAGACATCCTTAAAAATCTGCTACTTTATCTTATGTAAAAACTTCATTAAAAATATTATTAGAAGCTGAAATATCAACTTCGAAAAAAAAACTCGTGTTCATCAGTACGGTGCTATAGTGCCATGTGTGGAGGGTCAAATGTCTGCGCATGAGCAAGTTTTAGATATTGTGAATTACATGAAGTAATCTCCATTTTCAAAAATTGGAAAATCTTTTCGAAAGTAACTCATAATCTTAGAGCAACAGAACAGCGGCCAACGCAAAGAAACATATGCATGTCTTTGTTGGTTTAAAATCCTAAAAATATGCTACTTCATCTGGTGTAAACGTTTGTACAATAGAGAGTTTTAGTTTGGCGTTGACGACAAACTGCAAAAAGTCACGTGATCATGGCTTTGCAGTTTGCTTTGCGGGTTTACGTTGCGGTTTGCGGTTCACGTTTTAACGGCAAGAGGACCTTCTTGCGGTTGGTGAACTACGGCAAGATTTTTAGTACTTTTAACTCAATTAAGTGAGGTTTATGGCTCAATGTTAAATTTTTATGTAAGTATACAACATGACTATGCCTTTTACATTGACAAACTTTTCAAAAAACAAGAGATTTATCTTAGGAAAATGCGAATTGCAAAACGCAAACCTCAACGGCAAGCGGTAGTCGATGTTTGCCGCTTCCCTTAAACGCCAACCTAAAACTTTCTACTACACCTGTAGAAACTGAAATAAACTTTATAAGAAGAAATCCGCGCTTATCACCACGCTGCCATTTTTGCTTATGATCAAACATCTGCGCATGAGCAAATTTCAAGTGAGACGGAGAATGCGCATGCTCTAAAGTGTAGAAATCCCAATCAGCAATTGCTATTTCCTGTAAATTTACGTTGTAAAGTAAGGCTGTTCTCTGAAATAGAGCCTGCGTGTAAACATTTCTGTGTTAATATATCAAAGTGTCTCTTTCAGTGTAAAATCATTCGATGCACGTACGTATTTCTTATATTTTTCATTATTTTGCTCTATCAAAGTTTACAAAAGATGGCACTTGTTAAAAGAACAAAGAAAACGTGCAATTTTATGGGCCACACACGAGACTTTGCAACATTTGCCTTAGTATTTCTGAGAACGATAACTAACAACTATAACATCATGTTTTCAGATAAACTTATCGTAAACGCCGCAATAAATATCCTATACTTAGTAAGGTCAGAATTATTGTTCACACTTGAAGCCAGAAATAACATAAGAATTACAGTGTAAATGTCGCAAACATGACAGGAGTATCGCCCAGAAGCTATGTTTCTTTCCGAGCTGTAATAGGCCTCTGAAAAACAATTTTCTAACGTACAATAACATCAATAGCTTTTATAAAATATACAAAATTTCTTTTTATTCTCATGCCTATGGATGCAATAACTTCATGTCCAAACAAAGAAAACTTTTCGAGGTGAACTCGTGTGATGAACACATAACGATTAAAACAACAAAGCGAATGATTTGATCCAGATAGGTACACTTACATGTTTCTAGATGTAGATCGTCCAGATTAATGCAGTTCTGGGGACAGTTGGTGTTGGTGCTAACTGACGTTTCTACAACCTTTGAGGTAGTTATCTTCAGAGTCTATTCAAAACGTTTATCAATACCACCACCAACAATCCTACACAGGATTGCAATAACCTGGATCGACGATCTACAACTATCTGCAACTAAAAACAACACAATAATATATCTCCATATGGAACCCTGCACAACATATGATTTTGTGTTTGGTTTTCTAAAGAGAGATGACAAATTCATGATTGTAACGTTCACTTTAGTTTTGCTTGACGTCACCTGCTGTAACTCTAGCCACGAACGAAATACATTAAAAACCCACTCCCATCATAAAACTCGGCCCAGGAATGGTGGATTTGTTCATTTGCTTGTCGGCAAGGGTAAAGAGGAAGTTCGTTTATCATCTAACGACAGACGAATAGTAATTATACACATTCAAAAATTTTTTAACAATTAGAAACTCGCATTGCCACCGTAACCAAACACCTTTCCCAGCCGATAATTTGAAGAAATAAATTATAAAACACACTCTAAAAACATCATCTCGTAAACTAAAGATATCCAGTCATTATAGCAAGAGACAAGACTTAAAAGCAATATTTCAAAGTCAATATCAAGCTATTACGTGCTTATTTAAAAGCGAAAGTGATTTCAACTAGAGGCCAAGGCCAAGACTTCCAGTAATTAGGCCAAGGGCTCAGTGCCGTGGCAACGCATGACGCAAGAAAAGTCACCAAAATAAAAGATTGGCCATATCGAAACGCATTTCTCCGGATAAATGTCAAACTATTGTCGCAAGGTGAAATTTTGTATAAATGTAAACAATAATAAACTATTGTCGTAAATCTCCGTGGATTTTAACGATTACCTCACGGTACAATATCTAATACATTAAAATCATTAAATCTCCGAGGGGTAAAGCCACTCAATGCTACTTCAATACAAATACAATCCTTAAAAAAAAGGCGTCAAGGTCAGTATTATCACAATGATATTCGTCACTCAAAGATAAGATTTCAATGTTCTCTTGCTTATGTTTTTTCACACGAATGTAGATTTCGCAGATGATCAATTCGTATTTATCTTCAGACGAGATGCGTGAATCACAAAGATGGGTGAAGACAATAGCTTATTTTTGTTGCGTGCTACAGCAATAAAATGATTACTTTAGTAAATGCGCTTAACTCGTCACCATCCCAGGAATGTATTGTTTTACGGTGGTTTTAAATTGTTTACGTATTCTCTTCACCTAAAAATGCGGGTCGCATATCTTTCCAATCAAAGTAGCCCTGGTTTTAGTTTTTAATGTATAGCTAGAATATCTTTTCATCCTAGGAAAAAAGTTATGCATGATTCTTGTAGAAATGCTCGTTGAAAGTTGATTCAAAATAAATCTATGGACATTCAAGACAATGCAAGTGTTGAAAACCGTCGTTAAAACGCTTCATGAGTTTTAATTTTAACTTCCTTTTGCAAGTAGTGTGTACTATCTTAGCATATTAAGTAGCTAACTTTGTGTACTCATCTTTCTAAAACAAACTGTGTATACTATGCCCATTCTTAAATGTACGTATTTATTACTATATATCCCAATGTGTATATTTATGTGTAAATGCGTTTTTTATTCTGTGCGTTTTGTGTTGTGTTTCATGGTGTCTGATAATAAAAACTTCGAAATAAAGTCAAAAATCAACACTCATATCTACGTCTCTTGTTTAAAGTCAAATCTTGAACTTCAAGATGACTAAGATTTTCTTGGGAATCTGCCTTTTGAAACTGTCAGCAATTCTGCACATATATTTTCAAAAATCTCTGCCTACGTATTAAATATACCAGTGTGCACAATATTGACAAAATGAGCACCACATCTTAATGAGTAAATATTTAAAATTATGCAACGTGTACATAGATCATAAAGATATGCGATGTATATTTAAAACGATAAGATCTGATGAAGCCACAATGAAAACATGGGATGTAGCTAAATTGATATAAGTAAATATTTACTGATATATATTGTCACTTTCGGTATAGTGTAAATTTAAACATAGCTGTACAACTTATACTACTTATGAAACGTGTGGCCAATAAAACAAACAAACAAATAGTGATCATCACTCATAATGTAACGTAAACTTTCATTATGTTTTTTGTTATAAACTTTACGATATTTCCTCGTTCAAAGATACTGGAAGATCAGCTAAAATAACGCATATTTCCATAGGCTGTTTTACTTTTTATGAAGAAGATGATATTATTATTACAAAGTGCGAAACAGAAGCAGGGAATAAAGATCGTCATTTTTTTAACCTGTATATGTGTAATGTAAACATTTTAAAGGTATCGCCAATTTGTGTATGTCGACATTTGTCTTGAGACTTTCACTTTATCGATAAATATACGTCAAAAATAACAATGAATATCAAGATAAATAATACATATAAAGCACAGTAACGATGCTATTCTTTCGCTGAATGCTAAATGTAAAATTTTAAGTGATTTTTAAACACCTTTTGTATGTGCAATGATCAATTAGAAATCAAAAACGAAAAAATTTCAAAGTGCGATCTGCATATCTCATCTATGCTAATGAGAGAGCTATACGTTGTGTAATAAAAGATAAAATTTTGATTTTAAAAATTTACAAATCTTCGTCTGCGATCATAGAATTAATAACGAATATTCACTCAATTACGAATTTCTCACTCTGCACCATTACACGGAGTAATACAGAGTAAATTTTCTCCCAGATATAGCTGACAGACGTTTATAGCAACGAGATGAGAGGAAACCATTCATTTCAATAACAATTTCTCTTTGATACACAATACAACGCAAGCGTATTGACCTGTTTTGATGATTGTCAACATCACTCTATGCAGTGACCTCTTGTAGTTATAGCTTCTTCAGGTGGGAAATTAGCAAATGCAGCTTGCTTTCAATACGTGGCCCATTTCGCGTTCTTTATCTGTGTGGCCGACACCTGCCCAATCATAACAAAACCCTTCAACTCGTTAGCTATTCATTCCCCCATTATGAATAATCTTCGTCTCTGTGTTCTCAGACGACATTTAATACGACGTGAGGTGTTGATAGAAGCTATTTATTGATTTCCTTCAAACAAGATAATCTTTCGCCTCGCCCTGTTGAGTTTGGATTTCAAATTACGATGCGCTTTAAAATAAGGCTACGCAACGAAATAAATATCGACGCGGCCACTGGAAAAGTCAATGAAAGTACAAAATAAGTTGGCACAACATTTTGAATTTATGATAGGATTACGTCATCAAAATTTGCAACGCAAACACCTCTAGGACGTTGAATTGTTGCGGAATCGTATATTAGATCAACAAAGCCATCCGACGGGCCAATAAACAAAGAAGAATCAAGAACTCTTTAACGATAAGTAAATATGTTCGGTAAAGAAAACTGACATCAAGTTTTGGTGCAGCAAGCAAACCAAGATCTGCCTGCAGTTAATACCTTCGCGTACATGAAAAAGAGAATATATAGATAAAGGCGCATTAAGGAAGACGTCAAAGACGCGTGTGCGTGATATTGATAACAAGGACATATACCTGAGCACGAACACGAGATCTCTTACGTAGTAGGAGTTAAAATTTTGAACAGAATCGAAGACACCGAGAAACTGAATCACGGGCACTTGGAAGTCGCACATACGAAACTTTGTAACCTGAAATTATCGCTAATGCACGCATGGCTGAGCGTCTCTCCAAATATTGCTGAAAGGAATATAGAAAAGCATAAAAATAAAAGAAAAACAGAACGAGGGACGACGTATTGACACTTCAATAATCTTTACAGAAGAAAAGGAAAAGGTATCGAAAAGAAAGAAGGCATCTGTTCGCGGTGGCAAATAAGAAAAACTACTAGCAAATCAGAACGCTTTCAAAACACGTGCACGAACTCGCCGGAAAAAGAAATAACTGAAGCCATTCGTCTTACTTAGCATACTAACGACGGACCGTCACCAAATCCTTTACAGCATCTACTTAATTTAAAAGCCATAAGCGTTTAATTCATATTAAATTTCCAAATCAAAGCATTTCTACATGTGGAGCGCAAACTTCAAAGACATGACCCATTTTATTGTCATCTACTCGTGGATTTCTTTGGCGCTCGTCACGTTATCGCCCAAAAGCGCAAATTGTGCAAATGTCGCGGTTGTATGGCGATCAAGCGACGGAGACAAATTCACAAATCCCTTTGACAATAGAAATATGGACAGTTGCCGAAACGCGAACGCGCATTGTTTTACGTCGCCTCCATGCATCTTTTGCAAGTGCAATAAAGAGAGGCAAACATATCGCATGGATTCTAGAACATGTATATCCTCAAGAAACGTAAGAAATATCACAGGTTAGTGTCCTATGTTCGCATTCTACGGTAGTATAACAGTCAGCAGCTGACTGACTGTCAGCTAGTGCTTTCCTACTTAGTGAAGTTTCCCATGAGTCCATAACCGGTAATCCACTAATGTAGTTAGATTAACGATTCGTCTCAATATAAACCACGAAGCGGTAAACCACACAAAATAATCATAATAATGCGACAGAATGGCGAATAAAAACTTTGGAAATATGGCCTGTTAAGTTAATTGGTACAGAAAATGTGATTAATCAACAGTTCTTTGCGAAATGAAAATGTGATTAATTAAAATGTCTTTGGAAATTTAGTTGTGGTTCATTGATAATGAGAGAGTGTTTTCATGTGAACTATAAAAAAAGAAAATAACTGAGGTATAAGTATTGCAAAGATAACGAAAGGAGAGACACTACAATAGAAACATCACGGGAACCATTTCACAATAAAAAATTAAAGTTCAAAGAAGATGATCCTTCATCTTATCTTTGGAGCAGTCATTTTACACTTAACTTTGATCATAGGCACAAGAAAACTCGCCGCAACCAAAACCCCAGGTATAATCCTCCATACATAATCCCCCACTAAGACACCATGCTTTTGATTCGTATTGAACTTCCTTATTAATGACAAAGAGCTCTTGCTGTTACTTGCTTGCGTGCGTGCGTGCGTGTGCGTGCGTGCTTTTTTGAAAGTGGAAAACCACTTAATCAGAACACTTGGTCACGGGATAATTTCCTCTTTGGCGTGTGATCGTTGTTGTTTTCATAACAAAGTACGGCTATTTTTGTAAACTGTCAGGTCTATTTATGGATGAAAGGAAAGTTTAAAAGGTCTTGCTCGGGTGCTATTCATTAAATGACTTGTGAAAAAATTTTGAAAAAATATGATGGCGCCATGCTCGTGGAAGTCGACTAATTTTCAATTAAATTTGTTCAGAAAGCTGGCAAAAAATTAAATTGTCTTTATGATAAGCTTCGAAAAGTACGATGTTTCTTGCTAACTAGTATTCTACCAAAATACCACTCTTGGGAAGATGTGTTACGGCTTTCATATTTGCAATACACAACGAGATATTGCACTGAGTTGAAATGCCGCCTTTCCGGAATCGTCTGTTACAATATTATTTCTAGACGTTTCCGTCAGACTATAATGTAGATTTCGATTTCACCAAACTGACTTCTCGTGAAAGCGTAAATAATTTTAGAACAAAATTTCACTCAAACATTTGTAATGATTCCGAATTATTATTTATCGAGTATTTTCAAATGATCTCACGATTGCATAGTCACATGACTTTACAGCACCAGGGGGGAAGGACATTAAAAAATACTTTCGGATGTTCCACGCTCAGGGATGGCCGACTTTTGCAGAGTCGTCTTTTAATAGAAGAGCCCACAATTTTAACCGACTTTATGTCCACAGTCAGTCTCTGAGCCGACTTTTTATAAACACGTTTTACCAAAGCTGAGAGAGTACACACCCGCACGACTCCTTAATGCACGCCCCTGGAAAACGTGTGTGTAACTCAAGACCGGAAGTTAGGACGCAAACATTCGGAACTATTATTTTAAAGCTTAGCTGAAGGTTTAGGGAATTCATACTCATGTTTAGATGAATTTTCTAAAAGTTCATTTCATAATGGGATATTGGTCATTAAAAGTGCATTAGGAGCGGTTTACACGAGTCCCATCAGGAGGCTAGACCTACCAGGGCAATGGGGTTCCGTGTGCTATTCTAAATCTATATTAAAATCTTTTACATGAAAGATAGAATAATGCAACTAGTAGGGTTGAAAATTAAACGATTTCGGAATTCGCACGTGTTGATGGATCACTTTTTAGCAATGGCTGCAAAAAAAAAGCATGAAATGGAGTACACGCATAAAGAAAGATTATTGTATACAACTGTTGTGGTTTTATGCATGGCATTCTCTATTTAGCGTTACAGCACGTGGCGTAGCCCATAGCATATTAAAGTAGATTTAATAAGAACTTTATAAAACGACACATAGTTGTGTTTATCAAACTAAATTTCTATATTAACATAAAGCAACAATTCAAACTAGCAATACGTTAAATAAATCATTAAATTGTCCAAAAAAAAGCTATTTTCTTTAATTTGCCCATCTTTAAGGTCAAAACAGGATGGAGAAACTTATCTGATATAATGAAAATTTCGGTACGTCCTTTGACATGTATGACGTCATCGTGACATCATCTGTGACGTCATGGATAAAATTAATAAAGCCATACAGCTCAATTATTGTGTTCAGCAGAATGGTGCAGAACTTAGCAGTATATAAACTTACATAATGTTTGAGATATGGTTGTGTCACTAGTTTTGAATTGTGAGAATGTTAAAAATATTATCATATCCCATATATCGGCACATAAATATAAGTAGGATGCACTTACCAAACATAGTTATCTATTACCAAAATGTGCATCCCAATGACTAGTCGAACAATCTGGTTAGGGCATTGATACTTGGACATATTTTTGAAAAGCAAGAGGTTGTTTGGAATTGAATCCAATCAAATATAACATTTCAGCAGATTTTAATCTTTCCCCCAACCCCCTGCCCCCCTCCCTCACACACACTTTCCCTCAAAACAACTAAATATATGTTTGGTGTCATGATCAAAATAGAGCTTAATTATCATAAAGCCTGTGATGTTGAGATTTGACTTTGAGATAAAAATGCACATGAATTACAAGGCATAAACCATATGTAAATAAATATGTAAATAAACCATATGTAAAATGGCATATTTAGATTTAAATGTGGAATGCACAATTACACTATCTTGCCACTTCCACAAACATGTCGGACATTTTTATATTTGAAAACGTTTTTTAATCGTAAAACTAACTTTAATCCTTTAAACATCAAACAAGATAAACAGTGTGTGCCATTCTCCTAATTCATACATTTGTGTTTCAATTCACAATGAATTTTGACATGAAAGCGAATTTGCAAGCATGGTCCGCAACGAATTTCTGAACATTTCAAACAAATGAGGTCTAAAATCAATTTGACGCAAAATACTTAGTTATTTGCTTTGCTTACTTCAATAAAGCGTCCTCCAGTCTTTCTTTTATCGTCATCGACGGTGTACAAGTCTATTTCCAACAATTTAAAAAGAAAAAACTAAAACAAATGTTTGTTTTCTGTATAACTTTGACATTTCTGGATAGAAGTTCGAATAGTTCGCATTTCCACAACGTGCAACTTGGTCACGTGACAAATGAAAGTGTTCTGATTGGGTGAGATTGACGATTGACTTAGCTCTTTCCCAAGGCTTGTAGGAGTGGTAGGGGGAGGAGGCTATAAGGTTTTTGATCTTTTTTCTAGCAAGTTTATTTACATCAGTCGCTTTTAAGTTTATCTTAAAACAATTTAGTCTTTCAAAAAATAAATAAAAGTTATATGGTGCCAAATGCTCTTTGAAACAAGAACACTTTTTGCGCAAAACTTTTAAAATTCACGAAGAGAGGGAGAGTGTCCCCATTGTCCTTCCCATAGTTACCAGGTCTCTGTTGATGTTAGATTAATTCAGACTCACTTGATGCAAACTCTCAGCAATGAAAAATTGGACATTATTCTTACTTACAGGGTGGTTTTCGTTTAAGCGAGTTTATAAGAGGTTAAAATTAGTAACATATTAGCAAGGACCCGAGAGCAATGTCTGTTGACGATGGGCATCCTCATCTGAGAGGTGTCTGCAAGAAAAGATTCGACTATATACGAATACTTTTATCAAGCCCTATGTTCTAGTATCATTTTGGATACATATGTACCACTGTGTGCCATTTCACTCCATATATATGTGCTGCTCACATAACATAAACTGTAAAGGTTTTTCGTACGTGTCTAAATAACCAAGCGTTATTTCGTTCGTATATGTGAGATTAAATATAAAAACGATCAACAACAGCACAAAACAGATCAGTTCTTTATCCAAATCTCCGTTGTGTCATATTTAGGATGCAAATCTTTGGGCCAGCAAATTCAACATGGTCAAGGGTATATCACGGATCAAAACCTTCCAATCTTGGATTTCTCGAGAAAAGGGAGAAAATATGTTCGATTTTTGGGGTTAAGTAGAATGGCACAAGGATACTATGAAAACACGATAAATTGTGACATAAAAAACAGTTCGGCGTACCTCAGTAACGAAGGAGACTGGCGCACATGGCCAAATGTCAATGATATTTTTACAGCAAGAGCTCAGCTCATGCCTAACGATGCAATCTTTCTCGTTCTGGAGGTAAGATGTGACTGATATCATTGCTTTCTGCTGTGTCTCTAAGAATTTTGTTTGATTGAGATGTAATTCTAAATCCAAATTCAAAACTGAGTCTAAATCTCAATCTAATCTTTTCTTGTGAAGAAAGGAAGTTTCATTGGCTCATTGTTGAAGCATGAGCATAAAATTGAAATCCTCGTTTTTTTTTCATCATAAATCTTTAGGTCTAAATCGCTAAATTAAACTTTCCTTAATCTAAAACCCTGTTCATGTGAATTTTTTTATTTTTTCTGCTCTAGAAAATAGTTCGATCATTTTTGAGAAACTTTGCATGTAATTTGTTAATGAAAAACATGATTGAAGCCTCACATTTCCTCTTTTCAAATCATTGATTTCTTATTCAGTGGGAGAAAGTTGATAAAAAATACCTCGGATTGATCGCTAAACTGATGTTTTCGTGCAGCAAAGCAAACGATAATCCAGAGACTGGATGCTTCGTTTTCAAAAGCGAAGGAAATCAAAGTTTAGGTGAGTTTAATTGCCTAAGAATACCAGAATACAGGGAGATCGAGTCATCAGTGAAATCAGATCCATGTAAATAGCTTTGTTTATTGCAGTCAATAATCCAAACAGAACTAATTATACACGTGAAATTTTTCTGTTTGCCTTTCAAAGTAAATTACTTTTTAATATATGAAGGAAAAGTTTGTCCTAATACCTTTTTTGAAGGATAAGTTCATGTGTTTTATTATTATAGATGTACTTCCAACTCCTACCACCAAAATGACAATCTCCACACTGAAATTTAATGTCATACCTACAACAAAACCTAAGGTAGGTAGAAATTTTCATTACACTATTCTGAGTAAGACTATCTTTTGAGCACGGTTCTTCAAAACTGTTGTTCTTCATGCATTTAAATCTGTAAAGCCCGTTTGGGTCTTAAATGTTTCAAATTTACATTTCAGCAGGTGACATCTGCAAAGGTAACAGTCCCCGTCGAGCGAGAAGATATTATTGAAAGCAAAACGTTTAGTGTGCCGATGTCGATTATCATTGGAGTATCCGTCGGAGTATGTCTCGTCATTATCGTTGTCATCCTTTTCGCTGTTTGCTTTGTTCGTCACAGGACAAGGTAAAGAGAATTCAAAATCTTATAAATAGTCATTTCGCGATTTGTTATGATTGAACGCAAAAATGTAGGCAAGTTTTCGAGTGGAAAATTTCAGGTGAGAGGTGGATTCAGGGCAAGCTCTACTATATAGTTGCGAGACAAGGCGGATGTTGTATGGCTTAGAGACAGTAGCATTGAGGAAAGAACAGATGGCAAAGTTGGAAGTACATAGCCGTCTGAAGATGGTAATTAAGGTTCTCTTCAGGGGTTAGACCTTTTGACATAATCAGAAGCAAGGATATCTGACGTGCAGCATGTGTTAGATGTTTTACACAAGAGGCCAGGCCCAAAACTATACTTAGATGATTAGGCTATGTGCATAGGATCAGTAGAATGATATTAACGTCAAGATTAAAAGGTAAGAGTCTTAGAGGAAGATACATGGTTACACTAGAAAAGATCATAATGCTATGTGCGTTGAGACAAGAAAATACAGTAGACAAAACTAGATATAGCTGACTGATGAAGAAGCAAGAAGAGAGAGAAAGGGTTTTAGAGATTGACAGCAAAACCATTGCCAATTTAACTGTTTTCTTCGCCAGTTAACATTGATAGCGTCTATTGAAGATGTTCCCTTTTATTCATTTTTGATTTGCTCTTCACAGAAAACATCCACAGCCAAAGGTGTCTCAAGGCAACAGTGAACCACCTCCCAAAGGTAAGATTTTTCAATACATTAGGTTTATTCATCTTTGCAGGTTGCATTCTTGTTATTGGTCACGAAATAGGTAGTTTTCACCTACAATCATTGCATCATCAATTATATCATGTTATTTGAATTACGACGATTGTTTGACCATCCTCGACCATGATTTTCATCTTTTTGACATATATTTTGGCTTTGTTGCTTTCGAGATGCAAAACTCCGGGGAATGGATGTCGCATGTCCTTCTATCTAACTTTAAATTCTTTTCATAATTTTGCTGATAAAACTAAAGGAATTAGCGCGAAAAAACTTTGTAATTATAGTTATGATTATAGATATCGATCAAAATAAAAGTGTAAACAAAGAGCTCTCTTTTCCAACACAGACATATTGCAATTGTTCTATAACAGATTCATTTTCTCTTTTCAGTACACATGACGACACAAGCTCGATTCGGTTTGATTCAAGATACGACCGTCATTGAGGTGGATGACGAAGATTACACGAGTTTGAAAACGAATAGGGAAAGCTATGATCCATATTGTTCGCTGAGCAGAGACAATGCTGATATGGTATGAATTGTTTGTGATAAAAGGGGATATACCCTAAGGGTTGTAGGAGCAGAGTACGCAGAAAAGTGGCTTAAAATTGTCTTAAATGAATGCATTCTTCTCGTCTCTAAAGACGATAAGTATAGAAATGACTTTAGATCAATTTAACTAACAAACTTGCTGTTTGCATTCATAGAATGTGATTGAAACCATATTAAAAGACGCAGCTTCAATGGGTAAGATCAAATTCTTGAAGTTATCAGATTAATCAACTTGTCGCCATGACTCTTGTAATTTACGCACAAGGAAAGATTTTTGTTGATAGTGTTAAAAGTTAACCGTCCATTCATTGAATGTACAGTAATTCTCTAAGAACCTTTCAAACAGAAATCTAAACTTCATGCTTCAGTTGCATACAAAAAGTTGGAAAAATTTCTTGAGCTGGCTGATTTTATTGCATGCATGCGCCTGAAAGTTGAATATGGGCATTTCATAATCACAGAAAGAATTTAATTGTTTTTCTGGTCAGTTGGTTTCATTAGTATTGAACTATTAGGTTTTTTACCTTCAAGATGAAGTCGGTACATTTGTACGTCATAAAATGTGTCTCCCAGCAAAATTCCCACTAAATTTTTCCAATTTTCTCATCGATCGATTTGTTGAGGTTTATATTATCCTTACCTATCCTTTAGAATCAATTTCTGCTTCATATGAGCCGCGATACAGCTGCCACTTGTCCAAAAATAATGGCGTGATTATCGAAAGTGTGAAATCTCCTTTGCGAAACCAATCGAGTTATCCCCTCCTGAAAAGGGACGATGACGTCACTGAGGATGATGATTCAAACGATCCCGATTACGAAGAGATGGACGACGACGAATATAATACTTTAATTTCCTCGTCTGGAATACCGAGTGTCAAGCCTCCGCTCCCAGACCGTGTTTACCATGAGTTAGAACCACCAAGGACAAGACATCATTCGGAATCACTGTAATGCTTTGAGCGCTTACGCCAGCCATTAGAATCATTTTCATTTTTCAGGGCCCCCGAAGATGGTAGCAAATTGGGTTGTTACTGTAACAATATGTCTACTTCTATTACATCGTCTGGTCATTCAACGCCACGGCGCTAGAGGCCGAGAAATGAAGAAGAAACAACAAGAGTTAAGTCAAAGAAAGAAGTTGTTTCACATTTAATTAGTCCGCTTTTCGGCAGAAAACAATCCCTAAAGTCTACAAGATATGGCCTAACAGAAGCTCAATACCAAATGCAAACACAAGCGCGCAAAGCATTACCGCGACAAAGATATTTAATTATTCATGTACGTGAACTTTCGTTCATAGAAGTGTTGTCAATATGCATCAAGTTTCCTCAATTGAGTTTGAAAACAATTCGCTTGAAAAGTCGTTCCTTCAAGATTTACGCTTTATTGTACTCTACTGAGACTCGAACTGGTCTAAATTGCCTATTTGCCATGGCACATTAGCCACTCCAGAGAAATCGAGTTGGGGCCTTATTGCACACATCTATAAAATACCACAAATAGCTAAATTTAAAGAAAGTGTTTGATAAAAACATTTAAAAAAGATTAAAGGTAGCCAACTTGAAACAATAAAAGTATAAAACAGTACTCAAATGCTCCAGGAACATAATTATCATTAACAACTTCTCTTTCTAAAGTATTTTAATCAGTGTGCAATGTCTCCGAAATCTGAAATTGTTTTGAAATGTATTGTGTAAATATAGTTGTTTTTGACCATGCAATTTCTTTAATGATTATACTGCATAGTACAATAACATCGTCATGTAAAATGCGAGAAATGCCTTTTAAAGACTCTAAAATCCAGTCAGTAGCCAGTCTGAGCCTGACTTTTCTCCTTAGACCAGTAGCACTCATTTTCAGCTTCTCTCCAAACGGCCTAACACTGACTCTAACCGCAAACCCCCAAAGTGTGTGATTATGAGACTAATTATTTGAGGTCTGTTTGATCATTCGAAGACTTTACAGCTCCGGCATGGGGAAAGTGATAAAAGGTCGAAAACCTTTTTTTTGCACAAACAGCAGGAAGATACAAAGGCATATCTCCAAAGAAATTGACAAAATTTTATGTTTCAATAATTACATAAAAAATTACTCTTACATGAAACTACATATTCTTTATAGCGGAGTTTTTCAGCACGCAATACATATATGAGAATTATGCATTCCTCATCTATCTAAAGATATATATCAAATTGAAGAAAAGAAAAACAGACATTTCAAAATACTCGTTCAATTTTATTTCACGGCAAAACGTTTTCTTTATCGACACAACCGTAATACATTTTGTAAATTTTGCTCTTCAGAGTACCGCTCTTGCCATCAAATCGAAACGCAGCAGCAAGGTAGAGATCGCCATCGTAAGAGAACGGCTGTAGGTCGTAAGCACCAATCGTGGTAAGGCCTTGAAATTTCGTGAACAGATTCTGTTTTGGATCATATCGATAAACCATCGAATGAGTTTCGAATTTTGTGGTCTCGTCATAGTAATTTGCAATTATGAGGTGAAGACGATCGTTGTAAAAGAAATGACCGATCTAGTTGAAGAAAATGAAGGAAGAACGTCAAACAAATCCCTTCCTTTCGAATTAAAAAAAAGAGAATGAAACTAGAATCGTGAATTTCCCATAGTTTTCATGTTCATTTTATAACACAAAGCTTTGTTGTGAAAAGGAAAACAATTAAAATCCGTTATCTTTCAACGAAATATGCAACAGCTAAACCATAAATTACAACTATTTTCAGTATTGGAAGATCAAGTAGCGTAACAGGATCGATGTTGTGATTATCAGAAGCATATATTCACATATGCATGCTCTACTTTTTTAGTTCCTCTTGAAATCAACCATTATTTATACGAAAGAAATGAGCGTTAGAGCCACTCTATTGGTCGTTTGCATGTTACGTCACAGCCGCCATGTTGGTCGAATTTGAAAAGGATTTTTCTTATTTACAATTCAAACATATCGAATATCTCGTTGCCTGTTTATTTTTGGTGAATGGTTGCAATCCATCCGTTGATATTTTTTCTGTGAAACATATCTTATTACACATATGATTACCATAATGGAGCATGTCAATTTCTTGTTTACCAATAGGTGGTGTGCAACCATTCCCGTGGGAATGAGAGAACAATGTAATTTTCGCCATGTTGGATCACATTTGCATTGTAAATAAGGAAATTCCTTTTGTTAAAATCATCCAACATGACGGCCATGACGTAGCTTGCACATCAACAATAGGTTCTCTGAGATAGCTAACCACATCCATAAATCAACTATATATGAACTACGCCATGTTTTACAGGAAAGTGATCCTATTCCCCCCCCCCCTCCCTCATACTGTGTTACGGGATCACACCATGAAATTAGGATGAGCATCATAATTGTTGGGGGGGGGGGTCATCTGCACTACTAGAAAAAGTGCAATGATAACATTATTGTTTCCTGAACTATGTACGATCTTCAATAAAAATGTATCGATTAACAATTTCATTACCTTGATTGCAGCACTTGTTTCGATTTCTTGAAATAAAATAAAAGCGGTACCGTTCCAGCGAAAGATGTTGCTATTGGAATACCAAGAGTTGGCAACACGGTAACTGGCTACTGCCAGGAACAATCCTGCCTCAGACTCAAACATATCTACTCCTTGCGCTTCCGATGCCTTCACGTTCTGCAGGAAGATGAAACGACTTCCGTTCCACACATATACTTCGGATAGCACATCTAATCTTAAGCTACGAATGGCGAAGACCAGAAACAACTTGCCATCGTTGCTACGGTAAAACTTCACATCGACTGCTCCTTTTGTGGCCAAGTTTTGAAACACTTCCAATTTTCCCCGAAGCCACTTGTATACAACAGATGTTGAAATACCTGTGTTATTCCTATAGTTTGCAAAAACCAAAAAGTTTTCACCATTGATGTTGAAGAATGCCGACTTGGATGCTCCGTACGTCTTCACACTCGTGTAGTTTACAAACTCGCTTCCATTCCACTTGAAGATGAAAGAGTCGAGTTCATGCGTGCGGCCATCGTAATGGTTTGCGGTGACTAAATACGATTCTTTACCATCAGAGAAAAACGTCATGGATCGGCAACCGATCGTGGGAAGCCGTTGATACATTTCAAAACGGCACGTCGTCGGATTCATGCGATAAATAAAAGAGCTCGTCTTGAAACCATCTTCTGATACATGAAAGTTCGAAACAGCCAAGAAAGTCCGTTGTTCGATTTGAAACACTTCGATGCCGACTGCTCCTCGTGTTTCAACTGTATGATGCGTGTGAAACATTAACTGCTTCTTACAATCGGCTTTCTGTTCAGTACGCTTTATTGTCGTGGTAATAGTGGGTATCGGTGTTGCAGGCTCCAGTGTGGTAATTGTACTCTCGAGATCGTATATGTCATGTATGTGATTGGTATCGTCCATATAAACCTTTTGCATCGGGATATCATCTAAAAGCATATTGTTCTGAGCACAAAACATTTGAAGAATGGGCTCGCCCATTTTTTTACGTTTTCAAAGAAAGGGACAGGGGTGGTAGATCATCGTTAATGTTTGCGCACAGTTCAGTTGCGAGGGGGGCTGCTAAGCTGTTGTTACGTACAAATGTTAGAATCTTACTCTGTTTCTCTGAGCCTGCATGCTAATTGCACATAGATCATCTATGTCAACTTTTTGTAAACAGGCTAAGACAACAGAAATCAGTAAGATTTGCATCTACGTTGGTTATTAATATAAATGCTGAAAACATGATAAATTGAAGCAACATACTTAAAAAGGAATCTGTCTAGAAGAGTTGAATGAATTAATTAATGAGTATTCATTCTCTCCTCCCCAAAAAATTAGCGTTCTAGTTTCGCCATTGCGTGTCACAGAGATATATCAAAGATATTTTCCTGGTACAAACTGACAATCAAGATCAACATTTGTCGGAAAAAATTCGTCAGATGTAAAAGCTGAACTACACAAGCATAATCACAGCTCATGTTCTCCCTACTTACCGATATCTACTATTTTCTTCTCTGCAAGTATCGTCAACAACTTCCGTGCTTGTTCTTTAGTCGTTCCCAGTTCCATTTTAACATCCACGACTTCCTTTGCGGCATACTGACATTTTGAACTCAACTCATGTAACTGTTTCTCCATCTCAAATACCTGATGAACAATATTGGCGGATAGAATCGATAGTAAAATCGATGATGATGATGCATCGTGATTGAAATCATTAAACACCTACTTTGTTCAGAGACCATTTCATCATACAGTCACGACCGTCTCTTCCTGGTATTCCTGGGGATCCTGGCAATCCTGGGGGACCAGGCACTCCTTAAAGTACACAATTTTCAAATTATTCATGTATAAACTACCTTAGATCATTAATCGCATAATGGTTGATAATTGTTGCAGTAAAAAATCCAATTTTTTAATCTTTAAAAGTGATGAACTTCAGAATTTGTTCTTCCTAAATGGAAATCATCTTTTCCAATAGCTATACCTTTGTAAAAAGCATTGGAATACCATTAAATATAAGCCCACCTATCCCAATAGCATTTAGTAGTTGCAGTGACAGCGCTAGAAAGCTAATTGGGAGATGCTTATTCATATATTTAGTTGTACTCGACTGACTTCTTTAGAAAACCAAATCACTTTCAAAAGAAACTACTTGCCCACAACTGAATATATGAATATACACCCCTTCTCCAATCAGCGTTTTAGCGCCGTCCCTGAGTAATTGTTCAACTTCTGACCAATAACGACTCATCTAAATCCCACATAAAAAGAAAGTTCCCCTTTTAATAAAATATTTTAAGTCCTAAATGGATGAATCTCGGCCAATCTGAAAAAGCCACTTGCATTTTCCTTGCCACTTTTATAGCTAATTTTGAAATTGAGTATTTTTCAATTCAAGAGACGATACATTTTTTTTACAGTGATAGATGACTTCATTTTCACATTGCAAATGGCATAGCTACCATAAATCTAATTAGTGCGAAATTTAATAACCTGGGATTCATTCTTAAAGAATTTACGACAGTGTATCTTGGAGCAAAGCAAATTTTTTTTTGTGGTATTTATTTGCTTGACATCGATAAAAATCATCGCGCAGACTTACAACAGCTAGACAGTTGCAAACAGATATAAGCCCTGGTCAAGCAAGCGCGGTTATATGTAGCTATGCTAATCTTTCTGTGCTCCCTAACTGTTTGAAACAATAGATTTCGAAAGAAATAAGTGATTACAATATTTTGAAATCCACGCAACAGGACCACGTCTGTATTCTAAAAAGTTACTAACACTCACAATCACTGAATGCAACAAAGAACTCTCGCTTTTATCAATGGCAAACTTATTTTTCCAGTGATAGGGAGATTTTTGCTCAAATATTTCAAAACAAGTTATCAGTGGATGGAAGAAACGTCTTGAAAGTATGCTAAGCTATGAGATGATTTTCAAGCCACTCTGAGTGTTAGTGTCAGTGAGTGAGCTTGTACAATACGGACGTTCCTATTGGTGTTATTGTGATGTTAGTCTTAATGTGGTGTTAGTGATAGTGTGAGTTTTAGTGTGACTTATTGATGGTTTTAGTGTGGTGTTAGATAAAAGTCTAATCTTAGTCCGTATGTTAGTCTTTGTCTTAGTGTTAGTCATAATAGTAGTCGTAGGGCGAATGTTAGTGTATTGTTTATGTGATGTTAGTGTAGTGTTGGCGATAGTGTTGGTGAGAGTGTTGGCGACGATTGTGTTAGTAATAGTCTCGTGTTGGTGTGTTGTTAGTCTTAGTATGGTGTTACGTAGAAGTAAGTAGTGTTAGTCTCATTGATTGTGTTAGTAATAGTCTATGTCTTAGTGTGATGTTAGTCTTAGTATGGTGTTACGTAGAAGTAGTGTTAGTCTCATTGATTGTGTTAGTAATAGTCTATGTCTTAGTGTGATGTTAGTCTTAGTATGTAAGTAGTGTTAGTCTCATTGATTGTGTTAGTAATAGTCTATGTCTTAGTGTGATGTTAGTCATAGTGTGAACATTTTAAGTTGGTGTTAGTCTCATTGATTGTGTTAGTAATAGTCTATGTCTTAGTGTGATGTTAGTCATAGTGTGAACATTTTAAGTTGGTGTTAGTGTTTGAACCCTCATATAGTGAATTTGAGTGCGAGTGAGCTTTTAGAATACAGGGGTAAAAATTGCATCCTGTCAACGCCAAGGAATATGATAAAAACGAAAATGACACCAAGAAGGACAATTTACTTTACGATCATCCACTATGAGTTATTTTTTGTGTAATCAGAACTTCGTTTCACTTTGGGCTAAGTTGTTAAGGTATTTTAACTAACAGATTTTGTAGTGGCATTCTTACCATCACGACCGTCCCTCACCAGACATCCTTTGTCCATTTTCGTCTCATTTATTTTCTAAAACGTGACATTTAATTATCAGTTAAAGAGATGCGATAGTGACGGCATGTGGTTCACGTCACTCATCTACTTTCACACTAGATACAATTGCACAGTTAGACATATTACAATGCCTGAATTGAATTCTAGACATCTCTACAGACGAGCCAACGTGTTGACAGTGTTGCAATAATGTAACTAAAGCTTACAGATTTGCAAGCTTCTTTTCTCTTCATAAACATTTTTTGCGAAGTGTTTATTGTTAAAATTGTGATGTAAATAATCGATTGCAATAAACTCGGATTACGTGATCCACTTTATAGCAAGTTTTTGGATTCTTTCGACATTTAAAAGACTTTCAAAACACAAAAAGGTGTGATGCAGTTGCTTTCCACATCAACAAATTAATATTCCAATGCGTCCAGATTACGAGCTTCTTTTGAAAATTCAATCAAAATATCCTGGTAGCGTCAGAAAATATGAAAGAAGACTCCTTTCCATCATGTATGTCTCCTGATATACACTTCAACTGCAAGCTAGTGTTTTTAAATAATTAAACGATTCTAATACAGCGCGTACTGCATGGTAATTATCTAACGAAAAAGGTGCATTGTGCAACTCTTCGCCAGTTCTCATTAAAGAAAGAATTTAGACTTTACACGAATCTATAACGCTCTTTATTCTTTAATCAAACTGAGTTGATATAATCAGATGGAAGAGAGGTTGGTTTCTAGAAGAGTTTAGTTTTTACAGTTTCAATATGTTTCATCCAATATCCTCTGCAAGTCGTTTAGCTAAAGATGTAGCTTCAAGAATTAAGTGCATGACATGCTGATAAGTATATGCAATATGATTTAATGGATGATATAATGTTAAATTGGCCTTACGTGAGAATAACCTGATATGTATCTGCATTTAGTAATTAAATAATACAATTCTACAGACTTTAATTTACCCTTATCGATTTTCACATATTGAAATTTACTGTAAAATAATGCTCTGAAAGCCAAAGGTGTGGGATCTTCAATCGATTCATCAGTTATTCATCCATCATCCATCATTTAAGTCCGGATATTTTTCACTTCGTTCATTGCTCACATCTCAACAACAATCAAAATCGTGCGAGAATTAATCGAACGCAACGATAAGCGCCAGTTTCTTTTACGAACACTGGCGCGCAACGTCCAAGTTTGACAAAGTGCATTTGTATTTGCCTTGATCATGTTGCCATTGTTTCACAAAAATATTTTTAGTCTGACGAAAACGTAAACGATCTTTGCCGATTCTTTAATTGCTCAGCTGAAAATTCAATGACATATGTATGATCTTTCACTTTGCAAAATGCCTACCTGACCACCATTCAAAAAAACGTTAACGTTTCCAAAGTAATAAAATAAAATTGTACATAAACAGTATAGAGAAATTACTCAACAAGTGCAATTATATTTTAAAAACAGGTTTCACATAATGTATGAAAACTGAATAGAAAAGAAAATGCTGTTTCAAGTAAACTCTTGACTGCGTAGCTTTTGTCCACTGCAGAGCACTACCAGTCAAAATTTGATGCATTAATCATTCACACACAGAATGAAAGTATCAAACTGCAAATGTTAAAAAGAAGATTTTCGTAGGTCAAAGACTTAAAGTGTACGTACTCTCTACATTTTCAACAATTCAGGCGAGTCCATTGTTAAAGATTAGTTAAGGGAGGAAGTCTCTTTAAAATCGTATGATTACAATCGCGATTAATATTTGGATAAACAACAAAAGATTTGAAGAACTATTTTTGATAACTGTCGGATTACTTCAAATGCTGTTTTCGTGTGGTAAAGAAGAGTGCACTGCTCTTCGTGTTATTGCAGTCACACGTGAATGAAACAGCTCACTGCTGTGTATCAAAACAAACAATGGAAGTGCATAGCTATTTTCAGATATTTCAGCGTAAACATTTTAAAATTCTTTGCGTAGCTTTCCTTTTTTAACTCACTGAATGTGCGAAGTCTTTGTTTTCGTTATTCAAGGCATCAATTAACAAAATGATACTCATTGAAACTGGTCGTAGCTATATAATATAAATGGCCAGAGAGGAAATAGTTCAAAAAGACGAAAGAAAGTGCGTATTCACTAAGTGACCTAACCCCGAAATGAAAACATTGTAACTTTGTCAATCAAGGCAATCAGTTTTGACTATTTCTCGAAGGAACCTAGCAAAGTGTTATACTAACACGTGGTAAAAATTCTTTTTAACTTTGACCAGATATAAGTAAAAGTTTTGTCATACCTCCCTTGACTTCAAGAGAACGCCATTACACGCAATCGTGAAAAAGACGCAATATAAGGCAACTCGACTCCAAAACAACTGCGTCATTTCTTGAGAAGCTCTTCAAAATTTCACAAAAATATTAGTCTCTTTTCTGGTAACGTGACCACAAAAACAAACGTTCTGTTTAAAAGCTTTGACTTATAGCTTTATCATCCAAATGAAAAGACAGAATGATCTCGTTTCTTCCACAAACTGTGTTTTAAACCCCCCAGTGAAACAGCATGCTTCGTTAAAAAAACGTATCGCTTGCTACAAGAGTTAATTAACTCGGGCTAATTAAACAACAATTATCGCGCTTTGATCTTGACAAATGACTTGGAGAGATAACGAGATAATGTAATGGTTGAATGAAATGTAGATTGCATTGAGGACTTATAACATCCAAATCATCCAAAGTCAAGAAAATTGTCAAATTGAAGTAAAGATCGTCGGTGTAACTTGACCTTCTTGAGTAGGGAGGGAAAGGGTTAAAATCAAAATGGCATGGTCCGTTCTCTTGATGAAACTCGTTTAAAGTAGAATCCAGTCGAATTCCCCGTGTTAAGGCGTTCTAATTGTTGCTTTTTCAGTTTGACGAGGTTTAGTTTGAGAAGGTTTTGTGGCTTTCGGAACAATAATTGGCAATCGATTTAAATATCGAATATCGAATCATCTAGCGTAGATTCGCCACGACTTTCTGAGCTAGAAGTTTCCTGAAGACCTGGGTAAGAGTTCTCAAAAGAACTCAGGCCTTCAGTTGTACTTCTTAACTGAGAAACGTGACTAAGAACAGCAGTAAACTCTCTTTCGCTAGGTGGCCATATTGGAATGTTTTCATTTTCGTGACTACTAGAGTGACGTAACAGTGCAAGTTGTCTCATCTCCCCGGATTTGACAGTAGATTTTATTGTAATTTACTCCGGTTAACTGAAACTTGATTAACTCCCATTCCCTGGTAACTGGAACAAATTTAAACACCCCTTATAGTCAAATTTAATATCGTTAACTGGATCTTAATCTCAAAACGCAAAAGATAAACCTGAAGGCTTAAAATTTTGCAAGCCGAAAGTGCAAACTCGATTAAAACAACAAGAAATCAATAATTTATGCATTCAACGTAGTTTCAAAAGTTCATAATAAACTATTTGCACCAAAGTTTGTATCATTTAATTTTATTGATGTGCATTGCGTAATTCGTTATTAGCTACATTAAGTACTGATCTTTCCGTGGTATTTATAATCACACTTGAAGTGAACTATCTGTGTATTGCTTTTGTTGAAGCTCACACTTATAAATGAGCACTGCTAATGTTTTCGAATTGATAAAATGTAAGTTAATAATTATAACACTTCGCCAACTCGAGGACAATTTTTTGTTTCAAAAGTTCCGTTTCAAAGTTATTGAGAGTTTAACTGTACGTTCAACGTATTTAACAATATCTTAGTTGTTTTCCGGCGACCAACATTATGTTACCTGTAACAGAAAAGGGAGATGCCATACACTCCACGGTGGCTATACGCCCCTTAAAACACATAGAATGAACTGGCATGACCTTTTCAATTCTTTTCACTTCTTCTCAAGTGTAATGAAAAAACTAAGTTCACTTAGCAGTTTGCTTATCTTCAAGTTTAAACGTAACATTTTACATCAAAAGTATCTAGAGGACTATATTGTTTATACTACGTCAGCAGTCATCTTTTTCATATACCAGATGGACTTGCGAAATCTAGCAAACAAAACCCTAAAACAGTTGACAGATATGAATTGTGAAGTGACGACGCATATTGAGAAAAAATTGAGATCGAGTTCATCAGAGTAAAAACCACGATGAGTGATGATCTCCTTAAAAACCTTTCTGTGAAACATAAACGTATGCTTCCTCGTTCTATGGCTAGATATTTTTGTAAATGCAATTGAAAAGAACAGAAAAGGAGAAGAACACAGGAGAAGGTTATTTTGCTGCCTCGGACTACGTGTATTTATTTTGTGATGATGTATTTTCGAAAGTAGTTTTACACAAGTGCTTTCTAGAGCAATGACTGGGGAGGCGGGCAAATTCCTTTTGTATTTAGGCTCTTGTTAAGGACATGCCAAGGCGTATCCATTTATCTTCAGCAGTACCTTTGGAGCCATTTGCACGAAGTCCAGACGGCGCTATCAAATGGATAACGATTTTCTGATTGCTTCAAAAAACCATTAAAAAAGGAAAAAGTTGCGATTGAACTTGGAGAATCTACAGAACAAATTCTTGCCACAAACCCAAAGACTATAAATCTTTTTTTTTTGAAGAATAAACCATAATGAATTTTCGTTAAGTTTAGGAAAGTGATTATCCAATGGATATCCGGGCTTTGCGCACCGCCCCCTGGCTGAACTTTATCACATTTGCATTATCTCTAATTGAAAAATCGTGCTAAGCCGCATGGTTTCGCCAAATCGTTCTAATTGGCTGAAGTTCCTTTTCCAGATAAGCTACGGCAGTATTCAGCTCAATTAAACGCACTTTGACAAGATGGTTGCAAACATACAAGCGATAAAAGAATAAACGCTCTACGTATAAGATGCAGGCATGGCTTTCGTCCGTTTGGCCTGTTTTATGTCAAAAAAATAGTGAAACCTGTCCTCAAATACAGACAAAAACTCAACTTAATTACAAAATTTTAATGTAGTTTTCAAGTTTCAACTTTCAAGTAGCATGGAAACATTGATAACTGCTTGTCCTGACTCAAATTTTATCAAAATTTTTGACCAAAATTTACTCCACAAAACTTTGCTGATAATCACCAAACATTTCTAAAATGAGGAAATCGATCTTTTCTTACGAGACATACAGCTCAAAATACTCGACTGAACAAGTCGCTATCGTTTTATATCATTGAAGTCTTTGCACATGCTCAGTGTAGCACATGTCTTTATTGTAAATATTCTGTTTTGGGCGTATAAAAAATCCCTAATCCAATCCTCATTCTGGTAAAGCACAAGACAATAGAAGCTCCGTATAAAGTAAACATTATTTGCATCATGGAATGCTTTTCCACGTTGGCTTACGAACAAATTGATCAATATCTACACAAAACCTCTCAAACATAAGCGTGAAGACATCACACAACCTGTCATTTGGATCCATCTACCCTTCATAGGTGTAAAGGTCGTAGAATTGTTAAGTTGCACACGCAAGCTTTCTCGTTTTCTCAAAAAAAACTGTAAAATTTATAAATCACTGGGAAACAACTGTTGAAATTAAAAACTTCACTTCGTAGAAGGATCATTATGCAAAATCGGACAAATCAGAGAGAAAATTAAACATATCTGTTCCTTACTAAATTTGCCTGCTAATCTAATAAATCTTAATTATTCTTTTAGTTTAGCTGATATAATTTTTCAAAATTGTAAAATTGTTGATCCTTCCAACAATTGCTCCTTATTATTATTCGAAGAGGCCTATCACATTCATCTTAACAATCTTTTACTGAACCATGGTGTACGCACGCCATATGAGTTAACAATGTTTAACAATTTTCCGTTGATTACTGATTGACTTAAATTAAATGAAGTGAAATAAAGTTTAAACACGTTCTTATTTATAATTTGTAATTTTTGAAAAGCTAACATTTTTCTACTGATGATATGATGACATGTAACACATGTCGAAACGTTTAGATTAAATATTGTTTACTATTGTCTAGTGTTTATCTAGTGTCTATTGTCTTGTGTTTTACTAAAATACTCTTTAGCAGTAGTAATTTTCGATCCTCATTCACCATTTAATAAGATTATCACATTTTTCCATTGAGAAAGAAAATTGTCGTAAATTAAGGACGTTCTATTTTTTCAAGTGGAAGTATTATAAATAAAGCTTTTTGTATTCGGATGTATTGACAATTTCTGTTATAAACCTGAAATGTTCTGTTGCAAATCGCTTTGAGTATTATGTATTTGTCTGCATAGTGGTCAGCACATGCTGACCTGAAGACATTTTGATCATTTTACCAAAGAAATGGACTTCCTTCAAGCCGAAATAGACAGAAAAGCAAAACAGCTCAAGCAAAATAAAGTCACTTCGGTTCGTGATGAAAACTCGTTTCAAGATTTGGAAATGGATCCAAATCGATCTTGTTTAATCTGACGAATGTATTTTGCTTGAATAGGAAAAGAAGTATTTTCGTCGGGGTGACCTGGAAAAGCAGAAAGCAGAGGAATATCATAAGAAACAAGAGGTTAATTGTTATTGAAATTCACAAAATACCGAATGGCTTGTTGTAAACTTGTAAACAAGCAACAAAATTCATTTGTCGTTTCATTGTCATTTATTGCTTTTTTACTGCAGGAAAGACGTTTAGCAAAGCTTGGAAAGCATGTAAGTCTTATATATCCCAGTGAACAACATATTATAATAATAGTTCCTAAGTCCCTCAGCCAGTCAGCCTCCTTGTTCAGTTTGTTAATTTTGACAGTGTGCTCTCCCCCTGAAAGTCTTCCCTTGCACACCATGTTACTTTCAAGTTATGTTGTAAAGTAAATATTTTAATGGAAGATGGGATTTTCCGATGAAAAGTTCGTAAATTTTTTTCTTGTTTAGGGTATAAAAGATGACCAAGGAAATTCCTCTGACATTTTTGCGAAGAAAAGAAAGAAGAGCGAAGATGAAGCTGCAGCTTTGAACCTTCTTCCAAAAGATGAGGCAAGTTGCAAGATGGGCATTTTTTATAATCCTAGCTGCATTTCATGGCAGAAAGAACTATTTAGTCAATGTTAATGCCAGAGTTGGGAAGAAGAGCTGAAAGTATGTAGTCTTTGTGAGTATGTTAGTTTGGGAAGGATTAAGTGAAATTTTAGAAAAGTAGATGATTTCTTAGATGATTCCAAGTTGTTTTGGTTGTCTTTGATTAGGTCAAAATCATGAGAAATTGAACATAAAAAATTATTCTTCATCAGGTTATTCGGCGTCTTAGAGAAAGGGGAGAACCAATCAGATTGTTTGGTGAATCAGACCAAGAAACAGCAAAGAGATTGAAGTAAATAAGTTTCAACTTAGCTTGGTATTTTTTGAATCACAACTCTATGATATTGTACTAACACGCATCTGTAAATTCATTTACATTCCTTTAAAATGAAGTCCAGGCATCAATGTTTTAAATGTAAAATATTTTAAAATTTCACTTTGAAGGTTGCTGGAGATGCTGGCTCCAGACATTAATAAAGGTCTGAGAAATGACTTTCGTGAAGCAATGGAGCAGGTTGACCAAGATTATCTCGATGACATACTAAAACAACAACAGGTATTTGATCATTCGAATGTGCGGGACTGAAAGCTACCTGTAGGTACACGTATGTATCAGTATGTATATGTACCTATCTATGTGGTGATTTAAATTACTTTTGTAGGGTGCTAACAGTGAAGATGTGGAACAAGAGAACAACATCAAGGTTAAAAATGATGGCACAACCTTTGAAAGCATCCAGGTAAAGTTAGAAACATATGCAAGGATTGCCAACTCTTATTTCACATTGGTGTCATATTGTCCATTTATATAAATCTAATTGGCCATTAATAAATGGTGAAATCTTCCTGAAGGCTCCCATTTGAATATTTCTTCTTTTCCGGCTTCTCCTCTTTGGGATTACCACAGCAAATCATCCGCCTCACATATTTCTGTTTAATTTATCCTTTTGTCTGAATTCATGTCCTCTTCCAATGTGTCCGTCTATATCTTCTTTGGTATTTCTCTAGCACTCTTAATTTATCTTCTCTAAATCAGCATCCTTCTATGTACCTTTAGGCTTTTAGTTATCTTCTCTAAATCAACATCCTTCTATGTACCTTTAGGCTTTTAGTTATCTTCTCTAAATCAACATCCTTCTATGTACCTGTAGGCTTTTAGTTATCTTCTCTAAATCAGCATCCTTCTATGTACCTTTAGGCTTTTAGTTATCTTCTCTAAATCAACATCCTTCTATGTACCTGTAGGCTTTTAGTTATCTTCTCTAAATCGACATCCTTCTATGTACCTGTAGGCTTTTAGTTATCTTCTCTAAATCAGCATCCTTCTATGTACTTGTAGGCTTTTAGTTATCTTTTCTAAATCAGCATCCTTCTATGTACCTTTAGGCTTTTAGTTATCTTCTCTAAATCAACATCCTTCTATGTACCTGTAGGCTTTTAGTTATCTTCTCTAAATCAGCATCCTTCTATGTACCTGTAGGCTTTTAGTTATCTTCTGTAAATCAACATCCTTCTATGTACCTGTAGGCTTTTAGTTATCTCTCTAAATCAACATCCTTCTATGTACCTGTAGGCTTTTAGTTATCTTCTGTAAATCAGCATCCTTCTATGTACCTGTAGGCTTTTAGTTATCTTCTCTAAATCAGCATCCTTCTATGTACCTTTAGGCTTTTAGTTATCTTCTCTAAATCAACATCCTTCTATGTACCTGTAGGCTTTTAGTTATCTTCTCTAAATCAGCATCCTTCTATGTACCTTTAGGCTTTTAGTTATCTTCTCTAAATCAACATCCTTCTATGTACCTTTAGGCTTTTAGTTATCTTCTCTAAATCAGCATCCTTCTATGTACCTGTAGGCTTTTAGTTATCTTCTCTAAATCAACATCCTTCTATGTACCTGTAGGCTTTTAGTTATCTTTTCTAAATCAACATCCTTCTATGTACCTTTAGGCTTTTAGTTATCTTCTCTAAATCAGCATCCTTCTATGTACCTGTAGGCTTTTAGTTATCTTTTCTAAATCAACATCCTTCTATGTACCTTTAGGCTTTTAGTTATCTTCTCTAAATCAGCATCCTTCTATGTACCTTTAGGCTTTTAGTTATCTTCTAAATCAACATCCTTCTATGTACCTGTAGGCTTTTAGTTATCTTCTAAATCAGCATCCTTCTATGTACCTTTAGGCTTTTAGTTATCTTCTCTAAATCAACATCCTTCTATGTACCTTTAGGCTTTTAGTTGTCTTCTCTAAATCAGCATCCTTCTATGTACCTGTAGGCTTTTAGTTATCTTCTCTAAATCAACATCCTTCTATGTACCTGTAGGCTTTTAGTTATCTTTTCTAAATCAACATCCTTCTATGTACCTTTAGGCTTTTAGTTATCTTCTCTAAATCAGCATCCTTCTATGTACCTGTAGGCTTTTAGTTATCTTCTCTAAATCAGCATCCTTCTATGTACCTGTAGGCTTTAGTTATCTTCTCTAACTCAGCATCCTTCTATGTACCTGTATGCTTTTTATTATCTTCTCTATATCAGCATCCTTCTATGTACCTGTACACTTTTAGTTATCTTCTCTAAATCAGCATCCTTCTATGTACCTCAAGGCCATTAGTTATCTTCTCTAAATCAGCATCCTTCTATGTACCTCAAGACCATTAGTTGTTCCTTCTCTTTACGAGACCAAGCCATCTAAGATGATCACAGAGGTTTAATACTAAAGCTCTTATTTCATTGAATTTTTTGCAGGAGATGGCAGCAAAATTTGCCAAAGGCGACAAAGGTTTCGACCAAGAGGTCATCTACAAGTTTTTAAAATTCCTCATGGATCTGTGGGCTACAGATTTAAATGATCGACCATTGGAAGTGAAGAGAAGCATTGAGGTGCGTCTACCCACCCCACCCCACCTTTAGACTCCTTGACTTGTAAAAACACTCCTTAGAAGTGAAAGTCCGGCAACCTACATATTCATGATGACATTAAAGTATCTAAGCAATCTAGTAAAGATTGAACTTTGAATGAAAAGCATAGTCAACCCGTGATCGTTACTATGACAACACTATGTACGAGAACAATGAGGACTTGAACTAGTAGGTTAGCTCAGTTGGTTTGGGATTATTGATTTACGCTACGGGAGTGTGAGTGTTCAGTTTATTGCTCATCAGTAGGGACGTGACGAACTGAACGTTTCCCCAAAAAACCATCTTTGAACATTCCAGATCTCTGTGATGGCTGTTCGTTCACTTCGAAGGGCTTGATAAGAGAGATAAGCGGAACAATCCAGTAGTTTCACGTAGCTAATGACGAACTGAATACCGGGGTCACAGGACAACACGATAACCTTAGTCGTGTGTTTATGTATTTCTATTCTGGAATCGTTCGATAATTGAAAGTGATATAATTCCATAGGGGAAAATGGCAATGGCCACTCATCGACAGACCGAACGATATCTGAAACCTCTTCTTCGTAAACTTAAAGCAAAGGTTAGATTTTGTATGAAATGCTGGTTCGTGTCATAAGCTACTGGATTTCATAGTTGACGAAGCAGTTTCTTAATAATTCTCCACCACCCCCCGGTTGGATGTTGTTTTTGATGGGATATTTTGCTCATTATGTTGCTTATGATCAGACCAGCATATTATTGTGGAAAAATTTCCACGTTGCGTGATATTTTAAATGAATTAACCAGATCATTTATAAATCATTGTTTAATCTGGGACGCGAGCGTTACGTTAAAATCAATCTATAAAAAACATTCGAATCTCTCCCTCTCAAAGGTTTTTGTTTTTGAATAGGTGTACGCATTCTTCAATGCGTACATTTTTTCCATAGCGCTTTGTCCTCCGCTCTCCTTTTAATGTCTAGACAACCATCTTTCAGATGGTAACATCAGTCAAGTGTCTATTTTTTAAGTTAATTAGCGTTTATCTTGCTGTCCTAGGCAACACCGTCTGATATTTTAGATTTCCTCATCGAGATCATCGGTGCTTTACTGGAACGCGAATATGTTAAGGTAGTGTAGGGATTTTACCTCGTAGCTTCTTACAAGAAATTCAAATTGTTTTACGTTGCATTCGCTTGGCAGAATAACTTTAAAACATTTTAATTCCAGGCAAACGATTCCTATCTCCAAATGGCCATAGGCAACGCCCCTTGGCCCATTGGAGTCACCATGGTTGGAATTCACGCCCGAACAGGGAGAGAGAAAATCTTCGCTCAACACGTTGCCCGTATCCTTCACATAAGTCAAATAATATATTTGCTATTTACTGTGCTATTTACATAAATCGACTGAATAAAAAAAACTTAAACAGATTTCTTGGCCGCCTATGGTACAATACTCAGCCCTTAATAACCGAGCTCGAGGTCTTTACGGAGAAATATCATACCGAAGTTTTTTTGTACAAACTGAGACCGTAGGGCGAGTATACACGTATAGGTCCCTTTCAAGGCGAAATATACGTGCTCCTATACGTACTTGTAAATGAAAAAAAGGGGTGGGTTGGAAAGGACAAGAGAGGGGTTTGCTGGTTTACAACAAAATTTCTTCGCGATAGGAATTTGAGGTCCAGGCTCTACACAAGAGATAGCAGTCTCTCATTGTACTTCTTAAAATATCTATTTTTACCTTAACCTTTTTATTAGATGTGCTTAACGACGAAACGCAACGAAAGTATATCCAAGTAAGCTCTGAGCTTTGTCTCTCGTGGGAAAAACTTTACTCATTTGTTTCTTTTTAACAATTCTCAGCGCATTGATACTTGGAAGTGTGACAATTTTTATCAATAACGATGTGGTAGATGTTTATTGATTTTTTTATTTCTACATTCAGGCCTTGAAAAGATTGATGACTTTCTGCCAGAAGAAATTCGAAGCAGATCCTTCAAAAAGCGTCGAATATCACGCCGTGTAGGATACAACAGCCGAAAACTCAAGCGCTTTCTGGTGCATGGGTAGTATGTTTTCGATAGTTTACTATGTTGGGCAATTAATGAAGACGTTACTTTGTGTTTTGCAAGGTTTAATTTTGCAAAGAAACTATAACAACCTCTTTACAGACTTTGAAATATCACCATCCAGTGGACAAGCAGTGTTATCCTTGAGTATAACTTTCTTGTTGGCCATTTCAAGCGTGTTTCTTGTGCGGATACGGATTTACACGTAAAAGAAACTGATAAGTGCATGTGTTTATTTGAAAATATATAACTTCGATGAAAGGTTACACGGTAGCTAAATAATTTTAAGACTGGTATTCCTTTTAAAAAAAAATTACAGCGAATAAATAAATTTCATACAACTGTTAGGTCAAACCTACTACAAATCTTACATTCCTTGAATAGATGTAACGATGACTTGCTATCTATATAGATTAGCAAAATTGGCTAAAAACTGAGACAAACGATAGAAAATAGGTGTAAGGATGTGGCGCATTAACGTTCTGTTGATATAACCGTAGTTCTATGTATAAATACACTGATAAATACCAATAATTTAGAACCCAGTCTTCTAGATGTCTAACTGCCGTGTCAAGATGAGGCAAGGACGCCATCATAGAATAGAGGGAAAAAAGTAAAACTCAAAATGAAAAGTGAGGTAAAATAAAGTTTAAAAAACCTTTCCTATCAAACATTTGAAGATTTAAACCCATACTATGAGCTTTGCAACTTTATATCAACTCAGCAAAAGCAGATATTAGTCGTAAATATTGTCAGTTTTGCCATACAATATCGGCGGAGTCAGTTAACTAGTGGATTGGGTTCTAGATCATTGATAAATACGCTGGTCTTTCTGTACGGTTTTAACCACTACCGTTGAGTGCGAGTACTTGGAAATGAAGATTGGGTTCTAGGTCAATGATAAATACGCTGGTCTTTCTGTACGGTTTTAACCACTACCTTTGAGTGCGAGTACTTGGAAATGAAACGCAAGAAACATTCAGGATGACGAAATTGCAAGCAGAATGAAGACAGTAATGCAAACTTTCATATAAAGGCGTGCACTTTTTAAGCCAGAGTATATGCAAAAATCTTGCACAAATGGTATAGACTTCTAGACATGATTCATGTTAGCCACATTTGAAAAAATATTGAGAAAGCGTCAAACAGTGCCGTTCCCAGGATTTTTTGGGAAGGAGGGGCAGTAAAATATGGCCATGCCCCCCTTCTTGCTACGTCACTGGCGTCAAACAGCATGGATTTTAATTAAACACAAAGCAATAGGCACTCCGTAAAAAGTCAAACCTTATTTATTCTAAAATAGAAATAAAAGTAATAAAAATGTTCACCTTCTACAGAGTGTCTACTGCTTTGTGTTTTATAAAAGAACTCTTTAGAAAGTCGTAATCGTTGATCTTACAATGAAAAATTCCGCGCGCGCGTGGTAACATCCATTTCTTCTCGAGATATGCACCACATCAATGGTAGGATATCTTGATTTCACTGACAACCATCAAATGATCGGACGCGTACAACTCCTCTGGAATTCTATTGAAAACCAATCTAATCATATCAGACAGGCCAAATTTCACCACGCTGTAAAACAGCACAAATCCAATCGACAGATACAAAGTTAAATGCCTGTAGGCGAACCATCTTGGGCAGAAAATTAGACTCCTTACGGCCTTCAGTTTGCTGTGTTTTGCTACGACACAGAACGACAAATACGCAACACCAACAAGAAAACTCGTGAAGGTGTATCGTAACATCACGATGATGTGGTAATGCAATGATGTGCATTCAGTACATTCATCGAGATCACAGTTGAAGGCATCCCCACCTCCAACACAAACCCCACAACGACATGAACCATGCGGGCCACAGTCTATATGACACGTATATTGAAATTCCTTGTCCCCTTGCCATCGATTCTTCGACATTTGAGTGATGGTATTGAAGCGACTGACATAGTTCCAAAAGCTATAGCTGCTACCGTTATGTAGGCCATGGCCATATAGCGTGGTTTTCACTGGATCCAAACCAACACGAGATAGTAAAACCCGATCAGGTCGATTGATCAGTCCAGGAAACAGCTATATAAGTACGTGAGGAGAAGATCTCAAATTCCAAGATTCATATCCTAGTTTCCATATTGGAGAACAACTCTTCATGGCAACTATTCCCCCCCCCCCTCTTTTCCCACTGTGCTGAATTTTTCGTTTCACGTCAATGAGCCGCTTTGCAGTTTGAAGATACGCTTTGCAACTTTTTGAATTTTCAATGACAAACTTATCGTGGACTTATTTCCCGTTAATTCATATCCTGGCTTACTTAAAAAGCAGGAAACAAAGGGGGTTGAATTGAGTTCTACGTTACAGGTAATTATTATGGGAGTATCATTTAAGGGTGGAAAAATTGATACAATTAATGAGAACCTTACGATTCTCCCTTACCATTCTCTTCAAATTATAACGTTAACTCTTCAACTCCCTTTCATCTTACCATTCTCTCCAACTTGCCATTTTCTCTAACTTAGTATTCTTCTCAACTTACCATTCTCACTTTACCATTCCCCCATAACCACTCTTGTCAACTTACCATATTGCTGAATGTCATTCCACCTTTTTTATCCAGACTTGTTGATGGCCACGAATCATCAAATCCATACCCTTCTTCACTGCCAACCTTTTCAAAGCCAGATTGCGGTGGACAACCATTGGGCTCAAAGAAACCATTCATAATCGCTTGGATTGGCCACTCATAGTTAGAATATGTATTGAAATCACCAGCAATCACGGTCCTGTCTGCACCATTTGATGTGATAAAATTAATTAATCGCATTGCATTTTGGCATTGAAGGGACTTATCTGTAGAAAAATGAACAAGGACATAAAATACTTCATGTCCCTCATACTCTATCTGAACTTGCAGCAGTTCTCGTGGAGAGGGATCAGCTTGACTGGATTTCGATAATGGTATATGATGTGACATGACCAACGAATGTTTGCTAAGTATACCAATTCCTTCTTCTTCCCAGCCTTGTATGGCCTTTTTACCAAACTTTGAGCTTTCTACAGTTTTTGTTGGATGGTAAATACGATATTTATACTCCGGTAAAATACTTTGAAGTTGTTTCAGTTGATTCTGTTTGCCATCCTTTTGTGCTCTTACTTCCTGAAAGCCTATGATGTCAGGATTGGCTTCACGGATCTGAAATATTCGTGATGATTAGTTACGCCATATGTACAGATGAAATTAATAATTTGATCTCCTTAAATGATCAATAAACTCATATTCATCCAATTGATCAATTCATTAATCCATCCCATTTGCAAAATAATCAGAACAAATTTTAGTCTTATTATGAAATATGAATACACGGTGTACATCTAATGAAAAAAATAGACCACAATTTCGATCCTCAGCAGTCCCCCTTCCCCCAAAAAAAGCATCATATTTGGCTCACCAAGTCAGCAATGTAATATTTCCTCGAGTCCCATTGAAACATAACATTCCACAAGTTGTACGTTGCAACGACAAGATTTTTTGCCGAAACTCCACTTTTCAAACGCAATTCCAGTAATACTACATACAATAATAGAAACCAGTTCTTTGGCATTCTCGTCAAAACAAATTTAACTCAAAAACTCACACCATGTCTTATTTCGAGGAAGAGAATTTTCTTTCGACTTATGCTCTTTGTTTGCCTAATCGAGCAGAACCAACCACAAAATGGAACCACTGGAACCAACTATAGGAAGCCGTAGAACGAGTTGTCATTACCGCGTTTCCATCGCTCAAAATCAAATGTACTATGGTAATCAGCCTGAGTCATTGCAGCTGCCTTTTAAAGTTCCCCGCCTACGTGACTGTGCAGCGTTTAACCAATTTTAATTGGGGTAAATGATAATTTGCAAAAACGTTGCGATGAATTTTGTTATTGATATCTCACATTTCTTGATATCCGAGCCGTTGCGTCAATTTTCTCTCTCATCTTTTCAAAAGATCTTAAGCAGGGAGGGGACAGTAAGATTTTGTCAGTGCTATTTGCCCAGCATGCTTTGCGTACTCGTTCTCTTTCTCCCCCAGAAACCTCGTGTATAATAATGAAGGCCAGTGGTCAGGTATAGAAATTCGCATTTTTTGGTTGCATTCGGGCAAAGTTACTTTTCCATCTCAATGTAAATGAAAGAAAAATAACTCATCAACCGTATTAACCAAAATTTGTCTTTAATCAAGCATGTTCTTTGAAGAATCCACCAAATTTTGTTTGTCATAAACATGTCGCCATTTTGAATTCTGTATTTTATATGAATACAAACAGTCTTAAAAAAGTTAAATCCCAACGCTAGTGAAAGCCGAAAACAAAATGTTTTGTTGATTTATCAAACTTTCTACTATCAAACTCTGCCATGATGTCAACATGAACAACCATCAACATTGAGTGCATTTTTCTCAATCTGGTTTTCTAATAATGAAATTTATGTAATGTCCTACTCTGAAACGGGCGGCTTGAACTCATACCTGGGTTGCAATTTCCTTTCTCAAAGTAAATTTTCAACAAGTGAAATCCTTCTTTTTAGTTAAAACAGTACAAGGTGGTCGGACGCCACCTACCGACGGCAAAAATCCCAAATCCGCCATTGTATCGCATGAATGTGTTTGCACCTGATGAAGTGACAGCAAAGTCACGTTTTTGGTATTTTATGGCTCAACTGAAAAAAGTTAAAAAAAGCAATGGCGAGGTTATTTCAATAAGTGAGGTGCGTTCACTGTTTAAGGAAAGCATACATAAATTTTTTCTGTTTCCAGTGAGGTGTAGGTAGTATTTGAATTCTCCATATAGAAATTAGAGACCAACAGGTAATGTTCAAAAAAACCATAAGTGTTTTTGATGATGTGACACTTAGTAAAGAAAGCAAGTGACATTTTGTCTATACCAAAGACATCTTTGGACTAATTACAGATATTTTAGTTACTATGAACTATGTACAAACTTTTGCTTTTAGGTATATATATAGAGGTATCACATTGTGGATTTGCAAGTGCAGTTTGAAGTATTACTTGGGGTACCCAAGAAATGATTGAGAGGAATTGAGTTGCCTTGGGCTTTAAGTGGCCGCACTTATCTCGAAACCAATATCTGTGATTAGTCTGAAGATGAGCACTTTGAGTTATGACGAAACATCAATTGCTTTCTTTAATGAATATTATATAATCAAATCAGTTTTGGTTTCTTTGGAAACTATCTGTTGGTATCCAATCTCCATAAATCTGTTGCATACAGCTATGAGTTTCTGTTCGATGCAATTGTGGAATCGGTGATATTTCACTTTGTGTTTTAAAAATGTTTGATTTGTCAATAAAAAATAGTTATTGTCAATATAAGCATTGTGTGAAACAGGAATGAAAGCTGGTAGTAATTAAATTTTCTAAAAAAATGTACCTGAAATAAATCTCTAAAACAGACCCTAACATTGAATCCTATAGTACTTAGCTATTGCTATGATATAGGGTACAAATATGAGGGATCTATTTTGTGTATTGTAGAACAGGGGTAGTTATCATCTAATTTAGGGACTAAGGAGTGCAAAATGATTGTATATAACTATAAATTTTGTAATCATTTCTATTTTTAAAATTCAGCAATTTGACAAAACGCCACTGAAGATAAAAAACTTTGGAGTCTGGTTGAGATATGACTCTCGAAGTGGGTCACACAACATGTATCGGGAATACCGAGCCATGACTGTCACAGAGGCCATTACTTCATGTTGTAAGTGAACATGATTATAAATGGTTTTTTAATATATGTGTTGAGTCTTTTTCTTTGCTTTTGTTAGATCGTGACATGGCTGCAAGACATCGTGCTAGGTCAACAGTCATTCAAATTTTGAAGGTGGAAATCATCTCTGCAGCAAATTGTCGAAGGCCTCACATGAAGCAACTCTTTGTAAGCCTAATTTAATATTTACCACACTATGCATGCATTCTTGGCTGCTGTTAGAAGATTATCAGTGTAAGATTTGAAGTTACAGCAAAATACTTCCAATAATGATTGTATAGTCTCATAGCAGGATTTTATTGAAATCCATTTTTCCGAATTTTTAACAGCATGATGTAATTAGTTACATTAATAATGAAAGTGGATTCATATTCTTCTGCCCCTTTTCCCATCCTATCAATCAATCCCCTACTCACCCCACACCATCCTAGCCATCCCTCCCCCCATCCTAGCTTATGTTGTCACGTCTTGTACAATGGGTTTTCCTTAGAAATGCAAGTATAGGGCAGAGTTGCATACCCAGTTTTTATGGTATCAACCAATTTGATTTACTTGCAAGAGTAAAGATGCAACATGTCTGCATCTTGGTTTTTATTTGTCAAAGCCAAGTTTTGTATTTGTTGTAAACATTTTTGGCCAAACCAAGGACTTTACATGACAAACTGATTGGTTTTATTGCATTTTTCCCTCCTTTCTAATTCTTCACTTTTTCTGTTACTTTGCAGAATTCAAAGATCCGCTTTCCTTTGCCTCACCGCGTGATGAAAACCCAGTTTAAGTCTAAATTTGTTGCCAAGAGACCAAATACATTCTATTGAATTTAAAGTGGATGTGAATAAATATGTGCAAAGAAAGATTGTTTGTTTATTTTGCATGGTGACACTAAGGAAATGTTTTTAGCTTTGCTGTTGTGTTGTCATTTGTAGATGTTGATTTTTATATGGGTTGTTACTGTCTTAGAAAGTCAGAAATTCAACAGCTGTTGTAGCACGCTTCTTTGTGATTGATATCGTTCTTCAGTGTTCAGGCAACTCCCTTGCAACAGATTATACTTGATACTAAGGAAGCTGAGTATCAATAATCAGCATTTTGAAAGTTGTTTATTTCAGATCATTTGAAATTAATTCCCTGAACTTTGTTGCCAACCTCATATACTAGGTCTATTTTTTAGGTTGAAAAGTGTTTCAGAATTGGCAAAGAACTTGCAAATTTTGAACTAGTGAACTCTGAATTTTACAGACTTCTCTGGTTTGAACTGATTGAGTCCATGAAATTTGTAATATAGCACGTGTCAATGTGTTAATGTCACGTGTCATTTCAAGGAGGGGCTGGACGTCGGTTTCGAAATCGAGAAATCTCAAACGGTCTTCCCGGAATGAATTTTGTGTAGAATTATTTACGTGAAGGACAAGGCGCCTTTTGTAATTTTTCGTCAGGAATTCCTTCAAGAAATGGCGAGGAGGGTGAATTTTGAGGTCTTCAAAGAGCCAAGAGCTTTCATAAAGATTTTGGAGATAGTAAGTAAACTTAGCACGGTTGAGAGTTCAAATGCTTAGTACTTTCATTATTTGTACACTAGAATGAGACAAATCTTTCGTTTTCAAAATATTATTTGGCAAATAATCTTTGTGTACGTAAAGGAAACCTTAGGCGGAACATTAAATAGGTTCGTACGTGCTATGAATAAGATATACAGTGCGTTCATTCGCTTTTATGCATGATTTTTGTGTGATATTCATTTGATGGAATATATTTTTATTTAGTATGCAGTAAACAAAATACTAATTGCAATGTTTATGTCATATGTGACTACTTAATTTTTGTGAGCTTATATGTTCTCTCTTAGGGTATTGCAGTTTTTGCATTCTCGGCAACTGGAGGGTTTTATAGCGAGTATAGAGTGAACACAAAGCAGGTGTCTCCAGAAGGATGTATTATTAAAACCCTCTCTATCATATCTTGGGGAAATTTGAGTATCCTTTTGAGGATGGCAATATATACATATCAAACCTCACAGATGCAACGTTGATTGCAAAGTGTATCAACAGTAGCATAATTGTGGAACAATCTATACAGCCTCTGAAAATTGGTGGAAAACACAAAAGCAATGCCGAATTCTTTGTGTTTACTGGCGCTTCCACACTTGTATATTGTCTGATTGCCTGCATTTACTATGCAGTTCTAGAAAATCCCACTGAACACATGTATTCTACAGACTTTGGTTGGTGTTCTTGGGTTGTAATAGTAAGTTTTTCTACCATTTGTTGATCTTGGTCTCTAGTATAGTTTGGATGTTCTGATGTCAATGGCTACTTTGTACTTGTTGCCATGCCATTTCAGACATTTTTTGTTTAATATTTTTAGACAATGGTTCATGGATATTTTGTAGAAGACATACATTACAATTTCTTTGGCTTGATTTCTTTCTATTCGAATTCCGTTGAGAAAATGGTGCTCCACTTGCACCCCTATTACCTGGTATTTTTGATTTTCGTCCTGTATTGTATTAAATTTCTACTAGTCTCCTTAATTTACCATACAATAAAACTTTCCCATGTATACTGGGCTTGGTAATACAATGGCATAGCCAGCATCGATAATGAGGGGTGATATAAATATATGCATGTTATAATCTGCAGACAACAAATGGTTTAAAACACGAATATATGAATATTGCCCCAAATTATTAAGCTGTGCTAATAGCATTGATAAAATATTGTTTGTTTAAGAACTCTAAGGTGACTGACATGAAAAAGGATATTAGGAAAAAATAGTGAAAAGTTTATTTTATAATGATAATGCTTTCCAAGAGACTTGTATCTTCTGGATGAAATTTTAAAGGGAAAAACTAACTGCTTCTCATGATTTGCTTCCTAGGATTTTCTTGTTGGTGTGTTGATAACTGTATTCTGGTTTGCTGGCTCAATTGCATTGGCAGCAGGATTACCTGGTCTAAAAGATGACACATCCCCTCTTACATATATGAAGAGCTCTTACATTTGTAGCCATGAAAATGTGCAATGTGATATTGCCAAAGAACCCAACTATGCCACACTTAAGGTTTCAATAGTAAGTTTGCAGGTGACATTTTATACCAATTTACCAATTCATATTCAAACTAAATCATGTGATATTCAACGCTAGATCCTTGGCTTTCTCAATCTGTTTGTGTGGCTGGGAAACCTGTGGTTCTTGTTCAAAGAAACTCCTTGGCACAATCCACGTAATGACGGCAATGAAAGTAAGAAATAAGAATAAAAAGTGTTTTGTAGTTTTGGACTGCAGGTGAAATATAGTGGTAATTAAGCCAAAAATATATGCAGATTCGATATCAAAATGATGTTTTATTATATAATTAATAATCACATGAGAACGAAAGAAAGTTGACACATTACAGCCATAGCACACTACATGGTCCAATAAACATGTGAAATGAAGATATTAGTTTACTGGTAATTGCTGCATCATATTTAGCTTTAATCGAGTATTTGTTTCAATTTGACTCTAATTAGCTTCTATTAAAAACTAATTTTAATTTGATTGTAACTATGGATATACATTTTTCTTGATAAACTTGCCCACCGTTTTTTCTCAAATAATTTGCACAATGATAACAACCCATTTGTAAGAAGTATTTATGTTGATTTAACATTCTATTGACCATTTCCCCTTTGAAATACTATACCTTCTTACACTAATGTTTTATGAAAACAGCAGCAGATCCAAGAATTAGGCAAAATAAATTATAACTGTTGATTTCAAATTCCAAATACCTTTATAGCAAAGTCATTGGTTATGAATTTCTTAAGAATAAAAATCAACCAATTGATGTGTTGGAGTAATTTATTTTGCCTAAAGCAACGTGAAAACACATTGGGTTAATGTTAAAACACATTGGGTTAAATAATGCTAATGCTGGGACAGATGGGTTTTGGCATTTATTTTTTGTGGATGAATTGATGGATAGGCATTGTCTTATCTCTCCTCATGCAATAATTCACAACAAAAACCTTGTTTCCCATTGCAATTTTACTTTTCGTTTTTAGGAGAGCCTGTTCAGTAACTTCCGATGTTGGTTTCAATTTGTGAAAGATTTTTCGAACAAACATTGTCATGCGTATTTATCTAGAAAGATTTAATGAATTGTTTGATGGTGTTTCTTGATTTAAATGTCTTGTGTCACGCTGTCAAATGCTGCAGTATATATTAACGTTTGATATTGTTGTGATATCTATTTCTTTTTCAACTTCAAATGAATTTTGGAATGAGTTTTACACCTGGGACTTCATAGTATGATAGTAGATTCTTTCGTATGTGTACCTCTGATTTCAGTCTCAGATTATTTTCAGTCTATATAGATCAAGTTAAGTTCCATCAAAATCTGGAGTGATATTTTGATCAGGAATTGAAACTCATTCCAAATCAATTTAGCCAGCTTTTAGTTTGTTGTAAGCGTTGCAAAATTTTCACAAGTAGTTACGCACTGTTATATTAATGACGTTCTCTGCAGAAGACTTGTAGATCTTTGAACATGTGTTCCATGCATAATGAGGACTCACGAGGCACGAGTTAAAATTTGTTACACTAAGGGACTATGTACTTCCATATTTTGATATAGTCTTGCACTGAAGAAAATTTGAGCATTTATGTATAATTTATTATCAAACTTGCTTTGATCAGATGAAAATGCTGTTTGTTCCAAATGTTTCAATTATTAAAGTAGGTAGAAGTGTCTTCAGAGGCGTAACTAGAACGTTGATTAGGGGTGTATATTCATATATTCAGTTGTGCCCTACTGATTTCTTATGAAATTCAATTCACTTTCAAGCACCCACCCACCCCCCTCTCAATTAACGTTCTAGTTACGCCTTAGATCACATCAGACTGCATGTGGTAATGAAAATTACCAGTTCTTGGTCGCAATGGGAGATCAACGTTATATAGGTCGAGTGAATGAGTGTACCAGGTCAGTGGTGGACTGGTGGGCACAAATAAGACGTCATTTCACATTATGAAAGGTAGGTAGTAGTGACGTCATAAATAACGCTGTAGCTCGTGTGAGCATACTGGGTAGCATGTTTCTAAATAACTGCTTTGCCAGACTTGAATGTTTAGTCGTGAACTCGTTAAAAAATTATTTGAGTTGTACAAACCTGCCTGCAATTGACTATGTTTAGAAGAGTTTAAGGTGTCTTCCCAGACCCCACCATGGTACGGGTAGCCGCATCATCTGTCAAAGGTCAAAACCCTTAATTGATATCAGTGTTCACAATTATCTAACGTTTGCACAACAACGCTTTCCAATCATGCAGTTGAAAGCGAATTTCAGTCTTTTTAAAGAACCTCGGGGATTTATAAAAGTGATTCAGTTTGTGAGTATTTTACGTTCGTTAATTAGAAGAGTTTGTGTATCATTTTTGCTTGTGTTTATTGGCACAAATGTCGTTGATATTGCAACACGCATTATGAAATCAAGATTCGTGAACTTTTGAAATGGTGAAATTTTTACCTTTGACTTCATTGCATTGTGTATTACATAAATAACATAATGTATTGTACATTTAAAAGATCGAATGATTAGAATTAATGGATACTAGGTTCAAAATCGTGCTCTTCACTTGCATCGCTTGTGTCCTAAATTTTAAATAGGATTTCTATGCGCAGTTTTATTTTTGTTTTCATTAAGTGCATGATTACCTAAACCACTTGTTTTCTTTGTTACGCAAGCTTAAAAATATTTTTTGACGTCTTTGTTATTTACAATACTTTATTAATAACAGTCTTGTTAGTTATGTCGCAAAAGTTTGGTGGCAAAAGTTTTTTTTTACTGTGGGGGCAGCTGATTGGAATGTGAACTCCATTTCTTGTTTTGCCAGATTTTTTGACAAGTTAGTTATATTTTTTACTTCTGTGTAAAAAACTAAACTTCTGTGCTGATATGTGTGTTGATATCTAATGCCATAGCAGCACAACTGCAGCATTTCGATAACCACATATATTTGCCACATTTGGTATGATTTTGCTGTCTAGAGTTCAAATATAAATTTTTTGTACATAAGTTCATGATGTGAACTTTTTCTTGTTTTAATCTGCTCGATAATGATATTCTTCTAATCTGACAGGAGTTCCCTAACTCCCCTTAGCCTAGGGGCCTGTTGGGCTCACCCACCTTGAGCCCATAGTAGTTACGCCATTGTTTATATCTGTGTTGATATCTGTGTTGGTATCTGTGTTGGTATCTGTGTTGGTATCTGTGTTGGTATCTGTGTTGGTATCTGTGTTAATATCTGTGTTGGTATCTGTGTTGGTATCTGTGTTGGTATCTGTGTTGGTATCTGTGTTGGTATCTGTGTTGATATCTGTGTTGGTATCTGTGTTGGTATCTTTGTTGGTATCTGTGTTGGTATCTATGTTGATATCTGTGTTGGTATCTGTGTTGATTCGGAACGACTCCTTAAAGTGAGTAGTTCTTACAAAAAAACCAGCATACATACATTTTTTGCCAATCTTTCTGTGATAAATGTGCAATTATATGACGTAGTAAAAACTTTCCCATGATAGATCTCATTTTTTCTTTCAGGTGATTGCCATACTAGCGTTTTCAACCACGACTGGCTACAAAAGTGAACTCACAGTAACTATAAAAAACTGCACAATTATTGGAAAGTTTTCTTTTGCTTTTGATCAAATCAATGCACACTCAATATGCCCTGAAAAACATGATGACAATTTACCTTCTGTTGTAAAAGGCTCTGCAATTTTTTTTACGTTTGTTGGTGTCGTCAGCTGTTTGTACTGTATTGTTGCTGTTTTCTATTACACCTTCCTTGAAGATCCGAAAAAATGTGGACCTGGGGGTACCGGACGGGACATTAAATCATATGCTACTGTGGTGAGTTTATTGTTGTTAGCATATTAGATTGATTTGGGCCATGTTTATACCTGAGTATTTTACAATGAAAATCATGCAATCGTGGTCATATGTGTACACAGTGAAACCTGAGTTGCAACCAATGTGTGATCATGCCATGAAAACATTTCTTTCTTCACATGCTGTAAAACTTATATATTTCTAAAGAAATATATTATGCTTTTGATCAAAAATTTACATACTAAAACCAATGTATGTGCATGCTGCCTAAAGCATCTGGTTGCAAAGTATCTGTAATGAACAACCACTTGCAGTACCCATAGCAACCAGTGACAATATTATTGTGCTCTTGTCATTAGGAGTAAGTCCTTCCCTTTAAGTTACCACACAAGCTTGCATTTTTTGAAAGTTACGTATGCGTGTGAATGTCAGCATTGTTATCGCGGTCGAGAAATGGTTCCTGGCGCAAATAAACAAATTCAGCTTCAAAAGTAACTTGCAGTCTGTTATTGTTTACGCTTTGCTTAACTTTGAAAGTGCAATTAAGCAAGTTTATTTAGTCAGGCATGCAATCATAAGTAACAAATTTTCTACCGTTAAGAGAGATCACGGGTTGCATAATTCCACTGCTTACAAGAAGCGCCTTTAATCAAAAATGATCGAACCGCAGTTGACCCTTTACTTACAAACACCTCTCAAAAGTGATCACCATTCCTAAGTGGACACTGCTTTTTGGTCCTCCTTGTCAACACCTTGGTACCTCATACAATCAGAATAACCTCATAAGTCATAAACGAGAAGGACTGTTCGTGTTGGCGATCAGTTGTTCACTGACGTTTTGACAACTTGAGCGGTAGTCATCTTCAGAGTCAAGTGAGGAATAGTCAGTAAACGTCAGCTTCGCTTTGTCTGGTGTACACTTCACTTAAACTTAACTCTGAAGATGACTTACACAAAGGTTGTCGCAAAGTCAGTCACTAGCACCGACAGTTCTTCTCAGTCCTCTGCTGGGATGAGCCACATCTATACAAGATAAAGGATAAAAGAGAACGATAAAGGAATTTCATTGCCTTAAAACTTCCCTCGACTTTCAAAATGGTTGTTTTAATGTCTTAATTGTTTCCCAGGACCTAGCCGCGACTTTACTTTTGACATTGTTCTGGTTTTGTGGCTCAGTTGCGTGGGTAGCTGGTTTTGTCGAACTAACTGATAAAACTGATGTAGAACACATCTGTGAATCTTGGAAACGTCGGCCGTTGTCGTGTAACGTAATCGACAAAGCAAATTATGCAGGACTCATAATATCTTTGGTAAGAATACCACTATTTTAAATCAACGACATACATAAGTTGGTTGAAAAAAAGTCGGATTGTAGCATGAAATGCGATAACTGCTGTTCATTTTTTTAATGAAACAAACTTTCAAAATTAGTTATACCATTGTAGCTCATTAATGTTGATTTTTGTGAAACTGATTTCTATATTATTGTAACATTTGTTTTGGTCACAATGACTGATTCTCATTTACTGTTTCACAGATGTTTGGTTTCTTGAGCTGTTTTCTGTGGGGGGCAAACACGTGGTTTGTCTTTAAGGAAACAGTCTGGCATAAAGAAATTGGGTCGACCGCTGTAGCCGAGCCACTTGCTACCGAATCTCCCAGTCAGGAGCTTCCCAAAGAAGCAGTATCTTCAGGAGCTTAAAGTTTACAAATCTCTGTAGAGATATTACGGCTAATACGTTCTATAACATGTTTTGATTTGGTCAAATAGTTCTTGAGAAATAAAGCTTTAAACATCTACGTCATATGAGGTGACAGTCAGAGTACAAACTCCTCACTCCAAACAATGTCCCCTCTGAGGATTTCTTATTGAGGAGGTTGGCATCAAAAAACCCCAAAATTTCTTTTATATTATAATCGTACTTGTATTTTATAATATAAAGACTACAGTCTTTAAAGTATTATTGAGAAATTGATTGATCCCCCTTGCCCTCCTTCTTCCCTGACGCTCACTATGACTCCGTGTATCTCTGACCGAGTTCCTGACGCAGAGTTTTCTTTAAAATTGGTCTTTGAAGCTGTATTTGCCAAACACGATTTGACCAAATCAGCAAATAGATATTATTAACTACGACTTTTTAATATAACTGTTTTTACTCATTGCTTATGGAGAGCAAGACCAATAGAGTGCAAGAGATGACTGGTTGTGGTCGACATAACAAAAGTAAGACACCACTTGTTGCTAAAAATCAATCAGTTGTGTAAGCATAGTGTCCATGTTTACGCTTTACTTAGGGTTTACTGAACTTGTTTATATGCACATTTTTTAAAATACTTTTATAAGTACCGTAGTTCCTCGCCTATATAACCTACGAACACTTATAAACCGCCCTCAACCTCAAAAATTGCGATGGTTTTGGAAGATGAAAACAATTATTAATAGTAGAACGTAAATGGTGTAGTAAATATTCAAAAGTATGAAAACACAAAATTTACCAATAAAAAATAACAATAACCCCCTTCTTTTCCCTTCTAATATTCCCCTTCTTTTCTGCTCGAGAATTAGTGAAATCGTAAAATGTCAATGATACAATTCCCGTCACTAACATCCTTAGATGGCAAGATTTTTTTGAGGAATGGATTAGAGCGGCGCCTATTCCTTTGGAATTAAAAAACTATTTGGTTCCTCGTTTTTTTTATGCGAATACGTTTTGTTCTGATCTTCTTGTTTGTGAAGTGCTGTAAAAAATATCAATTTAATTAACTCATGATACTATCCATTCTCCCAAGAGGCTAAATTAGCTTATACATTGAAAATGCTCAATATCATCTTTGTTTTAAACTGACTGGCCTATTTTACTCTTCTTTCTGCGTTCATTTATTGACTTCCTACAATAAAATCAAGCAATATCAAGCTACAGCATTCTTACAGATATTTCTTTGTTGAGTAAACAGAAAGCAGCCTATGTCAAGCCATAAGCGTAGCCAGGATTGACATGTCTCTAGACAGGTTGCAATCTAGAATCTTGTAAACGGCATTCACGCCCCCCGATTTGGAAGGTCTTATGTAAATATTTCACAATTTAATAATTCCCTCGTACTAGCTGTTATCTATCTAAGCCACTGACAAACATGGAATACATTGACCAATTATTTGACTTGTGGTATATATATAGTTGCAGGAATAAGTGGTGTAACCACAGAATAATGATTATACAGAAGGGTCACTCAGGTGTACAACGCGTCTTCATGTCGGCCATTATTCCAACCAGATGATTAGAATTTCTCACTTGTTTCGAACCATTAAAATTACATGACGTCAATGCTTAATAATGAATTTCAAGTATATTTTGACTTAAGAAATAACTTCGAATCATTTTAAAAGTTGGGAAAAAGTCAAAAACCCTAATCATCTGGCTGGAATAATGGCGGCCACCATGCGCGGCACGACATGCGCGAGGACAAATACATCAAAGGCTCCGACACTAGTGACTCTTCTGTATATTCTTATTCTGTGGTTTAACTATTTAAGGAGATATTGTTTGCGCAGTACGCTCACATCAGTCTTGAAATATTTTTTGAATTTTATTGAATTTGTTCAGTTGATTTCCTTATTGGAGAATACTCAGAGGTCATCAGCTCAATACATGACGTCATCAGTCTATATGATGAGTTGATATCGCTATAGGTGTTACAATACAAAGCAAATCAGATGGATGCATAACTAACATTCGTTTAAAGTCGGGGAAGGCGATCGTGTAATCATGCAGTTGAAAACTAATTTCAGTCGTTTTAAAGAACCTCGGGGATTCATAAAAGTGATTCAGTTTGTGAGTATTTTACGTTTGCTAACCACGAGGGAGATTGGCTCATATTTAGTATCATTTTCTTTGGTTTCACTGTCATTATAACAGAGATAGATAATTGCTACACACACCCACATTTCGCTTTTTTGCCTTTTGGTACGAATACCGTGTTAGTGCTTGTGAATAAAACCAGCATATACCTACCTAAGGAATTTATAATAATTTATAATTGCTGAATAATATTCTAATCTTTGTATGGTATTTTCAATGTATTACGAAAAGGATTTAACAAGCTTTTTTTAATCTCGACTTTACTAAATGTAGTAACCCGCTTTTTTAAAATAGCCTTAAATATTCCAGAGCTTCTCTGGAACTTTCTTCATTTGCTCAGATTATTTAACTCTGATGTTTTGGATGAAAGGACATTAAATATATTGACAGGCAAAAAACAAAGAAAACTTGAACATCCAACATTATAGTCATTATTTAGGTTGTGACCTTCCTCTATATAATTAGTTTTTATCATCGCCTTTTTCTTCATCATTGGCCAAAACAATTACATCAAAATATTGTTAAGAGCTTCGCAAGAAATTCTTGAATCAATAGGAGCCATCAGTCATTCAAATTTCATCTTTCTAAGTCTTTAAAACAGTTTTAGATGTAAATGCGTGTTATTTTGTAAATTTCACCACTCCTGTCAATATCATTACTGTGTTTCGCTGTATTTCACCAATGATGATTCATTGCAATGCATACAGGCTAAGGGTGGGGTGTGATACCCCCAAAATAAAGTTATCAAACAGCATTTGACTAAAAACACCAACATTAAGGTAACTGAAGCTCAATTTTATGTGTTCATTGACCATAAGGGTGTTCCCTATTTTAAAAGATCGCACTGTTTCATAAAAATTCACAATTTAAATGGTATTGTCGTCGATCAAGTCATTGCATTTTGAACAATGCACAATGCGGAAAAATTTCATGACATATTTTAATGCATAGCTATTGCATGTTCTCTCAAAAAATAACTTTCCTTAAACTATGTATATGTGGCTAAAAAATTCTCCTATTGACTTTTTTGTTTTAGTTGATTGCTATTCTAGCATTTTCAACAACAGCTGGTTATGATAGTGGATTTAAAATAAGCTCACCTACATGCACAGCCAAATTTGGTTATGCATTTGGCAAAATATCTGGCAACGGGAATTGTTCTGTATTTTCAAACTTTGGGTCTTTACCATCCACTATAAAAAGTTCTGCGCAATTCTTTGTCTTTGTTGGAGTCATCAGCTTTTTGTACTGTATTGTTGCCTTGGTCTATTATGTCTGCTTTGAAGACCCAGTAAAATATGGACCTGGAGGGACTGGACGGGACATTAAATCATTTGCCTCTGTGGTTAGTTAATTGTTGTATTTATTGAGAATTGTCACTGGCATAGACAGCTGCAAATTTGGCCTTCCTTTGCAAATTTTTATATGTTTATTCACTGTGAAAACAACAGACTTCTAAAGAAATAAATGACGATGCTCTAAAATTTACATGGCAAGACCAAACGAGCTTGCTAGGCTACTTCAAGTCATTCTTAGAATTATAGATTGAGTTGGAATAGCAAACTTTGAGTCTAATGAAGGCTATTTCTTCCTTTAGTTGTTCATTGATTTTACCGATCTCTTGGTTTCATTTTGTTTTGTTGTTTTTATATATAAATTTTGAAGGGTTTTTTGCTTTATACGTATATAAGGCCAATGAAACTCACCATTATTTTAATTGTTGCTCTCTAGGACTTTGCTGTAACTTTACTTTTGACATTGTTCTGGTTCTGTGGCTCAATTGCATGGGCAGTTGGTGTAGCCAAACTTAGAGATAAAACAGATGCCAAAAAGTTTTGTAAATCTCCTTGTAGTGTTTTTGACAACGCAAACTATGCAGGACTCATAATATCATTGGTAAGAGTAACTAAATCTTTTATTTATTAAGACATTGAAATACATTGACCATGATGTAAGTTCAACTATGCTCAAATTTTACTTACCTCACATTATGGGTGCAGCATTTAAATGCTTGATTAATATCTATGTGTGGAAAACAGAGTTATGTGTACAAATGTAAATGCCAGTGTATTGTGAAATGAATGATGTAAAATGAACTCTCATGAAATATATAAAGTAAATGGCATAATCATGGTATAAATTGGGTCTGTTTTGATTGAATTATTAGAATATGTTGTCTGAACTTTTATTTGTTTTTAACCAAGAATATAAATGTTAATAATCCTTTTAATCAGATTGAAAAAGAATTCAAAGTTCAATAAATATACTGATGGCAATTCTTATAGGTAATTCAACCTACTGCATGACAAACAATTCTGATGTTACCTAGATTATTCCAAAGCCATCATCAGAGAGATCATACATAATATAAATCACAGGGATAGTTTTAAGAGATTTGACTCATCTGCAATCCCTGTGGGCTTGGTAGCTCAACAGGTAGAGCGGCGGACTAGTATCCTGAAGGTGCGAGATCAAATCTCATCCAAGTCACATGTTTTTCATGTGCATGTAAAAACCGTGTTAGGATTTATATTACGTATGACCTAGGTTCCAAACAAAACTTTTTAACTTAGATCTTATGTTCTTTTGAATGGCTAACATGAGTTTTTCAACCTTGAATTCTTTTTCAATCTGATTAAAGGGATTATTAGCATTTATATTCTTGGTTAAAAACAAATAAAACTCCAGACAACATATTCAAATCATCCAATCAAAACAGACCCAATTTATACCATGATTATCCTAGAACAGATCAACAAGATATTGCTCTCAGCTTGCAATAATTTCACCATATTGTCATTCAGGGCTGAACTATCAAATACTCAGATCATTCTCAAACACGAAAATCAGAAATTACTTCCTGGATTACACTAACATTTTTGTTGAACATCAATAAGGGCCATAGGTAGAACATTAATTGGAGGAGTGATTATTTACATTCAGTTGTACCCAACTGAATTCTTTTGAAATCCAATTCTCTTTTAAAAGAAGAGATATCAACATTCTATCTAAGATCAGTGTTTAAGCGACATTTGTCACATGTTTCAGAACTTCAACACTATTTTGTATTTGAGTGAAACCAATTCTGTTTTCAAAAGTTATTAATCTAAGACTAGTTTTTTGATAATATGTGATCTTAACTACATATGACACATTGCTACTTGTAATTGCTGGGTTTTGTTATCTTTCAGTTGTTTGGTTTCTTGAGTTGTTTTCTGTGGGGATTCAACTCGTGGTTTGTCTTCAAGGAAACAGTTTGGCACAAAGAAGTTGGTGCAACCAATGAAGCCGAGGAACCAGCTGTTGAATTACCTCGTCAAGAGGTTCCAGGAGAAACATAGCCTTAGGAGTTTAGAAATAATAATTTGTATCGTTGTATTCATTACCTACAGAGGGAAAATACTTACAAAGCACTTATTATCTCCGTAAATTCTTTTTTTCATTAGCAAAATACATACATTTTATTTAATTATGTGCATTTAAATATTCCACTGTACCATACGGCAATGAATACATACATGGTGTGTTTATTATATATACTAAATGGGGCAACATTTTAGTTAGTGAGTGATTAAGGAAGCTCAATAATTGGTGAGGTTGATATTCATATATATGCATTTTATAATCATAAGAAACAAATAAAACAATTTATTTCAAAGGAACATAATATGATTAGCCCTCCCTCAATTATTGAGATAGCTACCACCGGGCCTAGTTCATGTTGTACATATTTCTCCATGGATAATTTTGTAACTGTTAGTTATCATGAAAAACATGACAAAAAGTAGAATCAATGGCATTTAACTATCAAACTATTTCTATTTTGTGGTGCATCCCCCTTTTGTCATGCTCTCTTTCTAGTTTTTGAGCAATTGCATTTTAAAGAGAAGTAACTTGAGACAGGGGGCTTTATTAGATATGAGGAGTTTATGTAATAGGGGCGTTTATTGGATCATTACGGCATATATAAATGTTACACATCTATTTACCTTACCCCACTGAATGACACCAATTTTTGATGAAAACACCACCGTCACCTCGTGTCCGTTAGTCAACGTTATGCCGACATGTCGTCATAACACGGCTTTCCTCAACACGAATTTGCTTGGCATTCACGGCCCTGTAGCATCACATCTTTAATTTCTCTTTCAATTGCTCTGGTGGTGTATATTGTAGGTAAACATCCCGATCTTTACATGGATGAAATTTTCCACATTCCACAAGTGCTGAAATACTGTGTACATCGTTTCGACGAAGGAATCCAATTCCGATGAACGATGATTACGACATTGCCTCATGCCTGCCTGGCTTGTACTGAAATCATGAATGTTAGCACTCTATACCAAGCTCTATATTCTTTATACTTTGGCTCGTCGAAATTCTGGCCATGTACTTACATCGTGAAGTAAAGACGATGTGAATGCTCTTGTTCTTGAGAATGGTAAAAGTTACTTTCAATGTATCGCATTGTTAGAATATTGGACAAAATGAGTCCGAAACATAGACGTAGATGACAGATCGTCCTGTGAAGGACTGTTGTATGTGTTGACTGATGTGTTGACAACCTTAGCGGTAGTTACCTTCACAGTTAACAAAGTCAAGTCACTTGATGACTATCGCTAAGATTGTCGAAAATTCAGTCAACACCAACCGTCCTCAGGACTCCGCTAATCAAGAGGACCTACATCTATGATCTATGTACAAACATCTAACAATACTCCCGGATTTTCTTACCATTGTGTGAAGTTCTGTAATTTTTTTGCATGAGTTGTGAAATTTGTGTATTATTATGGGGTATTTTTGGAAGACAGTTCAGTTTTTAGTAAAGTTCTTAGATTTTTTTCCAGGAATTTAGCTGAAATGAATTTGCTCTTTACGTCTGACCTTTCTTTTAGTAAGAAAGTAAGACTTTCTTTCATAAATACACATTGGTGGCAGATCCTTGTAAACGCAAATAAATTAAGCAGCTAATAAATTCAAAATGCTTTTATAACAGTGGCATTGGTTATGAATTTCCCACAAATCTTACCAATTAATGGGCTGTTGTAATTTATTTTGCCTTTGGATATGTATTTGGAGACATTGCAATTATCATTGCTATATTGCAATCTGCATGCATTATTTTAGTGAAAATGAAATGAATTCAATTTGGTCAAGGTTAGATAACAAAATGGAAATCAACATTTGGGCTGATTCGTTTATCTTTTCCGTTTGTGGTCTTCCATACTGCTCCATAAGGTAAGAACATATTTAGTTTTTTTGTTAATTCATAATATACGTATAACATCTCCTATTCATCATTCTCAACTTAAGTTTGAAAATTAATTAAAATCATAAATTTTAGCACTCTTTATATTGAATTATTAGGTTATGAGCTAGCATAATATGTCCTATCTCTTTTCCCTTCTTGTCCTTATCTCTTATCCCTTCTTGTCCTATCTCTTATCCCCTCTTGTCCTTATCTCTTATTCCTTCTTGTCCTTATTTCTTTTCCCTTCTTGTCCTTATCTCTTATCCCTTCTTGTCCTTATCTCTTATCCCTTCTTGTCCTTATCTCTTATCCCTTCTTGTCCTTATCTCTTATCCCTTCTTGTCCTTATCTCTTATCCCTTCTTGTCCTTATCTCTTATCCTCGGATCTGATTTTGATCTCTCTGATGCCGACTCGACCGGATCTCGGATCGGAAATCCGGATGCGGATCTCGGACGGATTCTTTTGACCGAGAAGATCAACGATGATTCTCTGGATTCTGACGGATGATTTCGGACGACGGACGATGCTCGACGATTTTGCCTGATCTTTACCCGGATGTTCGGATTTGACGATCTTTGATTCTCTTGACCGGATTTTGATTCGCCAGGGCCGGATTCCGGATCCGGATCTTGACCGGATCCTTGTTCGATTTTGATCTCGGATCCGGATTCCGGATCCTGACCGGATCTTTTCCTTTGATTCTGATCGATTCTTGTCCGGATTTTGATTCTCGGATCTCGCGGATTCTCGGATTCGGATCGGATTTTGACGCCGGATCCGATGTTTTTGACCGGACGCGGATCTCGGATCCGGATCTCGGATTCGGATCTTTGATCTCGAGATCTCGGATTCCGGATCTCGATCTCGACGCGGATCTCTTGTTCGGACCGGATTCTCGGAGTTCGATTTATTCTTGTTCGGATTTTGATCTCTCGAGTTCGGATCCTTTGTCTTGTCTTTATTATTTTATGATCCGTGATTATCGGATCCGGACGGATCGATTTTCGACGGACGGATCGATTTTTCTGACGGACGATTTCCGGATTCGATCGGTCTCGGATCGATTTTGATTCCTGATCCCGGATTTCGGATTCTTAGACCGATCTTTCTGATGATCCCGGATATTCTGAGCTGGATTTTGATTCTCGGATCCCGGATTCTTTGACCGGATTTTATTCTCGGATTCGGATCGATTCTCGGTTCGGACGCGGATGGAACGAGATCGATTTTGTTCGGATTTGATCGACGGACGATGATTCATTTTTCGGACGGATCGATTTTCGATCTCGATCGGATTCTTGTCCTGATTCGCCGGATCCGGATTTTGATCTTGATCCTCGACGCTGGAACGACGGATCTTTGATTCCGGACGCGGATTCGGATTCGACGGATCTCTTGACCGATCTTTGATCTTTATTACGTGACCGAGAGAGACGACGATCCGACGTGATCTCGGTCCGGATCTTTTGATGGTCTCGATTTGTTCGATTTTGACGATTTTGACGACTGGATCGATTTTTCGGATTTTGACGATCGATCTCGACGGATCTCTCCTTTGTCCTGAGAAGACGACTTGATCCTGATGACGGACGATTCGGATCTCGATCTTTATCCTGATCTCGAGAAGATCGATTTGACCCCGGATTTCCGGATTTGATCGACGGAGTCGGACGGATCTTTTGTCGACGGATCGATTTTTGTTTGATTTTATTCTCGGATTCCTGACCGTGAGATTTGATCTTTTGTTCGATTTTGAGCGATCCCGGAGTTTTTGAGTCCGGATTTTTATCTCGACCGGACGGATCCGGATCTCGGATTTTGATTCTGCCGGACTTCCTGATTTTGATATGGAACGAGATCGACGGTCCGGACGGACGATGGACGGACGGACGATTTTTCTTGATCGGACGATCGGCTCGATTTTATTCTTACCGAGAAAGATCGATTTCCTGAGTCCCGACGGATTTTGATCGATTCGACCTCGATCTTCGATCCTTGAGGAGGATCGATTCTTTGTCCCGACGACGGATCGCCTGATCCGACTTTATTCTTTGTCCGAGAAAGACGATCTTGTCCTTAATTTTATCTTTATCCTTTATCCGACGGATCGATTCTATCCTGACTTTATCGATTCCGTCCTGACTTTATCCTTCTTCCACGCATTCGACCTTTATCTTTATCCATTCTCATCCTAATCTTTTATCCATTCTCATCCTTATCTCTTATCCCTTCTTGTCCTTATATGTTATTCATACTTGTCCGTAATTCCTTATCTTTTATCCATTCTCGTCCTTATCTCTTATCCCTTCTTGTCCTTACATGTTATTCATTCTTCTCCTTATCTCTTATCCACTCTTCTCTTCTGCTTTTAAATTTTGTCTTTGTTTGACATGGATATCGTTTGTCTGTTGGGTGTTACTTATTTTCCACTTCTCTCCTATTGCCAGGGGTGGAAATGTATCAGACCATTAGTAGCAGAAAATATTTTATGGTCCCAAACAATGTTGAAATTTCAAGAGGAAACATCAAGGAAAAAGTTTCACTTTTTTCAAATCATCCAATTTATCGTTTTATTCATGTCTATTTATTTCCATTATGTCATTTCTCCATTGATCCCTAATTCTATCAACCCAATCTCTATTAATCCATCTTTCTCTCAGTCAATTTTTTTACTCATCTATCTGTCCATAAATCTTTGTCTTCATGCACGCATTTACAAACCTATGGTTGTACTTAACATCTATAATTAAATTCCATTTTAAAACAAGTAATGTTAGGGAAAGTGGATCCTGTTCATTGTTGGAGAGGTAAGGGGGGAGGAAGAATAGTAAGAGATTATACTTTATATGTGGGGCGGTGAAATTCACGCAATAAAATTACTTTTGCCTTCTCCTCCTTTGCTGGCTCCTTATTTTGAATTATGAATTAATTTATTTTCTATTTTCAGTTATGTCGTAGATTCCTCTTCGCCAAGATCATCTGATCATGTGAGAGCATTTTGAAACATACTGTATCATAGCAAAGCTCTCTGATCTATTTATAACGCTTCGTATAGGATTTCATTTGTCGACTTGACATTATATTGGGCTCAATAGTGGGAGAACATTGGAGTAAGTTGTTGTCTGAAATTATATCCATTCTATTGCCTCAGCTAGTGTTTCAGTGTCAGGAACAGATCTGTTTTACTCATTTTTACCGCGTTTGCCTAAATCTACAATTTTCGTTTGGACTTGTACAACGTATATTCCACGACTTGCACGCGATTGTTCAACGCTAAGGTTTCCGCATGCGCGAATCACGATGTAAAATTGCGTGCTCCGAAGCTGCCGTATGGTAGTGGTAGCGCTCGCAATTGATTTCATTCCTATTTTTTGAACCCGTGACCACAGCTTCAAGACGAAATGCAGGATCGTAATTGTGCCTGCTCCGTCTGGGAATTGTTTGATAAAACGTAATATCTAATTCTCATTCATCCCAAAGCGTCGCTAGTATCGCCGACGTTTATCGCCGATGTTCGGTAATGGCCAATGCACGTAACGTTCTCATAAATCAGCGATGTTAGTCAGCGCGCTTTGATATTCATACCAAAGAAAAAATGGCTCCTTTTAATCTAAAGTTGATAATTTCAATCGTTTATGATATAAGTTGTCGCCGAAGTCGCCCAACTCAACAGATTCTTGTTCTGAAAGATTTCTTTCGCAAGTACCACTCGGCAATGATCGGCAATGATTGACGATGATCGCAAAAAACAAACAGCTTTATTTCTTGCGATGGCAAATATGATGTACGGCGACGGTCACAAAAAATCGTCAACACAATTTTCAAGCGTTCTCATTAATCGTAAGAGCTCGCCGATGTAGTAAAAGCTCTATCGCCGACGTTTTGCGGCGAATGAGAACTAGGCATAACCGCAAAATAAAACGTAGTAGAATACTAGAATAAGACGCAAAACGCAATACAATAGTATCTAAATAGATTAATCCTTAAAGAAACATATCAGAATCTACAATGACAATAATAATACTGAAAGAATGTTTCATGCAGTGCGGTGTTTGAAATTAAATGTAGATATGATCTTCAGACTTTGTTGGACAATTTAAGAAATTGTCTCATGAACCTGAAAAATTCAGGTGACTCAACGAGATTCGAACCCACCATCTCTGCGGTGCCGGTGTAGTGCTCTGAAAGAATGTTTCATGCAGTGCGGTGTTTGAAATTAAATTAATTCTTTCATATGACATTCCTCTCACGAGAAAACATGAGCCCAACAAAATTGACCTGCTCACCACTGTGTGACTTCATCGCTCAGTTGGTCAGAGCACTGCACCGGCACCGCAGAGGTCATGGGTTCGAATCCCGTTGAGTCACCTGAATTTTTCAGGTTCATGAGATAATTGCTTAAATTGTCCAACAAAGTGCGAAGATCATATCTACATTTAATAGTAATAATGAAGTTATTTTTGTGAAAATTTTTAGTCATGCTGACCGCTTGCTCCGCCACAGTTCATTTTATTTTATTCTTTATTTTTTCAGGCAGTAATAAAAATAAACATTGCCTCTGTTGCTACGATGACAAGCTTTGATTTTGCTCTGCTGTTTTTCTTCCACATAATTGTTTTCTTTTTGGCTTTGAAATCGCGAAAACACAAAGGATACAGCAATTTTTCTTAAACAAGTAAAGTTTCCATATACACCTAGAATCAGATAATATGGCGTGTGTGTAAACTTACCTTTATTTGGAATATTTATCTCATTTATTTACAACGTACAATGTACCACAAAACTTAGCAGCTTCTGTTTGTTTTAACTAAGTTTGTAACAGCTCAAAAACACCGAGAAATAAACTTAGCCTCGATTTCATGGTTAAATTTTTAATAAGCGCATATTTGAGAAAATATGTCGTAACGGGAAAAGATCACTTTTCCTTTGTATCGGAAAACTTGATCACAATGAAAACTTGATCAGAACGATTCTGATGTTTATAAGTCGAACAATAACAGAAGTTAAACAATCAAAGCAGCATCGTGAAGATATGAAGAATCTAGTTGTTTCATATCGATAAGCATTTTTTAGTCCAACAATAACAGAAGATAAACAATTAAAGCAGCATCGTGAAGATTTGAAGAATCTAGTTCTTTCATATAGATAAGCATTTTTTTGTCCAACAATAACAGAAGATAAACAATTAAAGCAACATCGTGAAGATATGAAGAATCTAGTTGTTTCATATCGATAAGCATTTTTTATTTTGCCTATGTGGAAAATGTGGTGAAGCCTGCTTTTTATTTTTAAATTTTTTGGATTGTTTAACCACTATAAGGGATTGATTACATGAGCCCGGGTAGCCGGGATTCGACCAAGCGATAAATGATTTTGGCAAATGCAAGAGATAAAACACTTATCATCAGATTAATTTTCTTCAGCATTTTCACAATATTCTGACTGTATAAATAGCTACGCCTAGCATTTCGCTTGAAGTTTTGACTCTTTTTAATGCCTCAAAATCTTTTATGCCTCACTGAATCTCGGTTAGCCGGAATCACGTAAACAGCCTCAAGGAGTCAAAAATAACTTTACGAAAATCATTATTTGATATTTGATATATTGTTTGTACTATAATCAGATAAATTTCTTAAAAAAAGAAATGAAAAGACTTTGCTACTTTAACACGCTATATTATCTAAAATGAGCTTTTATACTTAAGGAGGCTCCCTACAGTTCACCCGAGATTCGGGTGTTTCGGGTAGCCTTAAATTACAAAATCATTTGGATCAAATACACTCAAACTTTGGAAGTATGAACTATGAGGGAATATTGAAGAATGCCAGTAAAGACTGAAGATGCTAAAATAAGATAACTGTTTGCGTTGCTATGGCAACCAGGTCTCATTTTCTTTTACACTTTCACCTTCTAGTTTTTTATGAATTGTTCGTATTTTTTTTTCGGTTTGGTGAGTTTTTCTGATTTTTTGCGTGACGATTTTTATTCATTCAAGAAGCATTATGTTTAACATTAAAACAATTCTATGTAATAATTTTTTGAGGTATTTAAGAATTTCAGCTACATATAAACCTAATGGTAGATTTTCTTCTATTTTGCGTATGTTATAATTTTTCTTATTATAAAACATCCACACGAACTTTTAACAAAATTTACCGAAGGAAAAACGAAAAAATCTTCAATAAAGTCAGCGCGGCCAGGAGTTTATGTAAAAAAATCCACTCGACATGCGCATGCAAATCGTTTCAATTTATTTGTTGGTCATATTATGCGGCCCCAGACATTGATATGGTTCACCGCATCTAACATCATAGGGACAGCATGTCCCGTCCCCGCAACATCTTCCATTTTCAAAAATACAACAGTAGTAATTATGACCAAACAAAGAAGGACAGCATGTATGCCGACCATTGCAAAAACATTTAGCAATCTAGAAAAAATTGACGAGTTATATAGTATCTCAAATAACACATTGAATAAAACACGTTTGCTGTGTTTGCACAGGCTTATTAAAAACAACAATGCCCGAGCAAGATTTATAATCTTACTGGTCAGTTTGAAAAATTTATGAACAAAAAAGCTCTACGGCTTCACAGGCAAACTTTGATTGCATTCTTATGACTTATATACTGTTCTTTGAACTTTGCCCACCATCACGCACCATTCTTCAATATCTCACTATTCTTTAGCTATTATAAGCTCAGTATTTCGAGCTTCACTCAACATCGAACACTACCCTCAGGTCTCTGTTTTCTATCAGCTTTACTGTAGGAATCCTTATAGGTTTTTGAATAAAATAAGGAGAGTTACCTCTTTTTCTGACATTAAATTCAATCTTTTCTCTGGCAGTTTATAAGATTTTACTTCCACTAATTCAAGGAAGACCAGTAAAATAAAGAGTATCTTCATGACTGCAACAGAATAATGAAATGCGTTTGTATGCAATTGCATAACAGACTATTACCATCAACTTGATCCCAAATGCCCCGGAATGATTTTGGAAATTCAAACCAAGCCAATCACATGATGTTGTATGTTTACGAAGTAAGGCTAGATAAGCCGATAAAGGAATTCTGCTACCGCTGTTTTAAAGTAAACAGCACAGTATATGTCACAAGTGTATGACCACTTGAGGCGCCAATTGTTGAGTTTGAGTCCGAAGACAACAGCTTCTTTTTTATGTATTTTTATGCTTGTGTTTGTATTTATATGTTTTTATTCTTTTTTACGTATTTATTTTATGATATGACGTATACTGCGTTGGCAATGCGCTTGCCTGTAATCAGCAAAGTGATTCTTTGTCTTAGAAGCAGGATTCACTGTTAAATTCCGCCTAAAACACATTTGAAGCCCTAAATGCACAGTTTGTATGTTGTAACGAAAGTTTTCAATTTTGTCTAAATCTTTTAAAACTTTTGGGAAAGCATGAACATTTTTAATGTTTTTCATCACATTCAATTTTTTGAATATTTACCCTCCATCAATGTTCAATTATTCTGATCGCAAACTAAAAATCGCTTTTCTTTTCATACTTTAGACATGTAATAAATCAAAGTATACCTGACTATTGTTGTATTTCTACTAATTTCTTTCTACCAAAGTCTCGTGGCTTCTTGAACTCTCTAGTGATTTGTAATTATCTGCTCACTGTATGATATCATATGAATATCAAACGATATGGGTGATAAAATATCATATGAATATCAAACGATATGCATGTGAATGCTACAGTATCTGCTTAAATAGGTGGTATGCAACCATTCCTCTGGAAGAGAGAGAACAATGGAATGTTCGTCATGTTGCATAATATTTGCATTGTAAATCTTTTGTTGAAATCATCCAACATCGAGGCTATGACGCAGTTTGCATTCCAAGAATAATCGATTTATTTTCGAAACACTTTTTTAGTATGGAACAAGGTGATTTATTTGCCTGATGCGTTTTTATGCAACGGCCTAAAATAATGTTACGAATAAAAACTTGTGGGATGTGGAGAGGATCTTCATTCTCTCTCCAACTTTACAATCCACAAATTCAAAATTTCTAAAATTTATTAATCTGAAGTTGACAGGATTTTGAATTAACAATGAAGTGAACATATTCGCAACCCGTGAAACTGATTTTCTGCTTTTGGCCACTGAAATAGTTTTTATAGAAACCGTGAATGTGCAGAATCAACGCATGAACCATATATGATTTTTGACAGAAAGGGAAATGTGTAGTGTCCTGTTGCATCCGGTTAGACGAGAATACTCGCCAATTGGCAATAGTTAACTATTGTTTTATGCAGTCTGAATATAAATTTTGAGGTAATTCATAAAAAAAATAAAAACATTAATAAATATAATACTTATTTCTGTGGCGAGTTTCCTTAAATGGACTTTTTATACTTGCATGTTGGTATTGCAATACCACGTTTCAAATTGTATTACATGTAGTTTTACGTCATTGACTTTGATGACAACTTAGGACATCTTGTTTACAATATTCCATGTTTTCTTTTTGGTAATGGACTGTTTTTAAATTAGTTGTATAAGTACATCATACAAAACCTTTCGACGAAAAAGGAAAACCTTTCCGGAAAATGATCATTTGACTTTCTCTGTCAAAGTCACAAGAATGAGTCGCCCCGTGTGCTGCAGCTAACAGAAAAGTCACATGAGTGATTTGGGTGGTATGCGGCAACAGCAAAGTACGTTTTAAAGCATATTTCTCATTGATCGCTAAACGTCGAAGATAGAGCTTTTACGACCTCGGCGAGCACTTACAATCAAATAGAACGATAAGTTTAACCAAGCATTATATTTTAAAGAAAACATTTATAGAAAGACATGATTTTTCTTTGATCGGTGTTTGCAGATGATCAATTTTGATCAAGATTTTGATTATGCCAAAAGTGCAAATATCTCGAGCAAAATCCCATCTAAACACACCAACGCAAAAACACGCACATAAAATAAGTATTTGCATTATTCTAACTAAGTTAAAGAGTGTCCTCGCTCTCTAATTTAGGATAGAAGTTCTGTAAAAAATCGATGCATTCTAAAATAGACTTCTGCTACCTATTTTGGGATGGTTTTGCACAGAATTTCAAGCAGCGTACACTTGGTAATCAAAACAATTTTCTCTAAATAAAATAAAATCTTGCATATGTAATATAAAGTGTGTTTGAGTTGAGTTAGGACTGCATTGAAACGACAACCAAGTATTCGAAACATTCATTAAGTATCTCAACTCTCAAAATAACATCAATTTCATTACTATTGGTTCATTCTTGAAGATTGGGTGGTTGTGGAGGGTATCAAATTGTATGTCAACGTTTCTTTTATACCGCACCAATTTTCGTTCGTAATAGTCCATTATTTTCGCAATGCATAAAGTTGTCGCTCAGTGTACTAAATATAATCTATAAAGTTAGTAGTTTTGTCGGGCAAAACTATTCGTATAAGTACAATCTATATTTTTACCAGTACGCACTGCGTATAATCTATATATCCACTAGTACGCACAAGTATAATAAGTATAATCTATACCACAGTATACAAACATACAGTAGGGCCACTTCGCTGTGCAACTGGCTGCTGTATATTTAATTAGTTTACTGACTGCCGTTTGCCATATCGTCAGTCCTATTGGTCACACAATGCAATTTACAGGCTGCCAATATGGTAATCACATGCGTAATAAGATATGCGTGGCACGAAAAAATTCAATGAAGTGCCCCTATCGTATGTTCTCTATACTGTGATCTATATATCCACTAGTACGCACTGCGTACCTATTTTTAATATTTATTATGGCGTGAGTTTTTTTCAAATCAGCTTGGAGGCTGGAGGGAGTTGCATTTGCATGCAATGGACAATTGCCAAGAATCCTGATAAGACTGATGTAAAGTAATTTAAATAAAGTACGTATTGTACTACCAGTACCAGTAACAAACTTTGCTTTAGTTGGGTTTTTTTAGTGTTATCTTTTTACCATTTAACTTTTTATGCAAATGCAGTAAGCATGAAATAATGAATATCGTTTAAAATTATAAGTATCATGAGTTAGCGTGTCGCGTTACGTGTATAACTTAATTTGCAGACTGGCCATAAAATGAACTAATAAATGCATGACGTATATGATAAATTTCTGGCTGTTGTTAACGAATGGAAAGGTTAGGTAACACACTGTCACCTCAGTGTGAAGTGTGAGCTAATTAAAACCAAACTAAGGCAAACTTCCGCTTCAAAAGGAGTGGGGTTTTTCTATCAGATACGATGGGCGTTTATTGGATCATTTATGGTGTTTATAAATGTTACACATCTACTTACACCACGTTTTTAATTAAAACAACCACGTGCTCGTTGATCAGCGACATCGTAAAGATGGCTTTCTTCGACATGAATTTGTTTGGCCCTAGTATCACATCTTTAATTTCCCTTTCAATTGCTTTGGTGGTCTACCTTTTTGGTAAACAACCCGATCCATACATGGATGAAATTTTCCACATTCCCCAAGTGCAGAAATACTGTGCTCATCGTTTTGACGAATGGGATCCGATGATCACGACCCTGCCTGGCTTGTACTTTTGTTCCTGGGCTTTCATGGAAATTCTTGCAGTGTTCTTTCATCAGGATGTAAAGATAATGTGCATGCCCTTGTTCTTGAGGATGGTAAACGTTATTTTTAATTTTGGCAACATTTGGGTCATGTATCGCATTGTTAGAAAATTGGACGAAATGAATCCGAAAAATACACCCACACACTCCCAGGTAGGTGTTGTCCGATGTTGCTGTGGTAGTTGAGGGTATGGGTGCTAGTAAAGAAGGGTTCCTGTAAGTGCTAATGTAAAAGATTTGCGTTTGATGGATTATGCTTTTACTCTGTTGTAAAATAGGTTTGATGAATGGTTGCTTTCATTTCTTCATCACTAGCAGACAGAAAATTTTGTAAGCTGTGCACAAAAATTTGAAATTTTCACATGGCCTCAGGCACCCAATTTGCAATAAATTTCGCTCCTGAAATTATGTGCGCTGTGCAAACTTTCCAGTCTGCCATCACAGTCTAATCTCACAATGTTGTCACTACCCCGATACCTCAACATCATGAATTTCATCTACAACTGTACACTAATAATGCAGTATCAATATTATGCAATGTAGTACAGAATTTAAATTCCGGGCCTACCAGCCAAATTTTCATCCTGGCTAAAAGTGGACTGTAATACAAGCAAGGTTTTTGTATAGTTATTGCAGCAGTTGCTACTAATTGATGGATTTCTAAAACAAACTGGGGATTGCTCAGACTCAACTCATTTGTCGTTTGCATTGAAAGTGTCCTTTGCAAACTAATTAATAGCACTGATAGGACTCAAAAAATGTATGGTATCCATATATCCATATGATACCAGATTTCAACTTTGGATACTTGGTATCATAGACTTACTATCCGTATGGGATACTAGAAAATTATATTTGCTTGTAGATCCCTAGATTGGTTTAAGAAGAAAAATTCTAAGTTTATTGCTTCGCTTCTGAGTGTGGCTTTCTCTGTGGAGTTTCAATCATCACAAAGCAACCTGTTAGTTTATTTTTAGTATACTGAGCTTGCCCTTGTCAATGAAATGTTTATTGAATCAATTAATCATCATGTTGCAGAAACTAGTTTTAGCATTTCTACTTCATCCCTTGAGTAGAATTATCTGCTTAGCAATTAAGGTCATTGAGAGTCTACTTAATTAGGATCCTTGACTGTTTTTCTTTTTTATAACTGACTGTGAATATTTTATACCTTTGGTACAGAGTGAACACGTTCAAAACTTGGCTACCACTAACTCAAATGATGCTGAAAGTTGGCAAAAGTTTTACCATATGGCAAGTGGAATTACTCTTGGAATGTTTCCTCTATTGTTTTTCTTTATGTTTCTCTACTACACGGACAATGGTTCTACATTTTTTGTCCTGCTCATGTACTACCTAAGTCTTGGAGACTATCATGTTCTGGCAGCCATTATTGGAATGTACGCATTCTTCTTTAGACAAACTAACATTGTGTGGGTTATATTCACAGCTGGAGTGACTGCTGTTCGAATGTATGAGCCTTATGTTTTGAGAAAACTTGGCCCTCGGGCTAATGATTCTTTGAACATTGTATTGGAGTTTGTTAAGCAGCTTTTTGTAAATATGAAAGCAACAGTCCATGTTCTGTGGCCATATGCTTTAGTTATGCTGTTTTTCATTACATTTCTCATAGTTAATGGTGGAATTGCAGTCGGTGACAAAAATCATCATAAAGTTTGCTTCAACTTTCCACAGGTATTTTATTTTGCATGTTTTGCATCATTTTTTGGATTTCCTCATCTTTCATCGCCTGCTGTCATCTACAATACGTTTCTCTACTTCATTGGTTTGAACCAACGGCGTTATTACTCAACAATTACTGTTTTGGTTTGTGTGGTCCATTACTTGGTAAAAAATTTCACTTACGTTCATCCGTACTTGCTGGCAGATAACCGCCATTATTCATTCTACATTTGGAAGAACATTTATTTGACCTATCCGGATGCAAAGGTTGGTCTTATTCCTGTTTATATTGTTGCGACAACCATGATATTTGTGGCAATTAATCAATCAAGGCTTTGGAAGATTGTGTATGCAGTGTGTGTTGCCATGGTGCTTATTCCACAAGGACTGCTGGAGTTCAGATATTTTATCATACCATATCTTATGTTCCGACTGCATGTGAGGACACCACCTTTGTGGATACTTGGTGGAGAATTTTTGATATATGCCTGTATTAACTATTTTACATTATGGATGTTTTTGAATAAACCTTTCAAATGGCCAAATTCTGATGATGTGCAGCGATTCATGTGGTGATTTTGCTAACTTTGTCCATACTCCATGCATAGCACTTGTGGTAGATGGAAGATGCACTATCAGTATTGTTTACAGTTGGATAAATTACAATTATGTGCTAGTTGGTAGTTGATTTGTATATGATTGAATTTTGCAGTGGAAAACATCAGGGAGAATTGGGGGTCAAAGCCCCAACCCCACCAATAATTTTGACAGACTAAAAATCTATCACCAAATTATATTGCAAATGTCATTTTTATTATAATGTAACTGTTGCATTAAATAATGACTGTTTGATAGACTTCTGTTCTAAACATGTCTCAGCATGCACATTAAACCTTCTTGACTTTTTTGTTCTGGATAGAATGTTCTGGGAAATCTCTTATCTCGGAGATGACCCCCCTCCCCCCAATATTTCATTACATCTCTGCCACTGGAGTTTCAGTTAGCTATCTCAATGTTCTCATTGGTCAGAAAATACAAATGACTGGCTGTAATCACATGATGAGATATGCTGTTTTTCCCCATGCTGTGTCAAATGTAGTTCACAGAAAGAAATTTGAATTGTAAATAGCTTATTAGCTTTAACTATGTAGTAATTACAAAGATTAATCAAAAGACTAAAATATAACCAATTGAATTGTCATCGAGGTATTTTGAAATTTTGATTAGTTGCAAGAAATTTTATGTATTCTTGGTATTCCCTTTCACCAATAATGTTCAACTTGAATAATTAGTTGGCATAATATGGAATTGTTGCATAACTTCTTAGGATCAATACGATTCTGACATTCAACATTCGACTTATTTCAACATAAGTGGAGGTATTGGTGTGACAAACAGGTAATCTTGTGGTTATTTCATTTTGCTGAAATCATTTGAGGGATTTGCGTTTTCCCATGCGGTAAAAACCGCAGAAAATTTAAAATTCGTTAACATAAATCCGCGGCTTAATGTATTAGGTAAAGCTGTGGATTTGTGATTTGTCTTCATTGAACGACGTTTTTTCAAAAGACCCGGGGAAATTCACTTGGAGAGTCTGTGTGACAGACGAGAATTTGAAGGAAAGTAGGTGTTAAAAGAATTTACAAGCTGTACAACAAATGGCTGTCCATTATCCAACTGCGCCGCCAACCTACAGCGAAGTGGTCGAAGATCCATCGTCTAGTATCCATATACAGAATGCCGTTCCAGCCACACAAGTCGAAATAAGTGTCAAATGCAAGTGAGTATTTACATTTTATATGTTAGTTCAAGGGGAAAGCACAAATAACGAAGCTCACGCAACGAGTTTAAATGTGTAATTGCTTTTGAGTATTGAAGTTTATGTAAAACGGATTTGGTTCAATTCGGCCATTGCTATGTTATGTTTCTCAAAACAAAATTATTTTAATATTAGTGTATGTTATTTTAGTTATTGACGGACCTTTAAAATTTTACAGTCCAGAAGGAACGCCTTCAGCTCGAATTTTGTTTTTATCACACTGGAACTGAACACTGGCATGAACTTATAGTTGAAATGTATGAACATGGATTAAAGTTATAGAATGAGTCTCACTGATTTAGCTCGCTTATCAATAAACATAACCCTGAGACTCAATCCAACGCGCTTGTCTCCTTGTGTTTTGAGTGATTTCTTTGATCCATCTCAGGCATGTAAATTTCAAGGTACTCAAACGTCGCACGCTGAAGCATTTTCCCAAGAAGTGTAATTAAGCTGAGGGAAGTCTAAATCACCTTGAATAACCCACCGTTGTGCGTAAATGTGGTAAAGATTTACGTAAAGGTGACCGGTTGTGAAAGATTTGTTTGTCTCCATCAATTCCGGAGAATTTTCTTTGTGAATGAACAAAGACAAGCTCTTCAATGTGTCAAAGATTGAAATACCACAGCGTCGTATTGATGTTCGTCGAGCTCTTTGAAATCTTTAAGTTTAAGACTTTGCTCTTCTTTAAGTGTATGAAAGGTCTTTAGGCACACGATAGAATGTTTGAAATGAAATCTTCCAAGAAAATGAGATCACCTGAATGAAATAAACCGTCACAAAATCTTATTTTTTCTTATTTATTTTCATACACTTGCCAAACAAAAAGCTTAAAAAATTTTGTTTTGAAATGTAAAAGTTTCCCAAGAATGAGCTGCATGGATGCATGTTGTGATTATTTTGTCCTGTTGTCGAATTGATTTGACAAGGCTGTAGACGGAAAGCTTGTCAATTTGTGAAACCAAGATTTCTAGTCCGTCAGATTGGTTGGAACAAATGATTTTGTGAGCAAGAGCTAATTTTTAAATAAAACGTTAGCTTGGAACTCTTTGTGCAAGTTTTGTTTCTCAAAAACCTCAGGAAAGTGTTTACGATGAAGGTCTTTGAATTTCGTAATTCTTTGAGTCTTTGAAGGTCTTTGAATTTCGTAATTCTTTTTGAACTGCGAAATTTCATCGGGCAGGACAAGCACTAATTTCAAGAAAGTTTCCAAAAAAGTTAGCCTTGTGCGAAATTATATGTTTGTAGATGTAGATCGTCCAGGTTAGTGGAGTCCTTAGAAGGACTACATTTGCTGATGCTGCAACGTTTCGACAACCTTAGTGGTAGTCATCTTCAGAGTCTAGTAACTTGATGACTTCTTCTATTACCAGGACGATCAGCATCTAGGAACATGAAACGATTGTCCCGCGGGCTCAAACCGTTTACTTTACTTTTGAAATTCTTGAATTTTTTCTAACGTGCGAAAGTTTTCGCGCGGTTTGTATACAATGAAAACTAATTTCAGGGGGATTTTTTATGACAATGGAGTTTTTAGTAAGTTCTTTCATACTTTTTTCAGGAATTTAGCTGACATGGATTTGTTTTCCAAATCTGACCCAGGTAAGAATGTTTCTCGTATATAAGAATTTTTCTCGTTATAGTTAGCTACGAAAAAAAATTATAACCGCTAATAAATTTGAAATACTTCTACCACAGCGGCATGGGGTTATGAATTTCTAACGAATCTTACCAATCGATGGACTGTCGCAATTTAATTTGCTTAACGCTAGATACGCCACTGTCTGACACATATGCATTTGTTTATATCATTGTGTAGTTCCGTTGCTACATTGCTATCTGCTTGCAATCGTACTTTTTCTAGTAAAAGAATTTTTACGTTTACAAGAATTGCTTTTATATATACATTGTGTAGTTCCGTTGCTACATTGCTGTCTGCTTGCAATCTTACTTTCTTGTGCAAATGAGATTAAATTGACTTCAGTCTGCTTATCTTCATTCATATATATACATTAGCAATTCCATTGCCGCATTAATCGCTCCACATCCATTCGTTATTTTTATTGCTAATGAAAGTATTTTTTTTATACTTTCTTTGTAATATTCATACATCAATGCAGTTCCATTATCGTGTGTATTGGGCTACGTTCGCGATTTTTAGTTCAAATTAAATACATTTAATTAAGTTAGATAACAAAATGGAAATCAACAATTAGATTGATTTCATTATCTTTTGTTGTTATGGTCTACCATAGTGCTCCATGAGGTAATAACATAGTTTTTTTATTACTGTGCAGCACACGCAACTCCAATTTTTAACTTTAATATTTTAAAATATGGCTACAGTGATAGTTCGAGGCCATGAATTCGTGAATGTTAACGCTAGCGCTACAATGAAGTATCAGAATATTAGCTTTTGCATAACTTGTCCTATATCTTATCTATTCCTGTTCTTATATATCCATCGGCGGAGTACTAATTACAGGGCCTACGGGCTAAGATAAAGTTGTGGACCTTTAAGTGGTATCTATTGCCCCCAATAAGTTCAGTCTCTTGACGGCGTTCGCGTTCCTCAGAATCATCACGCTCCTTTGACATTGCATTTCCTTGGTTGTGTTTTGAACTCATAGTGTAAACAATAAGGAATGAATTTCAAGTTCAAACTGTTAATACCCACTATACTTCATGAGTTCTGAGTATTGAGCACTTTTTACTGTACGTCAATCAGTTTTTAACAGCATATATGTTCTTAATGAAGAACATTTATCTACTCCCGAATGGCAAAAAGTAAAAACTAATTACATCTAGCTATACCACGGGCCTCTCAAAAGCTCGGACCTGTTGGCTTCAGACTACTTAGCCGACTGGATAATCCGCCATTGCTTATATCTTATGCATATTTCTCTTTATCTTTTATCTATTCTTCTCCTCTTCTTCTCTCATCACTTTTGTCCATGTTTGACGTGGACATCGTTGGTTCGTTGTTTGTTACTTATGTTGCATTTCTGTACTGTTGTCTTTGTTGTTTTAAGAAATGAATGGCTTCTCAATAATGGGCAACATGCTTATGTGCTGTTAACCCACCAAATTATCTATTTATTGCCTCTCTAAGTTATTAAATCAGAAAAGCCTTTTCAAATCAAGTTTGCTCTTGAAATTACACAAAATGCAACGTCTTCTGTTCGAATATGTTGTCATAATTTAGATGTGGAAAATAACTACGATGGCGATTTGTAGTTGTGTGTATCGGTACTATTTCAAGTGTTCATATTTCATCAAGACTGAACCGACCCCACGCAACAATTATGTTTAATTGTGTTTATACTAGTTATATCAAATATTTAAAGGCTGCATCATCGCCTTCGTCAAATTATTAGCCAGAAATGACAAAGTTCATGAATACCCCTCTTAATTAAAGTACGATTGATGCCAATGCTACGTTTCAAATAGCCGAAAACGTCTTCTCTAACCTGGGGTTGAACACTAATGAACCATCATACAATATTACAATATTTATTGAACTCTCCCCAAGGAGGCTTTCCGTACTAAGGCAACTCTAATAAAACAAGGCTAAAATTAATTTACGAAGTACTATATTTATTATTACTGTCTGTTATCATCATTCACAAAAGGCATTGAATTTTCATACGTCCTTTTTTTCGTAGTCGTGGTGCTTTTTGTAAAATCTGTTGATGGTAGAGAGTGGAGAGAGGTACATAGATTGGGACATGTTTGAAGCATGGGTTGTAATGGGATTGCTGGTTTAGCATGCTAATGAAAGTTTTTCCTGTTTTAGTTTGGCCGAACCGAAGTAATCATGAACACTTTGAATCCCGTGTTTGTGAAAAAGTTTATTATGAATTATTTTTTTGAAGAAATTCAAGAACTTCGCTTCCACGTGTAAGAAAATAAAACTTTTAATGTGTAAATCTGTCGAATCACATGTGTCATACTGTCGAATCACATGTGTCATACTATCAAACCACGTGTGTCATACTATCGAACCACGTGTGTCATACTATCGAACCACATGTGTCATACTATCGAACCACATGTGTCATACTATCGAACCACATGTGTCATACTGTCGAACCACATGTGTCATACTGTCGAGTTACATGTGTCATACTATCGAACCACATGTGTCATACTGTCGAGTTACATGTGTCATACTATCGAACCACATGTGTCATACTATCGAACCACATGTGTCATACTATCGAACCACATGTGTCATACTATCGAACCACATGTGTCATACTATCGAACTACATGTGTCATACTATCGAACCACATGTGTCATACTATCGAACCACATGTGTCATACTATCGAACCACATGTGTCATACTATCGAACCACATGTGTCATACTGTCGAGTTACATGTGTCATACTATCGAACCACATGTGTCATACTATCGAACCACATGTGTCATACTATCGAACCATGTGTCATACTATCGAACCACATGTGTCATACTGTCGAGTTACATGTGTCATACTATCGAACCACATGTGTCATACTATCGAACCAGATGTGTCATACTGTCGAATTACATGTGTCATACTATCGAACCACATGTGTCATACTATCGAACCACATGTGTCATACTGTCGAGTTACATGTGTCATACTATCGAACCACATGTGTCATACTATCGAACCACATTTGTCATACTATCGAACCACATGTGTCATACTGTCGAGTTACATGTGTCATACTATCGAACCACATGTATCATACTATCGAACCACATGTGTCATACTATCGAACCACATGTGTCATTCTGTCGAATCACATGTGTCATACTATCGAACCACATTTGTCATACTATCGAACCACATGTGTCATTCTGTCGAACCACATGTGTCATACTGTCGAGTTACATGTGTCATTCTGTCGAGTTACATGTGTTATTCTGTTGAGTCACTTGTGTTATTCTGTTGAGTCACATGTGTCATTCTGTAGAGTCATATGTGTCATTTTGTCGAATCACATGTGTCATTCTGTCGAGTCACGTGTGTCATTCAGATGAAACTTTAGATTTCATCAACACTTGATCATCATACAATAGAAGACCAACGTACAGATGGTGATCTTCCGTAATTTTTTTGCAATTTGCCATTGATTTAGCAAGTTTAGGAAACAGAAGCAATTGCTCACCTTGAGTGGATATAAATTTCTATCCGTTGTTTGAATGTATCTAAAAAGGCAATTCTATCTAATCCATCAATTTATCTCTTTATTTTTCTCTATCTATCCATCATTTTACCTCTCCATTCATCCCTATCATTATCAATCCATATGTCCATTAATCCATCATTTCATCTCTCCATTGATCCTTATCTTTATCAATCCGTATCTCCATCAATACATCATTTTATCTCTCCATTCATCCTTATCTTTATCAATCCATATCTCCGTCAAAACATCATTTTATCTATCCATTGATCTCTATCTCTATCGCCATATCTTTATCCATCTATCATTTCATCTTTTATTGATCTCAATATCAACCCACATCTTTTCTGTTCATCATTTCAACTCCCCATTGATCCCTGTTTCAGTCTACTCTTATCTCTATCAATCTATCTTGCCGTCAGTCAATTTTTTATTCGTCTATCTCTCCATGTAGCTGTTCATCATGCAAACCTGTAGTTGGACCTAACATCTATAATTACATACAAGCTCAAAACATTAAATGTCAGAGACAACGGAGCGTGTTCAAATCTTGGGGGGTGGCAGAATAACACGAGAAAATAGTTTACATATGTGACGTTGTAGTTTACCTAAAATAAAATTACTTGTGCCACCCACCGTTTATCTTTCCATTGATCCTCTCTATCTCTTTCAATCCATCTTTCCATCTGTCAGTTTCTTCATTCATCTCCATATACCTTGTTCATCATTCACTCTTTTACAAACCTATCACCTGTGGTTGGTTCATAATTACATACCAGTTCAAAGGCTTTAATGCGACGGGGACTGGAAGAACAGCACGAGAAAATAGTTTACATGTGGACGCTGTAATTTACCTGATGAAATTGCTTGTGCCTTTCCTCCTCCGCCTTCCCTAATTCTAAATTATTAATTAATTATTTTCTATTTGCAGTTACGACGTAGATTCCAATTCGCCACGTCTATCTGATCACGTAAGAGCATTACGTCACGCACTGTAGCATAGCAACGCTTTTTCATGTATTGATTACTTTTATGGTGAACATTCATGTTCATAGGATTTCATTGGTCGACTCGATATCACGTTGGGCTCAATAATAGGAGAACATGGTGGACGTCTGGAGGCCAAATTGGAGTAAGTCCAGCGGCGTAGCCTGCCCAAACTTGGACAAAGTAGTTGGTTCATTCTGTCTGAGGATGACTTTGAAATAAAGTCGAAAATTTACAGTTTACTTCTCGTCTTGTTTTGATTCATATTTTTGCCATCTCAAGATATCTTGCTTCTTCGGAATTTGTTTTATATTATACTTCTTTAAATTGTCGGCTGGTCGTGGTTTTTGGTTCCGCCAATAGAGTAGGCTTGTTTATCAAAATAGTGACTTGAAGAAAATGACTACGGACAACCTACTAACGTTAAAAAAATGCGCGAGGAATGGAACCGAGTACGGTCACAACAAACACGACCACAGACTACGGTAGTCTTACTTGTAGCTCCTACTTGTTTAGATTCCTAAAAGGACTCTTTGCACTACAGAAAAAAACAAAATTAGTTCAAGTCACGAGTGGGAAACTCAAAAATCAAGGTTATGTTACAATGTTTAGAAAAACGTAAACATCTAATACAGTGTATTTTATGTCAAATGATTTGTTAAGTAAATACGTTTTAAGTAAACATATATTTTTTAAGTGAACAAAACTATCAAAATAGTTTACTGACATTGTTTCCAAAGTAGTATCTTCTAGTAGTTCAATCATATTATAATTCTACACTTCAAGAAAATGTACGAGAACTCAAGTTAAGCAGCTAAAAATCATTGTATATAAGTGTGTTTATGTAAGTTGTACATCTGTAAAACTCGTAAAGTCTTAATACATCAAACTAAACACAAAAATATTTACTTACAGGATAAAAATATCAAATTCTTTCACTCCTAGTCAACCCAACGAGAAACCGCCGCTTAAGTCGCCATATTGAGGTTGGCTACGGTGAAAACGCAACGCTTCAGTCTCTCGATCCATTCCACGCGCATTTTTTTAACCGTAGTAGGTTTGTCCCATAGATATAGTCATTGGATATAGTAGGTCTAGATTGCTGACAAGCCACCATATTGCGTGACATCCATGATAAATCCAACATGGCGTTGAAACCGGGCAAAAAACATAGAGTTACTATAGGGCAATTGATGTTTTTCGCAATTTACTTCTTCGTTGATTTTGGTGGACAAACGCCTCGAGACAAACAAACGACCAATTTACGCAACACTTCGCAAGAGATATTTTTCGCCCGTATTTCAATAATAATTGTCCAATGTGACTTCAAAACATTATTAATAACGCTTTGTTTCCAATAAAACTTCATTGGAGGAGTTTGAAAACACTGAAACGAAGTAAACTGCAAAAAACAACAATTACATAATAGTAGCCTCACGTTTTTTGCCCGGTTCCCGCGCCATCTTGGATTTATCATGAATGTCACGCTGCCATCTTAATCAGTCTTATATTACGTCACACTCGTCAGCAATCTAGTTTTATTATATCTATGGATTGTCCGTAGTCACTTTTTTAAAGTCACCAATTTAGCTACAGACGCTGCAAGTCAGGCCCCAATCCCCCTTTAAAAAAATTGATTGTATGCTCCTCTGTTGATGCCGCTCACAGCGTTGCCATTTTATCATGGTTTTTTGTGTGAATATCAATCCTTTGCGTCAATATTCACGGAAATCTTTTTAATTTTTTACGAAAATTTATTTTCTTAGAAATAAAGAGACATCGAAATGTGGTTCTATCATTTGTAAGTTTGTTGTTTCGTGGGGAGCAATTTATCTCAAAGATTTATTTTTTGTTTGTCCATTGTAGTAACTGTGGAAGAAGTTAGCGAATGCAAGGTGAGCAGCTCTGTTATCTTATTTTTTACCCCGAATGACATTGTTGTTATGAAGATTCTCTTTATAGGAGGGAGGACCCCAAAATAGCGCTTACTTAATAAATCTACTTATATATTTTAATTGTACAAATGACGAACATTTATAATGCTCAAAATATTACCAGTCTTCCCTCTTTGCTCTCTACCTTGCCTCTCGTACCTCTGCTTAACGGCCTTCATTTATTGAAAACTTTCAAGAAACATAAGTTGTAAAAGTGTAACAAAAAACAACCTCGACGGCAGTTCTTCGTTCGTATAGTTTCAAAGCGTTGGCATTGTCGAACTGACTATTTACTCCCAGGCTATTTCTTCATTTCTCCATTACGAACACATCACGAGCAGTTACATGTTTAAATGTTACGGACCTGGCATCAACTTGGGAACAGAATTTGCAACTAATAACTACGAGGAATGATTTGCTGGAGGGTTAAATTTTCCGGTTATATTATGATGGCTTTTAATATTAGTAAAAAATATCACCAGATAACCAGTGCTGTAGAGCTAAATTTATCAGATGAGGGCCCTTTTGATGTTTTTGTCAATAGTGTCCTTTTAAAATTACCTATTTCAAAGGTAGAAGGAGGGCTCCCCCCCCCCCAACTTCTACAGCACTGCAAATAACAAAGTAAACTGCTGAAAAGGGTTACAATAGACAAGTTTGATGCATGAGAGTATCGAAGTAAGTCCAGAAACACGAGCAGCCAGTGTGTGAATTTTATTTTCTTTCATTTCCTGCAATTTTGCTTCATCTTGAGATTTCATCATTGCATCAAAATTTCTTTCTGTCGAGAGACTTTCTGCACTGTACAAATGTCGTTCATCATGCAACTGATTCCTAATTTCTTAACGCACAAACATTTTGCATATTTGTGCTTTAGGATGTTGCAACGCTACATTTCAAAGCAAACAAATTGGATAAAAAAGATTTCCTTGGTAAATCCGATCCTTTTCTCGTGTTTTATCGATGCAACGAAGATTCAAGGTGCCAAACTGTAATGTTAAAATCTAAGATATTACGAGTCATTTCATCTGTTTTTGTTTCGCCCCTTTCGCTTGTGTTTTCATAAACACGCAAGGACATTTTGTGATGGTTTTAAGCGTTTCATTTTCTGTCTTCCTCTTGTCCTTCAAGACGTAAACAGAAAAGTACGTTACGATTCATGATTGTTCGTGGAATTATTATATAGCTTGGTTTTTTCCTCTTGTCTGTCAAGACATAAACAGAAAAATATGATTGTTCGTGGAATTATTCAATACTATTAGCATAGCTTTGCTTCTACTTGAATTTGGAGCATATCCATTCATATTTACATTAAAGTTTTTCCATTTTCCATGAAACTGACTTGTACTTTTTCTGTCTTATAGTTTTACGGCTGTGCACAGAACAGAGGTTATAAAGAATACTTTGAATCCAATGTGGAAACCATTTAGCGTCCCAGGGCGAGCGTTGTGTAACGGTGATTACGATAGGTATAAAGCCATATCTATGTCAATCGCCATTGTTTTCAAATGTTTAAGAATAAACATGCTTCAAAAAATTAAATCTTGTAAACTCAACTTATGAACTTTCATAAAAATGAACTGCAACTTGAACTGTGATATTTTGACTTTATTCCAAAGTCATTGCATGTGAAAGCAGAATGAGAAATTAACTAGCATGTCATCATGTGTTTGAACCAGGCTACCCGTTGCCCGTTAATGATGGGGTGCGGGTGAACCAGGTTACCGGTGGTCCTTCAATTATGGGGTGCCTGCCCTCTCCTACACACACTAAAATCTGACAACATAAACATTTTCTTAAAAATCGTTGATAGAACACAACAATAAAAGGTTTTTAATTTATATACAGAAAAATGCCAATAAGAACTTTCAATTTACTACAAGGAACACGAATTCACGAATATAAACCTACTTTTTATCTTTATTTTCACAAACAACACCGTTCAGGGCGCCCCTTTGCAAGCTGATTGCTGGGTGCCTGTGGCTCTGCCCACCCAGAGCTTATAGCAGCTTCGCCACCACACTATATCATATACACTATAAATTGTATATCATTGCTTCTGTAAAAGCTCATATCTTAGTTTACGAGATATTAATTTTCCGAGCATTTTACGAAATTTCTGCCAGTAAAGGTGTGTTTTTAAATGTGTTGTTTTGTACTTACGTAAGTGCGTGACGCTCATGCGCAAATTATTTTTCAGATCAATTCTTGTCGAATGTTACGACTGGGATCGAGACGGAGGGTAAGCAAATCTTTACTGATCGAAATACAAAAGGAGTTTGAAACCGTTAGATGCATAAATGAAAGTGTTTTGTTTCTTTTTGTTTTTAAGAAAAGTTTGAATTTTTATTGATTAACAGTTGCGTGGAGAAAAGTTGTTGAGGAAAATTGCAACATACTATTGTATTGTGATTAGTCACTATGAACTAGTTGGCGTTTGATGTATTGTCGGATCCGGGGTTTTTTCAACCTGTTTGTAGATTTAGATCGTCCAGGTTAGTAGAGTCCTGAGATGGAATGTCGATGTTGGCAGACGCTTCCACGATCTTAGAAGTCAATTCAGTTGACTACCGCTAAGCATGTCGAAGCGTCAGTCTACATCAATACCAACAGCTCTTCTCGGAACTCTCCGCCAACCTGGAAGATCTACATCCGCAAACATTTAAGAATATTTCCAGGTTTAAACCATTCGCTTGTTCAAACCATTCACTTATTTGTTTTTCCTTGTTATGAGGATGCAAAATGCCGACATCTTGCAACATTTTTGCATCGTTGCGCAACTCAATGTTGAAAATCTTTGCGTTCTCTTTAGACATGATTTCATTGGTCATTTTTCAACAACACTTCGAGAGATGAACAATAGTCAACTACGAGGGATCACGTGGGAGGTATCAGCATATAAAGCGGCGAACTGTAGTTATAAACTGGAATGCTGACTGTTTTAGTATGATGTCGAAACTTTATTGTTTATGCAGATTTCGTTTGTGTACTCTGCTTTATCAAGAATATCATCCAGGGCGAAACTAGGACGTTTATTAGGGGGGGGTGAATATTCATAGATTCAGCTTATTTCTTGTGAAATTAAAATCGTTTCCTAAAGAAATCATTCGGAAGAGCCAACCCCCTTCCATTGACTCAGCCTTCTAGTTTTGCCCAAAGGTCAACGTTTGGGGATAACTACTTTGTTCATAGTAATAGTCACTCATTAAACTAAAATGCATCTGGAATGCTACCTGTAATAGAAAAGTCTAATAATTTTTTTGAAGCCAAATTTTACACGCAGACACGCGAGATAACACCAAGACACGCATGTGCAGTCAATCAATTTTCACTCCGCGAGAGAATCTCGAAACACTACACACGCGTGTCTGGGTGTAAGATTTGGCTTCAATTATTTACTTCAGGTAGCGTTCCATGTATTTTAGTTAAATGTAGTCACTCTAGATTGACCGTTCTCAAGTTTGCTTAAGCTAGTAAAAGCCTTGGGCTTACGAAAATATGTTGCATGAAAATACATTTTGTTAAATTCATAAGTGGGACGTAAAGTTTGATTATTCGTTATCCATGCTAATTTTTCTGGTCTGTCGCATTGTGCTATTCAAATGTTGGCTAGCAATGAGTAAAGTCTTACGAGTCCTTCAAGACGGATAAAGTAAATTTTTGTTTTAGGTTGTGAATACTAAGAAACAGAGGAAGAAAAAAAAGTATAGAAATTCCGGGACTGTAAGTAGACGTTTCACTGCGGTTTTTAGAGAGGATCAAATCTTTTCTCTCATACTGTCAGTTGAATGTTATAAAAAGCAGGCAGGCTATTTATGTTATATGCTATTCGCTGCTCGACAATATGTTATCTTTAATTTTCATCGACATTTTTAGGTCACACTTCTGCAATGTAAGGTAGAACAACAGCCGACGTTTTTGGATTTTATTCGCGGAGGGTTAGTAATAATATATTCGCTTCTTAGTCTGAAGCATCGTTGTCTATCTCTTTGACTGCTTGGGAATTTTGTCTTTCGATGATATATCGTCAAAGAATCAGAAAATCAATTCTGCCACGGACATGAGCACGTGAAAAACACGTGGCGTAAAACAACTGGCCATAAAGTAAATGGTTTGAATCCGGGCATCGTTACATGTTTGTAGATGTAGATCGTCCAGTTTAGTAGAGTCCTGAGAAGGACTGTTTTTGTTGATGTTGACTGACGTTTCGACAACCTTAGCGGTAGTAGTCATTAGCGAGTTGTTCGCTCTGTCGTCCAAATGATCGTAATAGTAAGTGGCTTGAACCCTGGAGTATCGTTAACGAGTATCGAAACGTCAGTCAAAATCAACAGCAACAGTCCTATTCAGGACTCTACTAGCCTGGACGATCTGCATCCACAAACATGTAACAACTGACTATAATATCCTGAAAGTGTGAGTTTAAGCCACATACTTATCATGTGCGTATATGTAAGAATTGATTTTCTAGTACTAAACAATATAAATCCTTAATGAGAATTTAAAATAGCAGTATATTTGCCGATATATTACCTCAACCGAGAAGAGTTCCCTTAATTGTGAAGAGTTAATGGTATAAAAAATTGCATGATCATTTCAACCAAAAATTGACTTCAATAAAAAAGATGTTGGAAACACTGCAGGGACGCATTATGCAAAATGACGTAGAAAGTTTTATAGATCGGACATTACAAAAACTTCAATACTTCGAGAATGAAATGAGTTATTCACAAACTGTTTTAGAAAATACACTGTCATTTTCAAAGTTCTGTTAAATGAAACTATAATTTTAGTAGTAAAATTTTAAGTCATATGTCCTTCAAAGCAATCGATGGATGAGTCTAGCGTGATTCATTGTTGTACGTAGTCTGTTGTCGATGACATGAAATTGACCTTAAGAGTGGACGAAATTTTTTGTACAATGATAATGGTTGATTCCAGCCCAGGTGCGGATTTAGAGTACGCCAAAATAAATTACTATTTTGGCGTATATTTACATTTCTAAGACGCCAATCCATTGGTAAAATTATATTCTGAAACTGAAAACCAATCGTGTTTTTCTGAACGTAATTTAAAATTGAGGAGCTATAATTTATTTTTACGTACACTAGATCCCGCCTCAGGAGGCCCTTTTTTGTAAAGGCCCCTGGGCAGCTGCTTCGTCTTGCTCTTTGTTTAATCTGGCCCTGACCACCTTCTTAAAGTGTTTTCTAGAAACATATACGTCAACTAGTTCTTCTCGATCACAGCATAGGAAATGGAAACAAACAGTGGTCTAACTCAAGCAAAATTTTTGTATGACCCATATATTTTACATCTATTACGCACGTGATTAGCGTAATGATAGTCAGTCAATTGTATTTTCTGACCAATAGAAACAATGAGATGGCTAACCACAGCCAGTATTGTAATCAAATCTACAGCCCCAACTCAAGTTTAATATCAAAGTGGGCCTGCTGTTCATTCCTTGTACTGCAGTTTTCTCAGTTATGCAATACAACGAGTGAAGTATTCTTTTATTTAGGACGCAATTAAGCTTCGTTGTTGCTGTTGATTTTACTGCATCCAACGGTAACTTTTTTTTGGTTTTGTTTGTTTTGCATTCCTACCTTTCACGCCTTGTTGTTTGAATCCAGGCGAGCAAAATAACCCGAACTCTCTTCATTATATCAACCCATACGAACCAAATCTTTACGTGAAAGCGCTCTCGGCTGTCGGAAGAATTTGCGAAGATTATGACTCGTAAGTTGTTTTGAAATTATGTGATGATTTTGATTCGTCAGTTGATGTTGCAAAAGCTCAGGATAGTAATGCAGATGGTTGAATTTCATGTTTGAGATTTTTACTTTTAGGGATAAGTATTTTCCAGCCTTCGGATTTGGTGCCAGACTCCCTCCACATTGGCAAGTTTCTCACGAGTTTGCTTTGGTATGAGTTTTAATTGTTTTTCATTCTCATTATTGTTTAAAAACCTGTCAGCTTTGCTAGAACCTCTCTTAAGTTTTTCTCTTTGTTAGAACTGGAACCCTGAGAACCCCTATTGTAGTGGAGTGTCCGGTGTTGTCAGCAGTTATCGAGATTGTATACAAAAAGTTAAACTGTATGGTATGTCGAGGTTTTTTATGCATGCAAGAATGGATTGAAGTGCCTACATCGCTTTCAGAGAATTAATGTATTCGGATAGAGTGGATTATTTTAAGAGCATTTTCGGATAGAGTGGATTATTTTAAGAGCATTTTCGGATAGAGTGGATTATTTTAAGAGCATTTTCGGATAGAGTGGATTATTTTAAGAGCATTTTCGGATAGAGTGGATTATTTTAAGAGCATTCTCGGATAGAGTGGATGATTTTAAGAACATTTGCAATATATTTTATAACACGAAAATTTGATCTTCTTTGACTTTTGGGCCTCAAAGTTGGCTTTTTTCGTGTTTGACCGTGAGGTGCTGTGACTGACGTCTAGTTAACCGGACGTGACGTACATTGGAGAACACGCTGCTTTTGAGTGCTGTAATAATATATTGTCAATTTAATAATGAAGTGCACGATTTTATCCTTTATTAAATTTTAATTTCATTTTTCGCTGACACGATGTCGTCCAGATTTTCCGACGATTTAGATAGTCAATTTGATTTGGATTTCTTTAATGATTCCTTCAAAGTTCAATGTAATGATATCCCTTCGTGATGGTTCACCAAGTTCGAACACCCGTCTCAATCATGAAAAATTCACTCAACACAAGCTTCATAAAAGTAAATTTTTCAACTTTGCTATAAATGTCACTATAAACTATAGCGTTGAAAAGCATTGTGTTCTCCAATGTACGTCACGTGCGGTGAACTAGTCCCAGTAATAGCACCTCGCTGTCAAACACAAAAAAGCCAACTTCGAAGTCCAAATAATCGAGGAAGGTCAAATTTTCGTCTCATAGAATATATTGCAAATGTTCTTTAAATCGTCCACTTTATTTAAACAAATTATTTCCCTGAGAGTGTCATAGGCACTTTAATCAGGATGTGTATCTCTTCTTGTCTTGACATAGTGGGTTATTGTAAGTGTTCTTTACTCACAACAAGATCAAGATTCATACCAAGGCAAATGTTTTGAAATTTTTGAAATACATACGAAAATAGTTTGCAACTGTGGTTATTGTCGTTGCTGAATCAAAAGAGTACGACTAATATTTTGTACCTTGTTATAGAACAATGCAGTATGGCTTGTCGTCGTAAATGTATATTATCCTGCTGACGTACTAACTCTTAACACTCATTCTGACTTGGCCCCACGCCCTTTAAAAATCACCGTTAATCCATCTCTGTCACGTGTTATTACAAGTAAATCCATGCAAGGGCGTAGTAGGATTAATAATTGGGCGGGGGTCTCGTATTCATTTATGCAAGTTATACTCAAATGAAAACAATGGATTTCATAGGAAATTATCACTGCATATCGTGCATTTTTTAATAGCCCCCCGTCTTCTCGCGCCTATGATTCTAATGTATGCTTTTCAACTGGCTTTTGATTTTATAGGACCAACGAATTTTGCTCCAGTGATCAACAGCTGCTCAAGGTATGTTTCTTACGTTGATGTTTAGACACGGTTGCTGAATAGAGATTTTGTTCACAAAAGACTTAGAAAGACTAGGTCAACTAGGTGACTTGAATTCAGACAAAGGCTTGTTGTCGGCAGGATCATAGGGAGGCACTGCGTGGCCCTGGGGCGCTTTTCTCTCAATTTTACAACGTCATGATTTTAAACTTTTACCACTGCATGAGCAAAGCTCAATGACAAACAACGTTAACGTATCTTGAAAGACAGCTTGACAATGACTATCTTAATCACGGGTCTCTTCTCAAATCAGCGTTTAGGTTGAGACCGTTGAGTACCCTGAGCAAAATTCTTTACTCTTGCCTCGCCTTCCTCTTCATGGGGAGGAAGACAACCTGTTTCCTCCCTCCTTGTCAAATTTTATGTTGAGACAGCTTATTGAGTTTTTCCATTATAATTTTATGAACCTGTTGTACAGAATCGCAAGAGATAGCATCCGACGTAATCATGGAAGCGAGTATGTTGTTCATTCGAAATTTCGAAACGATTTTTATTTTTATCTAACAAGAAATTCTCTCATCATTTTTGAAGGTATTTTGTTTTGCTTATTCTGACCGACGGAATCATTTCAGATATGGCACAAACTAAAGAAGCCATTGTCAATGTACGTATTAATGTTACAAAGCTTCTCGATTTATAAAGATTACAGCGCAACAACTCATTTCCAAAAAAGCCATAAGCCGTTGGTTCGTTGTATAATATTTATGTAGCGAGTGACGTTTCGTCTTCACTCATAAATCTTCAGACTAATTACAGGTGTTCTGTTACAAGGAAGTATATACAAACTGATATTTAGTTATTTATATAGTTTGAGATAACTTAGAATTCTTTTCCCGTCTCGCATCTCACTGGAAACAATACATGTTATGAAGGCTATTAAATGTTTGCAAACTGAGCCCGTGCTTTCCACCTGATGTAGGAGCAGCGATTGATACTGAAAATAAACTGTACATTCTCTAGGCGGCATCCCTTCCCATGTCGATCATAATCGTTGGAATTGGACCTGCCGATTTTGAAGGTAAATCCAGTGAACCCCGAAGTCATCTGAACGTCGTTGCTTTTGTGAAAGAGACAAACTTTTTCTCCTGCACTTCTTAATGGTCGTCTTTCTCGTGTTTTTTTTTTAATTTTTTGTCGTTGCTTAATTCAGATACGATGCTGACTGTCTTTGTTTAATCTTTTGTTTTCCCTTGTGCTTGTAGCGTGAACCAAGTTTTACTACTCAACACATAAGTTTAGGGATATTTGACTTGGTGAAAGCTAGTAGCATTCGAGCGTTAGTTTCTGTCCTCGATTCATAAGACGACGGCTGCCTTTGTCCGTTCGGGTTGAAAAAATTTTTTTGACTGCTCTCTCTCGTCCGATATTTCGGCTCTTTCGCGACTATCCCATAAAATTTTCACGATAAATTTCATCGTTGTTTTCTTTATAGCAATGGAAGTTCTTGACGGAGATGTTGTACGTCTGTCGTCGAGAGGTCGCGAAGCGGAACGCGACATTGTTCAAGTGAGTGCTTCATTTAAAAAGTGTTTCAAATAAAAGTTGGCTATAAACACAGGTGTTCTAAATGGTCACTCACTCGCTTGCGAAGTGCAACAGAGAAATCATGCTAGGTTTTTCTATATTTCAAATCAAGCTTTCAGTGAAGTTAAAATACCGTCTTGGAATAATTTTTGAGGTGATTTTGAAGCCTTGCTCAGTGTGTTTGAGCGCGAGTGAGCTTTTAAGTAGAGGCGTAGATGTCAAGTTCACTTATTGCATAGCTAGGTCCTCTTAGCATATTATGCTAATCAAAGTTTTATATGTGAAACTTAGTGAAAACACAATGTATCGTCGTACAATTGGCGTAAAAATGGCGTAAAATGGCGTATACATGGGCGTATTCACTTTATTTTACGCCGTTTTTCACAATGTCGTAGACGGTATGTCATGTTGGCTAAAATTTCTCTATTGTTATCAGTTCGTTCCTTTCCGGAACTATCTCAGCAGTCGCTATGGTGACGTCACAAGTGGTGCAAGACTGGCGTCGGATGTACTCGAGGAGCTCCCGGGACAATTCTTGGAATACATGAAAAAACACAAAATTCAGCCTCGACAGCCGTAATTTTGAACATAGTCTCAGGTATGTGCAACAAGTACAACTTCATGTCGTGTGCCGTGTCAATGATTTAGAACCCATTCCCCTAGATCTGTAACTAACGTGCCAAGGTGAGGCATGGTCGCCAACTTCAAAGGTTGGAAAAATCAAAACTCTTGATCAAAAATAATGACCAGGGATATACCAGGCAGGAACCGAATTCTTATAATAAATATTAAAGCGCAGCAGAGTGCTTCTAAAAGAGCCATTAAATACAAGAATATATATATGTAAAAGAAATATTTATTGAGTAGCGTAACGTTTTGTCTTGACTCTGAAGACATCATCAGACATTATTAAATTTCAAGTAATGAGGAATATATAATATTTACTTACATAATATCAAATTACATGGTGGGATGAAAGAAGCTACAGTACATATGTGGTAGGAATATAATTTAAAAAAAGTTTGAAAACCGAATGCTCTAATGTTTGAGAACTAAACAAAGACAAATACCTCTACAATGTATATCAATGCAGAAGAAGCAGATTTTCGTAAATATTGTCAGTTTTTCCACCTTTAAAGATGGCGGCTTGCCTCACTCATAAGTTAAGAATTTCGATGGAGTCATACATCTAGTAGACTGGTAACTAGGTCATTTAGCCTAATTTATCCAGTGCACTAGGTACCCTATTCAATCCAGTGTCCTATAGCGGTCTCCTACCTAAGCTCATTGAAGTCGGTGTCTTATGCTAACATAGAAAGTTATACAATTATGTAATAATTACGTCATGTAAAATTCAAGTATAACGTCATAGGGACAAAGAAGGATAAACAATTCATTTTAGGAGGCATAGATGGCACAAATTTGAATATAATTTAAAGTATCCATAATCATTCAACCCATATATAGCCAAATGATCTCATTACTCCTATACTGTATAAACAACAATTACAAATATTTTTCCATTTAATCCTACACTATCCTAATTGATCACCACATCCGGTGATTTTTTGCGTAACTTTAACTCAGACCTCGTGCCAATGGCAACTTTTTTAGTTTGCCTATAACGCTTGTCTGTATACCGTAAAATCGCCTTGGAGTTACCAATCTCCGGCATCGTTATAATTGTTGTAGCAGGATGACGTATGTTCTTTGTCTGGTTCACACTTTTGCTGCTTTTGTTTTTATTCTTGGGAGTCCTGTTTTTGTCCACGTGTCTGTCACACGGCTTCAAATTGCTGACGTTTTCACCCGCGTGATTGACATTGATTTGGAAGTAAAATCCATTATTGCTGACATCATTAGGTGTTGTGAGATTTTCAACGTTATTCACGTGACTTTCAGGATTGTCCACATGGTTTTTGACATTGTTCACGTGATTTTTAACTTTATGACCTTTTTCGCGCTGTCTGTCTACGTTCTCTCCTTTCGTGTTCTTGAAAACACTGGTGTCAAATTCTTTGTCCATTGTAAAAGTTAACACTGATTTCTTCAGCTCCAGTTTCATTTTTTTCTCCGCGTCAAGGTTCTGTTGGCTTTTCCAAAATTTTTCTATTTGATTGGAACGCAAATTGGAGGGGTTGCCTTTGGCGTTATTTTGTCTTGCATTGAGTATTTCCGACTTTAGTTCGTCATTTCCTCTAGATTGGGTTTCTTTCGTTTTTATCATGGTTGTCTCGGCAAGCCTCGCTTCGTTTTCTTTTCCCTCAGTGGCACCCTCCTTCGGGCTATCTTCGTTCGACACCGTCGAACCTTCGGTGTTTACCGTCAAGCTGTCATCGCCGTGTTTTGCGTTTGTTGTGAGATTTTTTCCTTTTAGGCGAGCCATTTTTTCCAAACGATTTGCACTCGTTTGCCGACGATACGGCGAATTTGCCCCGAGTAAGGACTTGCCGTTGACTGCAAGATTTATTCCAATGTATGGCGGCGCGTCAACATACGGCTGTGGAGTCAAACAAGCAAAAAATCATGCATGCGCATGCTCATACAAGATACAATGAAATGTTTACGAACAATAATAACACAACGTGAAATCACTAATCTTCTTTTGTGCAGTTCACTTTTAGTGTCATGTTGATGTCAATACTCAACATTTGGTCCCAAACTTCGTTATTCTTACTCGCGTTATGTACAACATGAAGTCTTAAAGTGACTCAACGTTATGTACAACATGAAGTCTTAAAGTGACTCAACGTTATGTACAACATGAAGTCTCAAAGTGACTCAACGTTATGTAGGTGAAAACTTAAAGCACGCTAAGAGTATGGTGTGGTGGGGAGTGGCAACTCCAGGTTTTTTTGAAATATGTACAAGTCACTCGTGAAACTGGTGAAGTTCGAAAAAAAAATGGTCCAGATGATATCGTGGGGTTTTACCGCAGACACTACAAAATGTAGTCCAAGAACGTTGAACTATCTCTCGTATTTTCTATCAATGTGTAAAGATTCGCAATCTTCTGGTTGATAAAAGGATTCTGAAACTATCGATAATTTGCCATGTAGCTACTTTCAGATTTTTCAAAATTCAAAAGAATTTTGTTTTACCATCTTTATCATCGAACATGCGTGTGCAAAATATAAAACTTTCACCTGTTTGAAAGCCAATTCGAATCGACCAGTGTCGCAGTTTTTGTCTTCTCTTCTGTCCAAAACCACTAAAACGTTACAAAATACAATTGTTGGTACTAAGCCATACTCCTTTTTTAGCTCATCGGTGTATAGATTACAGATTTAGTTAAGATCTATTGAGGATTTAATATAACGGATTAGTCTTCCGCAATCTTCTACCCCTGCATTCATCTCTTGATGCTTTGTAAATAAGGTTTAGGGTCAGCTTTTGACAAGTCAATGTACAAAATACCGTTTTGTTTTCAATGTAGAAATGATTTAATCAGGTTGATGACTCTTCCGAAATCTGCACTCATTCTATTCAATTCATTTTTATGCTCTGACAGTCAAATCTAAGGATAGAGGAATGCTTGTTCGATTTCCTACCTTTCATGGTATCCTCAATGACGTTCGCGCAAAGTTTTTTCGTCACTGCAGTACTCGCTCCCATAGCCGGACTGGAGTTTATCTCTATCTGAAAAATGGAAAGATGAATGATGAATGGAAAATGAGTCTTTACATGTCCACCCCTTCCCCATCCTACGATTGTGACCTAAGTGAGTGGCATTACCAGCCAGGGTTTATAGTCTTCAGTCAACATAAAATCGGCTCCGTATAATTCGAACGAGTTCTGTTAAAAACGAAAAAAGAGATTTTACATGAAGTTTGTCACTTGGAGCATATTTTGCTGTCGTTTGCATTTCGTATTACGTACCTTTCTTGCCTCTACAGTTGACTGGCAACACTCTAGGGCATAGACAATCGCCTGACGCATGCCGGGATATATTAAGTTTTCCCACAATGCACTTTGGTTTCTTTCCCTTAAAGAAATTAAAGTTAGTAGGTTTACAGTTGTGTTCAATTGTATGTGATTATGTTTTTTTTTGTATTTACAGTCTTTATAGAAAGAGGGGAAAAACTCCGAAAAGATTTTAACACAAGAGAACGAGCATTTGGACACATTTTCTCTGTGGATGATCTGAAATAATAGGTTTGAGCTGTGACTAGGTAGGAAATAAAATAGTACTTTAAATAGTCTTTGAATTCTTCGCTACTCCACATATTGTTTTCTGGTAGTCTTTCGTCGCGAATTCCGTTTTGATAATGCTTCTGTATCGAATTGTTCGCCAAGTGAATACATCTGCAGTAAAATTAAGTATGAAGAACATTCAAATGTAGAATTATATATGTACACTATACAGCTATGCTGTACATTTGCAGTAATATTAAGTATGAAGAACAACATTCAAATATAGAATTATATATGTACACTATACAGCTATGCTGTACATTTACAGTAATATTAAGTATGAAGAACAACATTCAAATATAGAATTATATATGTACAAAATACAGCTATGCTGTACATTAACTTTATGATTAAGTATGTAGAACAACATTCAAATATAGAATTATATATGTACACAATACAGCTATGCTGTGCAATGTAAAACGGTTTATTTAAAAAAGGAAAATATTTTACTTAAAGTTGACCACAACAGACATCTATGTACGAGAGGTAAAGACCTCTGCTGCGGTCTTTATTAGGTCGATTATGACGTCAAAGCGGCCATATTGGTAGGATACGGTAAGGTTCGGGCGTTCACTAGTCTATGAAATCCGCATAATTTTTTCCACTATGTGGGTTTTTCTACCAACATAAGCGGTCGGTGAGAATATTCTTTTATAGCTAGTACTTGTAAAGTAATTGTGAATCGTATATAATATGAAGACGGTTGGATTGTTGCGTTTCTTCAAATCCAAGTAGATAGACTTCAATACAGAAAATAGGCACAAGACATCCGTTGAATTGTGACTAATTCAAAAGAGTTAGGACTTGACGGACAACTGTTTGGAGGACACAAAAAGTTCGAATCATTGGTTTTACTGTATACACTTACGGTTCAAAGTTCTCTAAAGTAAATTCTTGACTACAGAATCTAAAATAACAATCCTATAAAAAGAAAAAAAAGCCCAGAAAAGCATGTATAAATGTTGATGATGAAGTATATAAACAATGAGTAACGTTGACTGTGTTTTCAATGTTAACTCCTAAAAGCCGAGTTTTTCTCAATTTATTTTTATTTAGCTCCCTGATTGTGACACATTTATCACACCGGACGGGGTTGATCAAGCTTATTTTCGCAATAGATTTACAAAAGTAATGATTATTGGATTTCCATTGTAAGACTATACACCTCCAGACTGTCTACACTACTGTAAATACTTCGCTAGTTGACGACGTTTATAGTCTCTTATGTAACGCAATCCAATTACTGACACCAAACGCTCAGTATAGAGTAGCAATGAAAGAAATGAATAATGAAAATGTCTGAAATTTACAAAGGGGGACTAAAACTTGCGGTGCTGTCACTTGGTAAAACATGAGTACTACATGTAATTTTCAATTAAAATATAAATGCTACAAAGGTTCAGTTAAATATCAAACCCTTGAAAGATTACTAGTACTGTAGGCACAGTTACTCATGAGATATTTCTTCATCAATAACCAAACGAATGCGAAGGTGCAATCATGTGTTTCAGTTCTTGCACCGATTTACTGGATATACTCTATATTGCGCATAGTATGAACGCACTACCGCTGTCAAATACATTGCAGGCTCAAAAGATCATCCCGTAAAAAATTAAATATAGTACATCTCCTAACAGTATGCCGCTTTCCTAAACTTTACCTTGTAAAACCAAAGCGTGAGAGGATTCCAGTCCGTCACTAGGAACCATTGTCTTATGTCGAATTTTGTGTTATATATCAACAATGGACTTTCTGAAAAATAATTACCTTAATTATTCGAATTAACGTTATCCTGGAACGAGTAATTACGATTAATAATTATTCTTCCGCTGATGGGTTAAAGGTGATTAAAGGATTAGATTGAAAGATACGTTGCCTGACTTTGCTAATATAATTTTAAAGAGATTGACCTATATATTTCTGGACTATCCATCTGTTTTCCTTCGCTACCGTGCTGCTGACCAGTTTGAGAATTTCATCCAGTCTGTCCATACAAATAATGCCTCGACCACGTGACTTGGCGCCAGGCTTCACGATCCACACGTTGCGGACGCCATCCAAATCCAGTTGAGGCAGCAACTTGCGCATCTGAATTTCAAGTTTTAACTTGAGTGACAACTTTATTCCTTGAAAGAGGATTTTTAATAACTAAAATGTAGTAATATGGCTACCTCTTCGAGAACTTTTTTACTTTTTTCAAGAAACTCTTCACCTCCTTCTATCCTGCTGTCTGGGCTGTACAATGTAAAAAGGAAATTTTTAACTGTTCACGGAGGTGTGGTTCGCCATAAATCTATTGGTCAGCGGAAGTTATACGGGACTTACTGAATTAACTGATTGTAAAAGCCAACCAGGCTGTTCCAGTCGTCTTCTGTTAACATGGCGTGCTGAAGCAAAAAGTAAAAAGTGGAATTTAGTATCGTGTTGGTTAAAAGTCTATTTTAGATAGTCAACTTCTATTAAATAACAATTTATAATAAATATAAGTCAAACGGAAGGCATGCTAGATGTTGAATTGTTAGTTCTAGCGTGAGAATGTAGTGCTTACTTTATTTGTAGTTTAACATTATTTCTGAATAGTGGAAATTTTTAAAACTAATTTCTCTTCCCCTTTCCCATGAGCAATAATTGTCAGTAAACTAAGAACGAGTCACTGAATCATTATTTGCATTTCCAGGGTACGTGAAGTACTTAGTAAAAAAAGTTGACTTTTTTTCAACAAATTTTAAAGAAAAAATCCAAATATTATGGACAATTCACAACGCTAAATGTGTTATGCTTTGGTCGGTCAAAGATGTCCATAGGTCGCGTTTTCTGCTTCAGTCAAGATTAGGATTTTTACGCTTTCAATTTAAATATAGTTTTATAGCTATAGTTATACAAACGTAGCAACTCAAAACATATGTTCTGCTCAGTTATGCCTCCCAAGAACTTTTCAAGCACTTTCTTACAGTTAGAACTTTTGAGAACATTTCATTTTCTTAAAATATATTTTCAATCTAAGGACTTTTCAAGAACTTTAAACGGCTAATCCTGATTTACTACCACTATGACAATCACATCGCTTCTCTGACTAGTATCACGTGATATGAAAAGTGGATGACGTAGATAGTGTGGGAATGACTTAAGACGACATTCAACCAAGCTAGAACTCACTCTAATAACAATTTAAGAAAGTAGTAAAGATAGGGGAGGGTAAATAATATATCTCTAAATACCTCGTACTTGCTGTCGATGTCCTCATTATTCCTACACATAATAAATTGTCGACAAGCGCGCCAGGCAAGTACGACGGCACTCGATGACACGACACCGTTACTCGAATATCGCTCTCCGTAATTCAAACTGGATCTCGATCGTGTCGAACCTGTTGGAGAGGCCTGCCTGGCCTGGGTTCTAGAATGAACACCAGAACTCAGTGATCTCATGGATTTTGATTTGACGGCAGACGGGGTTTTCTCGCAAGTCGTCACTTCATTGCTCGAACGTTTGATTAGCAATTTCAATATGTTGCATGCCGACGTTAATCGATAATCATCTATAAAGGAAGGTGGAAGATAAAATTGATAAAACTAAACCCAATGTTGTAATAGAAAAAGCCCGCCTTTTTCGACCTACAGCCAGGCATTTGGAATTGGGTCATGCGGGTGTGAGAGCCTGATTATAGATTTTGCTTTCGCGACAATATTTATTTTTTTATATTTTGTAAGCGTGCCTTTTTGTTTCATTTTCGAGCTGTTCCCTGGCCATATTTACCTATAAACGCTTCCTTTTCGTCGCTGGCTCCCAAACGATGGCAGCGTGGAAAGAACTCGTCGGATGAAGCGCCTTCAAACCACGATAAATTTCTCAAGTGAGTGCACAGACCTACCTACATAAAACAATCAGTGCTTTCCTTTTAAGGGTAATAAACAAAACTTAAACAATTCGCTGTAGTTTTTAATCTGCATCGAGTATTTCAGGATAAAAAAATGGCGACGGTTTGTTTTTGATTAGCTTAATGGCGAGTCTTTTTAGCCAAGTAGCGAAAAAGCAACGGAACGGTCAGTTTTATATATTTGTGCTAAGTTTTTCAAATGAGCAGTGAATTGAGGAAAAAGCTTTTTAACAAAACAGTACACACATTTACTGTCGCATGAACAACAAGACCCGAAATACTGAACGACTGCGAACGACACCTTGCTTCATTGAACAGTGACTTTTTCGAGATGATAAAAAGGTCATCACGTTTCTTTTACGCAAGTAAAACTTTGGCATTTGGAAATTAGCGTTTCATTCAGTCCATAGTAAAATTTTAATCTGATTCGGGCGTTTTGAACGATGAAAACTATTTACTATCGACCGAAATGTGCGACTGCGGAAGGGAAGGAAAAGGCTAGACCCCTACACATCCACCCACCCTTATCATTTCTATTATACGTTTAGTTTTAGACTCCAAATTAGGTGAAGGAAAAATGAAAATCAACTGTTTTTAAATAGCTGTGTTAAAAACAAGTTTGTGGTCAGTCATAAACAAGAAATTAATCGAGCGCTTTCCTTTATTTTTATCACAAAATATATAAGATATACATCGATTACCTTCGTCGTAAATGAATATGCCTTCGAAAAATGATTAGCAATTTGGTCCTATAAATGAAATGAACAGATGAAAACGTTTGAACATGGTACAGTACGGAACGTTGAAACAGTAAAAACGTAGAAAATGTTAAAAACTGATAAACTCCGTATTACTAATAAACATGTGTATGTACAATATGAATGGAGTAATTTACCGGAGATTTACCTCAAAAATATAAAATGTCTAACGAGTTCGCAGTTAGATGGCTGTCACTCATGCGTAAGAAGACTGGGGCTGAGCATTGTGTGAAAGCATTAGTCTTATAGTTATTTGTTCAGTTTAGTGAAAGTAACCCGTTGTTATGATAAGTTTGAGTTTTGTCTAGTTTTCTCGTAATGTTTCTTTACTACCACTATTGGTAGTATAATATAATTATTTTATTACATTACTATAGTATATACTAATCTAATATAATAATTATATTGCCACTATTTGTGGTATGATAATTATATTACCACCATTGATAGTATAATATAATTATGATATACTAATGTAACATAATAATTATATTATACTATCAATGGTGGTAGTAAAGAAAGTTTATATATAAACTATTATATATAATTATACACATATGTATATAATTATGTATGATGTATAAAGAGTGTATAATTATACACAGATGTAAATTACCTTTCTCAGGAATTTGAAGTCAATGTCATCTCTCTTGCAGGACCAGAAAAAGGACGCGGTGGCGTTACGGCACAATCGCGACTACGTAACAGAGAATGATGTCATAGAAGTTAATGTGAAATTCTTGGAAGCACAGGAGTTTACCGAAGTAAGTTAAACATTTCTTTGAAGTCATATATGTAGTATGTACTTTCACAAACGTTGCCTGCTTGACAGTAAGAACATAACATGCATAATTTCTTTTAATGGTCATACCAGATTTGGTCGGACGAGCTTAAGCAGTCCTCCCTGTTCTGAACTTTGCAATTATATAAAAATATGTATAGTCTACAATGCAAGCAGGTAAGAGAGTCGCAGCTCATCAAACCAAATCTAGTAAAAAACATTTCACTTACAACCACGCTGTTGCTTAAAGTTCACCAAAGGTTTTGTGAAACAAACATTGAATGCAGTTTATTATAAAATAACAACGCGTGCGCTGATTGGTTTATCGCTGAGTTTGCATTAGCCTGTGTAAACCAATCTGAGCTCACCCATTGGAGCTCAATCAATTTGATCAAGTAAAGAGAATTTGCAGATAAATCAAGAATACTTGTTTTTGGAAAAATCGAAACATTTGTTTTGAATTCATCTGCGTTGCATGATTTTTTCATAAAAGAGAAATAAAAGAGTTTTTCCTGTTTGTACTGGTTTATGTAAAACTCGAAGACGTTAGTGAAACTCTCAAGCTGGTGCGAATCCTCGACCTTCGGTCTAAGGCTAGCACTGATCATGTCGACAAGTTCTAGAAAATCTGTTTTTGGATGGAATGAAACATTGCTACAAGTAAAGGCATGGAATGAAACATTGCTACAAGTAAAGGCAGTACTTTTAAATGATCAACGCGTGCATTTTATGATGTGCAGCCAAAAAGAGAGTTTTAAAACAAGATTGTGAAAAAAGAAATGAAACGCGAAAATCACACACCAGCAAACTGTATTCACCATCGGCATCGTCGCTTCCAGTACACCACACATTCTCCTCTGTACTTTCATATCCATCAATATCCTCTGAACCACCATGCTCGGCATTTTCCATATGATTTTCCTCCTCGTCAGTGGATGCCGTTTTTTTCTTATCATTGGTAACCTCTGTCTGACAACTTTTAAAATATTTTTCAACCCAACCCCTTCGGCGGAGACAGGCGCGAACAACTGGGTAAGGTCCATGGCAGACGTACACCTTGTGTTCCTTTAAAAAATGAAAGAAGCCCATTTTGTTAGCCTAGTCAACTGGCTTCACCTTCCTGACATATTTAACATGTTTTAGTGGCTATTGCCAGAGGAATTATCGTCGAGAATAAACCATACTACATAAAGTACTTGCTTTGTTTTATAAATGAGGAATCTATACTCACTCTAATGGCTTTATCTGCTGTATGTTTTATATCTTCTAGTTTTCTAAACATCGGAGAACATTTTGTCGGGACGGTCGCCACCTTTCGATGTTTCTCTTTGAACTTTACTGTTTTTGGCGTGTCTTCAAGTATCAAAATGTCTTTTTCCCTACTCACTCCTGGATGTGTTCTCAATCTGTTGTGTTTTCGCGCAGGTAAAGTGATTCCCTGCTGGCATGCGTAGGGTGACTTGATATGCATCTTTTCTGAGAGTTTTTGGGCATTTGCATGCGACTCAATGGGTTCTATCACGTGTTCATGACGTCGTTCATTCGTTGTCGAACAGTTGGCAGGCACTTTGACACTTTCATAGTCATCGGCCTTTCTGTCCCTCGTATTTTTGGAATTGTTTTGTATCTAGTGTTGCAGCATAAAGTAAAAGATTTAAATACTGTTTTAATTGCACCGAAGAGACATTACAGTGTCACATTTTTCGTAATTACTTACTTCACTCGACGTTGTTATTGCCGTCTTGTGTTTTCGTACGACAGGAACAAGTTTGCTATGCTTTTTTTGCGAAAAATATACGCTTGATACATCTTGACTGTCTAACTGAAATCGGAGAGTGAAAATTGTCATCATTCGCAAAACTGTTGCAATTATGAATTTAGATGAACTGTTGCTAAGTGCCATACAGTTGCAATTGCCAAATTTGAACAATTGGAACATTTTAATGTGTAAGAAAACATCAATTGCAAGAAAATGAGTCTTAAATGAATTCAAACAGAAATCCTTCGCTTTTTACGTTCCACCATTTCATTGCACATATTCACCGCACACATTTTCAAAAAGAAAAGCCACTATGGCAAAAATGTGCAATTCCAAACAATATGCACATAACCATTTATGGACAAAATTCCACGGGTTGAAAGAGTACTCATTCAAGAGAAATCCTGTTTCACATTACACAAACCAGTGGCGGTTTTCTCAGTTGGCTAAATATGCTGAAGCCTGCAGGCCCGCATTTTCGAGAGGCTCTCTGTATTTAGACATGGTTTTTACTCTTTGTCATTCCGGACGAGCTGAATGTTCTAAAGTTCGAGCATATATGCTGTTGGAAACTGTAAGATCTACTGTTTTAATACACAAAGCACAGAACTCATAAAGTACTGAGTTTACCCCATTTGAACTTTAAATTTGTTCCTTATTGTTTAAACTATGAGTTACAAACAGAAGCCGGGAAAGGCAAAAGCAAATGAGCAGGAGAAACGCAAACGTCTTCAAGAGACTGTACTTAGTCGGAGCAATAGATAACACTTTTGGGCTTGCAACTTTTTCTTAGCTTACAGGCTCCGTATTTAATAATCCGCCACTTTTACAAACGCAATCATCAGTTTGGAGTCTCACCATTTTTTTCTGCCTTTCAACGTGAATCAATTGCCTTTCTAAGAAAGATGTTTTCAAGCTTTGGGCAATTTTCTCACTCTTGCTGCTCACTTTCGGTTTAAACGTGAAATTCATTTCAACCTCACCAACCAGAGAGTTTCGAGTTCGCCTTTCAATGCACAAATGGGCTTTGCCAGCGCGACCTTTCGCCATTCGCACGCTTGTTAAATTCAGCTTTGGTGTAAACGTGAATTCTTGCTCAAAATCCAAGGATTTTCGACGATGTTGCCTCAAAATGGTGCTGTGTTCCTCGCTGTTGCTCTTGACCACTTCATTTGCGGCCACGTGACACGTTTCGTCGTCATTTTCGCCATGCAATACATCGCAAGACAAGCTTGTAATCTTGTTACATGGTCTAACAATTGCCGTATCTCCCTGGACATACTGCGTTTTCTCCTTTTCTCTGCATAGATGCTCTCGCATATCCCTGTAATGCTCACAGCAATTTAATATCACGCTGTAAACACGCAAATTTTTCCAATACGTTGGCTAGAAAATGTTCGACAACTTTCATCTGTTGTTCCTTCGAACGCCATGTTGAATGAACGCGCAGTTGCTAGGCAACAAATTAATTGCTACTTAAAGGCTTTAAATTAAAGTCAATTTCATATTTTCCCGCGAATGTTAAAAAGCATTTAATCATTTGCAAAGTTTATACACATTCTCATCAAATTGCAAAGTCAGGACCGAATCCTAGCCATAGTACTATTACGTAAAGATCTTTACGTTTTTACAATGTTTCTTTATCAAATTTTTCATGTCCACAACTCCACTAATTTCCACCTCTTAGTTCTCGGATGTTACGGTGATGTATGAAAACACGTGAATTAATCGAACATTGCCATGTTCAAATAAGTACTTCAGGGTGGAAAAAGGGCTCGACAATTATTTATTCGATATAAAAAATATCGGGAGTATCGTCATATGTTTAAAGATGTAGATCGTCCTGTTTAGTGCAGTACTGTTTACTCAGAATGACTTCCGGTTGACCGATGATTGAAAAGCCTGGGCGACAGTCATCATCAGAGTCAACACTTACACCGACTGTTCTTCTGACTCTGAAGACTTCATTATCCTGGACGATTTACATCTTGAAACATAAAATTCTTTCCTCATTCATTTATTTCTTTATGAACGAGAAAAGCATAAGTTAAAATATGTGCAAGTATTACGGTACTCCTCGGTTGGTGTGCACGAGTTAGTTCATCAAGAATATATTGATTCGAGACTGCTTTAATATGGATGGCGTTACTTTACGAGAATTTGGCAAGTTTTTCAAAAGAGTTGTTTCATTATAAGAGAAGAACGTTTATTATTAGGTTTTGGGATCAGCACTTGCCTTTGTAATATGCAAAAAGATTCTAAAATCTTCCATAATTAAAAATCGCTGGCATTACTCAGATGTTTGATAATTTGTTAAGTCTCTTTAACATCATTGAGCTTTCTGTGCTTAGCAGTTGACGGACAAGAGATTAATATTCGATTTCTTAAGAAGGGAAGCCAGTTAAAATCAATGACTTTGAATGCCTGCCTATTTAGTTCTCAATTGACTTGGCAGAGCTAAAACCACAGCTGATTGAGATGTAATGCAAAGATGTAATGCGTTTTATTGCAAGCACGCCAAGTAGCTCTGGAAACCCTCCAGTGTCCTATACGTCAGTGCAGACAGTGCAGTATCAACTTCATCCCATGCTAAACAACTATACTGAAAAGAAATTTGGTTCATTATAAAACATTCAATACTTTCCGAGCCTGTCAGACAAGCTCTCAGTAAATTTTGTGCTGGAGTGCTAAATAAGAAATATCGTTTGGTTAAACTTTCATATTTTTATTGTGGTGTCTTGATCTTTTCGAAGCCTATCAGTCAGAGTAGCTCCCAGTCCATCCCATGCAGGGGATGGAGTACAATAGAGAAACATAGTTCAGCGAAACTTTCTCATTTTTAATCCAACTTTCTGGCGGTGAAAACATGTGTCAAAAAATCGCGATCCTTATATCAGGTATTCACGATATAAAAAGTGTTCGACCGTTTGCTTCACATTTTCAGACATACAGTTTCAATACGCAATGTACCGCTGTACTCGATATAAGTTGAATATGTCGAAAATGTGTTTGTCCGAATTCCTGATATTGGATCACGTGTTTTCGAGTCGTGTTTTGACTGTCAGAAAAATGAAATGAAGAATATGACTGTATTTTCTAAGATTTCCTTCTCTTAACTGTATATGTTTTTCACTCTACCGTTACACTTCTCTTTTAGGGGCCGATTACATGGAGCAATTTCAGCCCGATTTGCCGGGCTGAAATTTTGTGTGATTATATGGTCAACTTGAGCCCGGTGTTTAGACAGGGCTGAAATTTACGAAGCTCATCCGAGTTCTCATGTAATCGTGTACGCTATTTTGATAGGATATAACAGGCCTGGGCTGAAATTGCTCCATGCAATCGGCCGCTAAATACATGTGTTATGCTTTTCCTGATTTTAACTATTTTGCCCTCCCTTCTCCTAACTGAGAAATATCATAATAATGCGAATCCTGACACGATTTTTTCTACGCACATGAGAAATATGAGACTTGGATGAGATTTGAATTCGCAGGTTTGGAATACCAGTCCGCCGCTCTACCTGTTCAACTACCAAGCCCATAGGGATCAAATCTCTTTTGAACTGCATATGGACGAGATTTTCTCGCCACGGTAGCACTTTCTGGATGGCTGGCACCGTGTTTCAACTTTTTCCAAAGCCATCATCAGAGAAGCATCATATTATTATATGGCAAGCGTCACTTCCGGCAAAATGGCGCGCTTTGATTGGCTCAGAAACATTTTTGCCGGTCAATTATTTTCCCGTAATCGACCACAGTCCAAAAACGCGTAATTTTACAGTCAGGTGTAAACAAACATCGTAAAGCAAACAGCAAAACGCGAAATAAAGGAAACAAAAAATCATTTGAGAATGTGAGTCGCAGGGTAAAGGCTTGGAAAACAGTTTAACTATCCAATTGATACAAGTTGAAACGATTTATTTTTTGTGGACGAAAACTAGAAAAGTGAAAGCCAACTGGTAAAAAAAACAGCAAGGACGAGAAGAAAGCAAGCTTCATTTCAGGTCAAATAATGCCATATAATAAACCTCTTAATAACCTCGCTTTCTCGGTCTTTACTGAGGAAATTCTGACCTCGGTGTTTTTGTACAAACCTCTCCCTACGGGCTCGGTGTGTAGAAAAACTCCTCGCTCCGATATTTCTCCGTAAATATCTTGAGCTCGGTTATTAAGGGCTTAATAATATTCATGTTCAGGATTCATATTATTATGGCGTTCCCTAGCTGGATATGGTTTTTTCTTACTACTTTGTCCTCCCTTCTCCTATCTGCAAATGTATTTTCTCTTTACGTACTCACATGTTCTTCTCTTCTTCACCTTGAACATTTCTCCCTCCTTTTTCCTTACTACATACGTGCTCAAATCCCTCTTTACCCTTTATCTTTTCTTTTAAGTACATATTTTTGCTTTTTTTCCCATCTCAACTACCTTGACCTCCCTTCGCTTGAATGCATATGTATAAATATATACCACTCCACTCCGACCCCTTTACATTTTCAAGCAACAAAAGTGTTCAATCAGACTCAATATCATAACCCTCTTCTTAACTACATATTTTCTATATTGGAATATTTTCTGTACTCTGAATTCTGTTTCCGAGATTCGTAGGACCACGTGACTTGTTTCGGATCATTTTGCTCTCATTCGATCTCTCGATATCTTCCATATCTGTTATCTCAATTAGTGAGACAATGACGTGTGATTAGAACATATGATTATAAAAGCAGCAGGCACCTTCTGTTTGCAATATATCGCGTCTCTTGTATTGAGTGATTTCTTTCAAGCCATCTTTGGGCCGAGTGTCTGCACGGAAATCGACTAACGTCACTGCTTTCGCCAAATTCAACCAAAATCTCATTCGCTCAAGGTAATTATCATTCATAGCGTTGTCTAAACATACCAGAAGCCGACTACAATCGTCATCAGATTCAAGGCAAAGCAATTGTTGTTGCACATTGAAAGCGTTTTGTGCAATCTCGTTTTCAAAATTAATCTCTCAATGAAACGAATGAAACGAAAAGGTGTATATTTCGGTTAATTTGCATAATTTGCGCACATCGCGCGCTTCTCTTTTACATTTCGAGGTTTGTTTGAAATACCATTAAGCAGCTACCTGCTGGGGCTTAAGTGCGCAAATTTCAGGAATCTTATTTGTGTGTGAATTAGGAGGAGGCAATGAGGCGTAAATCACTCTATGTTTTGTATTTATTTTGCTATGATAAAATGTCTTGGATGGGTCCCTTCAAAAACAATTTCTTACTGCCGTGCGCGTGTATTGAATTCGTGACTGTTAAATTAAGAAGATTTGCTGTAATCTGCTTCACTTTTTTTTACTTCACTCGAGTTCAATGCGAAATTTCATAATTTGCATGCAATCGTAACGCACCATGACCAGGAAAATGGCGATAGAAAATTTTTTCGCTCAATGTTCATCATTAGTAGTTTGCCCGATCGATCTTGTTGATATTTTATATCTGCTGCTTTGTTTTTTGATAAAGTGAATGGTTTGAAACTGGGAGTATTGTGACATATTTGTAGATGTAGATCGTCCAGGTTAGTGGAGTCCTAATAAGGATTGTTGGTGTTTTTGTTGACTGACGTTTTGATAACCTTCGTGGTAGACATCATCAGAGTCAATACTCGGAAGATGATTATGAGTCTGACTAAAGATGATTTTATCTCTGACTGAAGATGACTTTCACTTTGACTGAAAATGACTTTCACTCTGAAGATGACTACCACTGAAGTTGTCGAAACATCAGTCAACATCAACAACAAAAGTCAGGACTCTACTAACCTGGACAATCTGCGTCTACAAGCATGTACTATGCTTTTTTAGTGTGTACGCTGCCAGTAAGACTTTTATTCCCATCATCCAAATATGTTTTAAGTGCACTCACTTCACTGACGGTAGAAACAACAGATTTCTATTGTAAATAAGCAATGTTTAGCAACGATTCAATATTTACATGGCGGGGGTGTATCTGCAGGCTGGCTATAAATATCTAGGGAATGAAATATTATTTGTGCCTGAATGTTAATAAGCAGTTAGTAATTTAAACTTTGTTTCTTAAAACATGTGTAAGCGTGCATTCTACAATGTGGAATGGCGCTTTTGTATCTGAGACACTGTGTGATTTAGCTAGACGTTGCATCAAGCAACGAGGCTAGGTTGGTGAAACCCCAGACTGGAAAGTTTATATTGTACAAGATCTCGGGCGCGCAATTTTTGCTAAGAGCACGCTACGATATTTTAACGAAAATATCCCAATTGTTTGCTAAGAGCGCGCAAAATTTTGAAAAAGTACGTTTTTTTCGCGAAAATATTTTGAAAATTTCGCTTTTCAGGTGCGCAAAAACCAGCAAAAACAAAAGTCAGGCGCGCAGTTAGCGAACTTTCCAGTCTGGGTGAAACGTCCAGCTTGCTGATTTGCGTTACTCCAGATGCACGGTTTCTGCTAGTTTGCGTTTTTCTCATTGTACCCCTATCCAAACTGCATTAAGACGATGAAAAATACTTATATTAAAAGTAAAAAAAACAGCTACCAACCGGGGTTTTCAAGGAGACAATTTTCCTACCAAATTAGAAAATGAGCTTTTGGTTTACATTTTTTCAAAAATTGAAAGTGGTAATAACTGCGGACTCAATATGATTTCCGTTACTTGATATTGTACAAAATGTTGAGGTCGTGAACCGCGAGAAAGTTCTTCCGTGTTTGAAGAGAGAGAGCGATAAATGTCGACCTTGGAATGAAAAAAGATGTGGTCTGAAAATTTTGCAATTGAGCAGTAGAAAATTTACGTTCTTTCGAGAAAGAGCTTTCAGCAGGCACAGAGACCCAAAACCCGGCAACTTTTGTAAAGGTGCCCTCTACGAAGGACGTTTTTCCAATTTTGAAAATGAGTCTTGGATTGATTTTATTTAGATAAGAATCTCGCAGATGGATTGCATTATATGTTTATTGTAAATTGCAATTAAACGTTCTGTCAGCTTAACTGTCGTTGCGCAAAGTACTACACCCTTTCATTTCACGCGTTCTCAGCCAGGATTATTCTAAAAAGCATCTTCTCTGTGACAATTTGCGTGATTCACTTTGACGATGGTGAAATTAATGTCGCAACTGCCAAATAGGTGTGAATGATGTAGACGTCATGATTGAATGTAATTAGTTTCAAATGACTTTTTCGACTTTCACTGCTCGCCAAATGGTCGTAAATGCAGTGCTTTTTTCGTTACAAGTGTTGCCTTCGAATTTCCTTGATTGTGAAACAAAAAGCGCGCCAATTCATATTTGAAATTTTTAGGGTTTTTTGTGGTTTGTGGGATGTTGTGTGAAGATTTTTTCCAGTCTTATGTAAAAAAGCAATGAAAGATGCGATAATTCGAACAAAGCAGCCATCAATCTTCGGCACTGTTCTGAAATGGAAGCCAGACTGAAAACCTCTATTGTGTGTGAGAAACATTTAACTTTTTTGTTATGCCTTATGATAATCATATCGATAACACATTTCATTCCCGTGAACTCTAAAAAAAGGGACACGAAAGAAAAAGAATGCGCTAATGCATTTTTATCATCCATCCGAAACTAATCCACGTTAAATTTTGTTTTGAAAGTTTCAAAAAGTTGCATTTTCATTGCCCATATCTTTAACACATGAAAGATTTTGACGAATGGATGCGAGAATAGATGCTTGTTTGGCGATGCAAGGGGCTGTGCCATAGTTGAGCACTTGGTATAGTGTAGCGTGCCGGGATTTTTTCACAGTGATCAAATATTTGTCATATTTACTTAAGTGGCTCAATTCGCGTGCTGTTGCGCACTTTGAAAACAAACATAAGCTTTATGAATCGTAGTTGTTGATGGCTACCGTAGATGTTAAAACGAACTGTCATTTTGTCATTGTCATCTTTGTCATCGTTATACGAGTGCATGAAAACACACGGATAGCGAGAGAACTTGGAAAGGTCTGCATGACAGAGATGGGGAGAGAGCACAACTGCATTTCGTAAACAAAATACTTGAATATTTTAGAGAAAAAAACGTGAACGCCTGTTGTCACATACTCAGAGAACATTGACATTTTAGGCAACAGAAACCACAACAAACTTAGGCAACAGAAAACATGAATAGTTTGAAAGATAGCCTGAACAGATTGGGAAGCAGAGAACACGAATAATTGTCATAACAGAAAATATGAACTCCCTGGGGAGCAAAGGAGATATTAGGGGACAGAAAATAAATGTATTTTGAAGAAAAGCAAAGAAATTCGAACATGCATGAATACAGCAGAGAACAGATAAATAGCTTAGAAAAGACAGAAAATAGCGGGCTATTCGTAACTAAGACAGTCTGGTACACCTTAGGAAACAAACAGAAAGAAATCTTATAATAGAGTCAGGTACACCTTAGGAAACAAACAGAAAGGAATCTTACAATAGAGAGAGAGTCAGGTACACCTTAGGAAACAAACAGAAAGAAATCTTATAATAGAGAGAGAGAGTCAGGTACACCTTAGGAAACAAACAGAAAGAAATATTATAATAGAGAGAGAGTCAGGTACACCTTAGGAAACAAACAGAAAGAAATCTTATAATAGACAGAGTCAGGTACACCTTAGGAAACAAACAGAAAGAAATCTTATAACAGAGAACATGAATGTTTTAGGCAACAGAGAACGTGAATACTTTTGGAAACATAGAACATGAATACTGTGAAGAAAACAGAAACATCAATACCTTAGGAAACAGAAACATCAGTGCCATAGGAAACAGAAAACATTAATAATAAGAAGAAATGCCCGCGGATTTAATAAGTATAATGAAATGCAAACTTCAATAGAAATAACTTGTTCGATAATCAACAAGTGAAACAGGATTATCGATAATTTTCGAGATAAAATATTATTTCAGGAGTCAGTCGGCGTAAACATTTAAATACTCTTTCTTTTTACTGCTCCCTGCATATTCACAGTTATCTAAAAGCTGATCACTCAATTTTTCGTCGAAACGCTGCCATTGTTAACTTTTTGCACGAAGCCATGAAGTGGCATTATGACAGTAGGAAAACAGATGCGACGTTAATTAATCATATTTCAAATGCCCTACATTCTTACTTGTCTAAAAATAAGTACTCAGACCATTTCAACCTAATTTAGTTAATTTGATACCGAAACAATTAAGTGCGTCGCTCGATCTTCTCCGCTTGCTGGTCTGAAACACAGCATCGCTTATCAAACGATCGAATTGCCTTTTAAAGGTACAGCCGTTATAAGCCTAAAATTGTCTTGTTTGCTCATTTCAAATCTATTTGGTTGACTTCACTGAGCAGAAATTGCACCAATTTAAACGTTGAGAAGGTAAGTAAATTAATAAATCATTGTTGATATTAGAGGATTTTCGAATAGATAAGACCAGTTTAGCATTTCACAAAGTTGGAAACACTTCAGTATGTTTTCTTTGAATTGAAAGTATCTCGTCCCTTGATGACGCATTTCCAAAACCCAACATGTTGTCGATTGCTAGTTTACGTATGCAGTCATTGTCTACAATCGATGGTGTCGTATATGTGTACCCTGCACTGGCATAAGTTGGCAACTGCAAATGGTTTTAGCTCGTTGTTTACAGCAAATGGCCGCGATTTCTTTTGGAAATCATCTGCTTGTCCTGCAGACTACCACTTGTACACTACACATGCTGCGTAGTTGTACTTCGTTTTGCTTACGATGTGTTTACTATCCTAGATCACTCACCTCTCGCTGCACAGTAATCTTTATTGAATTTCTTATTCATCTTACTGAGTTGCAAATATGTTCTAAAATGAGGGCTTTTGTCGTTTTCAAAAGCAGGTTTCAATGTGGTAATTAGAGACTCTTGTGTATGTTGTTTTTGTCCCCGAAAACTTGACCTTACAGCTAAATAAACAAGAGATCAATTAGTATTATTATTGTTGTTGTTGTTTGGCCTAAAATCTTTTCACCCAATTCACCGCCTTTTTTTTACGAGTTATGTAGCAAACTTGCGACTTGCAAAGGTCGATCACGGTAACTTCAAATGTTCTTTGATAAGTTCATTCATCATCCGATCAAAGTGCTAAGTCGGAAAGACCATTGTGATTGCATGATTAACGAACTTCACTATGAGCAGTTGAACTTTTGTAGCAGGGTCAAAGATTCATACATCTCACAACACTCCTTTGATTTTTTGATGACGCTATGAATATTCTTATCAAAACACAACTTATTGAAGCTAAAAGTGCCGTGTTGATCTTATGGAAAAAAGTTGCTATTGCTATAGAAAACAGAAAGTTTTGTTGCCACCATGTTGGATGATTTTGAAAATGGTTTACCGTGAATTTTCCATATTTACAATGCAAATGTCGTCCAACATGGCAAAAAGTCTATAGTTCATTCTTCCATCAGGGTAGTAATGTTATAATCCGTAGAAAACGTTGGATGTCAAAGGAGCTACGCTATATCATGCATATGTGAATATGAACACACCCCAACTATCAATCTTCCAAAGGCCATAATTGGTGTATACATATTTGAGCTCATAACAGCCATGTACAACTCTTAAACAGACGTCGAATTAGCATAAAATACTGCACGTAACCATGTGATCACGCTCATAATTTAAAAAGAACGAAGTGCCGTAGGCAGCGGCGTTGCCAGCACGCAAATCTAATCATGCTATGTAATTTTTCTGAGTTTAATCACTGCAAGCAAACACAGTCGTTCTCTAAAGAAATGGATATGGTAATGCTGTAAAATTTACATAGCAGAACCAAAACTCGCGGGCTGGTTACACTACTGGCCATCGGACAGTTATTGCCAGATAAATGTATGTTTGCATGATTTTTTTAATTGATGTTCATTTTTTTGGCACTTCAAGTGACGTTTCTTTTTTCGCTAGATGGACGTTATAGACGAGTTTAATCCTCAGGAATGGAAGATAGCAGATGAGAAGGAAATCGAAGGTATGATCAAAGAAGCGTTTTCGTGTTGCTCAAGAACAATCGAAATTTGACACCCGTTTATATTAAACGGTTTATTTTCACTCTGAAACTTCATTAATATACTTAAGCCTTAAGTCCAATATAAGAAAAATATAATCATTACTTCCATCATTAAAGACAGAGGCCTTTAAAAAAATGAAAAGATTAAATCCGTAAGGCATAGTCACAACAGAAGAACTTGTCAGTATTTGCCTCGTCCTTCCATTTAAAATCTTCTTCAAAGGAGGAAATTGGTCATTGTAAATAAGACTTAGTCACATTGCTGATAGATTGCTGTGGCAATGAGAAAATGACAGAAGGTAGAGCTGAAGATTGCATACATGAGGAGGTCAAGGCTCGCTTAACACGTGGTACTGTTAGACAGAATTTCAAACGAGCTGAAGATTGTAGACATAATAAATTGAGGCTAGTTTAATACAGTTAGAACGAATCACAAACGACTGAAGATTGCAGGATGAAGAATTTAAGACTAGTTTAATACAGCTAGAATAAGAAATGTCCTGAAGATTGTAGAGATGAAGAAGTCAAGGCTCCAATTAATACGTGACACAGTAAGAAAATAAGAAATGAGCATATCAGTGACACAGCACATCTCAGATGTTTTAAAGATAAAGCTAAAGATTCCGGCTCAGATTATTTGAAAATGTACAACAAAAGGATAGTGACTACATAGGCAATATTAGCTGCCAGAAAAGTGGCCTAGAAGACCAAAGGGGAGATATGCTAATTATTTTAGAGATGAAATGCAGTTAGGTGGTTCGAAGCAAGATGAAACAGTAGATAGAAGCAGATTGGGAAAAAATGATTTGCTATGGCGACACCTTAAGGATAGACAGGGAATAGTAAAAAGCTCAGTTTGCATGTCATGCAATCAATCGTTTTGCAAAACTGTTTACTAAATTTTTCGTCACACTCATGCCACTGAAACACAGGCTGCAGGCTGGTGCACGATTTTGCCTTTCCCTCTGCAAATCTGTATCGAAAAATGTGAAATATTATCTAGTTTTTTTTTCTTGACAAAATACGCAAGCATTGACTCTGACTAATGACAAGGCAATTTTCTGTTGGTTCTAAACCATAAGGTTTCTTACTTTCGAAATATCGCGCTTATTATCAAAACCCATTTTTCAGGATTCGAAGATTACAATTTATTTCGAAGAAGACTCAGTCGCGTGCCAATGGCTGAAAACAACAACTCCGGCGAGTATTTCTACTGCATTCAAGATTCCACAGACAAAGTAAGAAGAGTGACTCTGAGCGGGTGCAAAGGCTCACGGGATCCTTTAACCGGGGTGGCAAACTGCCGATTGAAACTGGATGAGAAGAAAGGCCACGTGATCGGCATTCAACTCGACTCCCAATGCATCGTTAAGAAGTAGATTACGCGTGATTAACTTCACGAATTGTTGAGAAATTGTTTACCTCTAGGTCAGACAGCATTAACAACGACTTTTGGCTAAAAGTTATAGTGATTTAGCAAGATATATCTTGAGACATTTCTTAATGTTTTGTCAGAAAGCACGTACTCGATTAAATCTTGATTATAAGCTTCAGAAAGTTTTGCATCGTTTTTTTACGTCAAAAACGAGGTGTGCTCATTGTTTGTGAAGAGAAATGGGGAGTGGGATAAGGTTTGGGGTGAATTTTAACACTAACAACTTAGCATCTCGTGCAGAGTTTTCACCTCACTTTTATTTGAAAATGAAAAAATGACACAAAGTTTACTGCTTATGGTTATCTGTGTTCGTAAAACTATTGACATCCGAATCCTAACATTCAAAAATAGCATGCTTAATCAGAAAATCATGTCATACTTACAAAATCATAGCTAACACCCCTCATGCTACCTCCCTACTGTACTTAAATATACACAGAAGTCATACACTTTGCCACCTTCGCAGAAAATCTTCCCAAAATAAACCCAGGGGGAAATAATCTAGCATCTTCATTAACTTTATAGTTCAGTCTTTAGTTTTTCGAAACCAAATTTTCATGAAGATGAGTTCCAGGAACAGGGCGGGCGGGGGATGTAGAATGACTAAAATAACACTTGACAAGGAAAACTTTATGAAACATAACAGCATTTTTCAATTGCACTTTATTTCACACTCTTGGTGAAAAAGTATGATCCAATGCCAGATTTTCCTTTTTAAAGTAGACTTAAATGAAATGAAAAAGTTTTAGCACTTTCTCTAACCGGCATCTTTCGTGGCCATTCTCAGAACGACGGCATCCGTGAGAGAGCCGCACGTCAACTCGATTTCAGGAATTTTGTAAACCTTTTTCAAAAATTAGATGGAAAGGTCACACTTTCATCACGTGACCATATGTTACTATCGATTTTTATTAATCTCTCACCGTTTTTATTCTTTTTTCGTCCGCCAGAGACGAAAGTCTTTCCAAGGGAATTTTCTCGCCTTCGACAAGGGAATGAATGCAAGATGTCTACAGCAATCACAACAAAGCAGGCAAAAACACGTAAAGTTTTAAACATAAACGAATATATGAACGTAGGGAGTGACAAACACTGCCGAACAAGAAGGTCACTTTGTGCTTTTATTGAGACATGTATTTATCGCACAAAATGACGGTCTAGAAAAATTGGAAACCTACCTTATTGCTTTCGCCTACTTTGTTTATGACAACTACAAGAAGACACGCATCTTTGTCATTCAAGCCAAAGGTTTTCAACGATTCCGAGATCTACAAATAAATGTAATTCAACCAGATGACCAGAAATGAAAGAACTGCAAGAAATTTTCTACTTTGCAATCATTGAAACTTTGATGTTCCTATATTAAGACGGACAATTCCCTTACGTTGTTTGAGGGTGACAGATTGAAAACAAGTTCGGAGTAAATACTTCTAGTTTTTGTTTTGCCATTTTCACTGAGATGAACTGCTTTATTTGCTGCCAACAACACGGGAAATACATCTGGTACCTTGGAGAAACAAATATTTACAAAGAATTTTTAGGCTGATAACACAGATAACCTAACCTCCCCATCAGTCAGTCGAGTCCAAACAGTACTAAATTATTTATAGGCTAACTTCGATCCTCCAACCAATAATCTGATTTACCATTGTAGCGTTGACTAGAGCTGCATCCAGTTTCCCTTGAATCAGCATTTCTTTGAGTTGAAGCTTGTTGGAAACGCTGTCAAATAGTGCCACAGAAATACTGTAGTCCGGATAAAGCTCCAACGAATGATTCACATCCATAATCGTCGTGTTTAAGACCTGTGTAAATATATGGTAGTGTCTTTCTGGTGTGAATAATGCTGGAATAATAATTTAACATCGCACGCGCACATCACGTAAATAACGAGGCCGGTTGCACGCCGGTTTCGAGGTCGTGACAACATCAACTAGAAGTCTTGATATCATGCAACGTTTTATGCACTATTGATCTCATTTTACATGTAACTATATAGGAAAAACCAAGCAACTAACTGATCACAAAGTTAACGAAAAGAAAGTTTCACCGTTGGCGTAGGATGTTGAAACATTTACACTTACAAATTATTTTCACTCCTCGTGTTGTCCACCATGTTGTTATCATGAGTACGCGTTCCGTGATAGTATTTATCAGCGGCTTACCAAAAGCAAACAAAACAAACATGGCGGGTGACTTAAAAATACGAGCACTTGGCAATTTACAAGAATAGAAAGTGTATATCTTTATAAACTATGTCAGAAATTGCCAGAAATTACAGCGTAAGGGGAAAAGTAGATTTCAAAACTTTGATGTGAACCGTTAGCTCTAATGGTTCAGAAATTCCCAGTGTTTTATAATTATAAATTATTGACTTCAGTATTTCAACTTTAGCTTTACAAGTATTTGCCTCCAAGCAGTCCTTATGGATCAAAAACTCGCAAATTTGAAGGTAAGTGTTTACAACTTATTCATAATTAGTCCAATTAAGGAATGCTGGCTGGAAGCTGGATGGTTATTTCAAAATATGTTTGTCAGTAGCGAAGCATGCTAGGAATTTTTAATTAACCGTTCTGTCCTTGTTGATAAACAAAAACACGAGAGATACGTCACATAGCGACCGCTGCGATAGAGAGATGTACACACGCTCTCTAATGATTTAAAATCATGTGCTATCGTGTTCTGACTGCATGTTCTCTGCACGTTTCTTGGCGAAAATACTGATTGTTATGTTGATGTTCTGCTTTTTTTGTTTTCAAATTTCTCTCTGTCGAAGAAGCCGTTACGTGAACGCTCGCGTCTAAAATTAGCGCAAGCCAAATTTAACTACGGTTATCGACAGCAGGGGGCAGCTAAAATGGGAAATTCATCGAATGCCAACGAGATAAGCAATTGGGTGCGTTTCGAGACGTATGGGATTGTTTGACATATTTCGAAGGCTGTACCGTATCTTGTATACGTTGCCATAGTTTTGATGAGTTCGTAAACAACAAATACGGCGTGCGAAATTACCTGAAATAGCAATAACAGGACAATCGCAGTTTTGCGATAAGCTGAGTGGGCACAGCGCCATTGTTGAACTGTCGATAATATTTTGCAATTAACAATCCAAGCATACCAGGTTAGCAGAAAGTGCTGGCACTAATGAGCTTATTTGGCAGCGGGGGATAAAATTTAGTAACTAAGTTTAGGTGGAAGATCTTTTCCTTCTTTAAATTCAGGTTACATAGTAACCAATGCTTAAATCGGAGGAACAAGTCGTGGCCTGGGACCGAGTAAGGTAAAAAGGCTAAATTAAACCGGTCGTTATCCAACTCGTTCGAAAGCAGAATGTCAGCGCTCTCTTCGTATTTCTTCCTACAGTTCCATCAAAACATATTCGATGTGATAAGATGCAAGAATATGGCGGTCAGGTACAGAATGCGAGCGATTCTTTTTCGGGACCTGGACTCTAAGCAACACAAATCTTGGGCTAGGTTACTCATCCTTGTATGGCAACGACATATTTTAAACGTGGGGTGACAAGCTTTTCCTTATATAAAGTGTGAGGTGACAAGCTTTTCCTTATGTAAAGTATGGGTTACAATCTTTTCTTTATGTAAAATGTGGAGTAGCGAAGATTAATGTGACCAATCACAAAAGTCAATAAAAGAGTGAACAAGTGATCAACTACGCAATGTACAACGTGAAAACTCAATATTATTTTGAGTGTAAAACATTTTAACTAATTGGATTAGGTGTAGATACAAACATGTCTTTAATTTGTTGAAACAACCATAAATACAGATCGAAAACAAGATCAATATTATTGCGAGTGTGAAGAACCAATAATTTCTCTGAACGCAAGGGAGTGATTGGAATACAGAAGCTTTTCTTATTTTTAATACGCAAATATCTGAATGGCTGGCACCACGGAAGGTTTCGTGGATTTATTTAGGTTTTGGCCATACATTCGATCTTTGCACGTAAAACATGCTTACGTCAGCGTATTTTGCAGATTTTATAGGAGTTTAGTAGTAGGACAAAGTACACTGTGGTTCAGGTGTCCTCTGAATTTGGTCTTGAAAAAGATGTTCAGAAAATAGGAACGAATGCAGGCCACAGAACTGGAAAGATTACGGGATAAGTGTTGGAGAGACGAGGAACCACAAATGACAATCCTTTGATTAACGGGGAGCGAAAATTTTCGTCATAGAACTATTGCTACGATGGTAAAAAGGCCAAAGTTTTTCAATACGCAAAATGAAAATGATTTGGTGATGATCACCAAGAAATAGATTTGTAGACTAATTTGAAGGATGACAACAAATTTTTCTACAGATGATATTGTTCAACCGCTACATGTCGCGCTAAGTATGGAGCTATGGAGAACACTATTCACTGTATATGGATTTTTTTGTATACTTTTGAAAAACATCTTAAAGCACTAAAAAAATATAATTTACACTGTAAATCGTTTTCATCGCATTACGTTAATAAAAAAATAATAAAAGTTTCAGTAACTTTGAACCATGTGACTTAGGTTTTAACACGCGTGAAAATCGCCATATTCGCAACAGTGATCTCGTCCGTAATCGGGCTTCTGCCGAGAGTTAGCAAGAAGGCGTGGAAATCACTTTTAATATCTATCGTTATCATGCTTACCACATGGATGGTTAGGTACGAGCTTGAGCAACCTGGCACACGTTTTGGTTGCTTGGAGGCCAGGTCCCGAATAGAACAACTCACATTCAGAACCTGACCACCACATACTTGCACCTTATTACATCGAAAACCATTTCGATGGAAAAAAAATTTCAGGATGTTCTTCATACGAATGTTTTGAATAATGGTCAGCTCATTTACACTTAGTTACTTATATACCTTCCTACGTCATTCGGTCCCAGGCCGTCGCTGGTTCCTCTGATATTAACCTTGGTTACTATGTAACCTCATTAACACCTGTTCTTCTTTCGCAGTGGCTCAATGCTGTAAGCCAAAAATTATTCCGTGACGCAACCAAAGAGGTGCAACCACTACAAACACCTTCCGCAGCATGAACCGGATATTGTCGACGTTATAAAAATTCTGCGAACAGAAAGAAGCAGGATGCTCGCCGCTTTTCATTTTCGTTCGCACCTTTTTTGAAAGTTTCTCAAATCACCTAGCACGCCGTGTCGTCTTTTAACAGCTGTTTCAACGAGTTTGAAATTTCGTGATCGCAACCATTCCATCGTTCAAGGTAATATATCGTCTGAAACAACAAGTACGGAAGCCGAGACGGAAGATTTACTCGGAAACGATGCACATTCAATAAACGCTAAGGATTTCTTTATACACGCGTCGTTTATTTATATCCGTGACATTAGTCGCACCTGCTAAGCTGCTGTATGGACTTAATGGCCTGAAACGGTCATAGCATTTTCTAGAAGTTGATCGAAACCAAACGAACAGGAGCCTTCTTTCACAGTTTCTCTAACGAAATTTAAGGACGACTTCTTTTTAACAGGAAGTATTTTTGAGGGCTTCGTGTCTCAAGAGTCGTTGGTTGTTGCTTTGCAAGCCACGTGGGCAAAGTGTGCTTTTCTAAGGGCACTGCTAACACGTGATAATGAAATGATAAGTGCATATTGCATTATTTATGAATGTAGACAAGGACTTCAAAAATTTACATGACTGAGGATGTCAAACACAATACATGCAGCGAAACTGACTACTAATCGAAACGGGAATTTTCGGTTGCCATCAACGGAAGACCGAAGATCAAGCTTGCATGGGCAGCGAAATACGAAAATTTCAGTAAAACCATGAAAATAACACGATGATAAGATTTTAGGGTATTTTGTGTAGTTCTAAGAATTTAAAGACAAGTGCTCCATGCAGCAAATTGTTCAGAGCAAGGTGTAATAGGCACGGTTCCAAGTGAACAGAGTGTAATTACTAAGAATTAAACTGTAAATCTATACCAATGGGCGTGTATTTCACACTATTTTAACGACATTAGAGTTTTTTCAGTAATTAAACATGTAGGTTAATAGGACTTTGGGGTCAAAACTAGCAATCGTATTTTGTACATTGTTCGAGTTTGTACACTAACTCTTTCACATTAGCATGCACAAACCATACATCGCGGACGTTTGAAATTTGTAAATTTATTTGAACACACTTGAAATTGGAATTAAGTCACGTTTCCGACATTCCCTACACCCACTTTTTTTCTCATTTCTAGTACATATCCCAATGCATTTCATAATAGCTTATTCATTGCTTATTATAGGAAAACCTTTTTACTATGCTCGCTTTACGAACTCCACATGAGCATATTTACATTCTTGAAAAATACCTAACATAGTCATTCTCATCTTCACAGTCGGGAAAAATGCTAAGGACAAACTATTTCAATAATTTTTTGATTGCTGTGTTGTTGCCCAAATTGTCGGTGCAGATATGCAAAAAATGTCGAACAATATAGCCTTGTGCACCCCGTCAATTATGGCTTAGTTTTGGGTGGATCAAATTATAACGAAATACGACATTTTCTGACAGATGGACAGTCGAGTTCGTTAAAAAACCACGACAAACTTGGCAGACACTCGGGTTAACTTTTTCGCCTTTAGCCAGTGCCGTAAGGTTTTCCCCGCACAAATATTTACGATCTTGTGATAAGTAGTAGTTTATTGGAACGATTTGACAGCGAAAGTGGGAATAAAACATTATATATTTGAGGTAAATTTCCATATTTGCTGACGTAATGTTCGTGCAGAAAGCACAAATTGAATGTGGTCCTTGATGTTCACTCAATTAATGTCGACTGGTGACTGGTCGGTTTGTATTTAGCAAGTGTATTGTCATGTCGAGGTTTTAGATTGGACCCCTCGCATAACCGAGCAACGCATAGCAACTAAAATATTTTAAAAGGCGAAAAAACGATGGGTTCGCAACATTTATAAGATCGATAAAAGGCAAATGAATTGCAAACATTTTAGTCATATTCTCTAAACATCTCATGATATTGGCTGAAGGACGCTAAGTGCGATCATTAATACTGCATAATTTCAATGATGGCTGGGCAAAGAAGGCTCAATAACGCATCTTTCGAGCTCTTAACAACTTCAAGTTTGGACCATTTTTAAAAAATATCATTGTTTTCGTCGCAGCTGCGTTAAATGATACCTGTCTATATATATATATTTATATACAATGTGATGTCACACATATTACATCAGCACAAAAATAAGTAACTTACAACACAACAACTTTATATGTGAAAGAAAATTTCGTTTACTGAAAACGCAATTTGCTTCGCATAACGACGAAGCTTAAAAAGTATTGACGTCACACTATGTCGTTTACTAAAACTAATGTCTTTAATAAAAATTCCGAATAAAATCATATTTTCGCCACAACATTAAGGCGTAGTTCCATGCAAGCTTCCAAAAGCGTTCAGTTGTATTGCCATTGTCTGTCCATATATGTACATAATTTAAGATCTATGTTTATAGACTCGTGCCAAACAATCGATAATATTTTCAATTTTCCCACATGCTTCGTACAGAAAAGGTTAATTTATTTCATACAGGAAATATTTCAAAAGGAGACGTGAGAAAATTACTCAATAATAAATATACTCGAACATATGTTAAATCACTAGCCCAATATACAATACAGCAACACCGGGCTGTATTCCTATGCAAAATAACCCCCTGATAGACAGTTATGTGAACCGTGAAATCATATAATTATACCTAACTCTCTGATATTGATATACCTCACTGCTCATGCCCTTGGCTTTAATTCTAAGGAACGATTGTAAAGTTCATCTTCTGATAAATAATTCTGAAATCCGCCAAAGAATGCCATGATTTTGGGGTCTCTTTCAAACTCGTATTTGCTTATCCTGAATTTCTTGAACTCTTCCAGCATTTGAAAGAGTTGCCAGCATTTGTAAAAGTTCACTTTGCCATCAGGTAACTCATCTTTGTTCGCCATGTATGTAAAAGTAACATCCTGTAGGATCAAACCCAGGTAGGGTATGCAGGGTGGTTTAGCTTCAGCAAGCGCTTTTCTGTAGATGCGGAAGGACCCTTCGCTCTCAATGAGCGATGAGAACTGTGCCAGGGTGTCGGTACTGGTCTTTGGGAATTCCAGCCGCCGAACAGCTGAACAATCAAGGGCAGAGTAGATAGCCAATAATGAATTAAAATTGTTGAACTTACGTAAAAACTTCATGATCTTCAAAAATTTTGTATACACCTTTTCTCGATCATGAACCTTTTCAAACGATAGGATGTGGGTGCGACACCAATAGGAAACCTGGTTAAAATGTTCGGTGAATGCAGCCAGGTTAGGAGCTAAATCCTCATTCTGAGCTTTCCCCCATGAAAGGATCTCAGGAATTTCAATACGACTATAATACTGCGCATCTTGAATAGTAAGCTGCTTGGCAATGTCTTCACTGTGAAACGAAAACATTGTCACATGCTTGTCACTTAAGTCCGCTGTAGCAAACATTATACTATCAACTTTATAATGCATTTCACTCTTTGGGATTATACGATCTCTTATCCACTTTCCGAGCATAAGTTGACCATTCGAGAATAAATTGTGAGTTTCTTTCACGAGCATGTCTAAAATGTTCTTGGGTATAGGAGCAACCAAATCATCAATCACCCTCAATAGCAGTGAGAAGGCATTATGACTGGCGCGCTTGTGCTGCTTCTCCTTCATGCGATGTCCTCGATATATGAGTCTACTGATCAGTTCAAAAGGTGTAATAAAGGCTCGATAAGTAGTTATGAAAGCTTCTGAAAACACATAGTCTTTCTTGCTTGAGTTTGTTGCATGCACAATGAGGGCATCGGCTACACCTCCATAAAGCAAAGTTCGGTCACCGGTTTCTTCTCGAAATACTAGAAAATTACTTATGTCTAAGGCATCCAAAGGAGGAGTACATTCCTCATCACCACTGCTGCTTAAGCTGGACTCGCTTGTAGCATGAGACATTGGAACATTTGGTAGTGCCAATTTACCTTCAACTTCTTGTTGCGGTGAATTGATCTTCATCTTTGGTAAGCTTTTATAGTCAAGGGACTTGTTCTTACGAGAATCAGTGGTAGGCGACAATGGTTTGCGATCTGTCTTTTGTGTGATTGGTATCTTTGCTGTAATCAAAGTTGTTCCGCTTTTCTCTAGTGCATGAGCCATCTTTTCTACAGTGTAATTCCGCATATCCTGGTAGTTATCATATACCGAGTTCACTGACATTGTTCGTTCTAGAAATTCTTCTTCTGGTGGTTTCTTATATTCACCAAGAACTTGAATGTAAACTTGAAATGCTTTCTTTTTGGAGCTTGTTGTGTTTTCACTAGCACTAACAAACTGAGCCCTTTCCACAACACTTCTTGCCATCTCAGGAACATCATCAAGTTCTTCAATTGACTGTGAGTCGGAGAGGTCCATGCTACCACGATCTTTTGTACTAGCACCAGAACCATAACTGGAAATGGATTCAGTACGAGACTCAGAGCTATGATGATGGTAAGAATGATGTACTTGCTTGCTTTCTTGACAGAACTGGGTAACTTTCTCCACCTTCCTACTCCATTCAGTTGTCGTTTGGGTAAATGAAGTCTGTACATGAGAAGTACTTTTGCTAATTGTCCGAGAGTTAAAAGATGCAGTTTGTCCATTTCTTGGAGAATATGGACTGAGGGGACTGGAGGGAGCATCATCCATAAGAGATTTAGTAACAGGAGACCATGCTTGTACAGCTAAAGGATGATCTTCAACACTTGTGATACCAGGTACCTCAGAAAGACAAGTCCCAGAATCGGTGAAGTGTGTCGAAACCGGAGGAGAATCACTAGCTGTCGAATTATCGCTATAAGCACTTCGTTCGCTGATACCGGAATCGCGTCGATTTTCTTCCGTAGTTAGCATACCGCCATTTTTCCCGTTTTCCAGCACGCTTTTTATACTACCGTCCGAATGTGATTTGGACAATTTCGGTTTCACGCCTTCTCCTTTGCTCACGGACGAAATGTCATCGGGTTGTTGTAGTAGGACAGAATCGCGGATCTGACGATTCAGAGTCGCTTTCTGTAGACGGGGGATCGCCGAATCGTGCAAGTCTTGAATAGACCTTTCCAAATAATTCAAGAGATTTACTCCTTTCTCCATGTCTAAGGAGGTCGCGGATTTAATCATAACATCATCGCCCCATTTAACTAACTTCGAAATACACGCTTGCATAGTTTTACGTAACTCGCCGAGTCCGGCTGTTGCTTGTAACTTCAAACACGAGTCCAACATGCCGTCGATATGAATAACAGACTCGAGTAGAATAGAAATATTATCCGGTACCTTCGAAACGATTTTCTTGTCGACAACGATACGAAAATATTTCACCGCACTTTTCACGTCTTTGTGATATCTTTCGAACTCTTCGACCTCGCGATTTTGAGTCTTCGGCGCTTTCAGAGTGCCCGAATGATCATCAGAAACATGAAGAGCCTTCTTGAAAGAGTCCGCTCGAACGATAGCCGAACGACGTTTATTGCTGTTTCCATGTTCGTTCAAACTAGCGTGGCGGCTGATTGTAGGAGTATGTGATCCGTTTTTCGCTTGCTTTTTAATCATTCGTAACAGTGTAGACCCCGTTGGTCGTCGCGTTCTAACTGACAATTCTTCAAAGTTCATATCAGGGTTTTGAAAATCTTTTAGCCCCTCTTCAAGCACTAAAAACGCACGCTGCGTTTTTATAAAACAATCCAAATATCAACTTCCCTCAAGCGTTCACGATACCATTCCTTGTTTCCTTTCGAATTTCACAATAAAATGGACACATTAAATTAGAAATCCCGTTGAAATCGACGTAGAATCTTTCCGCGGTTCAGTTAATTCGTTAAACCTCGTAATATCAGTAGAATTTTAAAACGATGTCTTGTTGAACAGTATATATGAATTCCGGCCTCGTGAATTAAAACCAATAAACTTATCAGCGATTTCAAAATTCTACCACGAGCAACCGCAACGACGAAATCTCTTTGAAGTAGCAATTCGCAAACGAAGGTTTGATGTGTTTACTCAAAGTTCGGCAAAAGAATTTAGAATGCGACGGTAACGCGAACCAGACAACACAGGATGAACAGTTCTAAACACAACACAAAGTTATACTCGGCAATATGAACAATGCGCACACGAGTACTTTTATACTTGACGAATCGTAAACAGAATCTCAATACAAATGGTCTCGAAGACCGGTCTCAAGCTGACGCCAAGCGATAAAAAACTTTCAATTGACAGGTATTTTGGTAAGGCGAACCTCGTTGTTTGCCTTAGATATCGAGACAATGCCTTTTGAGAGAAAAAACTGCAAAAACTAATTTGTGTTTCCACTTGAGTTGTATGTAATTTTGTGCGAAATTTCGAAATTTCTCCCCCGACGTTATCACGTGCTTGTCAATACGAGTTTATAAATGATACTTTGCTCGGATCGTTGTCATTTCTTTGCTATTCTCATTTGATTGATCAAACGTTTATCACTCAGTGAGTTGCGGTAAAGTTAAACAATACATCAGACGAACAATCGAAATTACCAGCCAACAAAAATGCCACAATAATAAAAGAGTCTTTGGAGTCAAAAGGATAGCGCGCAATAACGAAATATACATATTTAAATAGTGTATGGAAACCGTAATCTTTCAACTACAAAAAGAAAGTTTTGCATAATTATGTTGACATACGGCATTATTTTCGCGGTAGACTAAAAGCGTGATGTTGAATATGCACAGACGCGAGTGAAATTTCATACACATGGAAGCACAATAATGTACAGATGTGAGTGTTCTTTGACCTAATTAGGTAAATAGCAGCAATTAGGGGTCATCGAAATGTCAAAAATATGTTGACTTGACTCTCGAAATTGCGAGCTCTCTTGACAATACATTATGCATTCGATAGTTGACCAACTTTTGGTTTCATACCGTTTGGGACAAACGCACAATGCGGTGTAATTATGCCTTAGGAAAACAGTTGGCAAAAATTTTGATCTAGACACGTATGACCTTCTGCCCCTCCTAGCATACTCAGCACGGACGTCACTACGCACACAACGCATTAAAATTCCACAGGAATATTTTCCTTAAAATCTCTTTAACAAATGTCTTCTTTCGCTTTGTTCCTAATTTGTAGGAAATGGAAAATTAATGATTGTCGTATTCACAAATTACAAAGTCTTCAACAATTTTCCCCCCGTAATTTAGCAACCAACACACAGACCTATTGGAATTTCCCATCGAACTATGCACACAGACGTCTAAAATCTCTTCGTGACTCGAGGGCATGTTCTTTTCTACATGTATGACAAGGGCACGCGCAATATAACTTTCAACAAGTCACTTTGATTTTACAAAAACAAGACGCATTACGTATAGAAGTATTTTGTAAATACTCAATAGTAAATACTCAAATCGGCGCGTCCCATCGCGAACAAAAGAGGAACCTTAATGATATGGTGGGGATTATAGTAATTGATGAAAACGCAGTAATTCTGTTGAATTTCATTGTTTCGAAGTTTGCAAAGAATTGCGTTTGTATGAACCGAAATATTTTTGTATCTTCTTAAAATACGGCTTTTATGGCATGATCGCACTCATGATCGAGAAGCACAGCGCTGAGTCATGCGGCAGGTTATCGATCATACAAACGTCATGCCTAAATTCTCATTTTTTCATTGGTGAGGTAACCTTCAAAACAACACGTTTTAGATGAGGCAAAGCATGCACATGCATGCTGTCAATGTTACAAAACGCTTATTTGAACAAAAATCTTGAGAAGAAAAATGTGTTCTTTCATGCGCACGAAAGTGTTTGTTTTTATATGGAGAAAACATTTCTCAATAAAAATTTGATGACACGATTATCAAATGTAAACATTACAAGTTTGAGCAGCTCAACTCATTCCTAGATTGTGTCTTGAAGAAACCTTTGCTTATGAAACCCTATATCTCGAGCTTAAACGAATGATAACTGAAAATTGATCCATTTAAAGGAGATCATACAAAACGTGCTGTCGGCGTAGGAGTTTTTGAAATGACTTTGTTTTTATCGGGAAATAATGTGGAAGCAGACTTGTTAAAAATTGAATTGAAAATCAATTAGGTTATTGGTTATTTATCATAATAAGCGCTAATGAGATCTTACCAGCCATTGCAATTTGCATTTGTGTTTTGACTTAAAAGGAAATAACATGAAGATCATATTTCACGCTTCTTTAAAAAATGTATCTTTGCAACGCAGCTGATAGATCGTTTCCCTGCAGAAGCTGCACGAGAGGGAATTTGCTTTATTGGACTTTTCCAGAACAATTTATTTACAAATTGGGGGCGATGGTCACGTCTCGAAGATAGGGAGTAGCTTGTGATCATGGGGACTCCTAAATATTACGCCGCTTGGCTCTCTAAAAGCGTGGGCAACTACAACGTCAATATGCTTTGTCTCGTTGTTTTGTAATCTTGGATGATAGTATGAAGTAGTTATACTTATATATTATTCTTTTCAAGCAAAGCTTTTAGAGTAAACAAAGTCGCTAGTTTTCTTTACAGCGATATCTTTATTCATCGTTCAATTTTTTAAACGCGAAACAAAATATCAGCAACTTAGTTTTCATGAAACATTGTAAGCAAATGTCTCCAACAACGTGGGTTTATCGTTATGCTCGGTTAATTACAACTTTAACTGATAAATATGATTACTTTACATTGTAGATTGTGCAATTATGGTTAAAGTAACTTTTATATCGATTTCCTGGTGTAGTTGTTGTTAGTGGCACAGTTGATTTACCAGCCAAACCACCAACTAGTGTAATGCATCTAGAACTGCCTGACTCAGATTCCTTTCGTGTTCAACCGCAAAGGTCAAATGAATTTTAAGTCATTTACCTATTTAGCACTTTTGTGTGTTAAAATTATGTAACTTCAGAGAAAGAAAAGTTCGAGAACTAAGAATCTGTGAAGACTTTTCGCAGTTCAAACGACCGGGTTATTACTATTTCACAGTAAGGATTGGCCATTGGTTGACTCAAAGATATCGAGACCTTTCAGCTTTCTCAATTTAAAATTGGTCGAAATGAAAATCTTAAAATATAAGCTAACACATTATTATGAAATTATTTAAAAAATACAATTTGTACTGAATATTGTCGACAAAATTTTCCTAACACGATTTAATGACAACTGGCTAAAAGGTTGTAAATTTTTTGTCACACAATCAACCGACACCGGAAACAATTTTTATAATTCTATAACTAATTTCCTTCCAAATTCTTACATTGAATTTTTTGCTGTCAATATATTTCTTGAATCTAATATTTTTTTGACCACATTCATCTTTTTGAATGTGGTCAAATATATCCATACATTCAACTCCTTTTTAATTAATTGCGTTTTCAATAAACTTTATTCTCCTCTCGTTACATTCACTATAGTCTCATATTATTCTGTGGTTGTATCTGTACTATTTCACTTTATTGCACCTTCTCCAGGTCACTGTCATCAGGTTTCTCATTAGCAGATCCGACAACACTTCACAATAACGATCTTTTTTTCATGCATTTTGAGTCAACTGTCACGAACTACTCAACCGACGGTCGGACAGCTTTCGGGATAAACCAGCTTCCTTCGGATTAATCATGTTGCGAATGGACGGCAAACTGTTTCGGTGATTTGGAATGTAGAAATTGCAATGCCTTCTTTTGTCATGCACACGACAAGGAAAGCAGGGGAAAGCAAAAATAGAAAGTAGTGCTCTGTGCTTGTGAGTGTGTCTTGTGTCAAAGTCACGCAAATTTTTATGCACGTGGGGGAAGACGAATAGTTTGGACATTGCCATTGCACGTTTAACTTGCTTATCACGTTGTCTATCGTGTCAGACGATAACCACATGAGTTGGCTGTACATGACATTGCAATATGCCTGCTCTTATTTTGGAAAAAATGTAGCTAGATTTTATTTCGCAATGTATTGTTGTCCTTTTTCACATGGCTCCGTTGGTCTTTCGCTATGTCAAAATTCTTTAGTCGGTCAACACAAAGTGTATGCAAATCTCGATTACAGAACTCTCAGTTCCTTCGAGTGGCGTAGCTGTGTCCCAAAAGTGTGCTCGTCCACTCGTCCTATGTAAATATTTCGGTGCTCACTCACTTTGAAAACAATAAACTTCCTAAAGAACTAAATAATGCTCATGTGGTATGATATTTACACAGCACGACCACACTTGTTACCTGGCTTCCCCATTGGTTACTGCTCTTAAGAGTAATAGAAACTTAAGTATCCGCGAGTTTCATGTCTTCAGGGACGACCAACAGCTTAACTTTGACAATCGTGTGCACATACACAAACCCAGAGAAGTAAATGGTCAAAATTAGAAATGGCATTTTCACATCGTCAAAGTTTCTATCTGGTGCTGTTCGATGATTTGCATTTAAAAAAATATGACTCAGGCAAAAGAGTCAGTAAGCTGACGATACAGAGAAAATGAAAAACTCGGCATTATACTCTTTATTCGAAAGAAAAATTTTCTTGTAAATTTTGAGATTTTTGTGAATGATTTTTGACATTTATTGTGCCTATATATCTACTATTTTGCCCTATGGTGTGTTCTGTAGTTATTGCCGAAGTCAATTGACCAATCAAAAAATGGCTCAATAAATGTTCATTGCATGATGTTCAAAGAAATTTGACTGTTTTTCAAATTGTATTAATTCCTTTCTCTTTCTCTCTCTCGAAACTCCCCAAAATGACTTAGGTAAAGTTATTAACGTGATCACGTAAAATTTTGAATTTTGACCCTCACATTGATCATTTCTAATGGTAGTATTAGTGCTCCTTCTTGCTTCTACAGACGATGAAAGATCGTCTCTCTGCTTTTCATCTGAAGATGTCGATGACGGAAAAGCAAGAAAATTAATTTAAAGTTGGTGATATAGGATTATAACGACCATGCAAATCATATGTGTTTTGAAAAATACTTAAACGAGTACTAAATGGTTTTATGACAGTAGTTTTGGCAAAGTTTGCATAAACCACTTCACACTGCAGGAATTAAAGAAAACATAGCTGAAGGGGTCTTTGGCGTAATCTTACGTATTTGCAGTCATTTTTAATAATACACATAGCTGTTTTGTATTTTTTTAAAGAGATAAAGGAAGTTTGCTTGGGATTAGGTTTTTGTTCTTACGAATGAGGTTTTCAACATCATAATGATGTTGTTTTTTTTGAAGAAAATCCATCACTGCATGATGTAGTATCGTTTTATTCCAGTGGCGATTTCTTTTCACAAGTTTGTTTTGCACATATAATTACATGGTTAGTTACCCCAATAACAGCTTGCAACGCCTTTGAAGTCAGGTTTCATCCAGCACAGCCCATATGGCCACCAGGTCAAGTTTATTGTCATATATTCCCTCGTCAACAAAAAAAACACACAATGATCACGAGTTACGATGAAGTTTTGCATCTGTCGTGTCGACATGAAAAGCAAACATTTCATTAAAGTAATTTTGAATTCTTCAACAAAAAAACTAAAAACAGATTTAATAAATTTATTTCCCACCTGTGTATGTTAAAAGTCATTGTTTACGTTGGCTTCGAGCACGACAAAAGCAAGCGTTTGTCACGTTTGAAAACACTCTTATTATTTCAAATTAAGACGTCGGCTTCCTATATTATTCAGTTTGATGGCTAACAGCCTTGCTGTTTGTGTAGCTTGCAATCTGATTGGCTACTGCAAATTTAGATTTTCTGCGGGGGTTATTAGTTTCAAGAAGTAAATAACCCGGCAAAATCATTTCAAAATCTAACAATGAAACAAATTTTGACGAGAAATCTCGGAAAATATTCGACGAGATGATACTTTGATATCCTTAATTCGATCCAGAAGTAAACGAAACCATTTTCTAGGCTTTGCTATCTGATGTCATCAATCAAATTATCAGAATGCTAACGTGCCCCTTTATAGGCTTCAACTCAAATTAAAACTTTTCCCATATTTGCTGTGTTTGATTAGGGAAGCTGCAAAAATAGCCGACCGCTCTTCGCGAAAACCCGATGATTTAACGCCTTTAAAAGTATCGACACAAGATTCATGACGGGAAAATGTTTTAGGGAAGCTCGCAGTTCGAGTTGTGTTCAAAGTTTTTCCAAATTCCAATGTAATGCAATGATCACGCGCACTGTCTAGCAGTCATAATCACAGAGTGACCATCATAAAGCGAAAGATGAGGACCATGGACACCGATATATTATATATACTTAGACAGCACAGGTGCAAGCTCGATTAACATACGTCGTCCACGGTAAGATGGCCTTTTTCCCCTCTAAAAATAGCTATGATGTTTGTTAACTTGAAATGTCGTTCAAAACAAGATGGAACGGTCACCTGCATGGCAAAGTGATAGCTTTAGTTATTCATGAAATTAACGCTGATAACATTATATGATGAATAATTAACATTATTTTTGCATCAGCGATATTATTGTACGTGCTTCAAGAGAAAAGAGTGGTTGTTTCGTCAAATAGAAACATTAAATTCAAACATGAAACTTGCTGCAGCCATTCAGAATGGTTGTCGATGACGAGCCTCAAATTCAAACCCGATGTAAGCGCACGATGTGAGGACTTGGCGACGGAACAAAGTGTGTAGCTCAGGGGCACACATCCCAAAAACATAGCTATATATTTGGCGAAGAGAAACTCTATGTTCTTGGACATGCTTTTGTATTGTCTGCGTTTGATGGAATAGCCTACATTTTTAGCTGGATCAATTTTTCGTCCTCTCTAAGTGTGTGAATCGACTTTTTATACAGATATCATGTGCACTACTGATATGCCGAAACGTGTTCACTTTACAGTAAAAGTTTTTGTAAAATAAAAACAATAAAACACGTTTGGTGATTGGTCTATAGCCGTGTTTTATTAGCCGGTGCAAAACAGATCTGAACTCAGCCAATCAAATCAATCAAAACAATCAATCAGTCAAAGAGAATTTGCAATTCGATCATCAATGCATTATAGACGAAAAATAAATTTGTCTTTTCGCATCATTGTTATTTCAAAAAGAAATAAAAGATGTTTTTCGTGTTTGCATAGGCAAACGTCGGAGACATTTGTAAAAACTCTTGAGCAGGTGCAACCCTCGACCTTCGGTCTCGAGCTTGCACTTTTATTTCTAAATTGTTCTTAATTTAATACCATTTGTGGTGAAGCGGTGTCGATTTTTTGTCAATACACAACATATGGTATAAAACAAAAAAATAATTGATAATGGAAATACATTCTAGTATATTTCCTTGTGATGACGTTTATGATGGTTTGCCTCCACGCTGCCTGCAATCCATGATTTGTTACTTTGCTTCTTGAAGAAGAAAAGCTTCACCTTACCTAATTTCTACCAAACACGTCGATTTGTATATTGAATCAACACCTGTACCACCATCTGTTTGCGTATTGTTGTTTTCAATCTTGTCGGCAGCAAAATAATTTAATAGTCTTAAAAAAACATTATTGTCTCACAATGTCGAGTGAAAAGTTTAAGATGCCAAAATTCTAAATGATTAAACGATGTCAAAGTCTAGACATAAACAAAACAAGTGCAACGTAGAGTGGGTAAGTTCAAGTTATTAAACAAGACAATTTTTTACACTTTTTTATTTTAATTGTCTTGTTTTATAACTTGAATTTAAGTTTACAAGATGTCCTTTTTCGGATTATGTTTTATTTTATATCTTATGAAATTGTCGTTTGGTCAAGGATTGTAGATTATTAGCTATATTTGTGTCTAGCGCAAAAGCGTGATTTGTACACCCGGGGAGGGAAGAGGTGCGAAGATTTCATTGAAAAAGGGCGAATCCAGTGGCGGATCCAGTGTACGTCAAAATAAATTATAGCTCCTCAATTTTAAATTCAAATTACATTCAGACAAGTTTTAATTTCTAAAGAATATATCTGGATCCGCCACTGGGGGAATCGAAAGTATTATAAGCCCATTTCATTCCCTAAAGTCCAGGAAATGGCATTTTAGAGTTTCTTAATTTAAAATTTTTCCCGGGGAGGATGCCCCCGGGACCCTCCAAACACAACTCGCACCTTCGGTGCTAGGCTCAGGCTTTTGTCCCTCGTTTTTGAAGTGCTATATTTTTTCAGGCGCATTTTCAATGGTAACCTACTACACCCCCCCCCCGGGAGCAATTGTTCCCAGCTCGCCACTGGTCTATGACATAACTTTTGAGTTGTTGATGAATTAAAGGGGTCTTGACGTCAGTCGAGTGATAAAAAATGTATGTTTGAGTTACTGAAGAAACGTTCTTGTGTATATTTCAGACCTCTGATGGCAGCTCGTTAGAATGCTACCGTTACTGACGTCTGTACATCAAGTGTGCACCTTTATACAGTACATGGTAAGGAAAAATGTAATGGATGGCAGATATGAAGAAACCATACATGTATACCTAACTTAATGTAGAAATTGAATTCTAGGTTCTACATAAATTGAAAATCTTGAATACAAAGTATCAAACTTTTTTAACAACCGACCTTGTAATCATTGTGTTATCATAAAGTACTACTTTAGTTATTTTGCTGACACACTGTATAGTTGGCTCAGTTCTCTTTCAATGTGATAAAAAATTAAACACAAACAAATCAAAGGCAATATAGAAGCATGGATTTGGAAGACAAGTTGCTGGGCTATAAAGCTCAAAATTACGTTTCTAGCTCCGAAAGCGAGGACAACGATGATGAATGTAGCGACCAGGAATGCGCATGTGATTCAAAGCTTGGAAAAGAGAAGGAAACACCGCAACTTGATTTTCGTATTGACGGACCAAAGGTATGCAGTTTTTATCAATGTGTTGTTATCATCGGAATAAGTGGGTGTTTTCTTTTACGAAGTTTCTACATATCCACTTGTATTTTAACGTCTTCATCTCCTGTTAATATTGCGTGCAAATTATTCGAATGCGTTTGGAACTTCGGATAATTCGCAATTGCTTCATTTTGTAATTTTCTTTGTGTAGTTTATGAAATTAAGAAACTTAATTTGTGTCATTTTACGTATATTTTACGTCAGCTCATTTACAGAATCCTATACTGCAAAAATCACGACAGGTTTTTGCGCTGTGTGAATCTACAATTATATGGCTCATGAAATAATGTTGTGTGGTACATGTGCCCCTCCCCAGCTTTTGTGAAATAAGTTCAAGTCTGTTCATAAACTCGTAGTGGGGGGAAAATTGGTCTGTTGTGCATCCAGTCAGCAAGTTTTTCATGCTGTGTTAAAATTTGGGAGTTCACTCTCTCCGTAGAGAAACTACATTCCTCAAGATATGTGTAATGCTAAATTTTGCTAACGATGTGGAATTTACTCAGTATTAACAAAGTTACAGGCTAGCTAGCTCACTGTATAGGTAACAAACAGGAGGGAAATTTTACTGAATTTTTTTTTGTAATGCTTATCTTATTAGATTACTATTGTGGTACTCAATTTATTTTTTGACCAACAGTAATGTTAACATGGTAAAATGGAGACTTTGTTGTGTTGGCAAATATAAAAATTGTTTTGAAAAGAGCATATACCATGGTGAATGGTCGAAATAATGATGTAGTAGTTCTTAAAAGAACTGTTTAAAACAAGACCACTATCCCAACAATTCTAGAAGAATTGTAAAAGAACTGTTGTTAAAGCTAAAAGACACTATACATTTCGACAGAGAACTTGTCCGGTATCAACTTTTGCTAAATGGGAGCTTCAAAATCATGTGATATTTATAATGTTACGAAAAAGTTAATGTCTTTTCTAAATTGAGAGATGACGCTTCAGTGTCATGATGAGGTGATGATGTAGTCTGCTGAAATGCATAGTGTCTTTCAGCTTTAAAAACAGCTCTCTTACAATTCTTTTAGAATTGTTGGGTTAGTGTTCTGATTTTATACTGTTCTTTTAAGAACAATTACATTATTTTGACTATTCACCGTTGTATTTGCTCTTTTTAAAACAATTTTCAAATGTTAAAATGTCTAACTACACCCAAGTCGCATAACAAAGTAGTTCATTTACTGTGGTTATGCCACTGGTGACTGTTTTGTCCTCTATTTACAATACTTTGAAATGACTTTTGTTTAATTATTTGATCCAGAAAGGGGATAAATAAAATTTCACATAATGACAGTTTTCAAATAAACATCGACAACAATTTCTCGACATTAAAGCATAAATGTCGAGAAAAGAAATTGTTCTCTTCGTTTTATGAGAATCCAGGCATTCATGCGATCAGTTTTTAAAAAAAATGAACAACAGTAACCATGGTGATCTTGTGTTTATTTAGCGCTGATGCTTTGTTCACTCCATAGCATCATTTCCTTTGAGCTATCTGCATTCCGGAATGTTTAAACTAAGAATTTACTTAAACTAACTAATCATCACATCGCTTGCCATTTTAAGACTGTCCCCAAACTAAATCGACACAATCGTTTTTTCTGCCCTTTTTTTAGACAGGGCCCAAAGGCGTTATCGAAGATTATCGAAGGTATCGGCAGCTTGAGGCCGAGCAACGCGAGGAAAAGAAAGCGGAACTTGAAGCTCTTGCCAAGAAGTTTTCCGTGACTTGTCAGAGCAGCGTAAGTTTATGATCATGTGTAGTTATGGATCTTGGAAGATCAATAATTGAGTGGGGGGGGGGGAGGCTGATATTCATACATGCATGATATAGTGTATTACGTAAGTTCTTTTGAAATCAATTGTTTTCTACGGATTATATCATGCATATATGAATATGAGTCCCAGTCCCATGATTTTGTGCGAATGTGTTACGACATTGCGACGAAATAGCTCTCAATCCTTTCTAAAGGGCCGCATGAGTGCCAAGGATGTTTTTGTAAAGAGGGAGATCCCTCCTTTAAGTATTCATTTTCTGCGTGGTCTACGTCACTGCGATGCTCTTACCTCTCGTCCTCCCCTCCCCCTCTCATTTTGTCCTGACGTCAATGATCGAAGTATGTCATGTTACCGCGCGATTTTCAAAGCTAGATGAAGAAAAAGAGAAGAAGGAGTTGGAATTCGACGAGGAAGACGAATTCGTCAAATTGTATCACATGAAACGTTTACAGGAGATGCAGAGGAGAGCAGAACAATATGTCGCCTCGATAAGGTATCAATTTAGTTAAAAACAAATTCCGAAGAAACAAGACATCTTGAGATTACAAAATATGAATCAGAAAGAATGAGGATGTCTTTCATTCTATCTGAGGGTGACTTTCATATAAAGTCGAAAATTCACAGTTCACTTCTCGTCTTGTTCTGATTCATATTTTTCTTATTTTGTAATCTCAAGATGTCTTGTTCTTCGGAATTTGTTTGTTACCATATTTTTTTTAAATTGTCGGCTGGACATGGTATAAGGTATCAAGATATCGGCCATTTTCATCCCTAAGACGGATAATAAGTCTGCACGACTTAAGAAGGATTTTTTTTATGCGTCTCTCAAATGGTCGTAAGGATAAAGACAGTCGTAAAACGAAATAACTGTCCAGACGACTTTAGCGTTTAATTCTACTTACAAACGAATTAAAGTTGTTAAACCGTCTCGATGAATTGATTTCTTCGTTCAGCTTTGCGTTAAGGCGATTTCGGACTGCACCTAAAATGAAAATAATGATTGCAATTTTAACCTATAAGTAACGTTGAACTTGTTTATGGATGTAGATCGTCCAGGTTAGTGTAGGCCTGAGAAAGACTGTTGGTGTTGATGTTGACTCTAAAGATGACTAATGGTTCTCGAAACGTCAGTCAAAACCAACAGACTAATCTTTATCCGATGATATACATCGACAAGCGATACTTGCCGGGCTCAGATCATTCACTTTGTTTAAGTTGTTTGTCATTAAAATTTATTCATTAACTGTACATATCTTTAAAGTACTTCATCATCACGAATTCATATCTTCATTCCTCATGTAAGGTTTGGACAGCTTTTCCACATGTATTTTCATTGGTTTCTGAAGAATGTGTTGCGTTCGAACTCTTCTCCGTGAACTGAATGGTGAAAATAGACCGACCTGTCACTTTTTAAGATTTACTTAATTCATCTAATTGTTGGTACCTAATTCCTTTGAAACTCCTTTTCATCAAAGTTTTTTCGACTGACTATTGAGTGCAATGAGTAAAGGAGTGTAAAACCTTATGAAAACGACTGACAGCCAGCATGGTATCCTCAGTGAGCGGATTTTTTCAACTGCATTTTCCCATCGTTTAGGCCTCAATTTGGGATACTTCGTGACATCAAAGGTAAAGAATTTCTTGACGTTATCGACAAAGAGAACGCGGATGTTGTCATTGTAATTCACTTACATGAAGCAGTAAGTACTTGTTTTTTAATTTTTAGTCTTGTTGATGTTCAAAATTGCATAAAATGTTGCGTCATATGGCCGAGGCCGGTTGCACGAAGCACGGATAGCGTTATCCATTAGATAGAAAATCTTTTCAAACGGTTAAAAAACTTCTTAAAAAAGAAAACTATATGATGTTTGAGCTGCGCAATCACTGAAATAAAATATTGCTTCTAAGATTACAAATATTCTTTTTCATAATAAAATATAAACAGCTTTTTTACAAGTTTGAAAATTTCACTATCCAATGAAAAACGGTATCCAAGCTTTGTGCAACCGTCAGCAGAACTGTAGGATGTGTATGTATGATGTAGGTTGAGTTGTTAACCACTAGGTACAATTGCGAGAAAGTATAAAACTTTCGACCAACGTTCGTGCTTGTCATTAGTCTCCGTTCTGGACTCGATATTGCATTAACTTTTTGTAAGACAACATCGATAAAACGCATGCGCTGATTGGTGTATAGTTATATGATTGATTGGCCATTTACGTGTGCAAACCGATATCTCTACAGTCACTTAAATCGATTAAAGTGAATTTGCAAATCTATCATCGATACATGTTTCAGGAAAAATTAACACATTTGTTTTAAATCTATCTGTTTCGCATCTTTGTTATCATAAAAGAAATCAAAGATGGATTTTTTCAATATGAACATAATAGCCCAACATAAGACTTTTAATCACAATAATAAAATAAAGAAAGATAAATGGTTTTATTTTATTATTGTGATGGCTTTTTTCAAAGTCTTATGTTTGGCTATTATGTTCATATTGAAAATTCGCTTTCCGCCTGGCAAAGCTCAGAGACGCTTGTGCTGATCTGCTCCCGAGGTCTCCCAAACAACTCCTCACTTTGCATAACCCTGTTCAAGTACTAAAAACACCTTATATTTCTTAAGTGATGCTACAATGTAATACAATTCACTTTTGAAGCAATGATAAAGTTGCTTTAAAGTAAATCTCCGAGCGTTCACCTGTGTGAAAACCGCTTTCTTTCTCCTTTGAGTCTTGTCATGAGCCTTGAAGCGAACTTTTCGTGTACGAATAGACTTGTTCTTAAACCCACATTTTGGTCTTTGTATTTTCTTGTAGAATGTCGATGGTTGTCCGGCTATGTCGGGAAGTTTAAAAGTCTTGGCCCAACAGTATCCAAGGGTAAAAGAAACTATTTTAGTGTTACCATAGGCCTGTTATGAAATATATATGTAACTGAAAGTCATCCACAAGTGAAGTTCACAATATACATGTACGTGGGGCACTCCCTTAAAGTAAAAGATGTACGTGGGGCACTCCCTTAAAGTAAAAGATGTACGTGGGGTACTCCCTTAAAGTAAAAGATGTACGTGGGGCACTTCCTTAAAATAAAAGATACGTGGGGCACTCCCTTAAAGTAAAAAAAAACAAAGAGTTGGAAGTTATTAAAAAGTGACGTCATTCAACTGGTTTGTTCGAAATTCATCCACTGAAATTTTCTTCACAGGTTAAATTTTGCCAAGTTTTGGCGTCCGAAACGGGAATAAGTAAATATTTTGTAAGTACGATGAATTTACGTAAGAAGATAAAATACTATTTTTAAATACTTATTTAAACGCTATATATTTCCAAGATTTGCCCTCCTCTTTTATCCTGTGGGAGGCTTTGAGCTAATAAGAAATTATACTAGCAGTGACCACCACCCTCATATTATTCGTTTAGAAATTTGAAAAGGGTCACTTTGTAGTTGCTACTGACTTAGTGCTCAGAGTGTGATCACCACCCACCCCCATATAAAAGTTTGAAAAGGTTCACTTTGTAGTTGCTACTGACTTAGTGTTAACAGGGTGACCACCACCCACTCCCCTCATATAAAAGTTTGAAAAGGTTCACTTTGTAGTTGCTACTGACTTAGTGTTAACAGGGTGACCACCACCCACTCCCCTCATATAAAAGTTTGAAAAGGGTCACTTTGTAGTTGCTACTTACTTAGTGCTCAGAGTGTGACCGCTGACCCAATGTGCCTACCAGATATCGTAAAAAAAGCTGATTGTGAGTATTTGATCGTAGGATTGTCTTTTGTTCAAACGATGCTAAAATTAAAAAGTGAAAAAGGATTGTGTTTCAAAATATAAATATTAAACCCCAGTAGAACAGAAGAACTACCACAACAACAATAAAATATATTTCTTGCAATGATAAAGACGACGTGTTATCTCTCTGATAATTTGTAAGAAATATATATGTTTGTTTTTTTATTGTTATGGATGGTCTGTTGTTGTAAATTTGCCTGTGTTTCCATAAAGTTGCTTGTGTGTCTGTATATTTGCCTGTGTGCCTGTAAATTTGCTTGTGTGCCTGTAAATTTGCCTGTGTGCCTGTAAATTTGCCCGTGTGCCTGTAAATTTGCTTGTGTGCCTGTAAATTTGCTTGTGTGCCTGCAAATTTGTCCGTGTGAGTTACTTAGGTTATGCTGGGTGATTTCTATCACTTTAACACACTATACGCATTTCCGACATGCTGTGCTTTAATATTTTTATTTCGGTTACGATTCCCGCCTGGCTCATATTGACGAATGTGTTTCATTTGGCTTTGCGTCATTACAGTATTTTTGTAAATGCAATTTGTAATTTCATGCTTGTCTATATCTTCAGGTTCAAAACGGTCTACCAGCTCTTCTTATCTATCAGAACAAACAGTTGATTGGAAATTACGTCAAAATGACGAACGTTTTTGGCGATGATTTCTTTGCAACCGACGTGGAGAGCTTTTTAATAGAGTAAGTTTGAAATGTTATTGAGGTATTGTTCTCTCATAACGTTTATTCAAAATGAATGGTTAAGGCAGTTGTTGCTAGTAAAAGTTCTATCATAACTATCATTCAAAATGAATGGTTAAGGCGATTGTTGTTAGTTAAAGTTCTGTTATAACAATCATTCAAAATGAATGGTTAAAAGCGGTTGTTTTTAGTTAAAGTTCTATCATAACTATCATTCAAAATGAATGGTTAAGGCGATTGTTGTTAGTTAAAGTTCTGTCATAACTATCATTCAAAATGAATGGTTAAAAGCGGTTGTTTTTAGTTAAAGTTCTATCATAACTATCATTCATAATGAATGGTTAAAAGCGGTTGTTTTTAGTTAAAGTTCTGTCATAACTATCATTCAAATTGAATGGTTAAGGCAGATTATTATTAGTTAAAGTTCTATCATAACTATCATTCAAAATGAATGGTTAAAAGCGGTTGTTTTTAGTTAAAGTTCTGTCATAACTATCATTCAAAATAAATGGTTAAAAGCGGTTGTTTTTAGTTAAAATTGTGTCATAACTATCATTCAAAATAAATGGTTAGGGCAGATTGTTTTTAGTTAAAGTTCTATCATAACTATCATTCAAAATGAATGGTTAAGGCAGATTGTTGCTAGTTAAAGTTCTATCATAACTATCATTCAAAACGAATGGTTAAAAGCGGTTGTTTTTAGTTAAAGTTCTGTCATAACTATCATTCAAAATGAATGGTTAAGGCAGTTGTTGCTAGTTAAAGTTCTATCATAACTATCATTCAAAATGAATGGTTAAAAGCGGTTGTTTTTAGTTCAAATTGTGTCGTAACTATCATTCAAAATGAATGGTTAAGGCGGTTGTTTTTAGTTAAAGTTCTATCATAACTATCATTCAAAACGAATGGTTAAGGCGGTTGTTTTTAGTTAAAATTGTGTCATAACTATCATTCAAAATGATGGTTAAGGCAGTTGTTGCTAGTTAAAGTTCTACCATAACTATCATTCAAAATGAATGGTTAAGGCGGTTGTTTTTAGTTAATGTTCTGTCATAACTATCATTCAAAATGAATGGTTAAGGCGGTTGTTTTTAGTTAATGTTCTGTCATAACTATCATTCAAAATGAATGGTTAAGCGGTTGTTTTTAGTTAATGTTCTGTCATAACTATCATTCAAAATGAATGGTTAAGGCGGTTGTTTTTAGTTAATGTTCTGTCATGAATATCATTGAATTGATGCTCTTTCATAACATCATACAAAATCAATGGTTAAGTCGGTTGTTATGACCTACCAAAGTCATCCCTCCTCATCAATAATCAGAGTCAAAAGTGAAATGAGTTCTACCCAGATTTTTTTACCAGATTTAGTTTCTCCCCCTTGTTTTTTATAGTTTTAAACTTCAGAACAGGTAAGTTTTAAGCTTGTCCGATCGAATCTGGTAAAAACTCTTTGTACTAATATGTCTTCGTTGACGTCTTTCTTAATTTTAATATACGATGAAATGATGTTGCTCAAACGCAAATCATGCGCGAGATGATTCAATACAGACGTCATAAAGCATATTGTGACGTAACGTTTTAAGGTGAAGCTGTTTTCTACTCTGCGTGCAAATTTTATTTTTGAAAATGATAATATACTACAAGCTGCCGAGTTATTCGACTTCCACAGCTTCAGTACCGTTCACCAAGATTTCGGCTATACGGAGACGAGGTTTGAAGAAGAATTTTGTACTAGATATGTCTGTTTTGTATGACCAAAGCAAATTTCGAAGCGGAAATGGCGCAAAACCAAACAGTAAATACGCGATGCGGGACAGGAATGTTGTATGCTGGACTACTTCATGTAACTCTTGTCAGACGTCTTTATATGTTCAAGCTCTCGTGAATAATTGTATTGGATACTTCCCTGCACTTGGTAGACGCGTCCATATCGATAGAAGAAAAGATGTATCAAATTTTGATTGCATCCTCTCCGCTCGAAAGGCTTTTCAAAAACTTGATAAAATTGGAACGGGAATATCTGAGAATTGCGTTGGTTCAATCCCTTGCACATGTCCAATTTACATAAAGTACGTATCGTTATATGCTATTAATATTCATAAGTTTAATAATTGCAATACAAAAGACAAAACAACTGTTTTTCTAAACTCTTCTCTATGACATATCTACGTAACACTTCGACATGTGCAATATCTACTTACTTGCTGTAACATCGATCTTCAGTTCAACGTTGTATAACTGTACAGTTGGGTTGTCAAAAATATAGGTGCAAGTAATGATGAATAGCTATTTGCAAAGGTTGTATTGTTCCAACGTCATTGCGATTTGACTGCATAAAAGCATTGTCAAATGTTACTGCATTACAATTTCGTCCAATGTTACTGCATTACAATGTTGTCCAATGTTACTGCATTACAATGTTGTCCAATGTTACTGCATTACAATGTTGTCCAATGTTACTGCATTACAATGTTGTCCAATGTTACTGCATTACAATGTTGTCCAGCGTTACTGCATTTAACTGAAGTTAACTGGTATTTGCATTGCTTTACCCGAGGGCAGGTCTCTTCCACTCAGGAGTATCGAAGAGAAAAAAATACGTTTAAAGCGATCTTTACCTTCTGGTAAACAGAAAGACGTAACGAAGAAGACGTCAATAGTACATTGTTCAAGAGACCATTTCCTGAAGGCAGAATCTCACAGCGAAGATAAAGAAGAAGAAAGGGCTAAGAACAATGTATTATGTGAAAATAATTCGACTGATAAAGACGATGAAACGCCTACAATGAGAGAGCAACGTTTCAAGTCTTCACTATCTCATTTGTCAAGTTCTAATCGTACCTTTGATATCCCTGGGTGTTCTATGTCGACGCCAAGTGCTCATAGTTCTATCCCAAGTTCTCCTGACATCTCTATCGCGATCGACAAAACGATGAAAGAAATTCTCGCGTTAACACCCTCGAAACGGCGAGCATTGATGGGATGCGGTATACCGGAGATAAACGAAGCCAACTATTTGTCATGTCCAGGAATCAGAAAGTAAAAAATACGACGAATGACATTGTGGTATCTGTTAAACATTGGCTTGAATATAACAACTGATGGGACAAATGCTGCATATTTTCGTTGTTCTAGGTTTTGTTATTTAATTTTAACCTGCAGACGTTACGAATGATTTTTTACTTGAAACGCATGCGTTGTTAATGCGTACATGTTCTATAAAGCTTGTTCTTAACTAATGATTTAGAACCCAATCCTCTAGATGTCTAACTACCGTGTCAAGGTCATTGAATTCTATAATAACTGCAGCGGCTAAGTGTACTGGGGCGAGGCTGTCGAAAAAATGGCGGCCAATGGACCCATTTTCGCTGAAATGACTGCTTTGCAAAAAAAATATTCTCATCCTCCCCCTGGTGTTAATTATTTAGAGTTTTTTTGAAAACAAACACGATGTTTTTTGGCATTTCTCTTATAATGCCAATACTTCAATTGTTCAATTGATGGATGTCGTAGTTTCCACAAAAAACAGCATCTCGCTTTCACGGGTGAGATATTTGCTTGTTTTGTTTGTTCATCGAATATTGAAAAGCAATTATACGCATAAAAAAGCCCTAAAATCCGTAAGATCGTATTTTTAAAGATGTTTATATACGTTATATACTGATGTTTTCCTGGGTTTTTTATAAAACGCAGCATACTTTTCTGTTATTTGTTAATGTATGAAATCGTAAATTTACCAATCTATTTGCAAAATAGTTTCCCTGACGCCAAAAAGAAGCAAAAATAGCAAAAAGAAGAGATCAGCATAAACAGTACACATGATTTGGAGAAGAGCTTGTTATGTTCTTCTACTTGCTAACACCATGCAGGGAAGATCAGGTTGCAAAGATGACTGGAAGATGTTATTGACCAGGAAGAGTTACGCGAACTTGCAACTATATTACTTTCAAGTTTTCGACACAATTTATAAAAAAGCGATTTGACTAGCAATATACGAAATTATATCACGCCCTTTCGTCGGGCAAATCAAACACCGCGTCCTTTATCAAGGCAAATTATATCCTCGCGTTCCACCATAATCTGGAGACCACCAGCGTAGTCAATTGCCAGTGTTTTGTTTTGCTCTTAGAAATCGGATAGGAATTATATTGGCATTTACTTATTTATGTCGGCGCCCATGATATTCCTTGAGGACAATGCTTAATTTGTGAACAAAAAAAACCAAGTATGTGTTAATTTCTGTCTGGCGGTTGCATGCAATGACAACGACATCCTCGGAAGAGGATCGCATTAGAAATTCTTGCAGCATGAGAGACTCCCCTCCACCTTCACGTCTACAACACAACAGCTATCCCAGCAGCCTGTAAACAAAGTGACATTGTGTGCGTGGGTCGAGTTAAATATTGAACGAAGGATCTTCGAAAGCTTCCAGAACAACGAGACACCTGCACTTGCGTTTACTGTGCGCTTGCAGGTGCTAAAATATGTGCGAAACCTTCAACTAAACGCTCCCTCAAGTGACGAAAGTTGCACTGAGACTATAACCAAATGCGAGTTAAATCCCCTGGCTACAACCTCGATTCAAATCAGTTGCGTAGCCAGGCCGTAAGTTTGGCGTTTGCTCACTGTAAGAACTTCTAGAGAAATGAATAGTGCTAATGATTTGGAGTTAAATACGTGAAACGGTGTATTTCAGTTGTTAGGAGAATATCAGATCTTCTTTCGAAGTTTTATTCACAGAAATTCATCATTACATTTTACACCTCTCTATTAACTATGACCATGCTAACCATCACAATTGAAATTCACTGTATTCTCTTACATGTCATGCGGAAGGTCGGGTTCCTTAAAAGTTCCTGAATAGTTTTATCACTTTTATCTTAGATATATTGAATGAATTTCGAATGAACACACTCTCTCTCTCTCTCGTTCGCAACCTGAAAGAGATTTGATAAATATGCGAATTGATATTTTTTCGGTGCTTTTTTGTTCTACGTATGATTTGCAATTGTATTGAACATGTCTTATTAAGACAGTGTTGTATCCATGGATTATAATGCATGTGGGCAGGGATGAACAAATATTGATTTTCAATTCCATGATTGTTCTATTCTTCGACTTTTGCGTTTTAACTTCTCCGGTTGTCCACAATTCCTGGGTTCCCATGAAGTAATATCATTAAGACAATGGTTTCACTGCTTCACTTGAATGATCACAGAAATATTTGAAGAGCTGGACTGAATATGCCTCTTGTCAATCCGGCTCTTGGGAAGAATTTTAAAACATTATATATGCAGGGCGCGCCCTGCAGCCCCCGCAACCGATATAGATAACAATTATCTTTATCGTATTTTTGATATATTTTCATGTTCTACAACTTCTTTATTTTCTGTTCAATTCATCATTAATAACCTATTCACCTCATGATTGTTGGTTGATTTTGTAGAAATGGAATTTTATCCGAAAACACTCCAGATATGAGCACAAACTTGCGGTCAAACCACAACGAGAATGACGACAGCGACTGAAACTTGTCAGCAAAAACTGCAACAAAGTTATCCTTCTGACCACGGGCACAGAAAGACCCTGCGGTAATCCTCTACTTTCTTATTTTATAAAGAAAATTGCAAAATTAACGTCGCGTGAACACTAAATTTGAGCAATGCTCGTATTCAGTGAGCAATTCTTCAATTTCTTAATTCCTGACGACAATTTCATTACACATAAAATAAAACATAATCAGAAAAAGGACATCTTGTAAACTTAGATTCAAGTTATTAAACACGACAATTAAAAGTGTAATGTTTTATTAGTAAATAAAAGTAGTTTATTTTATTCCATAATTTTCTCTACACTTAAACTTACTGGTGTTCTTTCAATTTTCTCGTTACATATCTTATTACGCAGTGACACACTTGGGATTGTCACATGAATAGAGTTCAAGCAGACAACAAAAAGTTTTTATTATCCGTGCTTTTACGTACTTAATTTCGCTCGAAATTTGAGCGCGAATAGTTGATAGTGTTTTTCGAAGTGAAACCTGTACAGTTTATGGAACACCGTGTTACATTGTTGAATATTTAGTCTGCATTCGTAATTTTTCGAATATTGTTGACAAATTGAGCACTTTTAAATTCAAAATTGATTTCAAAATTTTGACTATTCAATACGATTCATGTTGAATCGGCATGTTTGGTCAGTTTCATTGTAGTTATACAGCCATTACATTTTTTAAAATTTATCAAATCATGTCTGTTAGTTAGAAAGTTGTAATGAACGACGTTCTAAAGTAGAGGGGCAAATGATTCGAAAGACATTTGTTTTTCCGATTGTTGATGTTTATTGACTTTTTATCTTTTTGGCGTGGTTCGTCTTTTATATTAAAAATTTCAAGCGACCACCCGCAAAGAACGGTTTGATCTTCGATGCTTGAAAGTTCATCTCGAATGAGTGAAAAGAAGTGCACACGGGAACTTGAAAATATGTTGGATAGTAGCATTGAATAATAGTAGGTAATTTGCTGATGTAATCAAGTTTTCAGTTTTGTAATTCTTAAAAGTCGTGCTCAAAAACAACGTCGTAGTTTGTACATTACGTCGTAGTTTGTACGTGGCAGAATTCATAGACTGTATGAAGTTGCTGAGAAGACAAATGAATGCTATGTCAAAGGCGTTTCGACCGAAGTCATCCGGTATTCAACTAACATTAAATTCCGAAAGTGATTCCGGTGTTCGGACGTGTTGTCATATCTTCGTCTTCCTTATTTGTCCGAGTTAATAGTCATGTGGCTTGTTAAAAACGGCTTTTTTCTTAGAAAGAATGGGCACATTAAATTACATTATCATGTTACATTTATGGGTTTTATGAAAACACAATTACCTCAAAACACACGCTGATAGTCCCCTTTATTTCGGGAAGCTCTATTCACTAGATTTGATATTTATCGATGCCCCCTCATTCATTCGCACATTACTGTAGAAACATCGAGTTTTAATATAATTTGCCTTGTATCTACACATTAACGACAGTTTTGAAGTCATTAACCTGCAAATCTTCGTGAATGAACAACGCGTAGGAAAGTACACTTAACCTCAAGTACTTGACGTGTTGGGGACGTCATAAGCCGACATACTTATAACCTGTCCTATCTTTGGCGTATTAGGTGACGTTCAGAACATTTTTGAAGTGAGTATAGTTTTAATTGCCTATGATTGGCCACCTGTAACACGTTTCTACTGGTTACCAAGTTGTTTTTGACTTTCCCAAACCTAAAGTGAGTTTAGAGTGCGTGCTTATACTTCATATTTTGAAGATAAAAGGTAGTTTGCGTGACTAACTTTTTTAATGAAAGGGTAAGTTCGATATTTGTTCGGGAGACAAACAAATACACATACAATTCTTTTGCAATTTGAAAAACCCGGAAGCACTCAAATTCTCCTAAAATGTTACTGGTGGAATCGTACCACGTGTCCATTGGGTTCGTTCACAAATATTCGTTCAAAATGGACGTTTCCGCTGAGTTATACTGTGACCAAAGTAAACATGAATTGAGCAAGTTTTATTTACATTTGTTGCCTATGAATCTGAAGTATGTGTCCGTTTCGTCCATTCTGTAAAAATCTTGCCAATAAATAAACTGACATGAATCAAGTTTCTTTGGTCGAACAGTTGAAGGAAGTTGTAAAAGCTCAAAATGAATCACTTCGGCAAAAGCACAACGAGATTAAAACGCTTCGTACGGAGAACTCTCGACTAAGCGCCCTAGTACAAGAACTGGAAATAGAAAATGAAGGATTAAAAGGTTTATTGGAAGCATTTCAGAAGGATAAGTGCACAAATGGACAAGTTAGCAACGGAGGAAAGAACGACGAAACTCAAAGGCCTCGGTTAGTACCATCAAACGTTTAAAGTACGTTGTCCTTTTTTAGTACTGTACAAGACGTTTTCCTACTGTCAGTTTAATGAAGTGATGCTTCGAAAAGACGAAGTTTGTCATTTGTCTAAAGCTCGAATTATTTTTTAGGAAAGCGCAAAGGTAGCATTCTTGTTTAGTACAGTGCTATAAGACTTCCAAGTAAACATTACCGGCGTTCGAAAGTTGCTTGACTAGTTGACTTTATTAGTTATTGTACCCTACCATCTATCGTTGCTTATCGTTAAAGCTTAGAATGCGGCAAGACATAAACACCAAGAAGTGTGACCTGATATTTAATTGTAGTAGAAGCCATAGACGGATGTAGTCATCGTCTCGTAATATCTCATACTCTCTCAAACCCGTCATTGTTTATACTTTAAAAAAATCTTTCTTTCTCGAACATGCATTGTTAACATTTCACAAGCAGTTGGAATTTACAGTTTAAATATCCCGCATGGCAATAAAATAAGGACATGTGTGGCGAAATATTTTTGAAATAGCAATATTTAATAATTAATTAAGCTCAAGCAGTTTGAATGGCCATGAACATGAATGATTGATCCTTTAGCGATTTTTATACACCCCCAAAAGCAGCCTTAGTCTTATTTCTAACTCCCGAGAGGTTTGTTTTCATTTTTACTTCTTAAATTTAGTTTCCCCTATGACGAACTATTTTATATTATATTTCTCACGAAAAGAGCTTGCCAGAGCGTAAAAAATATTCTGCTAGCAGTAAGGGGGCTGTTTTCCATTCTTTGCATGGATTTTGACGAAGATCAGTGTTTTGAGAAACTTTCTATGTGTCCCAGATTGCATGGCATATGTAGAAAATAGTAAAAATTTTGTTGAAAATACTTTAGTTAAGACGAAAAGCCGTGTTTTTCTGTCAGTAAAGCGAAAATTTTTGGAACAAAGAACTTCCTGTTCATTCATGACACACTACATGCAATGTGAATAACTTTAAAAGGAAAGGTTGAACCTATATGTCATTTGAATTTTTTTGATGACTGTATAAGAAATCATATTGTTTTATTACTGCTGTGAAAGTTTTACATTCAAGCTGAATGAGTACTTCAATGTATAGAACATGAACAATGATGACCTTACAATCAAGAACATTAATGCACTAGTTTATCAGTTCAACTTATGCTGTGACATTTTAAGTTGAGTGGAACTTATGGAAGTTACCAGAATGACTTGGAGAAGTCAAAATATTTCACTCATTTAAAGTTGCCTTACTTGTAACATGTGGACTAATAATGACCTAAAATTTTGGATGTTTGTTAGCTCTTATAAGGTGAGATTTGCATAGCATATAGTTACCCCAGTACTCCCTCAGCTCTACCACCTACGCACTTTCTCCCTCCTTGCACACTTCTTAATCTATCCAGTATATATGAAACTTTTGAAATTTACTAACAATCATTAATGGAAGATAATACACTTGGATTCTGTTGACTTAGGACAAGTGTGCTGTAATAATCTTCTATCAGTTGGTCGATACATATTGTTGGGGGTTGCGTAGTTACGTTCAGTGAGGTTTTCTCCTTGTATAGAGTAATAGCTTTGCATTGTGGTACATAGTGACAATTGCTCAAGGAGTAAGGAATCTTAACATAAACTTATAATAGCTAGCTAAACCAGCTTGCTAATTGATGCCTGCTATGCAAATATGTGTGTGCAAATCTGTAGCTTTCTTAAGAAATGAATAAATTGTAGTGGTCGAAAATTTACAAGGCATGACTAAAACTTGTGGGCTTGTTACCCTACGAGTCTAAGCTTTTATAAGCTTTGAGGTGCATTTACTGCATTATGATACATTGGTATTGACAGCTATGACACTCTACATTATCAAAGTGCATTGTGGTATACATGCAGTGTGGCCATACATACAAATGTTTTTACTAGATTTTGTTTGACAAGCTCAGACTTGCCCCCTGCTTTATATAGTTGCAAAATTTACAACAGGGGGGAGTGTTTAAGCTCATTTCACCAAATATGGTAAAATATTTGCATATATGATAACACTTTGCACTGTGCACATGTATCTGGTTCACTTGACACTTCAATATCTATGGCTTATCTCAGTTGTCAAGTTATGTGCTCAGCTGATTTTGTAAAAAAACATTACTTTCTCAACCTGATTATAAAGAATACAGAGGTGTTTTTCAATTCGTCACCCAAAGAATGGCATCGCATGGTTTTATGTAATGTTAAATCATTGCGATCAAGAGCGAAATAAAGCGAAAGATTACGTTCAGCCATCTCTGTAAGGGATATTGTTGAAGATAGAACCGTTCTTGATCATTTAATAGTAAGACGTACGATATTTAGAAATGGGGTACTAAGTGCTAATGATGTTTCATACGCTCCAGTTTTCAGATATGTGTATTACAATGTAATTAGCAGTTACGTTGATAATTTTCGATCAATTGACCCCAAAATAATGTTAATTTGTTAATTATCGCCGCAATTTACGTGTTTCGAATGTTTAGGCTTCTTCACCCAAAATTCACCTAACATATTTTAGTAAAAGCAACTTCGTGTTTTCGAACAACACGCATAGTTTTTCTTTATTTGGTAATTTAGAGATTCGCGTTATGAATAAATTCTTGAGATGATGGTTATTCGTTTGTATTGGAAATCACGAGTTGATTTGAAACCGGGTAGTCCACTAGTCTTTCGGTAATTTTTCGCTTATTGATTCGTCAGAAAGAGGAGATTTTCGGATTCCCGTACTCAAAAAATCTTTTTCTTTAGCGTTATGTACAGGGAAATTATCAAAGATTAAAGATTGAGGACAGTTCGTTGCAATAAATAATGAAGAAAAACATCTTGTGCTGTCATTATCATATGTTTGTTTATTTGCATTTCCAGAACTCTTGCTCTTTCGTCACCGCTCAACACGCCATCGTCAAATGTATTATGGAGTCCAGAAAAAGCGGGAAAAACTTTGATTGACGCCGATGGAAAACTCGGATATCGATAAAAGTTTCAAGTACGCCAAACGCGCGCTGCGCCTTGTCGCCGAAAAAACCGAGTTTTTCCGATAGGAAAACCCGAAATTCCTTTTACGAACTCTCTCCGGACATTTCCGACAAACATGTACAAATGCTCGAAAAGAAGTACGGTGGGAAAGAACGGGCACATAAAGCCGCAAAGATTATACAACAACAATTTCGACGTTGGTCAATGAAGAGGACTTACGCACGTTTACGGACACAGAGCGAAGCAAGACGATCATCGTGGAAGAGCCGACGTAGTCGGCGAAGTTCTTCACGCAGCCCATCTCGTTCCTGTAGCATAAGTCCTGTACGAAGTCCCAGCATAAACGACGGTACGGAAATGACGTTAAAGCTAGCACAAATTTCGGAGCAGAAATTAGGACAAAGCCCAAGCAGAGATGACTTGAAACCGATTTCAACCGATATTAATATTGACTCCGACTTTGAGCAGGTGCAAAGCGCGTCGGGGAAGCCATTAGTTGATATGTCTGTGCGCAAGGTCAGCGAGGACATATCGAGTATCGAGATTAGTAAGACTCTTTTGAATGATAGCGGGACAGCAGAAGGTTATTGATGAAGTATTCCAACAGATATTATTTAAGACAAAAGAAGGTGTTACCGAAGGATCTCGTAGTAATAGCTTAAGCTCGTTACGTGGTAGTCAAATCACCACCGTTGATGAATCTCCTGAAATATCGGTGGAAACATCCGGAGCACAGCTTGTCGAGGGAGTTGACTGTGAAGGTAATGCTGAACAGAGTACCGAGATAACAAAACAAATCTTGAATAACGCCGAAAGTGAGATTATAGACAACGGTGATGGTGTGAGTATTGATGATGTGAAAGGTGAAATTGTGGATAACGTAGATGGTAAAACTATTGATAATATGAAAGGTGAAACTGTGGACTACGTGGATGTCAAAACTATTGAGAATATGAATTGTGAAAGTACGGATAACGTAGATGATAAAATTATTCACAGTATAAGATCTGAACCTATGGATCACGTGGATGTTAAAACTGTTGAAAATGTTGAATGTGAACCTGTGGATGACGTCGAAGGTGAAATTTGTGCTCAAACTGATGACGTTGTTATGGCAAATAATGATGAAAGACCATCAGTATGTCATGATGAAATGATTGGAAATGATGCTCACCTCATTAATGAATCAAGTATGACACGAATCTATCTAAATATAGAACTTTTCTCTGGATTTTGTTTAGTCTTGTTTAGTGTGTTCATATCGGGCTGATTTGATCTAGAAACTTAAGTTCATGTGTGTTCTCCAATCTAGTTATTCATTAGGACTGATCATGTTGAAGCTTGAGTTATGTTCTGCCGTCTCTAGTACCTTCATCAGGACTGATCTGATGTTGAAGCTTGAGTTATGTTCTGCCGTCTCTAGTACCTTCATCAGGACTGATCTGATGTTGAAGCTTGTGTTATAATCTGCCGTCTCTAGTACCTTCATCAGGACTGATCTGATGTTGAAGCTTGTGTTATGTTTTGCAGTCTTTAGTACCTTCATCATGCGGGAATGGTCTGATGCTGAAGCTTTAGTTATTATGCTCTACAGTCTCTACTAGCTTCATCGTGAATGATCTTATGTTTAAATCAGTAGCAAAGCAATCCCGTTATTTACTCCTACAATGCAAACATTACTGTATTCAATCACTGCAAAAACAACGAAGGGAATAAATTTTCGAAGGAAATGAGTAATAATTTTGCCAAAAAATTTTGCCGTAAATAATTTTGCGAAAAATTTACGACTTTTGTCAAGTAGTAAAAACTGGACAGGCTTCGCCACTGGTTGAAACTTATATAAAGTATACAGAGATACTTTAGTCTGGTGAATTCACAGGAATGATTTGATGTCGAAGCTTATATTTTCCACTATTAATATTCTTTTGAAAACTATTCATTCTTACAAATTGTCTGCTCAACAAGGCTTTTTTTTTCTCTTCTCCAGAAGACAGTTTCGATAGCTTCAACGATAATCACTCACGCAGTTGGCCCGTCTTGAATCATTTGTATTCGGACGACACAAGCAGTCTGGGTGGCTGTAGTCTATCGCCATCCTCCAGTATTATGCAAACCTTTTATGAAAATAGGGCGAAAGACGTTCGTATCGGCATCAATCATTTTAACAGGTATGTTTTAGTTGACGATATTTCCATGTTGTCGTTTGAAAACTGTATCCACGCTTGAAGATTATCATGCATACAGCGTTGGCTCTAGAAAGTTTTTCATATTTTCTTATTTTGTATCTCGCGGAGAATTTGCCGTAAATACGGAGCATTTTTAGAATACACACGTATTAAACAATGTTGTGAACCACAATGCAACGCGCGTCTATTGTTCGTTTATATTCCTGCTAAATATGATAATTTCTTCCAAAACACGAGGATCTTTCTTATAGACTCTTTGACTATAGAAGTTTTGGTCTTCCTGTTGAAAGGCATGTTTTTAACCGTTAAGGACAGAGTTTTGAATAATTGTTTAGGAGCTGTTCACATGAGCCCAGTAGCTGGGATTCAGCGAAGCGTTAAATAATTTTGGCAAATCGAAAAGATTACTTTAGGATAAAATACTTCACAACAAAAAACTTATTTCAGCAATTTCTTTATGCTCTGAATTTGCAAATTCACAAAAACTTTAAAATGAAAACAAATAATTTAGCCTGACTTGAAAATTGCGACTAAAATGACATATGAGGCTTGTAAGAAAAGGTTGTAAGTTTTGCGCTTAAAGTTTTTACTCCTTTCAATGACTCAAACTCATTTCACGCCTCGCTGAATCCCGGTTGCCTGGCTCATGTGAACAGCTCCTTACTCACCCAAACAGATACGTTTATGAAAAATATCACTAGCAAGCATCTGAAAATACTGTATTGATCCCAAAACGACACAAATTTTTATTACATCCACAAAAGATGTATAAAATATCCAAGGAATACATACTAATACAACGTTTGTCTGTTTATTCAACGAAGAAAATCGCCTTAAAGATCATTTGAGGGCGCGTTGCACTGTGGTTGACAATGATTCTTTAAAACACAAGCCAGATTACATCGTGATATGCACGTTTTCTGTAAACTAAACAATATTTTTCAGCAATTCAATGGCAACTACTAACTGCGATGTGCGAACTCTTGTTTTCAGTACCAAATAATAACGCTTAGCGGGAAATTTCTAAGGCAAGGGAGTGAAATGCTTCATCCGGGATTGAAATTCTTCATCCGGGATTGAAATTCTTCACCGGGCCTGGTTGCTCCTCCCCATGCAATAATATTGATAACAATCTTACTCTTCATACGGCAGACGATACTTCAATGTATGTATTTACATAGAAAACCGAAGAAAGGGATGGATTATCTTGTGGACACCGGAGTACTTCATGAAGATGATGTTGAAGGGATTTGCAAGTTCTTGAAGGAGGAGCCTGGAATAAATAAACAGAAAATTGGCGATTATCTCGGTGACTTGAGAAACCCTCTCAGCATGATTGTGTTAAGGTGCGTACGTATATGCTTTTCACCTGTAGTACTTCTGCGTGATTGCATTTACGGTAGTTTCACTTGCTCGATAAAGGGTTCAACTGAATTCGACATGTTTTTTTCTCACTGTGGCAATATACAGGGTGTATGAAAAAAAACCCGAATTGTTTGGAAAACGTCGCTAAAGTCATCAGTGCTCAAGATTTGCAAAAACCTTTGGTGGAAATAGTTTGACTTGCAATGGTTCATCTGACAGTAAAATTTGCACAAATAATAACCATTTATAGAGTGGGAATTGTGTTACCGAGAAGTATTTTTGAAATAGCTTGCGCACGAATGTTACGCAGCTAAAAAGCAATTGGAACACGTAGGGTTAAAATATGGCACATGTTTCCCAGGCTTACAAAGTTTTAGGAAATATAATGCGTACGCGAACGTTTGGTTTTCAAGTTGCGGATTATTTTGAATTTTTCATAATATAAGAAAAATTCAAAACAATATATTCATCCTCTTAGAATCCTCGTCAATTATATGTAAATTTGATGTAAAGTGCAAAATAATCTGCAATTTGGGTGCCTAGCATTTGTGTGCACCCTTAGGCCAAATTTCAAGAAACTTTGTAAGCTTGAACAATATGTATCATATTTCAACCCTATGTGTTCCGATTGTGGTTTTTTTTGTCTTTTTTTTTGCGCAAGCTATTTCAAAAGTGCTTCCCGGTACCACAATTCCCGCTCTAAATTATTTTTATTATTTGGAAAAATTTTACTGTCAGATAAACCATCAGAAGTCCAACCAATTATTTCATCAAAGGTTTTTGCAGATCTTGCGCGCTGATATCTTTGGCGATATTTTCCTATCTGTTCAGTTTTTTTATACATCCTGTGTATTTGTATTGTCTTATCGCCTTACCTTACTATAATGACTTTCTGTTTCTTTTAGATATTTTGTTAAGTCCATGGTATTGGAAGGGAGAGAGGTCGACGATGCCTTGCGCCATTTTCAGACGTTTTTCCGCATGCCGGTGAGGAGAATTAATATAGAAATTAGCAATGAATCGCCCATTTCAACTAAGCAGTTGTATATGACGCTTGTTGATGATTATGACGTCTTTTCTCTCTTCGCCATGTTGATAGAAAAACCATGTTCATAGAAATGTACTATGTATGTCATGTTCCGATGTTCTCATCAGGAGTAATTTTTGACGTTGAACCTTAAAACCTTTATTATTCATATGATCCTTTCCACTGCGTACTCAACGCGTATTTTCATTGTCCGCCATGTTTGTAGAAAACCCATATCGTTAAACGTCTTTATGTTAATTTCATGTTTTGTTGATCATTGGCTCTTTTTAAGTAACTTACGTACCAACGTTGCTGCAATAAAGTCGTATGAAAACAGAAGATGAAAGCCTTTTATTTGTTTCTTTGTTTATCCGATTTCGATGCACAGTTTAAAAAAGCAACAACGTATTGTTAACTAACTAGCTAAACTACTTGTTGTAGGATTTATACTCCGTTTGTCAACACACTATGTAAGAACACTTACACGGTTTCTCTTATTTTCATCTTTAATTTTGACCAATTATAAGCAAGCTGAAGTCTGTAAATCGGACGTATCCAAAACGCATGCGCGTACTATTTCTGTCGACTAGTTGTTGTGAATGCCTAATCTTGTAAAAGTAAAATCGGAGCAGTAGATCGTCTAATTTGGATGCTTGATTCTCATGATAAACCTTTTTTATGTTTTACTCAAAAGGGAGAAGCACAAAAAATCGAAAGAATCGTCGAGGTATGTGTTGTGTTATGGAGTTATGAGAGGGGGGGGGGGAAGGGGAGAACTCTTATGAAATAATCGATTTTGTCTCGAAAAGAACTTTGTCTGGGTACTTTTCATTGCATGCACTCTTGGTGAGCAAGATTTCTACTTGTGGGGATATTTGTGCGAATTAGCGCTTTTTATCCATATTATTCATATTAGTTTGATTCGGTCTCGTGATTGTCCTCCAATACACTGGAAATTGTGCACTAAATTGTTTGACAAACCGACTATCGTTCATGTTAAGGACAACCTATGATGTCACCGATTATGACATCATATGACGTTGTGTGTTTAGGAATTCTCGAAGGCGTACGTGGATGCAAATCCGGACAAGGTCAGTAACAATCCCGACACCGTACTGGTTCTCTCTTTCGCCATCATCATGTTAAATACTGACCTGCACAGCCCGAACGTGAAGCGGAAAATGTCGAAAGAAGAGTTCATGCGAAATTTGAGAGGTCGGTGTTAAGATCGCAAAATGGTCTGAAAAGAGCGAAGGAACTAGCTTCCTTAATTTCTTGTTTTTTTCAGGTACGAATGATGGAGGCGACTTACCGTCCGAGCAGTTGTCTGCAATTTATGATCGTGTTGAGAAGGTAAACTTTTATATCTTTTATTTACGAGTTTCACATTACTTTGACTTTTTGAATGTTATACTTTAGAGAGAGTTCAGGACTGGCCCTGACAATCTTCATGCTATTCAAAAATATGAAAAGCAAATCTTGGGTAAAGTTCCTTGGACGGTAAGAAAGGAATTTTATAATATGTTTTAGTCGGGGAGGGGGCTTGTGTGTGTGAGGGGACATGAGTGTGTGGGGGGGGGGACATGAGTGTGTGGGGAGGATAGTAAATATCGTTAATAGAGAATATATTGCTATTGTTTGTATTAGAAATGAACTTGTTGTCTTGCTTAACTTATCTACATTGGCTTGGCTTGTTTTAAAATAAAACGTATTCCGAAAAAGAGCATCTTGTGAACTTAAATTCAAGTTATTAAACAAGACAATTGTCTGATGATGGTTTTGAACTAAAACCAAAATTTCACACTTTTAATTGTCTTGTTTGGTAACTTGCATTTAAGTTTACAAAATGTCCTTTTTCAAATTATGATTTATTTTATGCCTTATGAAATTGTCGTCTTGTCAAGGATGGCCTAGTTCTCCCCTCCCCTTTTCGTCATTTTTCTTTACTTTTCCTAATTGCTCAGATAGTTGTCCTAGTTGATGCGATTAGGGAGGGGGGAGGTGAAGAGACTACTTAAGAACAATACTAGATGGAGTTGCTAAAATATTATGCTAGCTGGATAAGGTGCCCTGCATCAACTAGTCTCAGTATTCTTTTAATCAACTGTGAACTGTGTTTTATTTTCCAGACACTAGCACTTCCACATCGTCAACTACGACAGGTCACTACGCTTTACGAAATCCAACAAGGAGGTAGAAAGAAAGAGAAACCACATCACAGAGTTGTCTTCATTTTTAATGATTTGTTAGTGGTAAGTTGATATCTTCGATCGCAACCGTTTCCTTCTTACATTATCTAAGCTAGAAATAACCTTGGTTAGAAATAAGTATAGTGGTAAGTTGATATCTTACGTTGCATTCATGATCGCAACCGTTTCCTTCTTACATTATCTAAGCTAGAAATAACCTTGGTTAGAAATAAGTATAGTGGTAAGTTGATATCTTACGTTGCATTCATGATCGCAACCGTTTCCTTCTTACATTATCTAAGCTGGAAATAACCTTGGTTAGAAATAAGTATAGTGGTAAGTTGATATCTTACGTTGCATTCATGATCGCAACCGTTTCCTTCTTACATTATCTAAGCTAGAAATAACCTTGGTTAGAAATAAGTATAGTGGTAAGTTGATATCTTACGTTGCATTCATGATCGCAACCGTTTCCTTCTTACATTATCTAAGCTAGAAATGAGATTGTGAAATAATCTTTTGTATAACTCCTCTTCACTTTCATTTCCTTTCTCTTTCATTCTTTACATTTGCTCCTGCCAACCCCGGTCTTTACCCCTCCGTCTTGCATCCTCTACAATCCTTGGCAATAAACAATATATTCGCGTATTTAAAGAAATAATCCTTTTTCTCTTTTTCCAGGTGACCAAAGAACGTGGACAAGCTGGACAAAAGGGAATTCACTACTATAGTTACAAGAGCTCTTATCAACTCATCGACATCAAATTTGCTCTCTTTCGCACTAATTGTAAGTAAACTATGCCTTATTTCGATCTATGTGTGCATCAGTGCAATTTGCAGCTTGTGAGCTTTTAAAGATTATTTGGCAGAATGACAGTATGCATGCTACTTGTGTATATAGCCATGAGAACTATACGATTGTACTTGGAAGTTATATTTCCAACAAATTAGCCATGAGAACTATACGATTGTACGTGGAAGTTATATTTCCAACAAATTAGCCATGAGAACTATACGATTGTACTTGGAAGTTATATTTCCAACAAATTAGCCATGAGAACTATACGATTGTACTTGGAAGTTATATTTCCAACAAATTAGCCATGAGAACTATACGATTGTACTTGGAAGTTATATTTCCAACAAATTAGCCATGAGAACTATACGATTGTACTTGGAAGTTATATTTCCAACAAATTAGCCATGAGAACTATACGATTGTACTTGGAAGTTATATTTCCAACAAATTAGCCATGAGAACTATACGATTGTACTTGGAAGTTATATTTCCAACAAATTAGCCATGAGAACTATACGATTGTACTTGGAAGTTATATTTCCAACAAATTAGCCATGAGAACTATACGATTGTACTTGGAAGTTATATTTCCAACAAATTAGCCATGAGAACTATACGATTGTACTTGGAAGTTATATTTCCAACAAATTAGCCATGAGAACTATACGATTGTACTTGGAAGTTATATTTCCAACAAATTAGCCATGAGAACTATACGATTGTACTTGGAAGTTATATTTCCAACAAATTAGCCATGAGAACTATACGATTGTACTTGGAAGTTATATTTCCAACAAATTAGCCATGAGAACTATACGATTGTACTTGGAAGTTATATTTCCAACAAATTAGCCATGAGAACTATACGATTGTACTTGGAAGTTATATTTCCAACAAATTAGCCATGAGAACCATACGATTGTACTTGGAAGTTATATTTCCAACAAATTAGCCATGAGAACTATACGATTGTACTTGGAAGTTATATTTCCAACAAATTAGCCATGAGAACTATACGATTGTACTTGGAAGTTATATTTCCAACAAATTAGCCATGAGAACTATACGATTGTACTTGGAAGTTATATTTCCAACAAATTAGCCATGAGAACTATACGATTGTACTTGGAAGTTATATTTCCAACAAATTAGCCATGAGAACTATACGATTGTACTTGGAAGTTATATTTCCAACAAATTAGCCATGAGAACTATACGATTGTACTTGGAAGTTATATTTCCAACAAATTAGCCATGAGAACTATACGATTGTACTTGGAAGTTATATTTCCAACAAATTAGCCATGAGAACTATACGATTGTACTTGGAAGTTATATTTCCAACAAATTAGCCATGAGAACTATACGATTGTACTTGGAAGTTATATTTCCAACAAATTAGCCATGAGAACTATACGATTGTACTTGGAAGTTATATTTCCAACAAATTAGCCATGAGAACTATACGATTGTACTTGGAAGTTATATTTCCAACAAATTAGCCATGAGAACTATACGATTGTACTTGGAAGTTATATTTCCAACAAATTAGCCATGAGAACTATACGATTGTACTTGGAAGTTATATTTCCAACAAATTAGCCATGAGAACTATACGATTGTACTTGGAAGTTATATTTCCAACAAATTAGCCATGAGAACTATACGATTGTACTTGGAAGTTATATTTCCAACAAATTAGCCATGAGAACTATACGATTGTACTTGGAAGTTATATTTCCAACAAATTAGCCATGAGAACTATACGATTGTACTTGGAAGTTATATTTCCAACAAATTAGCCATGAGAACTATACGATTGTACTTGGAAGTTATATTTCCAACAAATTAGCCATGAGAACTATACGATTGTACTTGGAAGTTATATTTCCAACAAATTAGCCATGAGAACTATACGATTGTACTTGGAAGTTATATTTCCAACAAATTAGCCATGAGAACTATACGATTGTACTTGGAAGTTATATTTCCAACAAATTAGCCATGAGAACTATACGATTGTACTTGGAAGTTATATTTCCAACAAATTAGCCATGAGAACTATACGATTGTACTTGGAAGTTATATTTCCAACAAATTAGCCATGAGAACTATACGATTGTACTTGGAAGCTATATTTCCAACAAATTAGCCATGAGAACTATACGATTGTACTTGGAAGTTATATTTCCAACAAATTAGCCATGAGAACTATACGATTGTACTTGGAAGTTATATTTCCAACAAATTAGCCATGAGAACTATACGATTGTACTTGGAAGTTATATTTCCAACAAATTAGCCATGAGAACTATACGATTGTACTTGGAAGTTATATTTCCAACAAATTAGCCATGAGAACTATACGATTGTACTTGGAAGTTATCTTTCCAACAAATTAGCCATGAGAACTATACGATTGTACTTGAAGGTTATATTTCCAACAAATCAGCCATGAGAACTATACGATTGTACTTGAAGGTTATATTTCCAACTTTTTTTAATCTTTGGTGGCGAAACTAAAGCACGAAGTATTCAACGGTGGTCTATCTATTTTTCATAACTATACAATTTTGTTTCATGTTTGCGTCCTGCGATGTTTGATGCCAACTGCACTTTTCATGCGTTTTACCGATGAAATTTTATGGGTCACTAAGAATAGAGATCGCACAGTTTATAGATCACACACTTTAAGATCACATCACGGAGTTCGACTGAAGATCTTCATGAATTGATGTATTGTTTTTTTATTTTCCTTTTCAGATTTTAAATACGGTGTGCGAATCATTAGCAAAATCAATGACGAAGTAGGTAGCCGTTTGTGCTAAAAAAGTGATTTATAAAGATACTTATACTGAAGATTAGTTGTTTTGTCAGCAATGTAAAATGCGCAAGCTCCTGAGTAATGTTGAACCTAAGAACTCATGTTTTATTTTTTTAAACGAAATGATTGCTATTGCTATAAGCTGTATAAGGAAAAAATAGACAGTTTTGAAATGCTTAGTGGACTGTGAATTTCGGGAAAATGTCGCATGGATTTGTGGTAGTATGGGCACTTTAATATCCTCAGTGCAATGCAACTCTTAGATTAAACAGGAAATTGAACCTCGAAAAACAGGAGAGCGGTTGCCAAAACTGAATTTTTATACAAGCAGGAATGAAGTGATGAAAATCAGTTTTGATTTCGTGGAATGAAGATTTTGGTCTTTAGAATTTCAGAAAATTTAATGAAGAGCATAAGTACGCCGCGCATATGTATAAACTTGAGTTAAATTTCTTAAAATTGTTTACTTTTTTTATACTCTGTATAATCGAGATAAATAGCATTTGATGTTTGTAGATGTAGATCGTCCATGTTAGTAGAGTTCTGAGAAGGACTGTTCGTGTTGATGTTGGCTGACGTTTCGGCAACCTTAGCAGTTGCCATCTTTCCTTTTTATTTTTAGTGTTAGATTGAGCTGAGGATGCTTAAGTGTCTACACTACCACAAATCTATTAGATAATTCGCCGTATTTGAATGCTGTCTGGTTCATACGTCATCGTTCAAACCATTCACTTTACGATAAATATTTCCCCATGATACCATGATAATGGTCGAATATACGCTCCACCCCACCCCCCTCATTCTCAATTTTTGTCACCTTATGGTTCATAGTCAACGTCACAACGTCCAATCGCTCGACTTACCTTCAATGTTAATTTCACGTATTATAGGTTCTTATCAATTTTCATGCAAAGAAAGAAGATATACGTTCGACATTTGTCAACGAGCTTCGCGACTGCATCGAAGAGGTGTGTATATTCATGTTCTTTAATGTTTGCTGTATCCAGTGGAGAAGAAAGCACAAATTTTAAAAACTACTATGTGGTTTTCTTAGCGAAATAATTGGTCATTTCTGGAGAAAATTATTTTTATTCATTATCTTTCCAGTAAACGCCTTCTCCATTTATTCCTTTTCTTTATCAATTTCAAGTAATATTACGATGCTAGTACACTTGGAAAATATTTGAATTTTCGAGTTTTTTCAAGAGAATGCATTAAGCGATCCAATATTGTGTTAGATGCTGCTTTCATGATAACGGTATAATGAATGTCATTGGTTTAAATCTCAGTTTGGTTTACACAGACGTCTTGGAAGATTACTTGAGCCAGTGCAAACACATAAAAAACATTTTTTGTTTCTTTCATGAAATAACAATAATGCAAAACAGATTGATTTAAAACAATTTTTTAATTTACCCTCTAACATCTATTCATGATTGATTTGCAAACTGTCTATGATTGATTGAATTGACTGAGCTCGGTTTACAAAAGCTAATGCTAACTTAGCTATAGACCAATCAGCGCACTCGTTTTATTTTCTTTATTTTATATTTAGACCTGCACGATGGAGAATGAAAGGATAGGTAAGTGATCCCTTTTGATCCCCACTAATATTTACTCCTTTAGGCGCCTTAGATCCAGTGCTTATTCAGGGCATGGGCACAGAATAGACATCTAACAGAAGGCCCACTCGGCTAAAATCGTGGCGTAGTTTTTCACTACGCATGCGTGACTTCCCAGCAAGACACTTTCACAAAATCAATATGGAATAGTATTGCACGAGAATGCTATTTTACTACTAATAATTCACGTTTAAAGCACAAAAGTTTGCCGAAATTTTTACAGAGTTATCATCTTGCGAAGAAGAAAAGGTTCCAAGCTTTTGTAGTGCAAAACTGTATATTTGTTAAAACATCTATATTTTCTATTGCAATATAGCTGAACATCAAGGTTCCGACACGAGTGGACCTTCTGTTAAGATATCTATTCAGGGTGTGGGGGTGCGCTTTTTGCTCTAACTGCGGTGCTCAATGAAATAAATTCATTTCGATTTTGTAGCCGAGCCAGAACTTTTCGTATGCGGGCTGTTATTTGATGTAGCCTTGCTTTACGATCAGTAGTTTCTAACTGTTTCATCAAATACGTTGTCCATTTTTGTACACTGTACTGTAAAATTTCCATTTGACCACATGACGTAACTGCCACATGTCACGTGACGTAACTACCCACATGTCACATGACGTTACTGCCATCATGTCACATGACGTATTCTACCACATGTCACATGGCGTAACTACTAAATGTCAAATGACGTAACTGCCATCATATCGCATGACGTAACTACCCATCAGATCACTTCGTCATTGTTTCATTTACCGCGGGAGCGAAAGTTCCCCTTTAAATCTTAAACTTTAACGTGCACGAAAGTGCTACCTTGTCATTCTTTCATTTAGCGGGCAAGAAAGCTCCAGCAACGATCAGTTTTGGTCGTCGAAACCTTGACGACACAATATCGATGACTTTGCTTCGTTCTAACTCCAATGGATTAAAAGATGTTGCTCCTGATACACTGAGTCTCGTCAACGCGCCAGGCTCCATCGCCATGCATGGCCAATATATGGGAAGTAGTCTTCTCTCCAGTTCTTTACAAGATCTTCATCAGACAGGTGATATATATGTGACAATGCAATTTTTTGTGACGTGTATTAATTGCATCATGGAGTCAATGCACATTTGTCAAGGTGCGTGCATCATTGTCCTAGCTAAAGGTGCGAGGGCCTTGGGTTATTGTAGATTTATAGGCTTGCATACACGTACGGGGGGCGGGTCAATGCACATTTGACAAGGTGCGTGCATCATTGCCCTAGCTAAAGGTGCGAGGGCCTTGGGTTATAGTAGATTTATAGGCTTGCATACACGTACGTATATGAATCTTGCGTAATAAAAGTGTCATTAGCCTCTTACGATTTTTTATGTATTATAAATCTTAGTTGGTGTAGCTGTACAGTACTTCCTTAAATAATCAACAAAGCTTCATATAAATTATGTATTCAAATATTGGCCTGTTTCAAACGTCGCATTTTACATGAGCGAAGTTTTCATGAATACAACAGTTGCTTTCACACATGACAAACCAAGGACAAGAAAATAAAGGGCGAAAGGAGTTGACATGACAAAGTGACAGACCACTTTACGTTTAGTAATTTATTTCAATTTTAATGTTTACATGAAAACGCGCATGTATAAAATATGTAATTGCCTTTGAAATGATAAGTTCTATTTCTTACTTAGTCTTACTGTACATTTTCCTAGCCTCCAAAACTACTATAATAATAGTCTACAGTACGTAATGCAGTTTTAGAATTTTTCTTTTTGGGGGTGCTGCAAAAATCTGCCCTGACTTGCATCATTATTACGAGGTGTATAACACACAAATAAATCCTCTTCCCCATACAAGGACAGACCCGAAATGAAACTGGGCTGTGTTGCTACGAAATAATTCTTGTTTCGTTGCTCATCTAAGTGATTAAGACAAAATTGTCGAACACCATTTGAAATTGTACTAGTATTTATGTACCCAGAGCAAGTTTGGAATGTTTATATAATAAATTATAACAATAGGACTGAGTCAATGGTTTGAACCCTGGAGTATCGTTACATTGTAGTTGTAGATTGTCCAGGTTAGTTGAGTACTGAGAAGAATTGTTCACTGTTGGTGTTGTGTGACGTTTTGCCAACCTTAGCGGTAGATGTTTTCGTCATCATTTACAGCTAATGTTGTCAAAACGTCACTCAACACCAACGCCAACAGTCCACAACTGAACTCCTCTGATCTGGACGATCTTCATTTGCAAACATGCAACAGCAGAATACTGTCTCTAAACTCATCGTTCATTCTCGTAGAATATTATACGTTAGTTACAGAAATTCGTATGCTGATTGTAAGTCGTCGTAATTAATTAATCAGCATTGCTTGAAGAGTATTCAAATAGATTATCAACGGCTAACTCTTCGTTTTCTCTTCTTTCTTGTTATCAGATGGCAATTTCTACGATGAAAACCTCCAGAAGAGTACAAGTATGGCGTCGTTTGATTTCGGCGGAAGCGTAAGTAAAAGTCATCGTACTTCATTATATTATCAAGAAATTTAAATGATCTTTTATGTCAACGCACAGTTGTACAAATTAATTCAACACTGATATGAAGAGCTTAAATGATGTTGGATTTGGCTAGAATTTTTGTCCATCAAGTGAAACTCCTGGCATGCAATATATGAAGGCTAACATATTTTCACAATAATTTTATATTCTATGCGAGTTTCACGGTCTTACTGATTTTGCCTCATATTTTACGACGCTAGAACTGTTCTAAATTTGAGTTACTTTGTACTACTCTGTATGTTCGAGCGGTACCTCCATGTTGAAATGTGTTACTTTTGTACCTTTGTGTTACTCTGTGTACCCTAGCGGTACCTTTGTGCAGTTGTTTATTTTGACTTGTTGCTACTTTGTACAGTTTGTCCTTGAGCATTAACACTGTGTATTTGCGTGTCCCTTAGCGATTTCTTTGTGCATCTCTGTGTACCTGAGGGAACCTTTGTGTAGTTGTTTGTCCTTGAGTTGTGTCTCTGTGTACCTGAGGGAACCTTTGTGTAGTTGTTTATCCTTGAGTTGTGTCTTTGTGTGTCTCTGTTTACCTGAGGGAACCTTTGTGTAGTTGTTTGTCCTTGAGTTGTGTCTTTGTGTGTCTCTGTGTTCCTGAAGGAACCTTTGTGTAGTTGTTTGTCCTTGAGTTGTGTCTTTGTGTGTCTCTGTGTTCCTGAAGGAACCTTTGTGTAGTTGTTTGTCCTTGAGTTGTGTCTTTGTGTGTCTCTGTGTTCCTGAAGGAACCTTTGTGTAGTTGTTTGTCCTTGAGTTGTGTCTTTGTGTGTCTCTGTTTACCTGAGGGAACCTTTGTGCAATTGTTTGTCCTTGAAATGGGCCTCTGTGTGTCTGTTAGTCTTTGAGGATTTTCATTTTGTATATGTGTGTTCATGAGAAATACCTTTGTGTACATCTTCGTTCTTGAGTTTTAACTTTGTGCTGCTGTGTGCTTGGGCAGTACCTTGGTGTTGTTGTCTGCCTTACACCAGTACCTTATTGTTGCTGTGTGTTCTTAAGCAGTGTCTTCGTGTTCCCATCTGTCATCCATCAACATGTTGAGTTGTTTGATTAATTTATGCGTTATATTACTTTTATTTTTTCTGATTTCTGCTGAAGAAACATCATTTAAGCTGTGTCACTCTCATCTGTATTATAGCAAAAAAAGGTGTTTATTCTTCACCATTGTCAAATTCATTTTTACACACTATTAATACTGTATATTTTATAAATAGTTTTTTCCCGTTATTTGTACTTTAACTTGCTGGACAATGTTACAACTCATACGTAGCCATCACACAAGAATTAATATATATCAAACCTCCTTTCGTCAACACATGGAACATAGTAGCTATTTGAACGTTTATATTCAACGAGCATAGTATTTCAACGTTTTTGAACCAAATGGTAATGTTGTATTCCGTGGTCTTTTCTAATGTAAAATGTCTTGGTGTATGACACTTATGCTATGCTGCACCACACGTACAAAATATGAACAATACTTATATTATAATTACGCAATACAACACAGGGTAATTCTCTGAAATTGATCCCGCATGCAAACATTTTAAAACTCCTTGTATGATGCGGTATATGTTAATATGTCCATTTAAGTTTAAATTAAGGTTATTGGATGTAGTATTTCATTTATTTTTTATTTTTTTGCCTTGCCAATGCTCATCAAGTAAGGCACTGCTCGAAAAGGTCTTGAAAAACGTCAATTTTTGTGGGTTACACACGTGATGCAGTGATGCCTTTGTATCTCTGAGGTCACACATGTGATGCAGTGATGCCTTTGTATCTCTAAGGTTACACATGTGACGCTGAGAAAGACAGTGAAAAACATCAACATGTTTTCAGCTAAAGTTACCCTAAGGTGTAATAAATATCACAAACTTCATAAGGTCTTCGTTATTTGTAGACACACTTGGAGCTAGAAATAACTACAGAATTACACTAGTGACGGGAGAATTGCCCTTCGTGTTTTATGTTACATAATTTATAATACATATATGTTATTTATGGGCTGGGGGTCCGTACTGAAAAAATATTTTGATGGGATCTCAGAAGTTGCCAAAGGCCAAGGGACGCTTCTGTTGCCGAGAGAAAATATTTTTTAAGTAAGGACCGACCTTAACGGTAAATGACGTTTTTAATGTTGTGATTTTTATGATTAGGAAATTCACTTTGTAAAATGGTGTATGTATGTGACCTGTTGAGACTAAAATTGAATTATTTTCTACAAAGTTTGCTTTGATGACTAGTAAAATTCGCTCTCTCTGTGATAACTACCTTCTGAACACATTTCGCTATCTCCTTGAACAATTTACACGTCTTTAAAATTCACATCTCACTTTGTAATTATGCAAAAGATAAAAAAGCGAAAAGATAAAAAAGAAAAAGATGAAAAAGCCGCCTGGAAAAAAGCAGCCCGCTAAAAGTTTCACTAAGCATATATAACTAAAAAATAAATAATACTTATTTCTATGTTAAGTAATCTTTAGTATTTATCATAACGATAACATACCTCAGGACATTGATTAAGCTCTCATGCTCAGCGCTTCTGAAATAGTTTCAAATGTAGTCTGTAAGATTCTGCTCAAAATGAAACACTGTAGAAAACTCAGTTATTTTGTCGGACGTCTATGCAAGTTTCAATCAATCAAGATGGTTTTATGCCGTCCTAGAACTAAAAGTAGCACTTGACTTGACGTGCTATAGAGCAGTTATGTCACGTCTCATACATTATCATAATATTGCATGATACACCTCAGGAATAACAACATGAAGTAACCATTCATTTTGGAGTATTATGTCACGTGGTCCTTTCAATACCGCTAAAAATAGTGTTGGATGCATTCCAGGAAGTGTAACATTAATGTAGCTATCTGATTTCGAATAACATCTGATTTCGATTTCGAATCATGCCCTTTCTTTCTGTAATGTGCTCATGATCCAAGGTTTATAAAAATAATTCAGGATGATTCTAGAGATTCACAAATAACTACTAATTTGGTGTGGAAAACCACAGACCGCTATTTTAGGTTTTGGAACAGACTTTATACTAACATACAGTAAAGGTAGCATTTTGAAAGATGGGCCCAAACCTCTGACTTGGTTCAATATGTGACATTGCGCTCTCTTGGCTTGGACACTTCGTCGTTCATATGTTTCGATGTAAGTCTTGCCTAGCTCTAGCTGCACCGTTCATTTTGCACTAGCCATAACAGCACCTTATATAAAGTACTACCTGTAACTGCACAGCATGCGTACCGCTGAGGCTGAATATAATCGTGATTTCGCGTTCATTTTGAATAGAACTGTTTGTCGTATGGTCTTTGTAAAGGCGTTTGAAAAGGACATAGTTTTAGCTGCTTACAACTCAAGACATCGATATGCGAAGTTTAGCTAAGAAAGTAAAAAAACATCATTCAAGTTGCGTCTTGCTGAAGCTTGCTGTCCGTCGCTAAGCTTCGTAATGATAGAATGAATATCTTCTATTCAAAGGCGTCATTCAGTTTGCTACGACTTAATGCACATTTACAATATTTAGGAATTTAAGATGTTTAGTATATCCTGTAAATATATCGTTTGGAATGTCAGTTTCGCAAATAGTGAATTGCCCTTATAATGATAAAAAGTAGAAATGTAAAAATATTATTTTGTTGGAAATTGGCAGAATTGTCATGTGATCTTTTTATAGGACACAACTTCCGGTATCGGCTCCGATCTTTCATCTTCAAACGGTTCCGTTCAAAATGTGACCAAGCGATTCAGTCTTTTAACCCGAAGCGCGCGTTGAAAAATCCCATCCAAAGAAAAATGACAAAATCAACTGGAAGCTTGGAGGAAATCAAGATTCCTCATCACAAAACTAGTTCCACTTCTGAACAGCGGAAGTCAGAGTTTTTCATCGCGTCCCCGCCGATGGTCACGTGACGACATGCTCTCATTCGTGGCGGGAAGAAGCGTGGACGTAAGTTTAGGTTGCGTTGTGTTTGGTTCGGAAGCCTTCGTCTGGTGAAGTAAATTCGCATGTGTCGTTCGTGTTCTTAGCAATTTATCGTTGTTAAACTAATATCACTCGCGTGATCGAAATCTTGGCACACTTATGTACACTATTTTACGCAATAGTCCCCCTGCTTATCTAAGTAGGGTTCACAATTCAGGGGGGATTTCACGACAACAACAACTGTAAAGACATAAATACTTGTAAAGAATTTTTGCTATATATCTTAATCAATCGTCCGGAGTCATAGAACTCTGATGCTTTAAAATGATTTGCACGTTAAATAATGGTGCAAAGCAAAATGAGTTGTGAATATGAATTATTCAATTGTTAAATGATTTATTTCGTTAGAATACTGCAAAATTTGTTGGTCGTTGTTTGAAGAACTTTATACACAATAGTTTAGGTCGTTGTTTGAAGAACAATGCGTGATGTACTTTATCCACAATGTCTTAGGTCGTTTTCCAAAGAGTAAATTTTCGCTTTAAGTTGATGTAGTTCTCCCACGAGATACTTTGATCTCGCCGTCGTTGCATGAACATTACGTAATACTTCTTGATCGATATCGCCATCCACCGGCACATCAACGGTCACCTGAAAAAAAAGGGGCATCATAGTTTACCGGAGCTCCGACAATAATAGGCATGATCACACCTGAATTTCACACTAGGTCGAGACACTTAAACCCCAGTAAATCTAGACGTAAGAGATTACTTTTACTGACAATAGAATGTACTTAAGTTACGACTTAAGCTTAGTCAAGACTGTAAAAGAAATCCGATTGCAATAATCGGTTGAGCCAGAGCCAAGATATCAGATATCATGGCTATTATTGAATCACTATTCTTAGATAACGAATTCCTTATGTGAAACATGTTCCGTTTTTATCTTACCTTGAACAAATGTTTTTCGACATTTTTCAGTTTATTTCTCAATATTTTGATATCATTCTTGAATCCTTCAACCTCCAGCGCTCTTCGCTTCTCCAACGCTGCATATCTTTGATTCATTAACGCTAACCGTCTGCTAACTTTATCGTTTCTCTCCTTGAAAAGCTCTCGTCCAACGTCCGTTTCCTCCTTCACTCTACCTAGCTCGTCTTCAAGGCCTATGCATTGTTCTCTGTACATATCGGCGAGTTTTTGAGATTGTTGCACTTGCTCCTTTAGCGAATGGATCGTTTGAAGTTGTGCGACCTGGGATGAAAAAATTTAGAGTCGTTTTTGCACGTTTTTGAACAACGTAAATATTTAACACTTTCTGTACGAGATTGAACTAAAACTGTGAGACATTTTATCTGCAGACTGTTGTATATACTGCTTCAAATTGTACCAAGATATACCTATCTATCTAAAGTGTTCGAGGTTTAACTGGTCTATGTCTAGTCGAGGTTTAACTAGTCTAGTCGTGCTATATGTAAACTTCAGGAGCCAGTTGCACGAAGACTGGGTAACGTTATCCATTTGATAGTAAAAATTTCAAACTTGTAAAAAAGTTGTTTGTATTTTTCTTACGACATAAAAATGTTTGCAGTCTTGGAAGAAATATTTTCTTTTAGTGAATGCTCATTTCAAATTTTATATTTTTCTCTTTAAGAGGTTTTTCAAACGTTCAAAAAAAATTGTTATCCAGTGGATAGCGCTATTCGGTCTTAGTGCAACCGGCCCCTGATTATGAATCATAGAATGAGTGTCCGCCGGCTACCCGACCGACTGCCGTTACCTTGTCTTTGGCGTTCTCACATATAAACAAGTTCAGATAGCACGCGTTCAACATTGTGCTGTATTTTTTCCTAATGATTTAGTCCCATAATCGTACAGCTACTTATATAGAACTAGGGATATCAACAACCTGGCCCGGTAAATTTTCAAATTTTGGGGGGGTACCTGCGAGACTATAACATATCCCAGAACGTACCTGAGGTTCAACAGACATCCCTGTTGCCTCCAGTACGCTGCTACCAGAAACATCGACCTGCTTACGAAAATGTTCGATTTCCTGTACTAATCTATCCCTATCCATCATCCATTGTCTCTCGCGTTCCCTCAATTCATATTTAAGCTCGAGGAAGTCTTTCGTGCTTTGGTACAGAAGATCCTGAGTCTTGTGAAGTTTTTCTGTTAAACTCTTGACTTTGTCTTGATCTCGTTCCGTCGAAGCGCTATACTCTTCATTTCGTACGCGCCTGTCTTCTTGCAACGCGTCAATTTCTTCGCGAGAAAGTTTCGTTTGTTCCTCAAGCTGCGCTTGAAGCGACTCAATTTGTAATAATAACGTTTGTTGGTCTCTCTCTTGTTCAGTGGCGTTTCCTGTCTCCAACAACTTTTGTTTCGTTTGCTCTACACAAAACAACGAGTGAAATATTATCTCGCTTTCTAAGAGCCTACGGCCGATTTAATACCAATACAAACAGTACACTTAACTTGTTTTTTGTTAGTGTAACGAAAAGTTGTAATGAACCAAGTTTGAATAGCGGTAATCGCTTGTTAACACATTGAAGAACTTGCATTTTTACCACTTTACATTATTCATCTATCTTCCACATTACAAAACAAAGAGTTATTTCAGGTAATAAACTTAAATCCACTCTTGAATGGCATATTAAATACCCTGGTGAGAGGCATGAAAGCCTTTAATTGTCAAACGCAATGCATTTCGGGAAACTACTCCGTCAGACGTCTTTTTCTTAAAGCAGGCGTGGAACCCGAGGAGAAAGATTTCATACCAATCACCAAGGCATCTAATACACTATACAAATAAGTGTATCTTCTATATATTTATATCCTTTACTGCACGCTGTAGGACAGAAATTTTCGTATTGGTCAACATCAGGTCGACAATTCCGTTGGAAAGCGCTATTTATCTCTTCTACAACCGACCTATTAACTACATTAAGAGTTTAAAGGCAACTGATTACACAAGAGAAGTTGCTGCATTTTGAAGTTAAAGTCTCGGAGCTTAAGCCAAGAAAAGAATTCTCTTCATAGATTACTGCATGGAAAACGCACGAGTTACATGCGAATCAAACTTCAACAGAATTGATTTGAAAATCACATTGTCCGTAAGTTGATATGAAATTGGAAACGCGAGCGATGTAAAGACTTGACTTGCTCATTTCTATTACTATATCAGATTGACGAATCGAGCGTTATTAACCATAATGCATTGGTCGCGGTCGTCATTGTGAATCTTGATAAAATCTATCTCCTTTACATTTACAATGATTCTTTGAGCAAAGGATTCTCTTTACGCAAAGAACCAAAATCACATTATGCGGTTTTTTCTCTTACCTATACCTTTTTTATGTCCCCCGGGTCCCCTGCCTTCGAGCAAATTTCTGTCTTTTGATTTTGAGTGTTTAGCATGTTTCACGACGACGGGTCTCTCAGACGTCTTCTTCCTAAAATACGTAATCTCTCCTCCAGGCGGATGTGACAATGTGAGCAAATGTTGTATTTTCTTCCTGTCCTCGACCTCGCGTATTTTCAGGCGATCATTTTCCGCGTACAATCTTAGAACGTGCTCCCTTTCTTGAAAGAGATACACCTGCATATCGCTTAGCGCCTTCTGCAGCTCTTTGATTTCATCCTCCCGTTGGCGCATCTCCCACTGCATCTTGTGCTAAGGGTTGGGTAAGAATTAAAACTTTCAATAATGCAGGGACGGGTCTACCCCACGATAATAGAAAAACGTGAAGAAGTATGCAGCATTAGGTTTAAACCGAGGTTTAAACTGCAAACGGCACAGCCGCATAGGAGATAAACTGGATTTCTTCTCTGCCAACACTCCACAGTAAGTGAACGAATAAAAACCTACAACCTCTGTCCGGAGCCGTACATATATGACTTGATGATGGTTGAATATGATAAAAATGCGCAAAGTTTGTTCATTTATTTTAGCATTGATGTGCTACAACATTTTACATACCAACCTGTTCTTCATAGGTGCATTTATACTGTTCTAACTTTCTTGAAACTTCTTCATATTCTCCATCATACTCGGCTATCTTCTTCCTATAGAACTCAAGAAGTTCTCGAGATGGCTTGAGGTGTCCTAATCTTTGGTTGATAGTCGGTAGAAGTGAAGAAATCGCTTCATCGTTTTCGTCATAACAATCCGCCATCTTGGAAATATAACCGCTTTTATAAGGCAAAACGTCATGTAGTGCTCAACCAATTGGTTTCATTTAAAATATCTTAATTCGCTTTCAATTTCGCTTTAAAAAGTATTTTCGCTTCTTTTCTCAAATACCTATTATTTCTGTGATTACAAGATGAACTAGATGTACTTTCCCAATGAAAAAGGACTAGGAAAAAAATATGCCGTCTCAATCAACTCTCCGTGATTATTAAAGTTCCCTTAATGTTTCTTGTAGTTTTTTTTTTGTAATTCTATGAATTTATGAAATGAAACAGTCAATAATATGATATGGTACACTGGCTATTCGTTAAATTTTGGTACTGTCGAATTTTCAAACGCGTTAATTTTGCCTTTGTTTCAATTTTTGTGTCGTCATAATGTTGCATAATCAGTTTGCTCTCCGCGACGGAACTGGATAAAACGAGTTGACCAATCAAACGTCGTGCAAAATTTAATTGAACCAATCATATGCGCCGATACGTCATGTGACACAGGTGGATTACATTATTCAGGCTGGCGAATAGGGAAGGTCGATAAAATATGGCGAAGTTCGCATAGCATAAACGTGTGCTTTAAAATTGTTTTGATGTGTCATAGCGTGGATTTTTGGCGATGGATAAGTCCGACTTTATCCCTCCACCAGAAGCTCCCGTATTTGAACCAACCGAAGAGGAATTCCAAGATCCTTTAGCGTTTATTACAAAGATACGACCCTATGTGGAGAAAATGGGAATATGCAAGATTCGCCCACCGCCTGTATGCAGCAGTGAATTTTCAGAATTTTTTGCGTATTTCAGCACATTGTAGCTACGAGTTGACACGTTTTACGGGCTTTGTTTTATGTAGGATTGGCAACCACCTTTTTCTGTGGACGTAGAGAAGTTTAAATTTACCCCACGGGTTCAGAAACTCAATGAACTTGAGGTAAATTTCCGAGCCTCAAACTTTGCGTTTCGACGTGAACGCTTAAACGTTTCTCTTTTTTGCTCGTTTGCGGGGCCGAAACGGAGAAACAAGCCATTAGATGCTCTTATATTCAACTTAACTTATCACTTTTATATATGAAGAACAAAAATGACAAGTTTCCAAGCTGTAAAGCAAAATGTAGATGTTTCTTTTTTCACAATTAACGTCAGCAACGTGCACTATAGCTGCACGGTGGCCATGTTTTATGTAGACTTTACAAGGACGGCTGTTTGGTCTTTTCAATGGGGCAGGCATTGACATGTTTCTCTCAAAAGCTTTTATTCCCGATTATTTCTCTCATTTGTTATTTCTTTATCTTTGTAGGCCACGACGAGAGTAAAATTCAATTTTTTGGACGCCATTGCAAAATTTTGGGAACTACAGGTATTTTACTCGGACTTGAGCTTCCAAGTCAAGATTGGCTAAGAGAGAATGGCAAATCATTTTAAACCAAATCATTTCCCTCGCGGTCGTTTTCATTGGTTCAAAGCGCAACTTGGTTATTTCTTTTATCGACACTATAGGGAACAAGTTTAAAACTGCCCATGGTCGACAAGAAAGCGTTGGACATTTTTAAACTTTACAAAGTGAGTGGTCTTTATTCAAATAGCCCACCAATAAGAAATCCTGCCATTTTACCGTTCTTCTGAACTTCTTATCACAAAAACGGTAAAGTGAGGGCAGATGATAAGAAATGCGACCATATTTTCATGTGCCGACGTGAAATCAGCGATCACAAGCAGTTTAATTGTTGACCACATGAAAATATATCATGAATGGGGTTAATGAATTGTCGAATCTTCAGCGCGTCGCATTTTAAAAAAATGTTGGCCGTATATCAATAGCTGAGGCCTAATGGCAACTGTAGCAACCCAATTTTCGTTTGTTTGTGTCTGTTGTACAAATAAACCAGTTCCACTTGTTTGAGCACATGATATAAGAAATTTGAAATATTAAGGTGTTGTATTGTGTCTTTCAACATTTGTTTGACAAGCTTGACTGTCTTAAACTCAATTCATTCACATCTACATATCTGAAGATTTCTTTACCAAACAATATGTGTCAGATATTTGATATAGTTCTACAACTACAATTCAAAGTATTTTATTTTTTTGGTGATATTAGTGCTGTTGAGCATCAACAGAAATAACCCAAGGGTTATTATTAAAGGGGGAAAAGAGGGCTTATCTCCCTTGCCAACATTTTATATTGTATCTCCATAGAGCATACCATGATTGCCTGATGCCTGAGGTTTTGTATGAAACTGGTCATTCAACTTTTTAAAAAATTCTTCACCTATGAAATCTTGTGGGTGGTCTGGCTGATCACTGATCTGTTTTCATATTCCTAGTATTACAGTATTAGAATAGATTATTCCTATAATGTGTTCAATCTAGATAGAAAATGCTTGTCAAAAACCTTCATAGCATGTACACTTTTGATGTCAAGATGTCAAGAACGAAAACTTGCCAACTAGTACTTCATTTTACCTGTGCAATAACATACTCATCTGATACTTGTCCAATGTCCACAACCATTACAGTATAGCAAGCTCACAAACAAATAATAGTTTAAACTGTATTGGTATTGATTTACACTGATAGACATCATGAATGTTAAAGAATTTAATGAATTATTTAATTGTAAATGTTTAGACCGTTCGCGAGGAAGGTGGTTATGAGTATGTCACTACTAAAAGAAAATGGCCGGTTGTTGCGCACAAGGTTCGTAAACAATAAATGCAAATCTTGTAAGGATATGAAACTATGTATTTGATGGTCATACGCTCAATCCTTGACTAGTTTTGTGTTATATACTATCAGACATGTTTATTTATTCTTCTAGATGGGTTACTTTGAGGCCAAATCTGTTCCGGCATGCCTTCGAAATCATTATGAAAAGCTATTATTCCCATATGATGTTTTCCAGTCAGGTCTTCTCACAGGCACTGACGACACTCATGAGGTACACATCAACTTATACTACAACAATACTTTTGCTGATGAAGGTATTAGCAAGGGGTGGTGTTGGTGTGGCAAGGGATAGTGGGTGGCTTTCAAATGCTAAATATATTTTGTGGATACCTCTATCCATGAATACCCCTACCCTCATTCTTATTGATTCTGCTATCATCTAAAGTGGATGCTTTCATTATTTTATTTCCTTCTTTTGTGTCAATGTTTTTTAGAGAAAAACAAATCCAAAGAAAACAGAGCCTGACAGCAGGATGAGGAAATCTGCCCGACAGATTCGACAAGAACAGGTAATATCTTATTTGAGATTTCTATACAGTCGTTCGAATGGTGTTCTGAAGTATAGAAATACAATCTTAAGTTTGTCTTAGATGTCAGATTTGTATATTTAATTCTGTGTTTATATGTTAAACCTGAGTGGGAAATCTAAACAAAATTTACACCTAAATGTATGATTTTCAGTACTAACATCAATTCTTATGATTTTTATGATCTTTGTAAATTTAGAATTTATTTCATATGCTAAGTGTGTTTGTATGATAATGGTAGCATCACTGAACTGTCTTATGTCTGTTATATGATACTCACAAAGGAGTAAAGTAGTAAATATTATTCAGTTATTTATCAATGTGTCATGGTAAAAAATTGAAGTAAAAAAATATTGAGATAGTAGTTGCAGTGTGTCAGCTTTTTGGTGCAAAGTACCACTTAGCAACCTATTGGTACCACATAGCAACCTGTTGGTACCACATAGCAACCTGTTGGTGCCACATAGCAACCTGTTGGTACCACATAGCAACCTATTGGTACCACATAGCAACCTGTTGGTGCCACATAGCATCTTGTTGGTGCCACATAGCAAGTTGTTGATACCACATATCGACCTGTTGGTACCACATAGCTTCTTGTTGGTGCCACATAGCAACCTGTTGGTGCCAAATAGCAACCTGTTGGTACCACATAGCAACCTGTTGGTGCCAAATAGCAACCTGTTGGTACCACATAGCTTCTTGTTGGTGCCACATAGCATCTTGTTGATGCTGAGTAAAAATTTTTTGGTGATTTGAAACTAGTCCCTGATGCTATTTGCTGACTTGCAGATTGCTGGTGCCATGTGCCAACCTGTTGGTACCATGTAACTTTGTGCTGTATAACAAGTTGCCTGCACCTTGTATGTAGGAACTTACTGTTGCTGTTTACCTAGTTGCTGATGCCGCTTGCTAATTTGTTTGTGTTTGGGCATCATTTGTGTCCATCCTTATATTTGGAGGACAAACTATGGATTATTTCAACTTGAGATCTACATTTCATTCTCAGGTGCAGTTATCTGTTGACTATTCAAAGAATCCTGAACTCAAGAGACTGAAGTTCCTGGCACCTGGCCCCAAGATGACAGTAGTTTGCGATTCAGATGATCCAAAAGCTGAAACTACCACTGACGTGTCAGGTATGTATTATAACTCATCACCCTCTTATTTTCATTATTTAAATGCTGTAGCTTGGATTGATTGATGTCAGTTCATTGTGTGCATTTGGAATCATTACATCTGAATATTTCATTAGGAGTGGCTAACACTGACTTACCTGGAGTGACTGCTGAAATGACTGTTATAGAAGATAATCTGCCATCAAATGACCTGAAAGTCAAAGTAGAAGAACCTATATTGAAGTTAGTGAGAAAGTCGAGGAGTCTGAGACAAAATCTCTCAGAAAAAGACCTGTTCGCAGAGCTAGTAAGAAAATGATGCAGGATTACAATCCAGAACTGGTGAGTGGGTGCAATCAATCACTGTGATGTGATCTAGTTGCCATCCCTTCCCAAGTTCACTTTGAGCGATGATGGCAGGAGGGGTGCAAAACTTTTGAATTCTCGCCAATTGAATCGAAGTGTACGTTATCTAATCTATTGACTGAATGGTTTACTTGTCTTGTGACTGTATAGTTTATGAGCGAATGTTGATTGCTCACTTTCGTTGTCGTTTTTTATCCTATCAGTCGACCTAAAGCCTTTTTAGATGAAGAAATTATTAATGCAATCATGAAGGATCTTTTATTGTTACGTGTATACATCTTCCTCTCGATGGATACGTATTTTCATCATTCATGACATTTTGCTTTTGCGATGTACGTATCATTCGAAATTTTGTTTATTTCCTCCAGTTTCAGGATGATTATCTATGCCAGATATGTAGTTCAGGAGATGATGGTCAATATCTTTTACTTTGCGATGGTTGTGATGCCAGTTATCACACTTATTGCCTTATACCACCTGTCACAAACATACCGAAAGGTGAATGGCGTTGTCCCAAGTGTATAGCACAGGTATGGAGAAACTTCCAGGTCATTAGCACGATAGTAAGAAAAAGTTTATGTATGTTGAATGGAACTGTCTTGCTATCGGATATCGTACTTTGGGTTCTATGGTGAGTGAGAGTGAGACAGTTTAATTTGAGGTGTTTGTGGCTATTTACATTTATATACGTAAAGTGAATGGTTTAGACATGCCAGTATTTTGATATGTTTGCGGATGTAGATCGTCCAGGTTAGCGGTATATTGAGAAGGACTTTTTGTGTTGGTGTTGATGACAACCTTAGTGGTAGTCATCTTTAGAGTCAAACGAGGAGTCAATACAGTGAACGTGATATTTACTCCTTGTGATGTGAAAATGTCAGTCAACATGAACACCAACAGACCTTCCCAGGACTGAACAAACCTCAACTATGATTTAACTCTTCAAAATCTACAAACATATAACTTATAGTGCAACCATTGTACATAAGTTAGAGCTACGTAGACGTATGAACCAGCACGTCTGATTGAATTAAGTTTGGATAACGTTATACGTACTTTGGATAATACGGACATAAACGCGATGATAAAAGTTAATGAGGACGACGTTTGTCGATTTTAAGTATTAACTTAAGACTGAAGTTGAGAAACTGATGCATAAGAAGCATGTTGTTTGAAAATGAATTCAAGGATCCTTTTGAAAGACTGGCCATGTGTCGAGAAAAAATTCATTCACGTAAAATGTGTTGTTGAAATGACATTCCCTGCGTCTTGAAAATGTCATAACTTTCGTATGATGTCATATCGTAATTCTTATGACGTCATATCGTGATGCACGACATTTGTTCTCTTTGCAACGTAGAACGCGGATAAAAAATTATCTCATGTTATTCGCTCAATGCATGACAGTTTTGTACATAGAAGTCTTGTAAATGGTTATTTGCCAATCAGAAGCGTGTTTGTGATTTTTATGAATCTCATTTATAAATCTTAACTATTCTCTTGCACTATTCACACGCCGTTTTGATATTCAACTTTCTCCAGGCATATTGAGATTAAACGTTCCTCGGGCTCTTAGCGATGCAATTTCTACACTAACTTTTTTATGTAGGAATACGACAAGCCCTACGAAGTTTATGGTTTTGAACAGTCGACGAAGGAATATAACCTACAGACATTTGGTGAAATGGCTGATAAATTTAAATCTGAATATTTTGGCTTACCACCTGAGGTCAGTAATGGATGACTATCATGTAATCGTAGAAGTACATTATATATTGATTAGAAAAATTCCTGAAAATTTAACGCACCTCCCCTTAAGTTATACTGGGGGGAAATTGTTCTTAAGAAGCATCGCCACCCACCCCTCTCCACCACACGCCACCCACCCCTTAAGTTACCACGATTAAGCTGATTTTACACTAAGGAACTTTCGTAAAAAGTGCTATAACCATGATAATGGCTGAAATCATTGATTTACTGTCTCGTTTTTAAAGACAAGTTGATAATTAATATTTTCGAAATTGTAGTCGAAAAATTTTAACCTGATAATTCTCAATTAAGACAGGGCGACTACATTTGTATATCTCATAAGACAAGCTTCATTAACGTACTATGGTGAACTCTTATAGTCTGTTCCATACGAGGTTGCTGAAAAGGAATTCTGGCGATTAGTTTCTTGTAGTGATGACGAGGTATGAAGTAATAATAAAACATCTTTGTTTTGTTTTGGATGTTTACAATCCATAATGATCACCAGACCAATAGGAATTTTTAAATTTTGTGCTTTTAATTGTTGGCATTATATTTAAATTTAACCACGCTAAATGCGAACGCCCGTTTATCCTTACAACGAAACGCGTCGAGAAAAGCTCATTAGCTCTGTTGGGCTGAAGTTTCCGGTTGGGTGGCTAAATTGACTTCCCTAAACGTTGTTTGCTTCCCTACTGCCTGGTACATTTTTCATTTTGTTTATCAGTTTTGTAAAGACAGGTTTTCCTATAACAAAGTTTTTATTCATTTCTCGTAATTCTTTGTCAAGCCTGTATTTCAAATGATGTAATTCATCGTCGCTCAGCCTTTTTCATGTAATAGGTTCCTGCGTGAAAGTCGAGGTTCTTGCATGATTCGTTGATAGTCCACTCAGCTCCATTTTTAGATGCATGTGTTTAATAGTCAGAACAGACTGTTAGTAAACATTCTCTTTCTCAGTAATTTTGCTTTCTTACTAATCTAAGAAAAGTGGAGTTGGGTATAGCCGCACCCCCTGCTTCCGACGCCCCCGGATGTAATATAATAGGAGCGGCTCATTTTGTTGGGAAGGGGTGTCATGTGTACATGTGATTAGATTTTGCTTCGAACAACTTTTGAAACTTATATTTTTTGCAGGTATCAGTTGAGTATGGTGCTGACCTACATACTGCCGTCCATGGAAGTGGGTTCCCAGTGAAAGAAAATGTCACCAATTCTATCGAGGAGGTTTGTAACTAAGTGTACTTTTTAACATTGGCAAATACACGCCATTGGAGCAACCGACATGTCTGCTCCTGAGGTTAGGAACGAAACAAGCGTTGAAAAATCTGTAAACAAAAATAAGCAGAAAAACACTTCTATAACATTAAGCTTAACAAATTTAATGCGAGTAGTAATTTGCAAAACACCTTAGTCTTGTTTTTCTTACACAAAAGCAATCACGATATAGACAGTAAAATCCTTCCACTCCTCTTCCTTGCAAACGAGACAAGTCTGCTCAAAAGCAGAGACCCTTACGCTACAAGTCCTGGGCTTGTGACCAGTATAGCGGAGTTAGAAGGTGAAAGGATACTTCAATTCTTCAATCTCAAACTTTTATTACTTACTTTATTGTAATTGCTTTAGTGTAAGAAAAACAAGACTGTTTTGGAAATAACTACTCGCATTAAGTTTGGTCAGCTTGCTATTTTCATATACGTAGTTGCTGTAAATGCAAGTGTGTACTTAATTAAAAAAAAACACTTCTTATTTTTCCATTCATAGTGCCATTTGCGTGAAGTTGTTATTTTTATGATCAGTATTATTTGGAGAGTGTATTTCTCTCCCATGAAAGTTGCCGTTCCGTTTGTACTTATTTCATTATTTCCTTTACAATTTTGATGGTCTTTCTTTTTATGTGCGTCATTTATACAGTTTTACGCCAATTCAAAGTGGAATCTTAACAATCTGCCTGCTCTTCCTAATTCTGTACTCAGTCATGTCAGTGGAAACATATCGGGAATGAAGGTACGATTTGTTTTTTGTCATTTGTTATTCGCTTAATTCTTCTTGATGGCAAATTCCCACTAACATTGTCTGTATCACTATATCATGAGGAAGACTGTAGCAAACTTGACCTTCAATGCCTTTAGATATTGACCAAATTTTTTCATTTTACATATGTATGTTGATCGAGGAACGCCTCTTAAGGTTACAGGAGCAGCGTTGTAGTTTGCAGTGTTGTGTAGTCTTCTATTTCAGGCGAATTACTGTTTACTTATACAGTAGTCGTGCACCTAAATTCGCTTATTCTAGTCTAACCCGTGCCATTGAGCTAAAACACATGGAACGCTACCTGAAGCAAATAATTGAAGCCAGATCTTATACCAGACAAGCGAGATGACACACAGACACGCGAGATGACACACAGACACGCGAGATTACACATAGACACGTGTGTTAAATGTTTCAAGATTCTCCCGCGGAGTGAAAATTGATTGATTGCACACGTGTGTCTGGGTGTAAGATTTGACTTCAAAAAATTAGTAGGCTTTTCTATTACAGATACCATTCCATGTATTTTAGTTCAATGGCCCGTGCATAGCACATACACACGTATGTTCCTTATTATTCTTTATCCTATCAAGGTACCTTGGATGTACGTGGGAATGTGTTTCTCTAGTTTCTGTTGGCACACCGAAGACCACTGGAGTTATTCGATTAATTATCTCCACTGGGGAGAAGCGAAAACTTGGTACGGTATACCTGGTGAGTCCGCGGAACAGTTCGAGAAGGTCGTACAACAAATAGCACCCGAGCTTTTTGAAGCCCATCCGGACCTTCTGCATCACCTGGTGACCATCGTTAACCCTAATGTTCTCATGAGCAGAGGCGTACCTGTTGTTAGAACCAATCAGGAAGCTGGTGAGTTTATCATCACGTTCCCTCGAAGCTACCATGCCGGATTCAATCAAGGTTATAATCTTGCCGAGGCTGTCAACTTTGCCACTGCAGACTGGGTATGTTATCTTGAACTTACGTTTTTATACTTGAGTCTAGTGTCTATCAATCTCAATTGAACATTTCGTCATTCTTTGTAGCTGTCCATCGTTCACGAATGTGTGTCTCACACTTATGTTTTTATACTTAAGTCTAGTGTCTATCAATCTCAATTGAACATTTCGTCATTCTTTGTAGCTGTCCATCGTTCACGAATGTGTGTCTCACACTTATGTTTTTATACTTAAGTCTAGTGTCTATCACTCTCAATTGAACATTCCGTCTTTCTTTGTAGCTGTCCATCGGTCACGAATGTGTGTCTCACACTTATGTTTTTATACTTAAGTCTAGTGTCAATTGAACATTCCGTCTTTCTTTGTAGCTGTCCATCGGTCACGAATGTGTGTCTCACACTTATGTTTTTATACTTAAGTCTAGTGTCTATCACTCTCGATTGAACATTCCGTCTTTCTTTGTAGCTGTCCATCGGTCACGAATGTGTGTCTCACACTTATGTTTTTATACTTAAGTCTAGTGTCTATCAATCTCAATTGAACATTTCGTCATTCTTTGTAGCTGTCCATCGTTCACGAATGTGTGTCACACTTATGTTTTATACTTAAGTCTAGTGTCTATCACTCTCAATTGAACATTCCGTCTTTCTTTGTAGCTGTCCATCGGTCACGAATGTGTGTCTCACACTTATGTTTTATACTTAAGTCTAGTGTCTATCACTCTTGAACATTCCGTCTTCCTTAGTAGCTGTCCATCGGTCACGAATGTGTGTCTCACACTTATGTTTTTATACTTAAGTCTAGTGTCTATCACTCTCAATTGAACATTCCGTCTTTCTTTGTAGCTGTCCATCGTTCACGAATGTGTGTCTCACACTTATGTTTTTATACTTAAGTCTAGTGTCTATCACTCTCAATTGAACATTCCGTCTTTCTTTGTAGCTGTCCATCGGTCACGAATGTGTGTCTCACACTTATGTTTTATACTTAAGTCTAGTGTCTATCACTCTCAATTGAACATTCCGTCTTTCTTTGTAGCTGTCCATCGGTCACGAATGTGTGTCTCACACTTATGTTTTTATACTTAAGTCTAGTGTCTATCACTCTCAATTGAACATTCCGTCTTTCTTTGTAGCTGTCCATCGTTCACGAATGTGTGTCTCACACTTATGTTTTATACTTAAGTCTAGTGTCTATCACTCTCAATTGAACATTCCGTCTTTCTTTGTAGCTGTCCATCGGTCACGAATGTGTGTCTCACACTTATGTTTTTATACTTAAGTCTAGTGTCTATCACTCTCAATTGAACATTCCGTCTTTCTTTGTAGCTGTCCATCGGTCACGAATGTGTGTCTCACTATCGTCGCATGAACCGTACGACAGTGTTCTCACACGAAGAACTTGTGTGCAAGATGGCTGCCAATCCGGATAACCTCGATCTTAACCTCGCGAAAGCAATCTATGATGATATGCTTTGTATGATCCAACATGAAAATCAACTACAAATGGACATTAAGAAGGAGGTCTTTGTAATGGTGTTTGCTCTGTTACTTGTCCATATGTTGTTTTGTAGTACAAGCACACAAATCTAAATCTTTCACATTTAGTCACTCTAATTTCACATTTAGTAGTTTAATACGTAGATACTAATTTACAATGTGAATTATTGTTAACTTCTACAAATTAGGAACTTAGTTAAACTACTTTTTAAATTTAGGTTTACAGTTGAACTATTATGTAAAATTTAAGACTATAGTTAACTACTTAAGATTATACGATAAAAACATACGTTGTTTTGTAATCATACTTATGATAAGCATAATGAAATTGAATTTATTTAGTTTGTTTTGTTCTGTGTTGTGCCGTGTTGTGTTGCGTTGTGTTATGCTGGAAATTTTATAAAATTTCTCTTTACTTTTCTAGGGTGTTGTAAAAGCAGAGAGAGAAGCTTTCGAGTTGCTGCCCGATGACGAACGACAATGCGTGCATTGTAACACCACGTGCTTCTTGTCGGCGATCACGTGTCAATGTCCTGAAAGTATGTTCTTATGAAGTAGATTCAATAAAAAAATCACGTGACAGATATATATTTTATTTCGTTCATTTAGAGAAACTAAGCTGTATCCAATGTGCTTCGAATCATTGCGAAGAGTGTGGTCTGGACAATTGTGTCTTGAGGTAAATTAACACTGCTTAGTGTATTGAGAGAGGTTCTGCAGCAGTTATTGTTCATTTTGATGCACTTGTAAAAAACACGGGAAAATGTTTTTTATGATACATAACAATACATAGCCATAGACTTTACACCTTGGTCAGCAAGACAACCAGGGGCTATGTAGACTATGCAAGCTTGTGATAAGTTTTATTAAAAATATTTTCATCTGCCATGATGTCAACGAATAATTGCCTCATGATTCATGAATCAAAATCAAATTAGAGTCAATGGAGTTAATGAAGTCACTGCGTAAAACATTATATGGTTTATTCAAATTACGAGTCAAAAGGCAGTGTTTTTTTGAAATTTTTCCCTAACCTTTAATCTCTAGTTATAAACAGTGGTGGTTTTTAAATGATGTTATGTGTTGTTAGGCCTATAGTGTACTAATTTCAAACACATATTCAAACTTATCACTGTACTATCTTACCAATAGTAGTTCAATTTTGCAAACAGCGATACACGTGCAAAGTACTATTATTGTACATAAATTAGTCGTTTCAAACTTTGTACAATCTTTGTGCGCAAGTTTGGCGTATTTGATATTTGACGCAACTTTATGCCGTGCACAAAGACACTATTTGTGAGATTTTGGTGTTAGAGAGTGCCATCACTATTTTTTAATCAAACTTTAGACATCGCTATAGTGTTGATGAACTGCGAGGGATGCTGGCGCAACTAAAGCGGAGAGCTGACTCCTTTGATAACTGGACTGGTGAAGTCCGACGCGCTTTGGACGCCACTGGTGACGCTAAAGTTTGTAAGTACAGTTAAATATTATTTTTGAATTTGCTGTCATTTAAGAAATAAAGTATATTTACTGTGTTAGCACAGGCTTATGCAAACCGAGGAGACCTTTGGGAGAACTCTACAACAAATCTGCATGCCCAAGACCGAAAGTCGACGGTTTGCACCTCGGGAGTTTACACAAACCTCTCCTTAAGCCTTTGCAAACACGAAAAATATCTTTCCTTTCTTCTAGAAAACAATAATAATGCGAAACAGACAAATTTAGAACAAATGCCGAAATTATCCTCTAAAATGTATACATGATTGATTTGCAAACTTTCTTTTATTTGCACAGGCTAATTGCAAACGCAAACAAATTGACCAATCACCGCACGCGTTTTACTGTGTTTATTTTATAACTAGTCATGGTAAATGTACGTGCAGATCGTGCGTTTCTCCCAATTTTCATGGTGAAATTCTGTCGCAATTACATTGCGGTTTTAAAGGGTGCCAGCTTGCGTTGATGTATAAAAAGGATACATATGTATGTTTTAACGAAGCGAACGATTCCATTTTAAATGAGGGAAATACAAGCAGCATAAGTAAAGTTAAACAGCGAAGTTTGTCTTAGTCGTAGAATGTAATATATATGATGACTTCATTCATTTCATTGATCATATTTATTACAATAATTCATACGTAATGACCACTCGTTTCCAGTCTTCTTGTCGTTTGCTTTGTAATTAAGTTTGGAAGAGGAGAAATTGTTGTTCTTGAATTGACGTTGTTTTATTCACCTAACTGTCTGCAACTTAAATTGAAACACTCGGTGGATGTATCACATTTTTACGTGATGAGCTTGTCCTCTGTGTTGTTGCCATAATGGTAGTTTACCTTTCTTTCCTGTCTTCCATTAGCTCTCGGCTCGCTTCGCGAACTAGTTTTAACCGCTGAACAAAGTCAATTTCCGGAATGTGACCTACTGGATGAAATAAAGGTTGCCGTAGCTGAAGCCGAACGCTGTGGTAATGTTGCCACACAACTTGTATCGAAGAAGCATCGAACGAGGTAGGTGACATGCACTGTAGACTTGTACATTCTATTGTACGGGCAATCTAAAAGAACAGCTCACCAACATGAAAATAGTGTAATGGGGGTAGTAATGGGACGAAGTGCTAATGATATCAGATATATAAGTTACTTTACAAAAAATAATAGTATATTCACGCAATATATAGTGGACCTACTTTCACTTTAGGGGCTGTTACGGATTCAGTAAGGCGTGAACTAATTTCGAGGCTTTGAAAGGAGGCAAAACTTCTAGCGTCAAAGTTACAACTGTTTTTTAGCGCCACAAGTCATTCCTGTTGTACTTCTCAATTTAGGCCAAATTTGTTGTTGTCATTTTAAATGCTTTACAAAGTTATCAAACCAGAATATTGTGAAATTGCTCGGGAAGATTTATCTGATGATGAGCATTGAATCGTTTCCATTTGCCAAAATCATATATCGCTTGGCTGAATCCCGGCTACCCGGGATCATGTAATCAGCCCCTTAGTTACAGTTTTGCATCGATTAATATGCCGTCTATCACCATGGTTAAGCAAAGTCTGAGCATTTCTCTTTGACTGCCTGTGTATAATGTATATTGACAGAGGGAACAATTTCTTATGAGCATGATTTTTGGACCGTAGTATTTTTGGACTGGTATCACATTGGAGATATGATTGAGCCGAAATGAAATTCTTTAGTCGAAACAAGGAAAAGTACTTCACATGGAAAAGTGGGAGGGAGGAGGGGGGGAGGTAAAAGAAAAGATGGGCGTATTTGTTGTAAACCCTGTCGATTATTTTTCTTTTCAGGACGGCGGACGTTCTCAGCAATAATGGCACGTCACCAAGTTTAAATCTTCAAGAACTTCATGAATTTTGTCGTCAGTTGCAACAATTACCATGCATCATTGACCAAGCCGAACTGGTGCAAGTGAGTTTAATTTTCTGTCTATTATTACATGTTCTTTCATTCGCCTATACTGAGGTTTTAAGCTTTTCTAAAAAAAATACACAGAAAATTATGCTTAATTGTTTTCAATAAACATTTACGCACGTGTTCTAAAAGCTCACTAAGTGGGGCTTCAAATATTTACACCACTTTAATGTAACACTATGATCAACATCACACTAAGGCATAGACTATTACTGACACAATCAATGAGACTAACTCTACTTCTACGTAACACCATACTATGACTAACACCATACCAACACATAGACTATTACTGACACAATCAATGAGACTAACTCTACTTCTACGTAACACCATACTATGACTAACACCATACCAACACATAGACTATTACTAACACAATCAATGAGACTAACTCTACTTCTACGTAACACCATACTATGACTAACACCATACCAACACATAGACTATTACTAACACAATCAATGAGACTAACTCTACTTACTTCTACGTAACTAAGACTAACATCACACTAAGACATTGACTATTACTAACACAATCAAAGAGACTGACTCTACTTACTTCTACGTAACTAAAACTAACATCACACTAAGACATAGACTATTACTAACACAATCAATGAGACTGACTCTACTTACTTCTACGTAACTAAGACTAACAACACACTAAGGCATAGACTATTACTAACACATTCGATGAGACTAACACTACTGAGGGTTCAAACACTAACACCAACCTAAAATGTTCATACTAAGACTAACATCACACTAAGACATTGACTATTACTAACACAATCAATGAGACTGACTCTACGTACTTCTACGTAACTAAGACTAACAACACAATAAGACCAACACCGAATGCCCGGGTTCTAAAAGCTCACCCTCACTGACTGCGACCTATTCGAAGACGTATTTTTACTCAAAGAAATGCTTCATTTGAAATATTTGTGCAGAAATCTTGTCATCAATGGAGAAACGACATCGCCATTGATTAGAGAGATTTTCATCGACATTATCTCACACTCAATGAATTGTGATTTTGAGTGAGTTTTTGGAATACAGACGTAAGATATTGACACCGAATTTCTTCGCCAACAGCGAAAACGACTGATGCTACTTTGTTTCTAACGCCTCGCTTTAGTGTCAATGTTTTGTGTTCAGTCAAGGAAAACTTGTAGTGTCTATCGGACCAATATCCCGAGCTTAGCTTAGCTTATCCAACCAGAAAATTTCATAATGTCAGGGTATCTTTTTGCGGTTTGGTGACTTTCAAAGCTACACACGTAACTTAAATCGTGTATTCTTATGTAATTTCTCCAGGATTTGATGAATCGTGTGGAAAGCTTCCAAGGCGAAGCACAAGAACTATTACGTGAGGAGGAGCCGAGTGTTGTTAAAGTGAAACTACTATTGGACACTGCCATGACGCTTGATGTTGACCTACCTGAAATACCGAGATTAAAACAAGAACTACATAAATGTCGTTGGCTCAAGAACGTCGAGGAAACATTGAAAGATACGAGCCAAGTGTCTCTCAATGCCCTGCGAGAACTGCTCGGTGAAGCTTCGATGCTAGCCAAGAAACAAGGTATGGTTTCTTGAAGTATATAGTAGATATGTTTTATACGCTTGTTAACGTTTTCTTCAATAATAAAACGAGTTTGTCAAATTCAGCTCTTTATGTAATTGATTCTTCTGTATTGTCGATGTTTCTAAATGACCTGTTGCTGGTAGTGGGTAAGGATTTCTCCTCTTGACTTTCATGAATGTTGTCGTTTTAGTCGTGGAAGCAAGCGCCATGAAGCTTCGAAAATTGGTCAACACATGCGAGGAATGGGAACTAAAAGCTCGACTTTGTCTTCAGGCTAGGTGAGCTTGACTGCATACAATTTTTACATCACAATCGTTCTAAGCTAATCAGAAGCAGACATCAGTTTGTTGTTATTTTATTTTGTGCAAAACGATCCTTGCCGAATTCTTTTAAGACTGCTTTTCGTTTTATTTCGCGTGGCTTTGCCGGAAATGCTCATTAAGTCCTCAAACAATGGTTTTCATTTATGTAACATCGTCATTTTTTCGTCCCAGGCCTCGCCATATCATGTCTGCCATTCAAGCAATTGTGCGCGATGCGTCTTTGGTCCCAGTCCACTTGCCAAACATTAGTACATTGAAAGATGCGCTAGACAAAGCACTGGAATGGTCAAAAAAGGTGGATCATGTGCAGGTTTGACCTTATTCAATGATGTATCCTCAAGGGCATTTGACACGAAAAATGTACTATGTAGATTATATTTTCTTTAAACATACATAACTTTCAAAATAACAGGTAACATTTAAAACAGTTTTTTCACATCACTTCTCAATCTCAAGATATTGTAGTTTATATAATTGCGCTTTACACAACTTGTGACGTCACATTGAATATGAGAATTAGAAATAGCAGATATGTTTGATGATATTCAACTGAGCAGAGTTCCCTTGTTCCCTCATTCCAACCAAACGTTGACTTAAAACTAAAGTATGCGACTCGTTTGCAAAATTACGTTAAAAGTCGTGTAAAACGGACATAACAAAAACTTCAATATATTGAAGATGAAAGATGTACGTATGCGTAATTTGATCCAGAAAATACACTGAAATCATTGTAAAAGTTCTGTTAAGTGAAAAAATGATTTACATGGTGTAATTTTCGTGGGTCATATGCACTATATGTAACTTTGTTGTAAATATATACCTAAAATGAATCATTTTCCTGAGTTGGGATCTCTGCCCAACGTCATCATCCCGGTCACGTGGGCTATCCTACACCTTATGAATAGACCCTAACATACATCGACGTTTCATCTCATTTTTTCCTTTTGCATCTCAGAATGACGAACATTACCCGTATCTGGAAGTGCTCGAAGCCCTTGTGATGCGTGGTCGACCCATACCCGTACGTCTGGAACAACTTCCTCAAATGGAATCGCAGGTCGCTGCGGCTATAGCGTGGAGAGATCGTACAAGTAGGACTTTCCTTAAAAAGAATGCTAATTCAGCGCTTCTCGAGGTAATATTTAACGTTTTTAATTTTCATGATGTGTCCGACTGACTTGACGCCAAGTTGATTTTAGATTACTGACCATTGTTCAGTACACAGCTTCGTGGTATTTTTTCAATAACGGTGTCAAAAGTCACGAAATCTGTCGAATCTCATTCGAAAGAAATGCATTTTTATGATTTACAGAAAAATGGCGGCAGTTGTGTTCATTTTATGCGAACGTTTTATTGTTAATTTTGCTCAAGTGTTGAGTGAATTTTATAAGAAACTTGCATCAAGTTTCTATCATCTCCCATCAGTTTCATGTCTTCTTGTAGGTAACCTGTGCGTAGTTAGTATTTCTGTCTTTCTGTGGAAACTCATGCATTTGCCTTTCGATTTACCTTATGTTATGTTAAAGGGAAATGGCATTATATTGTTTTATAATTATTACAGTACATTACCCCTAAATATGAAAAAAAAACACCAAAAATTTGTCATTGCTGTCTTTTGTGTGGAAAGATTCGTCTCTTGACTTAAATCATAGCGTCATAGTGTAGCAATATACAGTAGGGCCACTTCGCTGTGCAACTGGCTGCTGTATATTCAATTCGTTTACAGGCTGCCGTTTGCCATATCGTCATTCCTATTGGTCACACAATGTAATTTACTGGCTGCCAATATGGTAATCACATGCGTAATAAGATATGCATGTGTTAATGTTTGTTGATAATGAAAAAAAATTGGTTGCCATTCCCCTTTAATCACATCAATCATGCCAAAGATTGATTTGCAAAAAGGGAAAATTCGTTCATTTGCTTTCTTACATTTTATTAATCAGATAGAACTATGCAATACACAATGCACTTTAAAACATTTTATTCAATACAACTACGGTATTTGGTGTACAAACTTCGTTTATGTTTCTGATCGTCCACAAAGCTAGCAATTTGCCAAATATATTACGGCTTTTAATTTCGCAGTAGTCAATATCAGTACTTAAGCACATAATCACGTGATTTGAAATGATGAGTTTATGCTACACCAACAACTATACGCAGGGAAATCATTTACGTACGTACATAAGCCGACAGTAAGATGAAAGCAGGACAGGCGAACAAGCTGCCTACATAAATGCTCCATCATCGTTAACTGTTTCAAACTGCTTGTCAAACGTCTTCGTTCATTTAATCTAACTGAAAAGAAAATTCTCCGTCGAAAAATTAATTCACAATAGCACATGATTTTTTCTGATTTGCAATTTTTGTATGTATTATATATACCTGCACATGAAGCGTTTATTGGTTGATATTCAAGAAAATCACCAAACTTGAGAAAGATCGTGTGATTTACCTAGCTACGAAGCGTAAATACAGCTGCTCGCCACACTTCACACAAAGAAATGCATTTTACAAGCTGTATAAGGCCCTTTTTTAACTTGAACGGCACTTCTTATTGAAATGTGTGTCATTTCAGATCTTGTCTTGTCGCAAGGATATTGGTGTTTATAAGTTGCCGAGTAAGCATCGCCGGAGAAAGGGCGATAGCAAGGAGGGTGACGTCATTGATTTGTCCACGTTGGAAGAGTACATCGATCGTAAACCATCGGATCAGGTCGCGGTATTTCGTATTGCTAAACAAAAGGAGCTGCAGGAAATGCGCGAGTTAAGAAAACGTAATGTGTCACGTTTTAACGAACTTAATACATTGCAACCGGAGAATCGGCAGTTTTGTCTCTGTCGAAAGGCAGCTGATGGTTACATGTTGCAGTGTGAACTATGTAAGGAGTGGTTTCATAGCACGTGCGTGCCGTTGCCACGAACCCAGGGTAGCAAGGGAAACGCAAAAAGTGGCCACGAAACGTCCCGCACGTTAAAGTATCTATGCTTGCTGTGCCATCGATCACGTCGACCACGCCTGGACACGATCTTATCCCTTCTCGTTTCACTGCAAAAACTTCCCGTGCGTTTAGTTGAAGGGGAAGCGTTGCAGTTTCTCGCCGAATGTGCTATGAACTGGCAAGATCGTGTCAGACAGTTCCTGTTGTCGGATAACATTGTGAGGGTTTGCCAGGAGATCGATGAAACTTTGAAAACGGAACCGACCAATGAAAAGTCCACGGCTGCAATGCCCGTCACCACGTCAACGCTCCTGCAGCAAAATATAGCTATGGCAATTACTGCACAAACTCCTAAGAATGTTGTGAATAATGCCACTGTGTCACGAAGTTCCACGTCAACACAAGCTCTGCAAAATTTGGCAATGGCCTGTAGTACTGCGCAGATTCTAAATAGTCAGTCGCAAGAAGCCGCAACTGACAGCACAAGCACAAATGCGTGCGAGAAGAAAGACATTCACATGGAGACTGAACCGCAGTCTCAAAATTCGGAGAATCCCAGCACCGAAATCGATGTTGTTGGAAACAGTAATCTTCAAGATGGACAGGATAGGGGGATGTTAGGTGATAACGAGGGTGAAGTAGGAGATATGAAGTGTTGTAAGTTAACTCAGCTTGAGTTGGAGGAGTTGGAGGATTACATGATGGAAGGTGATCTTCTTGAGGTGACTCTTGATGAAAGTGACATCTTGTGGAAAATTTTAGTTAATCAACGAAAATACATGGAACAGAAAATACAGGTACGCGTAATTTACATAAGAGATCAACTCTAGTCTTCCTGTGAACAGGAACATTTAGTGGGTGATATGATGTTCAAACAATAAACTGTTCCTTGCTTACAGAATGGGGATTCTTTACATAGGCGAAGCTCAGTTGTACATTTTTGTCAGTTCATATATATATGTTATTTACTGGCTGAGAGGTCCGCACGGAAAAAATATGTTGAGAATTAAATTGGATTGTTATCTACAAACTTTACTTCGTCTGGATAGTAAAATTCACTCGTGCTATGATAACTTTCATCTGAATGCATTTTGCTTTCTAGTTAAACAATTTACATCGCTTTTAAATCAGTTTTAAAAACTTACATTTCACTTCGTAAACAAACAAATACATTGCGAAAAAAATGTCACTTTAGGTAAATAGGTAATTATCGTAAAAAGCCGCTCGCTCAGGCAGCCAATCTAACTGCTGGAAATCAAAAAATATCGCTTTGGACCAATAAATAAAAAAAATAAAACTTTTTATTTCCTTATGTCAACTTGTTTCGGAACTTATTTTTGTTCAAAACTTTTTCATGTTCTCGTTTGAAACAGCTTCTCCTACCGCGTAAAAAGAAGAAAAGAAGCGACGCAAACGAAAGAAAAACGATGAGAAACAGCAGTCGAACAAAGAAAACTCTTCCAAAGTGAACAAGAAGTTCAAACAAAAGAAGAGCAACGACGACGTAAACAAACAGAAACGCAAATACGTACGAAAGCAAAAGAAGCCGCAAATCGTGACGATTAAAGCGGAAGACGACGACGACGATGATGATGACGAAGACGAGGCTTGCTCTGCCAGACCATGTAAACATCCGTCAAGCGAAGAAGTAGACTGGGTGCAATGTGATACATGTGAACTATGGTACCACAATCTGTGTGTAGCAATCACAGCCAAAGCGGCTGCTGAACTTGATTCTTATATATGTCCCTACTGTAGTGTTAATGGCGAATATCTTTCGAACACGGCATCCCCAGATTCGAACGTGGATGTGGTAAGCACCACACCTCATGCAACGACCCCACCTTCTCCAAGATCCCCAAATTCTACGGGTAGACAGTTACTCTACAGTGTGGGTACGAACGGCCAGCAACCTTCAAAATGCGTTACATTCCCTACTGTTACCTTATCCGCACAAACTACAAACTCTGATACCATTGTACTTTCTGATGGTTCGTGACAGTCATCGTGAACCTCATCAAGGGAAGGAATCTCGTCCGACAAATTATGAACACTTCAAGCATCGTACATTTCTTTGATCGGTTTGTGTAGTGATTTCTTAGAAGTACGTCGATGTTAATGGTGATGGCCCACCTAATAATGCTGAAATCGCCCACAACACTTGAAACAGCAGTCACCCAGGAGAATACGTTATTTACTATTGTGAGTATCTTTGTGTGGACATAAAGCGTTTCTTCATTCTCGAGCGGACTGTTTGCTTTAAATACTTTGTTAATGTCAAGTGTTTGAAGAGTGAATAGTTGGAAATTTTTATATCGTTATCGTTGAGGCCAGATTGTAGATGATATTTTCACCGCGATTTGTACTATTTAATGCTTTCTTCTGCCTCAATGAATGATTTCCATCTGTGCAAATCTTAAGCAAATTGTAATGGTATGCCCCTGTGTGATTGCACCAAGGTATTCTCCTCGAATTGCTAACCCCTTTATATATTTTATTCCTCAGTTTCTTGACGAAGGATCAGCAATAAACAGTGATAAGTTTCACCCACGCTTTTTCGACTTGTTTTTTAAAAGCTGTGTGTTACACATACAAAACACTCGAAGGTTTCAATGTATACCTTAAATTGCTTCAGTTCCCTTTTAGATGTTATACGTATGTTGTATAATACTCCTCACATACCAGGCTTAATCATAACCCCGCTTACTCTAATCCCAATCCAGCTTTTACTTAACGTTGAGAAACTGCATTCTAGAAATATTTGACGAAATAAAGTAAAACGATAATGACTTGAAATGTTTTGTTGGTTTTTCGAAAGGTTTCGTTGACCTATTTATAGTTTAAAGTAAATTCGCCGCCCTTGTTGGTTCTTTTTTATTATCGATTTTAAATTCTACCTTTTTTGCATGAGGTATGCTTACTCAGAAAAAATAGAGTTTGCCAGCAAAGTCATACTTTCTTTTATGATACAAAAATTCGTCAATACGTCATCGAAAGCGATTTCGTAAGTTGGCACCAGGACTCCTATTCTCAAAAGCCATTACGTCTTGGTTTCTATTGTGCTGTTTCACTGCTGGAAAGAATGTTTTAGATTTGCATAAGAATTGATGAAATGTTAAGTATTTAGTAAATTATCAGTGGCTACATTATTTGTCCTTGATTTAACTTTAATGTGTAAAAAGTGTTCAATGAAGAATTAATAGTTCTAGTTTTGGTAAATAAATTATTTATGTAATTTACATAGTTTGTGATGGTTTTTCTTGCATTGCGTTCAATTGTTTACCTAAACGTCTCACGCATCGTTATTGTTGCGACGAAATAAGTTTGTTGTTGTCGAAGAAAAAGACGCTTTTAATTCGGCTCGATTTTACAAGTGGAGATTTTCGAAACGATAAACGCTTTATTTTTAACAGCCGGCTATCTTTCTTTTGTATAAGACCAAATAAATGCCTTTATCTCTTAAATAAATTGCGTTACTAACTGTGCGGGCAGCCACTTAAATTTCGCAACACTTCTTTGTGTAGTTTGGGTCAATTTAGCTACTCTGAAAATTGCTCGACATTTCCTTACGAAGACTATTTGCTTTCGACCGCCTTCCAAGTCTATTGACGATAACTGATATATTTGAGAAAATGCTTACACGCCAATATATTGTATTCGCCAGCCTTGATTATAAGGGCCACTTAACACATATCTTGACTCATGGTTCAAATTAGCCTCGTCCAAAGAGACGGATATCTCGTAATTCATTTATTTTCAAAAGCAAATGTGGTATGGCGTGGTCAGTAAAGTAGCTGCATTACATGCTTGAAAAATAAATTGTGTATTATACAACATCAAATCGCGTAAATGCTTCCTCGGAGATCAGTACTGGTCATAACTGTATTATTCACCGGCTTATCACATGCAATCTTAGATTGGACATCATGCTACGCTTTTAATGTGAATATACTCCCTTGCGGGGGGGGTCACAATAACAGCAAATACTTTAGCTGGTTTATCAAAAAAATTCAGTTTCATTGCACTAAGACGCAGTTGATGGAAAATTGAAGACGTATTGTTTTACCTCTTCTCGAAATTCTTTTTTTATGAGAATATAAGCGAAGCTCTGGGTAATGTTCGAGCTTTTATATCCTTGTGAACAGAAACTTTAAAAAAAGTTGCTTTTGTTTCTTCGTTCTTTGTTTCCTGCATTGTGGCCATTCTCGTGATTTTTTTCTAATATGAAATTGCTATTCGAAAATGAAAACCGCTTTTGATACTGTTGCTGTTTACCACCCACCCGATTCAAGTAGTTTTTCCAACAAATTCCTGATATGCTTGCTCTTTATAAAGTATCTATGAAAGCTACACAGCAACGAATAGCATTCGTTGTGCGCACCGTCCAAACAAGGACGCCAAGAATTTCTGGGCTCTGTTTGACGTGTTAAAAACTACATGGAAACGTTGTTTTGGTTATGTTTTGATGTGTGGTGCGAAAATAGCCTGTTGAAATTGCTACGTGGTTGCTACTTTGATGCATATTACACAAAGACTACGTCATCCATGACCAACTAAACTCTGAAGCGTCGTTGCTCAGCGAAAATACAACTCATTGTGAAGAGGCGCACGCGCCCAAGTTGAATTTTTGATTTCGGAATGTAGCAAAAGCAAGCACGAAGATAATGAACGTCTTTCAACTTGTGAGCTGGAATTCCTACGTGGTAGACTGAAAAATTCTTCGTGACATCAACTCATGCTAAAAGGAGGGCCTCTAATGGTCTAACATTAACAATGTTGACCGGAAAGCGATCACTGATGCGCCTATAAAATGAACGCTATGCTTTGTTTTAAATTCAAACACATAACGACTTGTGGCTCAAACTGTGTTCAATTGTCAAAGAAGGAGCGCAGCAACATCGAGTAGCATTCAAAATCCACTATCAGCAATATAATCATGCCTAAAACTAAAGGTAAGGAAAGTTTTACAATTGTCCGCCATATACTGTTTGTTGTCCATGCTGTACTTGAATCGTGCTGGCATGAGTCGATAGGTTTATGCGTTAGCAAGAGATTGTTCAACATCGTTTGTAGTATTTTTGTAACAACAACTAAACAATTATTCTAAGCACGAAGCAGTATTTCTTGTTCGGAGGTTGTTAGTCCATTTGAAACTTATTAGAAAAAATAAGATGTGTTGTTTGCGAACTGCACTTATCCGTAAATACAGCCCAGTTCTCAAATAATCGTCGAAGTCGTATCAGTCTTCTTTAGAGCGCTAGCCAATTGCGAAACTGTATCTGCGACTCTTGGTTAAGAGTTAAGACCCCTCAAGGTAGTATAACCTTTTGAGATCCAGCCCTTGTATGAGACAAAATTGTCAATTGAACTAAATATTTATAATTGTTATTAGAAGTTCTGGAGTGACAATGAGATCAGTCAGTGGGAATGCTTGCAGATAATTTATGTTTAATAATTCCGACAGCATGATGAGTCAATAAAAAGTTTAAATGACGAAGGAAATTATGCAACATTTCCTAGCTCTTTGTTTATCGTCATTACAATGAAGTAGATGTCAATTGAAAGGATAGCTAGCCTGTACTATTTGAAATCTTTATGATTTTGCCAATCCTGGCGACTTACATCATAAAGATATTTTAATTCTTTGTCACAGTACTCCGAGGAATTTGCATATTGGCTGTTCGATTAAGTATAATAGAAGTGCTGACTGCTGAGTTTGAAAAAAATATATTTAAACACGAGTTTATCTGTGAACTATTTCCGCATTCTGATCATTTATCGTTTGGTGAAGAATGAAAAAGCGTAATGAAAAATTTCATGGTCATTTTTTGGCCTAAAACAGCTTCCTTGAAGCTTTTATGAAGGTTTTTTCCATTTATAGTAATTTTAACATGTTTATGTGCACACAAATCGTAAATTGAGCTGATATTTATGCTTTCTCTACCTTCCCTTATGCATAGTTATGTTCGATAAACAATACATAGTTATAAAGAAAATGGTTTGAGCCCGGGAGTATCTTTAGCTACACAATGAAAAAATATACCTACAATCTTGACTTAAAAAGACATCGTAATCGCGACTACTGATTTTTTACAAAACATCGTACTCAGATTGATGACGGCTACGTGTTGTTGTTGTCGCAACAATGTTTTCGCGCCAAAATGACGTAATTTCTACTCGTAGTCGTACTCGTAGTCTTTGCTAAAGCTCGCTATTGTCCATGGAATTCAACTGATTACCTGCACAAGCAAAGATATTCGTCAAAATTAATTGATGAAGAGCAGGTTGTACCACTCACTTTTATTTTATATTCATGATACGATCTATAATTTCCAGGTTTTCACAACGTTGTCATCGTGGGTGACAGCAAGGTTGGTAAAACATGTTTACTATACGCGTACAAAGACGGTAAAATGCCTCAAGAAGAGAAAATTCACGATTTCCTTCCAACCTTTTCTCGAAAAGTCAAAGTTGACGGTCGCAAGATGGAGTTAGGGATTTGGGACACCTCCGGAGATTCGCAATACGATGGTTTACGAAGACTCGCATACCCGAGTGGTGATGTCTTTGTCCTATGCTATTCGGTGGATAATCGCCAGAGCTACGAGAATATCCCGAAAAAGTGGCTTCCGGAATTGAGAAAATTGGGGCGACCAAACGCACCTGTAGTTGTGGTAGGGTTGAAACAGGATTTAAGACCACGTACCAGTCTGATGCCGAGTTCGAATGGTGGCACAGATGGAACGAGCACACGTGACCATTTTGTAGCGTACGACGAAGGTCTTCAACTAGCCAATGAGGTTCGAGCGTGGGGTTTTCTTGAATGCACGGCACGCAGAGAGGATAGCGCTTGCAATGTTTTCGGAGAGGTGGCCGGGGCCATTCTAAAACAGGAGAAAGAAAGAAAGGGATCCAAGTAACATTTGCTAAAAAATGATGGCATGCTTGCTGCTTATTCATGTATATATAACTTTCTATTATAATACTAGCATTTTTTACTATGAAGGAATTACGATGTATGTTTTCAAGTTTCCGTTGCCTTTTGCAACGGCCATCGACAGAGACGTAACTAGAGCTCCTCAACATTAGAAAGGCGGCGAGGAATAAAGTCACCCGGCTAAAGGGCGGCATTTTGTATATTATTGCAAATTAAATCGCCTTGAATTTCAATTATCTTCAAAAGACTTTCTTGTCCCAGCGAGTTCTAAAGTTGAATCCGACCTGGAAGTTTAGAAGTTTTTATGGTTTATTGAATTTAATTTATTTCTGTTAATTGCAACAGTTGTAATAGATTTTAATTTATTTTATTTACATTTAATATATATTTCATTCAATATTCCATATTTAATTATCCAAACTTGAGTAAATATGCATATATTACATTCAACACATTGTAAATTAAGAAACTACATACTTCAATGCAACTACATTATCCGTTAGTCCATGGAGGAAGGAATTGCAATGCAATGGAGGAAAGTATTCCCACGTTCTCATGCACGAGTTCTGCATTTCTTTTTAAAATTTGATCGACTAATGTGTTAATGAATATGTTCGAAGTAGATGGATGTTAATGCTTAATTTGTCCAATAATGCTCACGTCGCTCTTTACATTTGTGATTGCGTAATCGGTCACCCATAAGAATACGTTATACTAGATATACTGTTGCAAGTGTCATTGCATGGACATTTAGCGAAGTATGTTATGGCTCAGTTGCTCGATAAAAGATCAGCAATAAGCAGTGATAAGTTTTGCGCACGTTTTTTCTACCTGTTTTTTAAAAGCTGTAGCTATGTTAAAACTACAAAACACTCCAAGGTATCAATGTATATCTTAAATTGCTTCACTCGTCCACAGGTTTCGATTATAAATTCTACCAATTTACATGAGGTATGCTTACTCAGAAAAAGTTAAATGTATTAGACTAAAGTCTCCGAGACAAAAATTCGTCATTGCGTCACCGAAAGCGATTATATAAGTAGGTACCAGGGCCCTTGCTAAATGCACGTAATACGGTACTTGCTCGGCGATCTTATTTGAATAGTACTCACATTAAATGTTCGAATATACTGCATAGATTATACTGTGAATGGACTCCAGTAGGCGATCACATTAGCAGCAAATACTTTTCGCTTGTTCGTGCGCAACAGACATGTCATGCTAATTTTAGGATGTTCAAACTAGTTAATAAATATCACCAGGTCATATTTTCAAAGACTGAACCTGCGTAAGACGCTTTTAAAGAATAGGGGGAGAGGCACTGAGTTTTTAGCAGCAATTACAATATGTGCCGAAATAGTGCATTCACCCAACATAGAATGCATGTTCTGTATTTTCAAAGATTAATTATGACTCTCTCAAACCAATATTCATGCACAAACGCACTAAAAATGAATGTCTTCCATTCTTTTCAAAAAAAGCTAATGCTGAACCTGTCTTGGCATAGATTGAACTAGTCGTTAAAGTCTGATGTCCACGATTCAATGTCGTTTTAACATGTACAAAGTACATCCCATATATTATCCTTCCTTGTTTTTCCTTTTCTTTTTGAAGTCATTCATTTGTGTTCAATTGGATGAACAACATGGGATTGTGGTGGATATTCCATACGCGTCGGTTCTTATTCGCTCTTTAAATAGCTTTGGCTTATAAGTTTGGATTGTGTTTAGGAATCAATCTTTTAATGAGATAAATTCTTTCTCACACGACGCCCTACCACATGGTGTTGCATACCTTTAGAGAATAGAATGGTATTGTATTTTTCAATATTAACTTTTATCCTGTTAAATGCTGAGACACACTGTCGCTGTCGCTATGTCCTTCCGTGCAGCGACGGGATTGCGCGGTTACAAAGCCGTGTCGCTTTGTCGTTTCATGAGTTCAATATTAACTTTTATCTTTCGTGTCGCTTCGTCGCTCTGTCGTTTCACCGTAACGACCAAGCGACAGCGACAGTGTGTCTCGGGCTTAAGCTCCCACGACCCTATAATTACTCAGACTTTTATTCCTCCACGATGCCGACTGCATTGTAAACTTGAAAGACTGATTTGTCAATTTTGTTACTGCGCATACTTGTGTAAAAATTGTTACTACGTGTTTTAGAAGACACAATTTCCTCTCATGAATTTTCTTAAAAAGTGGATTGGACTCTTTTAACACGTAGTCAGCAGACAATGAAAAATAGAAATTTTGAACAGGCAAATGTTTCAACACCCTAAATTTTTCCAATTATATTCAGTCATCTTCCACACCACTAACATGCAGCTCATTCGCTGTCTTTCTTTCTAATATTTCTGCTTTCGGGCATTCCTTGTGAATGATGAGATAAAGATGATTTTTAATATTTTTATCCTACAGAAGTTGCCCATTTGCAGTGCGTATAGGAGGAATTTTCACCAAAATCAAATGACAAAAGCAATTACTGTCATTGCGATAAGAATAGAATGTATTTCAATTCTTCTTACTACGACACAGTTGTTTTCATGTACAATAAACACAAGGACCAACAGTGTGTAAGAAAACACACTTATTTTAATGCTTGATCTAGTATAATCACGCAGAGACCCTTTATTGGATATGGTGGAAAATGCGAAGTCTCTCCTCTTCTAAAGATAAACAGTTGTAGTACGAACTCTTCATTTTCAACTGTATGGGGAGTGGAAAATGCGGGTCTTTACTAAAAATGTTTCTCATTTCGAGTCACGCTTACAACACGGACACCACATTTTTCACTTTATGCCTTCATACAGTGGAAAATGTGGAGTCCAACTAAAAATTTTTAACTTTTCGTTCATCGGAATGATTCAAAGAGAAAAATTACGCGTTTCGAATGTTTTCTTGTTTCTTGTGCGCTCGCAGCATTAAATATTCCCCGTTTGAAACGCAATTAATCGTTTCCTTTTAAAATTCCCCCGAAAAAGGGAAGCCACCTGAAAAAATTCTATTTTTATTAACCTTGCATACCGTTGTGCCTAAAGCATTTTTTCCCAAGCATTGACGGTAGTTTCCTGGGCTATGATCGCGGAGCCAATAAAGGCCTCTGAGAATATTGTGCTCAAGTGATAAATACATTGCATGGTAGAAATTTTTCTTGATTTTTTCATTTAATTGCGGCACGACAATGCGGCACGACAATCATGCATTTGCGGCTGTTTACCACCCACTTAAGGTCACGTCTTTAACTAGTTTCAATTGTATTTTTCATCAAATTATCGATTTGAACAGCAAAGCAAAAAAAATTGCGTTGGGTTTGCATCGTCCAATGAATCGTAGTAAGAATTTCATGATTTTGGTGCAGTGTTGGAAAACTACTTAAAATTGTTGTCTGTGTATATTCTGAACTGAAGTGACACAAAGACCGCTCCATACTGAACACAATAGAAACCTTAGCAAAATACATGTCTTGAAGAGGCACGCCCACCGAAGTTGAATTTTTCATCGCAGGAAATGGCAAAACTTTACTCGTCGACATGGAATCGTGAAGAGAATCATTGTCTATCAACTGTTTAGTTAGAATGTTTTCATGTTCACATAAAATATTGTTCATGACATAATTACATATGTCATTATTATATCATGAGATCATCTCGTGAAATCATCTCAGCTGGTGTCTGACTAATAGCAATCAACGAAGTCCTTATGAAAGGAATGCTAGCTTTGTTTCAAATTCAAACGCACACCGGCTTTGGCTGTCAAAGAGTTAAGGAGCACATAAAAGCAGTATTGAGTCAAAGAATTAAGAAGCATATAACAGCATCGAGTAGCTACAATTCAAAATCCACTATCAAACTGTTACATCATGCCGAAAAGTAAAGGTAAGAAAAGATTTTACAATTGTAACGCATGTTGTTTGCTGTCTATGATGTATTTCAACGTTTTAATCGTGCTTGCATGAGTTGATAAGTATACATGCATTAGCAAAAGCAATCTTTTCCCAACGTCGTTTGTAGAATTCTTTTACCAAAAACAAAGCCATCATTCTATATAAGCCAATGATTCTTGTTCCCGAGTTTGTAAATGCTTATCAAGGTGTTCAACAATAATAAGATTTGCTTTCGCTGAAGTACAACTTATCCATAACTTACGCACGGAGTTGTCAATTAAGTTGAACAAGTTTATTGTAGTTCTAAAAACATCCTGGAGTGACAGGGGGGGTTAGTATGTGAAAATTTCGCTGAAGTACAACTTATCCATAACTTACGCACGGAGTTGTCAATTAAGTTGAACAAGTTTATTGTAGTTCTAAAAACATCCTGGAGTGACAGGGGGGGTTAGTATGTGAAAATGCCTGCGGATAACTGTTTACAGATTAATCACTGCTGACCGGATGAGTACAGAAAATATTTGAACGATTTCATTAAGGTCATAAAATTTTTGTAACTTCACGAAGGAATGGAGTTTTGCAATCTTCTCAGAAAACCTCGAATTTTCCTGTTATAATCATCACAATCAATTTTTCTTCAATTGAAAAGATGGCATGTCCGCAACATCTGAACTCTTATTCATTTTCAACATCCATGAACTACCGGAAACTTGATGTCATTGTGTGTATGAAATAGTTAAACGATTTCAACACGAAGCTATAAAATATCAGCAAAATATCCTTCGCTACATATACCTACATTGAATGAACATTGAGATCGAAAGACTTAAGGAATGTTAATTGTTCAACGAGGCTAAAGTAACGAAAGAAGAGAAAGTTTGAAAGCTTATATCAAAAAAGAACATATTATCCTGTTTTATCATCTTCAATGGCATGTCTGTAACACTTGAAGTCTTTCAATTTTTGAAATCTTTGTCCATTTTCTATGGGGGAAGAAAAAACTCGTTTAAAGAAATCGCCAAGCGAAGTTGCTACACAAGTTGTTTTGGCTATTCAATCACGTACAAAGAAATTGCTGAGTTTGAATGAATATATTTAAAAGCAAGTTAATTTGTAAAATGTTTCGCGTGCTAGACATTCCTCGTTTTGTTAAAAAGTTAAAGTGTTTATTAAAGTTTTTGTGCTATAGTTCCTTGGTGATTGTTATGGAACTGCGTGGATTCCTTTACATTTATCCATTTATAGTTGTCACTAAGTTTTTTTAGCAAAATATTTATTGAGACTGGCTAATTGTTGCTATGATTATATTTTCTAGTGCTTTCAATAATTTTCGAATAATTTTACCCCTCTTCAATCGACTTGATCTTCTGCTTGTATTCAATTATGATCTTCGCTCTAGTCAGAGTCAAGGGTCCATTACATCTCATCGCAAAAAGATGCCTAAATTTCTTGAAACGTTAAGATGTTTGTTCAAATATTGAAGAAATTTTTCAAATAAACAAAAAAATAGCTTGTCTAAAATGTCAAAAAAATAGCGTGAAATTGATGTGGAGACATGTCCATACACGGGAAAATTTTCAATAATTATGAGACGATTAGAGCCCAGATGTCTGAATTCTAAACTTGTCTGATTTTTCCTGAAACATCTTGAAACATCTTAGACTGAGGCATTTCAACTCGAAGATTATTTGGCATCGTCTGTATTATGACGCAAAATTGTCTTCGTCTATTGTCTTTGTCGTCTTTGTTTCAATAGATCTCTTACAAATAGGTAAAAAAAAAGAAGCAAATTCCGTCTACTAGAATACGCAAAATTGATCAATGATCCTAATCTAAACCCCTGATCTTATTGTACAAGGTTATAAACGATATATTGTTAAAAGATTGGATTAGAGATAAGTTTGGCGTGCTGTAAAACAGGGAATTATTACAAAAAACTTAAAGATTTAGCACACTTTCTTCGTAAATTGATGATACGATCTTAAATTTCCAGGTTTTTTCAACGTTATCATCGTGGGTGACAGTAAAGTTGGCAAAACATGTTTGCTATACTCGTACAAAGGCGGGAAAAGGCCAGAAGAAAAAATTCCCGGTTTTCTTCAAACGTTTACGTGCAAAGTTAAAGTTAACTGTAAAAAAGTGGAGTTAGGGATTTGGGACACCTCTGGTGATTCGCAATACGACGGTCTACGAAGACTGGTATACGTGAGTGGGGATATCTTTGTCGTTTGTTACTCGGTGGATAGTCGCCAGAGCTTCGAGAACGTCACGAAAAAATGGCTGCCTGAATTGAGGAAATGTGGACAGCCGAACGCTGCAGTCGTTGTTGTGGCAACGAAAAAGGATTTGCGACCACGTACCAGTGTTATGCCAAGATCAGTCGATGGCATAGATGGAAGAAGTACGCGTGACAGTTTCGTGACGTATGACGAAGGTCTTCAACTAGCTCACGAGATTCGAGCCAAGGCATTTGTTGAATGCTCGGTGCAAAACGAGTCTAGCACTTGCAATGTTTTAGGAGAAGTGGCCAACATCCTTTTAAAACAATTAGCAAAGGAAAAGGAGAAGAAAAGAGACTCTTAGTAACATCTGCAAACGGTGATGTTAAATTTGCTGAACATCACTTTATAGCTACATACATAATGTTTCGTCTTTTTTTGGAGTGGTCGTCGATTGCGACCTCGCGCTGAAAATAGCTGAAATTGGATTCAAATTCATCTTGAAAAAGGCAGATAGCTTAATTGTTGATTTCATTTTGCCGATCAATTATAGAACTTTCTACGGTTTCTTGAATTCATTTTATTCCTGTTCTTGCAACAGTTAATTTATCTTATTTACATTTATTTAGTATAAATATACATGTATATATAGGTACAGATATGTCACACTCAATACTTTATAATAAATACCGTTCGTGGTAATAAATAACTATTCATTAAACTAGGCCTTCCCATCATGCATTGCGACAAATATTTACCGTTCACGTTTCAAAATCACACAGTGGACAGGCAACTTTTACTTCAATTTTCATTTCTTCTCATTTACAGAGAGAACATGTGAATTGCTTACATGACAAAACGTCCTTTAATCCTTTTGAGTCCCTTCTCCTTCTTTCTTTTTTTTGCTTCCAACGCCACTCTCGACGTTTCTTCAAAAGCTTCCCTGACGCCATCATTTAACAAAGCAGATGTCTCTATAAATCTCGTCGCTCCAATACTCGCCGCCATACACAAACCTTCTTCATAGCTCACAATCTTATGCGCTTTATTACCGTTCAAAAAATCCATGATTGCCAAGGTCCTTCGACGAATGTCCTTTTTTGTTGCGACCAATATCCGTGGTACGTGTGGGCTGTAACGCTCCAGTTCAGGTAACCACTTTTCACGAACATTTGACAGGGAGTCTGGATTGTCGATAGCGTAGCATATCACAAAACAGTCACACTTTGGATAGGCAAGAGGACGTAAGCGATCATACCCCTCTTGACCCGCCGTATCCCACAGACCAACTTCTATGTCCACCCCCTCGATATGCAAATCGTGTGTGTACGTTTCAAAGACCGTCGGGATATACTTAGTTGGAAATCTTTCTCCTTTGAACGACATCAACAGACACGTTTTGCCGGTGTCTCCGTCGCCTACCGTCACGATATTGAGGGTCTTCTTTGTATCTGATTTCACTACAAAAGATTTCAGAGAATGAGATTGAAATTCGTTTGCTGCCTAGAGAAATATATGTATATACTTGGGAACTGTTTTCGTCAGTCTAGCAAAATTTGATGACCTTTACCAACAGGGTGTCATTGGATGGTTTTCTAAAGCGTAATCGAGTTTATTTCAAAGCCTCGCGTTTCTGAAGGAGGCTTTGAAATATAGTCGAAAATTTACCAAAGTCTCTCGTTTGAATTCAATTGGTTTTTCGTATGAATATAGGAAATACTCAGAGTTTAATTTTTTCTCTTGATAAATATGAATAAATGAATGAAATGTTAGCGAAATTTCTACTTCGCGATTTAAGATCAAATCATTCATTTGGCGTCATGAAGACTAAACCTTCAACCAGAGAACTTTTTGGAGCATGCGCCCTTTCTGATTAACGAATAAGCTGAACATTGCATCATCTGTTTGTGGTTTTACAAACTTGACGATTTGGCGTCATGTCACTGTCACAATATCCCCTAACATATTTTAAAGAAATTTGAATGTTTCTACTGCCACAAGAAAAAGCAAATCGCGCAAGCACTCCTGAACATACTGTGCATGAAAATCCGCTGTCCTGCTTTTACACCTTAAAATTCTAACGAACCAACTGATGGTTTTCGCAATTCAGCCTTTCAACAGTCATTTTTGACTTCTATTTAATAAAGGGCTGGCATTGTTCTACCTCAGCAAAATGCTTCCTAGCTACTTGGTTGAAAGAAACAAGTTATCTGTTAGCGATGCTCATGTATCTTATTAAACTTTGCCATCAGTTTCAATAGCTGAGATTTCAACTTACTTGTCATGCCTTTGTTTCTTTTAAAGCTTAGTGCTTTTGCCAACTTCTTTATGGACATTTTTTCACAACTTCAAACACACAAATGAAGATTTATTTTTTGTTTCTATGCTGTCTCTTCTGGTTAGAGCGTTGATTTTAACTTGCTGTATGAAGATATATTTCTTGTCTCTGCAGTCTCTTCTGGTTGGAGCGTTCGTAAATTTGCTGTGTGAAGATGTATTTGTCGTCTCTTCGCTATCACTTCTGGTTAGAGCGTTGATTTAAACTTGCTGTATATGAAGATGTTTTCTCGTCACTTTGCTATCTCTTCTGGTCGGAGCGTTGATACAAACTTTCTTTTGTGTTTTGATCGAATGAAACGCTACTTGACTTTCTCTCTTATTTAACATACGGCAGCGGCAATAAAGATGACGCTCGCACGTCCGTTTCCTTGATGACGACAGTCAATGACATAAATCTACTGAATTGAAGGCATAGTCATTACATAGACTAATAAAAACTTATATAGTAATTTTTAATTTTGAAATTATGTGGTATTTTTGTGAAGTGAAACTGAACGAACCCACATACATAAACTATGATCGCGGACACTTTACATAGCAAACGCGACTTTGCACGAGTGTACATCGCCCTAATATTGGCTAAAAATTAGGCTGTGTGTTTGGTGCAATTTCACGTTTTCAATTCATCATATCATAAATCAACAATAGAATCGCAATATCACGTTGAGGCGATTTTCCAACCCACTTATTTTGTGAAACCGGAATTTAACCTCCGGTCGCCGCCTTCTTTTGTAAATTTTATAGACTATGCGGCTATCTTCAGGAAAGGACGTTTTCATTAACTATTAAGTCAAAAGTTTGCCTTTTTCTAAAAAGCAACATGATTAACGTATGTGTATAGATTTCATTTGTGAGGCATACTAAAATCAACCAAAGAAGGGTGAGACGTGATGTCTTATGAGGATACGATAATTGTACTGTATAATTATTTAATGCCGGAAAAGTATTTTTGACTCACCGGATGCGAACTTGACTTCTCTTTTGTAGAAAAAACTCTGTATATATAAATAGCTGTAGAATCATAACTATGGAGTCGGCTATAGCTTTCTATCAATACGCAAAGCTTAGGGATGCCGCATTCAGCATCCTGAAGGGAAAAACGTGCTTCTCATCCAAAAGCTAAAAGCCTTGAAAACGCTGGAAACAACTAGAATCACAGAAACGATGTTTCACCTGGATAAATTGCGTGTTGGTGAAACTCGTTTCGATTGTTTTATTCGTCAGCCGATTGAAAGTACGTCACGTCCGCCAATTCTTTAAATTCGACCCCATCACCTTAAAGTCAAGTTCACATGCCAATTTATTCGGACGTTAGTGACTTAAGCAAAAATTCATTGTTTGACGTGATTTTTTCATAAACTTCATCTAGTAGTCATTGAAACAATTTGGATTCCAATCAACTTGTACAAATGCAGCTACGTCGGAACCATGCATGTCAATGATGTCATAGCTGAAATGCAAATTCAGAGTTATATTAATCATTATGGAGACTTAGGTGCGGCTTCCACTTGACAAATTTCAAGCTGAGTTTTCAGGTTTCAACTTTCATCGCCTTATAACATCGTGTTCTTATTTTGAAGAAAATTGCTCATTGATTTGCCTTTAAGTATTTAAATACTAAAAACTTGACATGACCACTAAAGTATTTTTGGCATCGAGCGTATCCTCGCTGCATTGAGAATGTAGAAGCCAATATGTCAACTGGATATTGATGTTTTCAACAAAATTTCTATCTATAAGAACAGCTAATGCATTTTGTATAAATCATTGTTTATGTTTTGCGTTAGCGAGAATTTGCAGTCTTAAAAACTAAAGTCTTGCGTCAAGTTCGTCATTTTTATTTTATATCTTTTACTATGTCTTCGATATCTTTCTTTTCGAACATCTTGAACTTGTTTTCAGGCGTAATGCTGCATAACTGCAACGAATAAAAATAATGAATGAACAACACGTAAATGACGTAATTACGAGGAACACTATCGGGAGTCTGGGGATTACTTTCGAGTTACATAGGCAAGAACACTTCTGCGATTTTTTCTAGAAAAAGGAGGAATAATTGGGGAGTTTTTGCTTTAGTTCAGCGAAAAACTTTGTGGTCGTTTACCTCAACATTAGTAGCATTTAATTTTTCCTCCATAACTTGTTTAAGAATCGTCAATGCTTGCTTAGTAGCTTCTTGTAAAGTCATTGACTGAAAAAAGTTATTAAACGTTGGATTATTTTGTACCTAATACTCACAAAACCAACTTAAACTCATCTTCAACAGTAAAAAGTTCGTTTGTAGGCAATGTTTCTACCTTATGATAGACTTCTTGTAACGACTGTTGAGCCCCTTCAGATGCCGAACCAATTGCTTTTGCTTCATATTGAATAAATGTACCTGATGGATCTAAATGATATCTGGATGGATAAAAAGACAGATTTAGAAAGCTACTTTCAAAAAATCATGTAATATCATAAAACTGAAGTGAGAATTATGATTTCATCAAGGTGACATCAGCAACTGATGAACTTTTAACAGATTATGGTTGTCAAGGCTTTCTTGTTAGTCCCAATGTTGTTTATGAGAAGACAAATGTATACCATAGTCAAATGTTGTTTATGAAGAGAGATATGTATACCATAGTCAAATGTTGTTTATGAAGAGAGAGATGTATACCATAGTCAAATGTTGTTTATGAAGAGAGATGTATACCATAGTCAAATGTTGTTTATGAAGAGAGAGATGTATACCATAGTTAAATGGTGTTTATGAAGTGGGAGACGTATACCTTATTTAAATGTTGTTGATGAAGAGAGATATATATACCATAGTTAAATTTTGTTTATGAAGAAAGAGATGTATACCTTATTTAAATGTTGTTGATGAAGAGAGAGGTGTACACCATAGTTAAATGTTGTTTATGAAGTGGGAGATGTATACTTATTTAAATGTTGTTGATGAAGAGAGAGATGTATACCATAGTAAATGTTGTTTATGAAGAGGGAGATGTATACCATAGTTAAATGTTGTTTATGAAGAGAGATGTATAGCATAGTTAAATGTTGTTTATGAAGAGAGATGTATACCATAGTTAAATGTTGTTTATGAAGGAAGAGATGTATACCATAGCCAAATGTTGTTTATGAAAAGGAGATGTACACCAAACACAAAGAAAATTTGAACAGTATTCAAATTTAAATAAAAAAACAACTTACAATTGAGGTCCATTTTCATCAAAGCCACCAAACAGAAGAGCAACTCCAAATGGTCTACTCTATGGGCAGTTTGAACAAGAATGATTTTTTCAAATTAGCAACAAATTGTCTAAAATATTCACTGTAATAAATTACTAATATATACATACCATTGCACCAGATCTTGCATTGTCATCACCAAACTCTAAAGCAAGGTTTGAAACAGCTTGTGTAACACTCTCTACGGACATTGGCTCATTGTATGTGAACCAGTGGTTCTGAAAATATGCATTTCATTAAATGTGGTGCCTCAAAGAAACTCAAAATCAATTTTTGTCATTAATTACATCACAAACCTGTGCTTCTACTCTAGCCTTATCAACCATAGTTCTTGAGTCTGCTATTAAACCACTGACGGCACATCCTTTTAAGAAAAGATTGTACCTAACACTCAATTGTTGAATTTACATATGAAACATTTGCTTAGGTCCAGCTCCAGTGAAGGCACATCTTGGTGAGTATAAAACCTAACACTTAGGTATATAATTTATATATTGAGTATTCAGTAAAGTGTTTTCTAAACCTTGGAAAATGCATATGGAAAAGCTTTCATGTAGACTATGTGCCTAGCCTAGGTATAATTGCTCAGGAATGCTTTTATAGTTTTTTCAAACTGTAATTCGGTTATATGACAGTAAATATAACAAAGCCAACCTATATGACTATCTATTTCGATAATTTTCTCTATGCTTGATGGTTCCATTAGAGGTGACGTAATTCTTTTCTCTACAGCCAAAACAACCCCCTCCGATGTTTGAATACCAATTGCAGTTGATCCAAGCTGAAAGACAAGTTAATTTGACCATGATTCTTCATATGGAGAATAAAATTATCAATGGTTGTTTCCAACCATATGTTGTCAGTCAGTTGTCTCTTGGCAACAAGTATGCAAAATGTTGCCTTCATCATGCAAATGCATGCTGAAGAAAATATCCTAATTATATGTTATTCGTTAGTTTTACTTTTATGGCCTCAATTGCATATTCCACTTGGAACAATCTTCCCTCAGGTGAGAAAGTATTGACACCTCTACAAAGTAAAATGTCAAAAACATCATTTTAAAACGATCGAAGCTTTTATGGCCAAAAATAACGATAAAAATCATACCTGTCGTACTCTGAACGGGTTAAAAACATTTTCGGTTTAGAATATTAGCTGTAATTTCAGAAATATAGATAATTTTAACGATTACACAAGAAAAATGTGATAAATATCTCTAACGAGTCTGCTGTATGAGCTACCAAGTAGTCAGCAGAGTACTCAAGCCCAATCTTCCTTCTTCCTCTCTCAAGAAAAATGGCGTCAAAAATTCCAATTTTGCGAACACTTTTACAGGGCTCTCTGCTTCGTAAAACTACGAAGGTTGGTAATAAACATCCTTTAAATAGGTTTCAAAGTGCGATTACTATTTAAAAAATTTTTTACGCTCATAACTTATTGCTTTTCTTGATATTAAGGCTACATATGCTCGCTGTTTTGGTACGTCAGCTGCTTATCAAGAGGTATTGAATTGTCTAATAGGCAACATTTGCATTATTTTGTACAAGTATTTATGTTTTATGTTGGAATTTCTAAATCTACTCATTTTTTTGCAATGGTGATATCAGTTATCCGTTAGTGTGAACTATGGTCTTAGTAAGATGGGCACTCAACGTTACGTAGCAGTTCTTTGATTTTTGAATCCAGCCAACTAGTTGTCTTGTCTAGAGTGTGCGCACGGCATTGAGTGATAGTAGGAGAAGAAGTATACTGGCCTGCCTGCAAGTCATGTTATGCAAATTTCAGAACATCCTTTGTAAATGCACACAGTGCAGGGTGTATTAAAAAAAGTAGACAATTCTGAATCGCTTATTAGAATTTTAGCCAAACATCTCATAGATTTGTGCTTGTGTGGGTACTTAAGTATCTTCAGTTCAATCTAAACACTAAGAAGACATAGGAGTTAGAGAATTTCTGAAAATTTGATGAGTAAGTTTGCGTTACATTTTCTTTTGCTTTTTATTGCATAGAGGGCTGCACCTTCTGAAACAGTTGTTTACGCCTCTTAAAAACATCTTAACCCCCCAAGCTTTTATCAAAACAAATTATAGTGCTGCTGAACTGAGTTTTTTTATCAATGTTTAAACTCTACACTATAGTACCACTGTGTGTACATAAATCAAATTTGTTTTAGTGTTACATTGAAATTAGGATACATACTAAAGTTTAAGTGTAACATTGAAGTTACGATACATACTAAAGTTTCCATATGTACTTGCTAAAATCTATGATATGTTTGGCTAAATTCATAGTCTATCAAACACTTGAAAATTTCACTGTAAATGTGTATAACTTGAGTGCACAATGTACATGAGTATAACAAAGAACAACAAAGTATAAATGAGTATAACACAATACAAGGAGTATGTAAACATTAGGAACATTTTGTTCTGCAACATGGTGCTGTATATTTAATTCCATTACTGGTTCAGTTTAAACTTGTTGGCATTTTTTTATTCATGGAAAATGCAATTGACATGGTGACAATACGATCAATGGCATGCACATCAAGATATTTTTTAACAAAAAAACTCAACTGAGCAGTTCTGCTCATTGCTCATGTTGAAATTTTGTTCATGATCTTGTGGGAATGTTCCCTTCCATGTTTGCTTTGGATTGAGATAAGGTGTCCTGACATAAGTTTTGCCATATAAATTACCAACTTAAGAATATCCTTTCTTCCTTTGGTTACATTTTATTTAGTCTCTCTACAATGTTCCTGAAACCAAGGTAACAACTTTGGCAAATGGTCTACGCGTTGCCACGGAGAATTCTGGTATACCAACAGCAACTGTAAGTTATGTGCATATAATAACCACATGATTGTGAAATTTTGAATTTAATAATTGACCAACACTTATCTTGGAAAAGTAATGCTGAGAAAGTTTGCAAAAAAATAGTAGCTCGTATCTTTGCTCTTAGAAAATTAAAAGAATTCACAAACAATCAAACACTTATGTCTATTTACAATTCCTTGGTACATTCCTACTTCACATATTGCTGTAAAGTTTGGGATGTATTGGGACAAACTCAGTTTAAAAGGCTGCAAAAGCTTCAAAATAAAGCTGTAAAAATTATTTTAAACATGAATGTCGATCATCTTATTATGCATTTAATGAATTGACTGGGGAACAACTTACTTGAAAAGAAAAGCAAAAATAAATTTGATTTTTAAACTATTAAAAACTCAAATTCACTGATTAGATTGTTTACAAAAGAGACATTACAAGTTACGATCTACGTAATATTTGTTAATAGATTCTCTGAATGTATCAAATACTGACTTCTTGAAGAATAGTTTCTTGTTGGTATGATAGGGCTTCTGTTTCTAATTCAATTTAATTAGAAATCAGAGTAACAAAAATGTGTCTATTTTTCAAAATAAAATTGCTGCTTGCATTTTATCACTTAGTTTACATAGTTTGTAATTTTGAAAAGTAAAAGTTTTTCCAGATTTTATAAATGACTTTTATTAAGCTTTTGACTCAGTGCTTCGATAATGCCTGGATTACCAATTTTCAAGCTTAGTTGTAATTTATATTTAATAATAGAATAAACCTATCTTGAGCATTATAGATAGCTGCTGTTATTTATTCCTTTGTGATTTTCCATTGCATATAATTGTATTCTTATAAAAACAATCCCCACATGGTAATAAACTTTGGTTGACAAGGCTAGCATGTCAAAATATTTGTTCATTCATTCATTCATTCATTCATTCAATCATTCAATCATTCATTCATTCATTCAATCATTCAATCATTCAATCATTCAATCATTCAATTATTCATTCATTCATTCAATCATTCAATCATTCAATTATTCATTCATTCATTCATTCAATCATTCAATCATTCAATCATTCGTTCAATCATTCAATCATTCAATTATTCAGTTATTCATTCATTCATTCATTCATTCATTATTCATTCAATCATTCAATCAATCATTCAATCATTCATTCATTCATTCAATCATTCAATCATTCAATTATTCAGTTATTCATTCATTCATTCATTCATTATTCATTCAATCATTCAATCATTCAATCATTCATTCAATCATTCAATCATTCATTCAATCATTCAATCATTCAATCATTCATTCAATCATTCAATCATTCATTCAATCATTCAATCATTCAATCATTCATTCAATCATTCAATCATTCAATTATTCATTCAATCATTCAATCATTCAATCATTCAATCATTCATTCATTCATTCAATCATTCAATCATTCAATTATTTAATCATTCAATCATTCAATCATTCAATCATTCGTTCATTCATTCATTCATTCATCCATTCATTCATTCATTCATTCATCCATTCATTCATTCATTCATTCATTCATTCATTCATTCATTCATTCATTCATTCATTCATTCATTCATTCATTCATTCATTCATTCATTCATTCATTCATTCAATCATTCAATCATTCATTCATTCATTCAATCATTCAATCATTCAATCATTCAATCATTCATTCAATCATTAAATCATTCATTCATTCAATCATTCATTCAATCATTCAATCATTCAATCATTCATTCATATTATTCATTGAGACTTTATTGGTAGCTACTAGCAACCTTTAGTACTTTTTTTTTACCTTTAACCATATGTTTTTTTTGGCTGTCTGTAGGTTGGACTATGGATTGATGCTGGCAGCAGATTTGAAACAGAACAGAACAATGGTGTTGCACATTTTCTTGAGCACATGGCATTTAAAGGAACACAGCGCCGCACTCAGCTACAATTGGAATTAGAAGTTGAAAATGCTGGAGCTCATTTAAATGCCTATACTTCACGAGAACAAACAGTTTATTATGCAAAATGTTTCAGTAAAGATATGGATCAAGGTTTGCTATTTTTCTTCAATTGTACTTTTAGCCATAGCTTAAGTTTTTTGTTGTTTTCCATGCATTATCGTCACGGGTAGCCTTTTTCTCATAGCTGTTGACATTCTTGCTGATATCATTCAAAATTCAAAACTTGGTGAACAGGAAATTGAACGAGAGCGTAGTGTGATTTTGCGTGAAATGCAGGTTTGCGAACAAAAGCCACTTTTTTGAATTAATATCTAAGATTGTAACCGAATGTTCAGTTCATGAGTGAATGTCATAAGCATTCATTAGAATGTCACGAACTTAATTTAGAATGTCACGAACTTTATTTAGAATGTCATGAACTTTATTTAGAATGTCATGAACTTCATTTAGAATGTCACGAACGTCATCTAGAATGTCATGAACTTCATTTAGAATATCACGAACTTCATTTAGAATGTCATGAACTTCACTTGGGATGTCGCGAACTTTATTTAGAATGTCATGAACTTTATTTAGAATGTCACGAACTTCATTTAGAATGTCATGAACTTCATTTGGGATGTCGCGAACTTTATTTAGAATGTCATGAACTTCATTTAGAATGATATGAACTTCATTTAGAATGTCCTAAACTTCATTTAGAATGTCACCAACTTCATTTAGAGTGTCATAAACTTCATTTAGAATGTCATGAACTTCATTTGCAATGTCATGAACTTTATTTGCAATGTCATGAACTTCATTTGCAATGTCATGAACTTCATATAAAACTTCCTGATTATGTTATATTTAAGAATATCATGAACATCTTTTTTAGAATCTCATGAACATCTTAAAATGGCATGAATATGTTTAATGAACGTCTTTTATAATCTCGTGAATATATTTATAAAGTCATGGACATCGTTTAAAATGCTATGAACATGTATGAAAAAAAAGATAATAAACGTTCTCTATAACTTATAGGAAGTGGATACTCAACTGGAAGAAGTTATATTTGATCATCTTCATGCGACTGCTTATCAAGGAACTGCATTAGGAAGAACCATTTTGGGACCAACGGAAAACATCAAGTATGTGTTTTGAAGAATTTAATTAACGTAATTCGACGTTGTAAAGATCGAGTGGCGTTTTTCGGAGAGGATGTAGTTTCGTAGAGGATGGTGAAATTTTGTCTCTGCGAGAATGTATTTTGTCTGCAAAACCCGTTTTCAAATAGTCTTTCGGCTCCATAAAACCTTACTTTTCATGTAGTTCGTAGCGTTTGTAGTTATTCCTTGTTTTCTTTATTGTTTTCTCGTTTTTAAAAGTTGCAGTTTGCATTCCAACTATCACTATCGTGTTTTATCTGTGGCTAGATAACGTTTCACGGTTCGAAGATCATCCTATTGGCGGATTTCATTTAACTCAGTCATACACGCTATTATATTGTATGTTTTATTACAGGAGTATCAATCGAGAAGATCTTTTGGCATACATCAACAAACACTACAGTGCACCCAGGATGGTTCTTGCTGCGGCTGGTGGTAAGATATTGTATTGACTTGAATCTCTTTCTTACTTGTACTTGTCTTTTATTATTTAAGAAATAAAAGATGTTTACTGTGCTTGCACAGGCTTATGCAAACCGAGGAGACCTTTGAGAGAACTCGAGAGCAGATCAGTGCAGACCCGAGACTGATGGTCGAGGGATACATCATCTCCAAAGTTTTCACAAACGTCTCCGTGGTTTGTATGTGCCAGTGCAGTCGCAAAAAAACACGTTTTATTTCTTTTATAAGATAACAATGATGTGAAACAGACAAATTTCAAACTAACGTTCTAATTTTTCTCTAGAATATACTTATTCATTTTGATTTGATTAGTTGAGCGCAGATCGGTTTACACAGGCTACTGCAAACACGGCCATTTACTTGTTGTGTTTATTTTACTACAAACTACAGCAATTTATTTGTTGTGTTTATTTTACACAATTTTATTGTGTTTGTTTTATAAAGTTGTTTAATTTTTCCCATTTGATCGTTTATTGAGTGTAAACCCTGAACAAAAAGGTGATTTCATCTATGAAAATATCGAATGTAGTTTAGAAGGAGTCGTGACATGTATTACACGTGTTCAGAACTCCTGTGGGGGTTCAAAGGTAGGTTGGTTTTTTAGGATGTATATTCATCAAAGATCTTGCTTTAAAACCAAACAACACAGGGACTTTTGCTTGATATTACGTTGAGCAATGATATATGAGTGAAGCTTTCAGTTTCAATACCTCGTGTGCTGTTTTCCTAAAGCTTTTCCAACCTTATTGTTTAGGTGTTGACCATGATGCTTTGGTAAAGCTGGCCGAGAAACAGTTTAGTGGACTGAGGTCTACCTACGAGGAAACTGACGTTCCAGAACCGTGCAGATTTACCGGTAGCGAGGTACGAGTAATGACAATATTACATATGTGTATTTTGAAATGAAATTTCTAAACCCAACGGTTAGGTCTGCTGCTCTAATGAGCCTGCTATCAAACATATTGTTCATTTTCTTCAGATTCGAGTCCGTAACGACGATATGCCATTGGCACATATAACGTTGGCTGTTGAAGGTTGTGGATGGACGCATCCTGATTATTTTGCGTTGATGGTCGCCAATGTGGTACGTCGTACGTTGAAACTATTTTATCGAAACGTTTTACTACGTCATTGCTTTTATATGGAATAGAAACCTAAGGTTATCGAACTTACATGATGACGATTACATGATTGTGCAATTTTGGTTACTGTTTATTTAACTTGTCGTGTGTAAGCTGCTAGGTTGCTTAATGATGGTGAATATTTATGTCTTAGATACAAATTAAAACATCGTGTTATCCTTGGGCCCGCGAAATCTTAGGAATAGAAATTAACGCTTGACTGTATTGGTATAACTGGCAATGTGACACTTTTACTTTAGAACGTTGCAGTTATTGCAAAAATTTTGAAGGGGATTATCAAATTATTATTTTTACTGTCATCGATTTGATAAAGACACTGCAACATAGATGCATCTTGCTGAAAGTTGTTTTTTCTTTATTTCAGTTGGTGGGAAATTGGGATCGATCCTTCAGCGGAGCTCATAACGTTTCCAGTAAACTTGCACAGGTGAGGGAATTGTTTACTCTGAGTCGACCACCATACCACTTCATACCCCTCAATTGACCACCATACCACTTCATACCCCTTCAATCGACCACCATACCACTTCATAACCCTTCAATCGACCACCATAACCCTTCATACCCCTTCAATCGACCACCATACCACTTCATACCCTTCAATCGACCACCATACCACTTCATACCTTCAATCGACCACCATACCACTTCATACCCTTCAATCGACCACCATACCACTTCATACCCTTCAATCGACGTACCGACCACCATACCACTTCATAGACCACCATACCACTTCATAGATACGACTTCATAGACCACCATAACCGATGATGTAAACAACATTTTTGTGTTTAGGACGTGTCCGAATACAACCTCGCTCACAGTTTCATGTCATTTAACACTTGTTATACAGATACTGGATTATGGTATGCTGAACATGTAGCTACATTTTGTTATTGTATTTCATGTATGTACGTCATGTTATATTATATCATATGTTGACCTCTCTAGGGGTATATACATGGTCTGTGATCGGATGACTATTGATAACTTGGTTTATGTGATACAAAAGGAGTGGTGAGTGTATGCAGTTTCTTAGCTGATTGAATATAACCTCTTTAGCTTTTGCAATGTCCTCTTGTGGGTCGCCAAAGCGTATCACCTTCTGCCTTCTTCTTTCATCGACTGTGTGCTATTTTAGTAAAGCATCTAACTTGATGTCATTTTTCCAGTGTATCCATTAATCAGGGTGAATAATTTATTCAGTGGCATCGCCAGCTCGATAAGTGAGGAGGACAATATTCATTTATTCATGTTTTAATCCCTAAGAAACAATTGATTTCAAAAGAACTTAATGCGAAAAACATGTATATTTGAATGAAACCCCCCTCACCTATCATGCTGGCGACGCCACTGAATGTATCGGATCGTGAGACCATTGGTCCCAGATAATATTGAAAACTTAGGATTTTTTCACTAACAACGAGAAGGTTTAACTTTGAGCTACCGGGAAATATATTACCTTATAGAATTACAATGTTTCAAGTTAACAGAGCTTCAGTTAAGAAATAAAAGATTTTTACTGTGTTTGCACGGGATTATGCAAACCGAGGAGACCTTTGGGAGAACTTGAGAGCAGATCAATGCAAATGCACATGCTCGAGAGTTCTCACAAGCGTCTCCGAGGTTTGCATAAGCCAGTAAAAACACGAAAAACAACAATTTTTCCTCTAAAATGTATTCATGATCGATTTGCAAATTCACTTTTACTGATTGATTGTTTTGATTGATTTGATTGGTTGAGCTCAGATGTGTTTTGCACAGGCTAATGCAAACACAGCTCTAGACCAATCAGCGTGCGCGTTTCATTGTGTTTATTTTGTAACTATAGATAGAAGATTACCATTGTTAGTTTTCGATATATGCTACAGGTGATAAAGGAAACAATGTAAATAATTACTTGATCGGCGGCAGAAAATTTTTTGCTGTTTTTGTGGTAGTTGGAAAAATGTTTTTTTCCAACCTCTTCCTCTAGGACTCCTGCCTTGCAGCTCTAAACTTAGCATGTTTTTACTTATTCTCCATGTGCACATGATCAAATTGATTACACGACTGATGAACTAGACACTGTATATACCTAGGAAATAGTAGGAACTGTACGAAGGTGTAAATATGAGGGCCATCTTTTAGCATTGCTTTGCTAACATGGGGTGTTGTTTATACAATTTTGCTCGCCTTAAATTATTGCACCCAACTTCTTCGTTCATTTATTTCTTTTAGTAGTATTTTACCAGGTTTTGTTTAAGTTTCTTTTCAAGTAAACTCTCCTTTTTTCACTTAGGAATAATCTTTTTCCTTTAGTAATTTCAATAGTTTTTTAACGTAAAGTAAGCAAATCCTCCTTGTGAAGATTTGATTTGCACCTAATTAAATTCCTCTTTTCTGTACAGGATGCGAATTTGTAATAGTGTGACGGACTCTGAAGTGGAAAGAGCCCGCAATTTATTGAAGACTAATATGTTGTTCCAACTTGATGGTAAGTTTACCAAATATATATTCTCGTGAAGAGTTTGGGCTACGGGTGGCCGTGTTTCATCATCCTTCAAAACATTTGTTCCACTGGTGGATTATAGGGAGGGAGGTGCACAGGGTTCATCACTGTAGGCAAGGGTCAACAAGAGTTTATAGAGGGGAGGGTTGGAAATTGTATATAATAAAAGTAAAATCCATTCTACTTTTAATGGAAAAAGCCTTTATTGATTATATCAGTAAAGTTTATTGACTATCAATGATATTTACTTTGATTAAAAGCCGTCATTGATGTTCATATATCCATTTTTAATAACGAGTAAGTTAACAATAATTGGTTTCTAACTCTGAACTCTACGTAGGTGATTATTAAGCCCAGCACCCCCTTCCCTCCCCTGAAAAATTCTTGCCGGATCCATCACTGATTTCTTGCAGCTCGTTCCATGTATCTAATGTGTGTGTGTGTGGGGTAAAGAAGAAGGAAAGCTATCTCTCGCTATCTCTTAAAACACATGCTTACGATCGACATTATCTGTGAGATAGCCATCTTTGCCGTCTGCCATGGACCGTTATTAATTTCTGTTTATTTTTTCTGGCCAGGATCTACGCCAATTTGTGAAGATATTGGCAGGTATGTGTATTTGGCTATGTAGAGGAATATGGCGGATAACGATGTTATGGGGTGTTTGTTATGAAGTAAGCCACAGCAGTTTTCCACGTGACTTAACTCCATGCATCAAGCATGTCTGAAACAATTTTAAGATAATAAGAAAAAATAGGAATGGTTTCTGAAGCGTTTATCTCATTGTGTGTTCATTATTGTATGTTCATTTCAAGATTGTATGTTGAAGATTGTATGTTCATTAGGTTAGATTAAATAATGTTTACTATATACGGAGTGTCTATTGTCTTGTGTTTTACCAAACTACGCTTTGGCAGTCGTAATTTTTATGCTCATTATCATGTACATTCTTTTCAAGTCTAGAAACCAGTCCTGATAATGATAGCATTAGGCAATATTTATAGTATATATTTTTAAGAATAGGATTATTGGTTGTGGAGTAGCTTGCTCAGTAAGTGTTCGAAGTAGTGAAATTGAAATGAAGAGGCAACAGTTGATTTTTTACGCAAGGAGTTCCATGTGTAAGGTTAACCTCTCCATGCCAGTGTGTGGACTTTTTGTATATTTTTGTTACAATAGTACCTTGAGTGACTTATTATGGAGTAAAACAGTATTTTTGTTTTGATGTAGACAAATGTTGACTTATGGTCGACGAATTCCTCTACCAGAATTGGATAAAAGAATTGATGTAAGATTATTTATTGATTATACTCCACGAAGTTCATATCATTTTTATCGACTCGTATGTGTTATTTAAGTCTCGTTTGTTAGTAAAGAGAATATTCGAGTGCAAAGTTGCGTTCTTATTTTAGATGGTCGATGCCAAGACAGTGAGAGAGGTTGCGACAAAATATCTTTACGATCGTTGTATTGCCGTCGCTGGTTTGGGTAAGTTTATCGAGAGATTGACACGTTTTTTGGTTTTCTTTTCGAGCAATGGATTGAGGACGTGATTGCTGCAACATTTTCTAAAAACCACAGTTCTCAATCCATGGTGAAATTTTGCCATGGATTGAGTACATGATGGCTTCAACATTTTCTAAAACCACAGTTCTCAAATCCTTCATTGAATACGGTTCGCACTGGTGTCAATAAACGTTGCTTATATAAACTGTGAAAATGACTTCGAAAATAACATGTTTTTTGTGAAATCGAAGAAAGTGAAAGATCTGTTCACTAACACCTTGAATTTTTTGGAAAAAACTTCTCTTACTTTGTGTCTGATCGTTAGTGCTTTGAATAGCAATTTATTCGTAATGACATATTTTGGTAGTCCTTTATCCAAACCCTTGCAATACCTTTCCCCATTCGGTTTTTTTTAAATAGATGAGGTCGAACGTTATCGACAAAATAGGAAAATGTAAAAATCTCGTGTACTTTTCTGGAATTTTGAATACTTTTAACAAACTTGAAATAGCTGACGAACTTTAGGCTAAACTTGCCATCATTTTACACTCCAATAGGAAGGGTTTGGACTGTCCCCTGAATTTCCTTGGCTAAACATCATACCGTTGATTTCTGATGTCATTCCCATCTGTGACGCTAGCACAAATTGGCAATGAAAAATTTCTTTTGTTTCAACGACATGAAAGCAAAAGGGAATTTTCTTCTCTTTTTGTTTTTCCGGTGTTCTTACTAATTTGATTGATTTCTGTTGATTGTTTTGCCTTTACTAGCGTTACGGTGAAGATATGTCAGGATATGAGATTAATGCCTTAATTTTTCGTCAAACCATTTACTTGAGAACGTCATTTCCGGTTGAGTTGCAGCCATTCGTTTCCGTTCATCCTGAATATTTTCGCGGAATAATATTCATCCTGTGATGTTCGCGGAATATTATTCATCCCCTTATTTTTGCCGAATATTTTTCAGGTCCTGTTGAACAACTTCCCGACTACAACCGTATGCGATCTGGTATGTTTTGGACGCGTTTATAAACTACAAGGAAAATTGTTAAATTTTGAGGACACCTCAGTTCGCTTAGCATGCTCGTTCGAAGCGCGTTTTCCCTTCCCTTTACGTTGTAGTACTGTGCATGTGTGAAATATCGTGACAGTTTAGTTGTCTTGAAAAATGCGATAAGAAATTGAGATTGTGTTTGATTGTGCATTAAAAATTGGTCTTTAAAACGTATTTTAAACGATAAGCATAGTTGTGATTAGGACATCTGTTTGCTTGTTTTTCATTTGTTAATTGACAACTAGCTGTAATAAATTATATTGGAGTGAGTGTAAAGGTGGAAGTTTCATCAATTGAACGATTTTTATGATTCTTTAATACAGAAATAGCAAGTGTGTTTATTATAATTGAGCTGCGAATTTCTTTGTTAAATGGAAATTGGAAGTCGCGACTGGATTTGTTATTGTCTATAGTCTCTTTAAAAAGGTGCATTCCTGGAATAATTCTATGTACATTTTCCAATGTTCTCAACAACGTTTTACAATGCACACAGCACTTCCTCGATTCACACGATTTAAAATAATTTCTATTTTATTGTTTTTGTCAATTCACAAATTTGTTCGTATCATATTTACACTCTGGTGAAATAGAAATACGTAGTTGCGGTAAAACTTGTTTCGTACTTAGTGTCACCTTATCAATGGCCTGCTTGATGATCAAATGAAAAGCTAGTAAATTCCGCTCGTTTTTATACTGCGTGATTGACCCAGGTTATTTTAGGAAACAATTGACGGACGCTGGCCAGTGTAATGTGGTAGCAACACTTTGTTTAACTGCTCATCCTTTGAGATTTATCTTTCACTTATTGTTTGTATACAAACGAGGAAGCAAAATCATTTTTAAACCACGAAAATGGCGTGAATTACTCGTGCATTTGCGTTCAATAAAAGAAAAGAAGCAGCGAACAACGAGCCAATGAAGCTGGTGAACAGTGATCACGTGTAACAACCTTCACTTCCGTTGAATTTTAATAAGCCTCTACAACCTTACACGAAGGTGTGGTTTATCTGTCTGAACAGACGAACTAAAAAGAATCTTGGAATATTTAGCATCTACTGGATATTTTTCGTTTCTTCGATCTTCCTTCGTTTAGGTAAGCATTCGTGTTTGTTCATTTTCGCTCCACGTAAACTTTTAGACGGTGCAATGTGTTATAAACCTTCAATACTCCATCAACATGTCGGCCATATCTTGCCTTGATGGAATTTGCAATGTTTTGCTTTGTTCGATGAATACTAGCGACGAAACGCATGCAAACGCATTTTTTGGCATCCAAAACAAAGTACATGCATCTTCGAATCGTTTTACACGGTTTCGAATGAATATCTAACAAAATGAAGCGAATATTTTAGTCATTTAGCTAGACAAATGTTCTAGAATGTAATGAAAGAAAATGGACGTTATACATCACGGAAGGGTGTGCTGATGTTAAAACAATAATTTACTGACAACCTCGTTTCTGAACCCCGAGATTTATTTGAATGCGAGGACTGTAGTTACTAGGCATTTTTCTCAAAGACCCCGTCGAAATCTCTGCAAATTTATCTTTTTTCGATTGTTTGCGAACATTTAAAGTATGGCGTTTGGAAAGTTGGTTAAGGACATGTACTGGAATTATTGGTAACTTGTTGTCCTGTTGCAAAAAAATTTGCCGCCTGAAATTCTGGTGCACACTGGGGCTATTTTTTTTGTCATTATAGAGTCCATCGTTTGGGGATTTTTACGATTTTCTTGTTTTTTGATAACGTGACCAGCGTAGGATGTGTATTATGGTAAATTTCTGCACATTTTGGCCAAGGTTCAAAATGTGTTAAGTGGCAAAAATTAATTGTTTATTATTAGATATTTGAATATGCATTGCTCTTGAGAAAAAAACAAGCTTAGATTAGCTGGATATTAAGTACAGTGCATTCATCCTAATGACGGAGGATTTTTGAGTAACATTTGGATATCATTAGCAGAAAATGTTTTGTTTGCCTCCTTTCTAGGGTCTTTAATGGAATAGAAATAAGCAAATAATCTGTTGTCTTTCAGGGAATAACAAGATGGCTGCAATAAGAAAAAAGTTGGTAATAGTGGGAGATGGTGCTTGTGGTAAAACATGTTTGCTCATTGTGTTCTCCAAGGACCAATTCCCTGAGGTATATGTGCCAACTGTGTTTGAGAATTATGTTGCCGACATCGAAGTTGATGGCAAGACTGTAGAGCTGGCTTTGTGGGATACAGCTGGACAAGAAGATTATGATCGCCTTCGTCCACTGTCGTACCCCGATACAGATGTTATCCTCATGTGTTTTTCCATAGATAGTCCTGATAGTTTAGAAAATATTCCAGAAAAATGGACTCCCGAAGTGAAACACTTTTGCCCCAATGTGCCCATAATTTTAGTTGGTAACAAGAAAGATCTTCGTAATGACGAGGGTACCAAACGTGAGCTCGCAAAGATGAAACAGGAGCCGGTGAAAAGTGATGATGGCCGAAATATGGCAGAACGCATTAATGCATTTGCGTACCTAGAGTGCTCTGCCAAAACCAAGGATGGCGTTCGGGAAGTGTTTGAGACCGCAACCCGGGCAGCTCTTCAAGTAAAAAAGAAGAAGAGAAAGGGTTGTATGATCCTCTGAGCAAATGCTCAACACTATTAAAGGACAATCGGACACTCTACTTCCTTGATACTTTTTCCATCTTACAGATTTCTGTGAACACAATTGAAATGTGTCGCATCACTTATAATGAGCGTGGTGTCTTTTTGTACAAATTTAATGAGTTAATTACATGAGTATTTGTTTATAGGCGACTGCAATCTCCGGTGTTGTTGTTGTTGTGTTGATTTAGGCATTCATTAAAACATGACAGCTTCAGTATGGTTGGTAGAAATCTGGCAAATATGATTGTTTTTGACACATTTAGCTGAAATCATATTTTTCATGAACTTTGTCGCTATAATTTATCAAATCTTTGGGATTTTTAATGCTGATTGTCACGTGTAGTTAGTGCAATAGGTTTCATATGATTAAGTGTTGTATTATCAAAAGTATTTACTTGATGTCATAATTTTTCATGGCACAATTAAAAATATATTTCATTCAAACATTTTTTGTCTGTATTTGCAGTGTGTCCCCCCTCTTTTATACTAGGTTTAATATGAATTGAACATGCTTTTATGTATTTTTAACTCTTAAACATCTGGGTGTAGGTGACCGATAATTGGCCTTTGTTGGCAAAGTAGGTAACCGGTTATATGTCATATATTGAAAGTAGATCTGGACTCCAAGGCTGTCGGAAGCAAGTTTAGATTAGGGGTGAGGTGAGAGTTGATCCAAATATGTGACTACAATTCAAAGATCTTGGGGGAAAATTGAATATTGTAGTCTTCCCATGTTCTGCCATGCCAAAAGTCAAAACTGCCATTTGTATCAACTATGAACATTGAAACCAATCTAATACTAAATATTTGGTTTCTGAGCCCAATTGACACCCACAATTGTCATCATTCAACACAATGGTAATGTGTGAGATGAGACCATTAGAGTCGGGGCGTTAGTGAGTAAGGGGGGGCGGTGGGTTTCGTACAAACCACGCTTCAAGATGGGCGTTTATTAGATACAAGGCGTTTATTTCATAGAAGGCGTTTATTGGATCAATAATATAAGCAAGAAGGCTTTTCGGTAAATAATTTCCGACCAGATGACCCAGAGTCGATAACTTTGAAAAGACAATTTTTCCATTTGTCATTTCCATAAAAGAAAGGTTCAGAAACAGCTTTAAATCTTCAAGGGCTAGAAGGATGCTGCATGGAATTTAAAGCAATACATAATATTCAAGTGGATGGATCACCAATCATGTTTCCATTTTTCCAGAAGAAAGTGGTTTAGAACGTAGAAGAGATGTGGTTGTGGTATGTATGAAAGCAGGGCACATGCTATCACTTTTTAACTCCCCCTTGTGTAAAACTTTTTGACCTGTGGTAACATGTAGCAGATCCAGGGTGATTTCAAGCTCAAAATACCATGATAAATTTACCATAGGGCATGAATTCCCAAAGAATAGAATGTTTACAATTGATGAGCTATTTTCATGGAATAACTAGATTGTCATCATGGTAATCATCTATGAGCCAGACCTCCTGTTGAAAAGGTAAACATTGTTTAATCTCAGCTTAAGCCCTTTGTTAGACACTGCAAGCTAAATTATCCTTGTAGACCATCGCTTCAAGTGAATTGCCATCAAAATGAAGCTTACTTTCTCTTTCAAATCAATGTTTTCCATGTTATGGTTTTCATGTACAGTGTTGGGTCCAGGCTATGTCAAAATAAATTATAGAAGCTCGTTTTAAGTTAAAAGATTTTTAAGCATGCTATTGATGAGAAATTTCTAAAAATATTTAAGGCTAAAACATTTCCGATGGGATTTACTTTTAAGTTTTTTGAATTGGAAATTTATTTTTGGTAATGTGCTTATTCTTAATTAACCTGGATCTGCTCTGTTTACTTGTACAATTACTAGTATAATATATTAATCCTAACACAGTTTTAATATGCACATGAAAAACATGTGACTTGGATGAAATTTGAGCTCGCACCTTCAGGTACTAGTCCGCCGCTCTACCTGTTGAGCTAGCAAGCCCACAGGGATTGGAGACGAGTCAAATCTCTTAAAACTGCCATATCTCTTATTACTAGTATTAGCAATATCAAAAATGACAACCTATACATAATTGTAACTTTGGTAGGTAAAATCCTTTCCCTTCGAAAATAATTCCTTGCCGGCATCTCTGTTTGGGACTATAGAGCTAATGTTGTTTTAGGCACATTCCTTCAATGATGTAAAATAGCAAATGTTGATAATTTCAACAATTTTTGGAGCAATTATAGAACACACTGCCCTATACTTAATTACTTATTACTGCAAAGTTGACTTAAATCTTTTTCCTAATCATATCATAGCCCAGAACAGGTGGATCCAATTAGGATTTTTTAGAGGGTGCTTGGTTTTATAAGTAAGCAGCTAAAGTTCAACTGTTAGAAACCAATTAACCTATGTACATACTCAATATTAAAAGTAGATGCTACGTAGTTCTTGGTTTTCACAAGAAATATATGTTAATGCCTTTTAATCTATTAATATCAGTGTTACTATTGTTTATGAATCCACCACCATCCCAGCCTGGTTGTTGTTTGTAATCTTTGTGGCAGGTTATTAGATAATTGTTCCTAATTTTTCATTGTTACAAACAGGGAGTAATTTCTTCACGAGCTCATCAACTGATGTGTCATTTACTACTGAATGCAACAGAGAGATTCCATGCAATCAAGAATTTTGAAACGTTATGAGGTATGATGCAGAAGTCAATGATAGTTCTAATGATAGTCAATGATAGTTCTAATGTTACTCAATGATAGTTTTAATGATAGTCAATGATAGTTATAATGATAGTCAACGACAGTTATAATGTTAGTCAGTGACAGTTATAATGATAGTCAACAACAGTTATAATGATAGTCAATGATAATTATAATGATAGTCAACGACAGTTTTAATGATAGTCAACTACAGTTATAATTATAGTCAACGACAATTATAATGTTAGTCAACGACAGTTATAATGTTAGTCAATGACAGTTATATTGTTAGTCAATGGCAGTTGTAATGATAGTCAATGGCAGTTATAATGTTACTCAATGATAGTTATAATAATAGTCAATGACAGTTATAATAATAGTCAATGACAGTTATAATGTCAGTCAGTGACAGTTATAATGTTAGTCGGTGACAGTTATAATGTCAGTCAGTGACAGTTATAATGTTAGTCAATGACAGTTATAATGTCAGTCAGTGACAGTTATAATGTTAGTCAATGACAGTTATAATGATAGTCAATGACAGTTATAATGTCAGTCAGTGACAGTTATATGTTAGTCAGTGACAGTTATAATGTTAGTCAATGACAGTTATAATGTTAGTCAATGACAGTTATAATGTCAGTCAGTGACAGTTATAATGTTAGTCAGTGACAGTTATAATGTTAGTCAATGACAGTTATAATGTCAGTCAGTGACAGTTATAATGATAGTCAATGACAGTTATAATGTTAGTCAGTGACAGTTATAATGTTACTCAATGATAGTTTATAATGATCGTCAATGATAGTTATAATAATAGTCAATGACTGTTTTAATAATAGTCAATGGCAGTTATAATGTTAGTCAACGACAGTTATAATGTTAGTCAATGATAGTTATAGTGATAGTCAGTGATAGTTATAATGAAAGTCAATTATTGTTGTAATGATAGTCTATGACAGTTCTAATGATAGTTATATTGATAGTCAATGATAGTTATAGTGATAGTCAATGATAGTTCTAATCATAGTCAATTATAGTTATAATGATAGTTAATGACAGTTCTAATGATAATCAATGACAGTTATAAAGTAAATGGTTTGAATCTGGGAGTATCTTTACATGTTTTTGGATGTAGATCGTCCAAGTTAGTAGAGTCGTAATAAGGACTGTTGGTGTTCTTTTAACTGACGTTTCGACAACCTTGGTAGTCCTCTTCAGAGTCAAAAAATGATTAAGATGACTACTGCTAAGGCAAAATTATATCGCATTTCTTAGGTTATAACAAGAGTTGACTGTATCAAGATACTAAAAGTTCATCTTTAGTATGAACTTATTTGACATACCAGCTATTTTTTTGGGTCCATTACTTGTGAAAATTGGTCAGCAAAGCTCACAATAGTATCGTTAAGTATTCTTAAGTGGTGTTTTTGCAACGTTGAACAAATATATTTTCTCTTGTGTACAGTTATCAAAAATTCTTTCATATTTGGATAAAGTCATTTTGTTTTAGGTTTGTATTCAACTCAAATCCCATGCAATCACGGAATCGGCGCTCGACTGACAGCGATACTTCAATGCCGGTGCATGCCGGGATAGGCCGGAGACCGCATTGTGTTAACCATGCTATCTTACCAAACTCACTTTTACCGCAATTCTACCTGGGTTATCTTCTTTATTTGAGTAAATTGTACAAGATCAAGTCATACTTTCAGGTAAGGTGAATCTGGGCGTCATATAGTTTTATGGATGTTATTACATAGGTATATTCAACTGATTTGCGTGCTGCCTGCTTTGGTTGTTGTTACTACGTAGGTATTGCAACTAAACTTGATGAAACAGAGACTTTGTCGTGGTGACAAACTTAAAGATGGATTTCAAAATAGCAAATACCATGGTGAATGGTGATAATAACAATGTAATAGTTCTTAAAAGAACTGTTTTAACCAGAACACTAACCCAACAATTCAAAGGAACCGTTATTTACAGCTAGAAAGAGACACTATGCATTTCGGCAGACTACTCGTCAGGTGTCAACGTCTGCTAAATGAGAACCTCCAAACCATGCTATATTTATAATGTTACAAAAGGTCAATGTCATACCTATTTTTAGAGATGACACTTAAAACAGAGACAGATTAAACACGTAATCCTTTTGTCGGCAAAGGACAGGATTAGTCAATTTAATTCATACCGACTCTATGACGCGTAGCTGGAATAGCGAGCGACATTTTTTAATAATTTTAAAGTTTTCATCAGAATAAGCATTGGCACAGCGAGTGTTGCTTAAAAGATGTTTTCCAATCGCTGAATCACATAGACTCGGATTTTCACTTTTACAGCCACGTTTTGGTAGTTGTCGTAAAGGAACATTTTTATTCCTGACAGAAGCTGGTACATGCTGTTTTATTCTTTCACTCAACCTTTGAGAAGTCCTACCTACATAGCGAGCATCACACTCACATTTAAACTCGTAGACTACATTGCTTGATATTTGAGCAAGGAGAGACTCTTTGGGAGTGGGTGGAAGAATAGTTCTTTTTGATAATATAAAGACCACATTGCATGCAAAAAACAAACTCTCAGGGATATTTTTAGTTTCCTTCTTGATGTCATTAAAGGCCTTGCCCATCCAGGGAAGTTTAAAGTAAACAGGGCACTTGGCCCGTCCGAAAAGTTTATTCCGTTCATTGTTAGTGGATAAGAAAAGTTTGTCTAGCAACTTTTTTTGATATCCATTTAACACAAAAATATTCTTCAGTGAGATAAGATCACTATCAATAAACTCTTTTGAGGACAATCTTTGCGTTCGCTTTATCAAACACTTCACTAAAGAAATCTTTTCTCTATGCAACTTTCACTGGTTTGTACACACGCTTTGACTCTTTCTCTTCGCATTGGAAAACATCTTTTAAGCAACACTCGTTGTGCCAATGCTTATTCTGATGAAAACTTTAAAATTATTAAAAAATGTCGCTCGTTATTCCAGCTACGCGTCATGGATTCGGTATTAATTAAATTGACTAATCCTGTCCTTTGCCGACAAAAGAATTACGTGTTTAATCTGTCTTTGTTTTAAGTGTCATCTCTAAAAGTAGGGATGACATTGACCTTTTGTAACATTATAAATATAGCATGGTTTGGAGGTTCTCATTTAGCAGACTTTGACACCTGATGAGTAGTCTGCCGAAATGCATAGTGTCTCCTTCTAGCTGTAAATAACGATTCCTTTGAATTGTTTGGTTAGTGTTCTGGTTAAAACAATTCTTTTAAGAACTATTACATTGTTATTATCACCATTCACCATGGTATTTGCTATTTTGAAATCCATCTTTAACTAAACTTGAGTGTTTCCTACCTAGGTGTTGCTACCATCTAGGTATTGCCTACCTAGGCTGCTGCCATCATAATATTGCTTACCTAGGTTGCCTACCTAAGTTGCCTAGCTAGGTTGCCTACCTAAGTTGCCTACCTAAGTTGCCTACGTAAGTTGCCCACTTGTTGGCTATATAGGCTGCCACCAGGTAGCTACCATCAGGTATTGCCTAACTAGGTTGCTGCCATCAAGATATTGCCTACCAGGTTGCCTACCCAGGTTGCTTACCCAGGTTGCCCACCTAAGTTGCCTACCCAGGTTGCCTACCTGTTGCCTACCCAGGTTGCCCACCTGCTGGCTACCTAAGTTGCCTCACCTAGGTTGCCTACCTAAGTTGCCTACCTGTTGCTCACCCAGGTTGCCTACCTAAGTTGCTTACCCAGGTTGGCTACCATCTAGGTATTGCCTACGTACCTAGGTTGCCTATCTAGGTTGCTACCAAAGATTGTTACTACCTAAGTATTGCAACTCACCTGCTTGAATTTTGAATAGTGACCTGGGATATATCGGGACATCCATCCATGGGACAGCCATGTTGTTAGGATAGTTCCTCAAACCAATGGCCTAGAACCCAATTTACTTGATGCATGACTCTCGCGAAATTCTAAAGTTACAAGTGATGCAAGCCGCCATTATGAAAGGTCGAAAAACTCACGATATTTAGGACTAAAATCTGCTTCTTCCACGTTGATATACAGTTGCAGTGTTGATAGTCTAGGTTTTCTTTTTAAATGTTTAATAGGATTGGTGTTTTGAACTTTCTTATTTTAATTTGGATTGTGAGTTTTGCTTTTTTCCCCTTTCAAGATGGCCTTCTTGTCTGTCCTTGACCATTGACGCTGTAGTTAGACAACTAGGAGAATGGGTTCTAAATTATTTTCTTAAATTCAATGCGCCAAGTATGAACTCAGCCTAAATTCTTTTCCTTGCATGGTAACATGCATTTTTTCCACCAACATGGTAGACAGTGAAAACACTCTTTGGTTTGTATTGTTTTCGTCAAATTATTTTAAAATATTTTGAATGAGTTCGGATAGGGACGGCATCAAGATATAGCTACCAGCTTTGTTGCTTGGTTTCATAATTTTTATCATGTTGTAAATTTTCGTTGCAGTCACGTGCATTCCTTACTGTGTCAATAATTACACATCAACCGGATGCTCTAATCAATACAGCGGTTTATGTTCCCCCGTTTGTAAACGGGTTGTGTGCCCTGATTGTCCATCGAGATGATGTGGAAAGAATACGCTTATACCAAAAAACATAGAAAGATATCCACCGCCTGATTTTCGGTGTTTTGGACAATGATTGCAGGCTTAAGTTGTTTTGGAAAACGTCTTACGTCGGCGATAGCGATTTGATGAAATAAAATACAGTCGTCATCTGTATGGTGAAGTGCTTTTTTATTAAACGACTTACACTCAAAGAAACTGATAAAAAAATAGAAAATTAACAACCATTTCAACCAGTGCAAGATTACGCTGTGTCATTTAAAAGAATGAAATGGCTAATGAAATGTATATGGGATGCAAATCCATTGTAGTCAAAATTTTAGGACTTACAAATGTATAAAACAACCTATTTTAGTTATGTAAAAAAATGAAGAATGCATATAAATTATAAATTTAATTTACATTACTAGGCAAAGCTCTTGTCAATGGAATGTATTTCCTTCAAGATTTAATAGAACAAAAATTCGTTAGGTTTCGTTCATAGTCTTTTGTGTGAAAATGTATGAACTATAGCATTTTTTGTGAAAGTGCATGAATTATTGTCTTTGGTGTGAAAATGCTTCAATTATTGTCTTTTTTTTGAAACACGTGAGTTATTGTCTTTTGTGTGAAAATGTGTGAATTATAGTCTTTTTGTGAAAAACTGTCATAATTTGTAAATATGCATGAATTATAATCTTTGTGTGAAAAGTTTGAAAATTTGTGAAAATGCATGAATAATAGTCTTTGTGTCAAACTTTGTAAAAATGTATGAAAATGCGTGAATTATAGTCATTTTGTGAAAAGAAGTAAAAATGTTTGAAAATGCAAAAATTATAGTCTTTGCATGTAAAAATGTTAAAATTTTGTTAAATTTTTGTGAAAAAGTATGAAAATTTCAGAAAATGCACGAATTTTAGTCTATGTGTGAAAACTAAAGAAAATTTGTAAAATGCTTGATTATGTGAAAAATGCTGAAAAATGCCTGAAGTCTTTGTGTGAAAAATTTTTAAAATTTGTGAAAATGCATGAATTAGAGTCTGTGTGAAAAAATGTTAAAATTTGTAAAAATGCATGAATTATAATCTTAATAAAGTAAATGGTTTGAACCCGGGAGTATCGTTATATGTTTGTAAATGATGATCGTCCAGGTTAATAAAGTCCTGAGAAGGACTTTATTAACATCAAAAACAGTCCTTCTCAGGACTTTATTAACCTGGACGATCATCATTTACAAACATATAATTATAATCTTTTCGAAAAAATAGTTAAAATTTTGAAATTCCATAAATTATAGTCCTTGTGTGAAAATTTATGAAAAAGTGTGAAAATGCATGAATTATAGTTTTAATGTGAAAAAATGTCAAAATTTGTGAAAATGCGTGATTTATAGTCTTTTCTTAAAAAATACTTAAAATTTTGAAATTCCATGAATTGTAGTCTTTGTGTGAAAAAATGTAAAAATTTGTAAAATTCCATGAATTATAGTCTTAGTGTGAAAATCTGTGAAAACTTGTGAAAATGCAAGAATTATAAACTTTGTGTGAAAAAATTTAAAAATTTGTGAAAGTGCATGAATTATTGTCTTTGGTGTGAAAATGCTTCAATTATTGTCTTTTTTTTGAAACACGTGAGTTATTGTCTTTTGTGTGAAAATGTGTGAATTATAGTCTTTCTGTGAAAAACTGTCATAATTTGTAAATATGCATGAATTATAATCTTTGTGTGAAAAGTTTGAAAATTTGTGAAAATGCATGAATAATAGTCTTTGTGTCAAACTTTGTAAAAATGTATGAAAATGCGTGAATTATAGTCATTTTGTGAAAAGAAGTAAAAATGTTTGAAAATGCAAAAATTATAGTCTTTGCATGTAAAAATGTTAAAATTTTGTTAAATTTTTGTAAAAAAGTATGAAAATTTCAGAAAATGCACGAATTTTAGTCTATGTGTGAAAACTAAAGAAAATTTGTAAAATGCTTGATTATGTGAAAAATGCTGAAAAATGCCTGAAGTCTTTGTGTGAAGAATTTTTAAAATTTGTGAAAATGCATGAATTAGAGTCTGTGTGAAAAAATGTTAAAATTTGTAAGAATGCATGAATTATAATCTTTTCGAAAAAATAGTTAAAATTTTGAAATTCCATAAATTATAGTCCTTGTGTGAAAATTTATGAAAAAGTGTGAAAATGCATGAATTATAGTTTTAATGTGAAAAAATGTCAAAATTTGTGAAAATGCGTGATTTATAGTCCTTGTGTGAAAAAGTTTAATATTTTGTGAAAATGGATGAATTAGAGTATTTTCGTGAAAAATGTCAAAATTTGTTAAAACGCATGATTTATAGTCTTTTCTTAAAAAATACTTAAAATTTTGAAATTCCATGAATTGTAGTCTTTGTGTGAAAAAATGTAAAAATTTGTAAAATTCCATGAATTATAGTCTTAGTGTGAAAATCTGTGAAAACTTGTGAAAATGCAAGAATTATAAACTTTGTGTGAAAAAATTTAAAAATTTGTGAAAATGCATGAATTTTGGTCTTTTCGTGAAAAATGTTAAAATTTGTGAAAGTGCACGAATTATAGTATTTGTTTGAAAAAATGTCAAAATTTGTGAATGTGCATGAATTATAGTCTTTGTTTGAAAAAGTGTGAAAATTTGTGAAAATTTTCTGAATTATAGTCTTTGTGTAAAAAAGTTGAAAAACTTGGGAAAATGCATGAATTATAGTCTTTTCGTGAAAAATGTTAAAATTTGTGAAAGTTTACGTAAACCTTCCAATCACCAATGACTATTCCCCAACTCTGTTTCATCCACTTTTATCGTTGCAATTCTATAACTTCTTTCTTTGTTATTTCATTTTCTTCTTGCACATTTCCACTCCATGTCTAAAATCCAATGCATTCATAGCTGAAAATTATTTCGCAAATTTAATTATCCCAAAACTATACATTTCATATGCAACTTTAAAGTAAACAACGACACAGCTTTTGAAACTTTGTAAACGTCGCTTATTTAATAATCTTTACAAAAGATTAATACAAAACATTTACAAACCTCCACATATCAAACAACTCCAACATTTAACAGTCGTAATCCTCACAATCACAAAACCTTGCTTCTGTCACATACTCCACCATTTCCTATTGCTTTTTCACATCACGTCACCCGATCCTAAGCACAAAGATACATATTACAATAAAAATGTTCAAAAACACATCCTATAATTTAACAACGAGCTTCGGGACTTGCATTACGTCTTTAAACGTATTATTCCTGTCTATTAACTGACAATCACCAATTTTTTGACCTGGAAATAATTAAATCACAACCACCTACTTCCAAAATAACAAGAAACTTTCATTTACAGTACTCTACAGCACGCATGAAAACGCTCTAATATGTTCACAGTTTATGAAGCACTGACTAGAACATTTCTCAAATCGTCCTATTGCAAACTAATACCATGATAGTAGCTTCAATTCGTGATGACAAGCACTCAAAAGCTTTATGAGATAAATTGAAGTCTGCTAAATATTCTTCGGCTTTTCACTACGTTTAATCATTAATTTATTTCACCACCATCCTATTACTTATGATGAAACACTTCATGTCTACCTTTAAATCTACCTTAATTTACCTTATGTCTTCCTTTATGCATGTCTACATTTGTGTCTATCTTTTTTGTCTACATTTATGTCTACCTTAATGTTTATCTTAATGTCTTCCTTTATGTTTACCTTTATGTCAAACTTTACGTCAACCTTAATGTCTAACTTTATGTCTACCTTTATGTCTATCTTTATGTCTATCTTTATGTCTTTATGTGTACTTTTATGTCTATATTTTTGTCTACCTTAATGTCTATCTTTATGTCTACCTTAATGTCAACCTTCATGTCTACCTTTATGTCAACCTTTATGTGTACATTAATGTCTACCTTTTTGTCTACCTTTATGTCTAACTTTATGTCTACCTTTATGTCTACCTATAGGTCTACCTTTATGTCTACCTTTTTGTCTACCTTTATGTCTATCTTTATGTCTACTTTTAAGCTTACCTTTATGAGTACTTTTAAGCTTACCTTTATGTCTACCTTAAAGTTTACCTTTATGTTTATCTTCATGTCTACCTTTATGTCTACCTTTATTTCTACCTTAATGTCTACCTTTATGTCTACCTTTATGTCAACCTTAGTGTCTACCTTAATGTCTTTCTTTATGTTTACATTTATGTCTACCTTTATGTCAACCTTAATGTCTACCTTAATGTCTTTCTTTATGTTTACCTTAATGTCAACCTTTATGTCTACCTTTATGTCAACCTTTATGTGTACATTAATGTCTACCTTTATGTCTACCTTTATGTCAACCTTAGTGTCTACCTTAATGTCTTTCTTTATGTTTACATTTATGTCTACCTTTATGTCAACCTTAATGTCTACCTTAATGTCTTTCTTTATGTTTACCTTTATGTCTATATTTTGTCTACCTTAATGTCTATCTTTATGTCTACCTTAATGTCAACCTTTATGTCTACCTTTATGTCAACCTTTATGTGTACATTAATGTCTACCTTTATGTCTACCTTTATGTCAACCTTAGTGTCTACCTTAATGTCTTTCTTTATGTTTACATTTATGTCTACCTTTATGTCAACCTTAATGTCTACCTTAATGTCTTTCTTTATGTTTACCTTTATGTCTATATTTTTGTCTACCTTAATGTCTATCTTTATGTCTACCTTAATGTCAACCTTTATGTCTACCTTTATGTCTACCTTTATGTCAACCTTTATGTGTACATTAATGTCTACCTTTATGTCTACCTTTATGTCTAACTTTATGTCTACCTTTATGTCTACCTCTATGTCTACCTCTATGTCTACCTTTATATCTACAATTTATTTCTACCTTTATGTCTACCTTTATTTCTACCTTTATGTCTACCTTTACGATAACCTTTATGTCTACCTTTATGTCTACGTTATCTTTTGGGTGCGTTTATGTCTATTTTTATGTCTTATTTGTAACTTAGTGACTATCTTTATGTTTAATTTTGTGTTCTCCTTTATGTTTACTTTTATGAGCACTTTTATGTCTACGTAGCTCATTTCGAGATATACCCACGAATGTATAGTTACATATACCATAGTTTATTTAGAGAAGTACCCACCAATGTATAGTTACATATACCATAGTTTATTTAGAGAAGTACCCACCAATGTATAGTTACATATACCATTGTTTATTGAGATAACTACCCAACAATGTATAGTTACATAATTAAAGTTTATTTAGAGAAGTACCCACCATTGTATATTTACATATACCATTCTTTATATAGAGAACCACCCAACATTGCATGGTTTCACAGATCATAATTTTAACTACCGAAGCTTATTGACCAAATCATCACGCCCATAATTATAATAGATTTGCGTCTCAAGTAAGCAAATATTCTCGTTCTTTTATCTTGATCCATATCATGTAACCTTTTATGTATTTTATCTTTCGCATAAATATCATACTTCTTCAACATTTCACGTGACAAAGGATCAACTCCAGTGGTTGGACTTGATTCCTGCAAAATATAAATAAAGGAAGGCTGAATTATAAAGGTAAATCTTACATCATTACGAAAAAAGTGTTTGAATGTAATGATGATTGACAAGGCTAGAAAATATCTGGCAACGTAATTGACTAACTTTCCTGTCCCTTCCTCCATTACAGATCATAACAGACAACGTATGTCTACAATATGATATTATTTACTATCGATTCAATATGAAACATACCATTTCAATTTCTTCATTGTTATTGTTTTTGTTGCCTTTTTGCTCTCAGCTTGGATGATATTTTATGAGACTTTCAAAAGAAAACTTTGCGAGAAGCTGGACCTGCAAAAGTACATTTATGAATTATTGCGAATTGTGCATGCGCTAAATCATGAAAGGTTCACACTAAAGTCTACACTATTACAAAGAGCAATCATCAACCTCCATCTACACTTTCCTAAATTCATGATCAAAGATTTCCACATGCATTGTAAGCTGCGACGTAATTGTAAGCTCCCCAGATCCAATTGAAATTTTCAAGTTCATACTTGTTGAGAATGTATAAAAATTTACTGCTTTAGTTTTTCAAGAACTTAAAATCTCTTACGTTTAAGTGGTGCGTATAATCCAATGAAACATGGCTCTAAATTAATTAAGACTAATTTCCAGTCCAATAAAATACTATACAATAAGTAAGCATTTAAAACTTTATACAATATTTTATACTTCAACCTATTAAAACTTACACAATTTGAAAAATATACCACAACAGTTAATAGAATATGCTATAAGAATTAATATCTTTAAAAAAATATACTACAGCAATTAATAAATGTGAAAATGCACCTGCATTGGATCAAGAAGGTCTCACAAAATGTCAAAATGTCAAATCAAAATGACAAATCGAGCTAAAACACACCAAAGCACTTCATTAAAACCAAAGTAGCATTTTGCCAAGTTCTTGTCCGGATACATGATCGTAGTTAGTATGATATCTTCGTTTTCTGAAAAATTCATACATGAGTCGTAACATGATGTATGAGCTATGGTTTTTTTTGTGGGTATGCACGAATGGAATGGTATGAAATATGAGGATGTATTGTGTTATGTGGGTATTCACGGAAGGAATGGCATGAAATATGCGGATAAGCTGTAGTAAGTAAGTATGTACGGGTAGAATAGTATAATATATATCAGGATATAGTGTATTGTGTGAACTTTTAGTGGTATTATGTTGTGATAGTGGTGTGTTAGGACACAGGCAATATTCGCTGTATATAATAAGCTAGAAACAACATACCACATATCTGTAGAAAAGTAACAATACCAGCCTTATAGAGATTGAAAAACCTTGCTCTTCCATGCCTTCATGAATGCTCACTCCATCATCATCATTCATCTGAGAAATGTAAAAAGACATCGCCCATATAATCCCGACCAACTAGACAAACAGATAAAAATTTTAATTAAGAATTGTTTTCTTGAAGACAGGATACTATAAATCAATAAAATAAAAAACACGATTACCTTATCTAGATATCTAATCATATATGTTCATGTTTTGTATTTAATGTTATAAAATTCACGGTTGCCTTCTCTACATATCTAATCAAATGTTCATGTTTTCTATTCAATTATATAAAATACACCATTGCCCTCTTTAGATATCTAATCAAATGTTCATGTTGTCGAAATATTGATTTCACCTTGTCGCGTGATGCTGGCTTTTGAAGCTGAAGTCCACCATCCTGTTGTAATAAAACGATTCATAAGGTTACAGGGAAGACCTACCAAATAATAAAAATTATCACATTTTACCATTGACATTGTAGCAACAATTCCAGGCCCGACTATCAATGTCTCTTATGCTCTGCAATATTATGTAATTTTATGTAATATTATACAATACTAGGTAATATTATTGTAATATTTTAAAAATAAATTCCAACTAGTATTTAACTGAACAATGCAACTGTTTTTCTCCTTATGCACCTTTTCTCTATATAATATCCATCATAGATCACCATCTTTCTCCACTCATGGTGCAAAACCCCATAAAATCACCACTCGGCTACTACTAGTACCAAACCTTCATAAACCACCATTTGCCTCCACTCCTTGCACCGAACCTCCATTGACCTCAATTCAGATTCACGCCTATTGCCAAAACACCACGACCACCACTCAAAGTAACAAACCTCCATTGACCTGCTGTCCGCTCAACTTGTATCTCCAACTTCCAAGGACCACTTTTACGTCTAACACAAACCTCCATATATATTCACAAGGTATTACTTCTCGTACAAACCCTGTGTGCTTTTCACAAATCAGCTCTTGGATTTTAAATATTCGACTAATATTTGGAACGACAACAAGAACTTGTAATACAATGACCAAAACTCAACTTTTGTGAACGAAATTTCCAAAAACACGAACTAAACGACATTTTAAAAAAACGAAATAAACGCCATTTCAAAAAGACGACATGAATGACATTTCAAAAAGACGTCATGAACGACAGTTCAAAAGGAGAACATAGCTAAACCACAATTCGAAAAAGCGCAATGAACGAAGTTTAGAAAACGACGACATGGACAACATTTAAAAAACGACGACATGAACGACATTTTAAAAATGACGACATAAACGACTTTTTAAAAGGTGCAAAAATATGTAAAACTTTTCACCAATTATAATTGCCGATGACCAAATGTAGCAAGTAACTGCATAGTAAAACTTTAATAAAGAAAAATGAGAAGCATTGTTTGTATTTTAACGACTGTAACAATGGAATTTGGTACGAAAACCCTCCAAGAACCAAAATGCAAATAAATGATTGTAATTTTCTCTGAAATGATGCAAGCACAATGAGCGCCATGTAAATATCGTAGGGAAACACACAGCAAGGTATTTTCTGAGTATTGAAACAGAAAAAAAAGTAATTAAATATAAAGTTGACAAACTATGCAAAGTTTCTTAGCAAGCTATATTTGAGCTCTTTTGTGGCTTCTCTGGCTACAAATGAATAAAATTAACAACTAAAAAGGCAATTAAAGGAATATAAATCAAGCAAATAAAAAAGTAAAAGTACGAAAATCGTTATTTACTGTTCTTTCCATTTCAGAATTTCGTCTGAGTCTTTTACTTTCGAAGCTATTTTTTCTATTTCATCGCTAATGCGCCGTTTTTTCTCTTTGTACTTTTCAGCCAGCTTGGGTTGGCCATCCTTATCATAAAGTTGGTAAAGAAGTTTGTAGATTTCAATGAGTTGTGGATGATTTTTGCAAAGCAAATCTTCAATCAAACTTGAAGCTGTTACAAGATTTTCCTCGGCGTTTTCTAATCTTCCAGTTTCGAAAAAACACCTACCGAAAATTGACAGAATTTTCGCACTTCCCGGATTATAATCCGTGGGCACTTGTGGTCTCATTCTCTCAATAGCTTCTTGTGCATAATTCATGGCAAGATTGTAGTTTAAATGATCTTGCAACAACATGCATCTGGCTAAAATTTGAAGTACGTTAGAAATTTTAATTTCATCACCAATTTCCACGTAAATTTGAATAGCTTTCTGTAGCTCTTTTTCGGCCTTTTTACCATCACCTTTCTCTACTAGGCATAACCCAACATTTTTATGAGACTCAGCCAGCAAGTGATGGTTTTTCTGTGCAATTATTATGTTTCTAATATTTTGGGCTTGGCAAATGAAATCAAAGGCCTTATCTTTCATTCCAAGATCTGTAAAAAGTAAGCCCATGTTATTGAGTATTTTTGCCTTGTCAAAGTTTTTGCTGTCTAACGTAATTTTGGCTGCATCTCTGTAAAGGTTGAAAGTTTCCTCAAGTTTTCCACGTTGACGCTTGCACCATGCTTCATAGATTAATACTTGGACACGTTTTTCATCTCTGATCTCATAATGGCTGATTTTATTCAAACAGTTTTCTGCATCTTGATATTGAAAGGTTTGGAGATAACAGTGCACTTTTTCGATCAAGTTATCAACAATTAGATCATCATACTTTTGATCATCAAACTTCAGGTTAGCAAGTGTATCAACATTTGATTCGAATAATTCAAAAGCTTTAGAATAGTCTCCTTGCTCTTTGTAACATTTTGCAATGTCATAAGATATCATAACAGTAGTAAGACCATCGCTGACTTTTGAAGACGTTTGAGTACGTTTGCTAGACGTATAAAGACGTTCGCGAGTTCGGTGAGAGACAATTGCTGACTTATATTCTTCCTTGCTTTCGTACGCATGTCCTGCTGCCTTAGCAAGCCTTACTGCAACACTCAACGAATCATTATGACTTTCTACTTTATCACTAGAAGCCAGGACAACAGCCATTGCACTGGCAACAATGTCGACAAGAAACATATCATCCCGAACTTTTTCTTCTTCCATGGCATCTAACATCTTTTTTATATCGATCTCATCCAATTTGAATGTTTTTAAGGAATTACTACGTGGGAACAACCTTTGAAACAAAGTTTTATCCAATTTATGGCTTTTGACAACTTCTTCAAACACCTTATGGCCATCAGTTAATTCGTGACGTGCATAATTGATCCAACTTATACGATTAGAAGGATTTTCTAATTTGGGAGGTAATGGAGGTGCAATTGACAAAACTGAAACTATTTCTGCGTTTTTAAAAATTTCCCGTGCTCGTGGAATTGCTTGTTTTAACGGACAATTTCCTCCTAAACCACCATCGACATATTTAGTATTGCCAATTACGACTGGAGTGTCAAAGTAAAATGGAGCATTGGAGGATGCAAGCAAGACTTCGTAAGCCTTGTAATTTTTTTGGTCTTTATTTGCAGTGTCAAAGAGTACAAGATATTTGTCTGGATGAATTTTTTTGGCGACAGCCCCAACAACACCATATGAATCAATACGGTTTTCTAAGTCACTTAAGTCACACTCACCAAACTGATTCTTTATGGCTTTCTCCATGTTGGCTTGTGGATATGTCATATAAGGAACGGGGAAACAGTTTGGGATAAAAGAAATAAACTTTTGCATCCAAGTTTTTTTGAAAATGATCTCAGTATTGCAGCGATACATCTCAATGCATTCTTCCACACTCATCCGTTTCCTTTCATGATGGTTATCTCCAACTTTATTTCCACCAACCAAACCAAACGCAATCAGACCTCCTGTACTGGTTCCAACTATCATGTCGAAAATATCGGTGGGATGAATGGGATTCTCAACTTCTTTTAGATCATTGATCAAACTTTCTCGGACGTCGCGATCTTCCAAGAAATGCATTTTCCATTCATTACTTTCTTCATATACAAGGTAGTCTAATGTTTCAGGATTTCTCAACACAATCGTCGCCAATCGTAAAACGTCGTTCAAAAGTTCCAATTCCATTACACCTCGACTTCCCCCACCATCAAAAGACAATATGTTAATGCTGTTTTTCGTTGAATATATTTTTTGAATATCTGTAACAAAAAGTATAGAAGCATTCAAATCATAAAAACATCAACTTGATCAATGCTATGAACAACGATATTATGAATTAAAATATAATGTACTTGGATAGCAGATTTTAAAAATTTGCTTGATATGAAAAGACATAATAACAGAATAACTTGAATTGACATTTGTTGAAATCTGCTAAAAAGCCTCTTCCGAATTTTTTCAAGTTGTTGAAAGTGGTCAAATGTCAGCATATGACTGACTTACAAAAGATTACTTGTGCATACAATATCACGGACAAAAGCAGTCCAATTAGAAATTTTCACATGCCTATACATATTGAATGGTTTGTTTATCAATATTTTTCTTCATGTAATAAACAAATTATCACCACAATTCTTTCTCGTGTGATTTTTGTCATCCGTTTATTGTTATTTTTGTACTACCATTAGTATCTTTATCACTTACTTTCATCGTCTGAAGGAATACGACCGTCGATGTCTGGTTTTTGGCAAGATTGAGGATGTTTGCCATGAAAAGCCACAACAGGTTGCTATTTTGTAAAGAATGGTAATGAAATTTAGTAAGGGTGGCGGAATATTGATAACTGGTGGGAGGCTATATGGTTATATTCAAATTGCATTATCCGTTGTCACAATTCATTTTAATAGAAACTTAGAATATTGGCAATTCATACATGTATACTAGCCACCTCCCCAAACTATCATTCCTCCGTCGTTTTAGAAATTAAGTGAATAGCTCTTTTTTACTTCAAATATAAAAAATATGAAGAATGCTTAAACACATGCAATGCTTTTGTGCAAAAGAAGTAGGCCGCTCAAGTGTGACACCTTCCTACCTCCTTTTCATTTTTCATGAGAATATAAGTTTGCTCATTTATGCAAAAATATTGTCTGTAATTATATATGGCCCAGCTCTTGGAGTTTTTGGCAGCATTCCAACATATTTTGATTAAATAAAAGCATACTTATACAAGCCCCACCACGTAGACTTCATACAGTTATCAGGCTGGTTATGATTAGGAATAAGGTTCGGTTTTGGTCAGGCATGCAGGTAACTAAGTATTTCGTAGGGTATTCTAAAAGTATTTCAAATAAAGTTTGATTAACAACTTTGTTTCGCCCTTAGATATAACTTTTAAAAAATCCTTTATCATCAGTAGGAATGACAACGACCACATTTAATAAACGATGTAGAAATTTCCTAAATGCTTCAAAATATTATAGACATTTACAAAACAACAATGCAACTTATGTGCTAACTGGTCTAAAGCTGCGTTTGCACTTGCTTGCTTGTGCAAACTGATCCACTACTTTTGAGTTCTTCCAAAGGTCTCCTCGGCTTGTAATAATAAACACAATAAGCATCTTTTAATTCTTAAAGCACAACTAACAAATTACATTTGGACATTAGAAAAAAGGACAAGGCAAAGCTGGTTCAATTGCTGCAACTAGTGCGCAGGAGAGATTATACAGCATCAAAACGAAATGCTTCTCAACAAAGCAAATACTTTCTTTTATGCTGATTCACGTGGACTACATGCTCGACGTATTAGCAAATCAATGCATTACGCAGAATAAAATCTAACCGACATCTTTTATCAGTGAGAGTCGTGGATGGTACACGTTTGAGCAATTGCTTATTTGTATGATATGGGTATTCATATATATTCATTAGTGGCCTTTATAGCGACCTGGCGACAGCGATAGTGTGTGTCGGTCTTTAGAGGCTACCACAAAGTCGCTAAGTGGAAAAATAAAATAAGTCGCCAAACTCATGCACATTTTAGCGTATCTATTCCGCCAAGGACTTAAAACACCAAGAGATTTTCATCATCGTTGAAATTTGAATTGTAAACAATAAAAATCCTTTGTTGAATTGAACCAACATGTCGGCCATAACGCTACCAGCCGACTTATTGTGAATACAAGATATACGAGAAATTTTTAGAAAAGCGTCGAATGTACAGCTTGGGCTTTAAGGGAGGACAATTATTACATTCGATGCGTTTATTAGAGGGGCGTTCAATGGATCAGTTACGATATTAACATTATTGTCACTCAAAATTATTCATGAAAACTTACATTTTCCAAACTTTACACAGCCGATATAGGATCTGGAAGGTCTCGTGTCGCACCAATTTCCCCGATTAAGTGAAGGCTACATATGTAGATGAGTTTGTGCAATTAAACAAATCTCCTCAGTGGTAAACTTGTATCCATCTCTTCCGTTTCTCACCGTAGAATTAGCCCCAGGAGAATAAAGAACAAACTCCTCATCTCCATTAATTAAACTAAAACGTTTCCCAAGTTCATCTTTTTATACTAACAATACTATATTACTTCTTAGCAAACATATCCTTTAAAGGCTGCTTTTATCCATATCATACAAATAAGTACAAAGCCTGCAAAGCGAATTGTGTATATGAAAGGAACAAAGCATATTTTGAATGTCCGAACAAAAATCTGTTTAAATTAGAATTACAGAGTATAACGTAAACACTGTTGATACTGATCCTGAAAAATGTAATACTTATTTTTAAAAGATCACGTGGCGATATGGTGTCGGGCATTTTCCCAATAATCTTTTATGTGTGAAACACAGTGTTGCAAAATATACGGCGCATACATATTTTACATTGGATGCATCACTCAGAAATATTATAACAAAGCACAGTCATCAATTTGATACTGAGTACTGTATTGTTATATTATCCTTTCATTTGCACAGATCATTTTTTAGAAATATATAGCTAGTTACTTCATCCCTCAACATGTGCTGACAAAAACCTTTTGTTTTTTTATAAATTTGGTTGTGTGACAGGATACAGTATTGTTCTTTGTCAAGTAGCCTTGTTAAGTACAACCCTCAAGATCCCTTAACGACTACATCAGAAAACTGCCCAATAAAGTTTTTTTTATTTAAAGACGACTCACGGATGAACGAAAAATTGCTCATTTTTCTCTAACTATTAGACAAAAGTAGGCGATAAATGCTGAGATAAAATTTTCAACAGTAAATGACATTAATGCGATCATGTTCGGTAGTATTAATTTACATAATCTTTAAGAAGTAAAAGATGTTTACATATTTGCACAGGCTTATGAAAACCGACGAGACCTTTAGGAGAACTTAAGAGCTGATCAGTGCAAGCCCGAGACCTTTAATCTTCTTCTAACGTGTATTCATAATTGATTTGCAAATTCTCTTTAATTGATTGATTGATCTAATAGTTGAGCTCAGAGTGTTTTACACAGACTAATGTAAACACAACTCTAGACCAATCAGCGCACGCGTTTCATTGTGTTTACTTTATTAACTTATTTGAAGAAGTAAAACTTCATTCCCGAAACCAATTTCTCAGAAAAACGGAAAGGGAATCCTGGCAAGTCGCAAGCCATAAACGCAAATATTGATACGATAAATTTTCTATAATGAATTAGCACTGGAGAATTAAACAAAGCTAATATCAAAATCATAAACAACCGCATACATAGAAGCTTTGCTTAACAAGAAAGTTAAAAAACCAGTCCATTTTAACTCAATAATTGCGTGTTTTTTCACTGAGAAAACTAGATTAACATTTTGGCATTAAGTACTGGTACAAAGCACCCTGAACGAGTCAAACTGTCAAAGATGGTAGACGCGAGTCTGTTCGCAAACAGTGACAACAATCCATACCTTCTAAACTTTGAGGAAACTGTATTTAACTTCTTTCAACTATAACGGTGGGCATCATGTATCCCTTTGTGAGTTTAATACCCTAGTCATTTCCGGGAATGTTGCGGGAAGTAATGTGAGTCCAAATTTGCATGTCGACTCCAAGTGTCGTGTTGCACTGCAGGCTGCTCAGGGCTTACTGAGGGTTCCAATCGGGAGGCACGCGTAAGAGTCATGTTTAATACTGGCATTCATAAATCATTTGTTAGGTCTAAGGTGGTTAAGGCAGCGGGGTTATCAATCAAGAAGAATGAATGGCTTGAAATTACAACGTTTGGGAAGGTGATGAGGAATAATCAGCTTCAGAGTATTTGTGAGCTTGAGATTGCACCTTTCAAAGGGTCGAAATTGATTGAAATGGAAGAATTCGGTGTAGAATCAGTACCTCAAGGAGCAAATGAGCACGTCAAATTGCGTAAGGGGGAGTATCCCCATTTAAGTGACTACTGGTTTTCAGATGTATCTAAGTCTAAAGATGTGTTTGAAATAGATGTATTAATAGGTTCAGATTATATTTGGCTCTTTAAAAATGAAAATGGAAAGACTGAGCGTGGAGAACCTAATGAACCGGTTGCTGAAGACACAACTTTGGGTATGGTACTTTCAGGGCAGGTTAAGAGTTCGTGTGAAAGTGCACAAACGCGGCAGGTAAGTTGTGTTAATTTTGTCGCAGAAGAACCAAAAGCTCTTAACAATATCAATAAGCTGTGGATTTTGAATCTTTAGGTATAAGGGAAGGAGATCAAATGCATGAACCATTACAGGAGGTGATAAGTTTTACTGGGAAAAGGTATCAAGTCAAATTGCCTTGGAATGAGGGCCACAATCCCTTGCCCACAAACCAAAACGTCAGGATGAAAAGTCTTAAAAGGAAATTAACAAAACTGAGACAAGATCCATATTATAAGATAATTAAAGAGCAGTTAGAATCCGGAATAATGGAAAAGGTGGTTCAGTTAGAGAAACCAGGAAAAGTACATTATTTACAGGATTTCGATTGCGAAAATGATTGAGTAATAGCTTGAAAGCTCGTAGAGTGATTGCACAGGAAGAGGGCGAGTCTTCTATAAATTCTCTACCACAAGCTGATATAAAGAGTACATTTGAAGTAAGCCATGAGATTAAACTCGAAAGGATTCTAGGTCTTCCATGGAATTTTCATTGTGATACTTTTCATTTTGAAACAGGCCAAATTGCATCAAGGCAGTGGGGTCGGGACAAATAAGCTTTTTGGTATACTCTTTACGATTTCTTAGGAAAAGTTAGTCCAATTGTGGTAACTATTAAGATTTTGATCTAGGATATTTGTAAGGAAGGGCTAGACTGGGATAGTGATATTAACAACAATATGTGTACGATATAGAATGCATAGGTAAATGACATGAGCACAACACAAGAGATTGTTGTTAGCAAATGTCTATAAAGAAAGATAGATAAGCCAGTAAAATGTATGTTGCATGATTTTCCGATGCTAGTGTTAAAGATTATTTTGCTATACTCTACTTTGTCTTTGAGTTGACTGGTGCCACGATGTCGAATTGTTGACATCGAAGACTAGAGTTGCTCCAATCAAAGCACAGACGATTCCTCGACTTGAACTTATGTCAGCCTTGATCCTAGCAAAACTAATGTCTACTGTATTGATTGACTAATGACTATTGTATTGATTGAGATGTAGATATTGGGTAGATAGTAAGACTGTGTTATGATGGATTGAAAATAAAAGTGAATGGGAAAAATTTGTAAGACATCGCGTTATTGAAATTTTGAAATTGAGCGATAAGTCAAACTGGGGACCTTACTAAGGGGAAC